GACCTCCAGTTGACAAGTAAAATTTACGTAAGAAATCTCTTTCGGATAGACCTTCACTGTCACTTTCAGCAAAGAACTCGAGTTGTTCTTTGAGTCTGTCAATTCTCCTTTGAAATTTTTCCAAATCTCTCTTGTAACCAATATTACGATCACGAAGAAGAGAAGATGATAGTTTGTTACTTCTTCCTTCTGCGCTCCGAGCAGAAACTATTACCATCATCAAAAACAGAACGAAAACAGCAAGGACAGGGGCTTTCATTTTTTTTGATTAATAATTCCTGAAACAAACTCCGCCCTGGTATACCACCAATTGTTATGAATGCTATCTTTTGGGATTAGGAAATATCAACCAATGAAGAACAACTTTGTTATGATACAAGCACCAGATTGTTGACCATTTTTTTTATTTATATACCAATTAATGTTTGGCGCCCAAAATTTCCCGCCTCAAATCTACATTTTTAAATTTAAAAAAAATGTTTTCTCCAGCTAGTGAATATGTTGCCCCTGCAGTGCAAAATTGGCAACCACTGTTGGTGGAAGAAGATGATGAAATGTAAGTAGTAAGGGTTTTTGATAGTATTCTTATAAATGACTAACAGTCTTGTTGAACCAGTTATGAAAACCAAACCTTTGGTTTCTGTTCTATCGAGTTTAAATAGAATGGGAGAGGATCAACAACGAAGAAAGATGGAACAACAAGATGAAGTTATTGATTTTGATTATTCAAATAGTACGAGTTTCTACCTGATAAGGAGCTGGATGAATTTGCTGAGGAAACAAAGAGAAATTCAATGGTTGTAAATAAGGAAGGAAAAGGCTACTCTTATCCTCATCCAATAGATAATTTCAATAAGAAAAAGGCAGCTGGAGTTGTTGGTTACTATAAGAGCGTTCTTCCAAAGAATGAGAAAAGAGGTACTAGGCCATCATCTGCTCCACCAACTAGGCAAAATCAATCCTCTGTAAAAAATACACCTAAGAATAAGGTTATCCCTAACAAAAAAGATATACCTAAAAAGAAGCAATTAAGAATACAGGTTGACCAAAAAGATTTCCAAACCATTGTCGAAGAAGAACTAGGTTCAAGCCCAAGTAGTTCCATAGCAAGTGCTGGTGAAAATAGGAGAACGACCATGATGAAGAGTACTCCTAATACAGCTTCCAAATACTTTAATTTGGCAGATTCTGCAGATGAAGGCCAAATTGATCTACATCCAATGTATTAATAAAATATTGCTTAAAATTGTTAGATTGTTGTATTTGTAAAATTAGTTAACATTAAGGATGATTTTCTAAAACTATAATCTGTTAATCTCTAAAAACACCTATTGACACGTGTAACAATCCATGATCAACACCCACCAACGGTAAAGTGAAATTCTTGAAACAATTCAGAGAAAAATCTTTCCTAGTTAAATATACAACCGATTGACCCATAAAATCATCGGAAAACATATCTCTATCCATCACTCTAAATACAATATCCACAGAAAGAAGCTCACTATCAGTCACTATAAATGAAAAACTTTCATCCCAAACAGGATTCAAAGTCTTTTTAACAACACTTGTAGAGGGTGTTTCATTAAATCCCTTGACATATATCTGACACCTTTTCCAAATTCATTCCAAATAAACATTAACCAATGAATTACAAACTTACCATGGATCTAACAAAGTAATTCCATTTGCATAAATTAATTTCAAAAAGATAAACACACTGACACCAATAAATTCCAAACTTACCAGCCTTTCCATTTATATCACAAACTACAAGTTCCTCACCCTGTACGACTCTAGTTTAGAATTATTAATTCATCCATCAACATACTTTAATAATTTTAATTTTAATAACGTCACCATTTCGTAATGTGAGAAAATCATTCGCACAGAATAATGGTGTTTTTTTTTCTTCCCTCTTGAATGCTTTTACAAAGTGTAGATCGTTAGTAAAATCGTCTCGTGAAGAAGTGGATCCAAACTGAGTAGGAAAGTGTTTAGCCATTTTTTTTTAAAATTCACTGAAGGAAACTTGATTGGTGACAGTTCTTGTTCTTCATTAATTTCGGTTGATTTCCGAATTTAATCTTTTACAATTATCTCAGAAATAAAAATTGTTAAATCAATGATTGATTAATTGTTTTTATTAAATTTAAAATAATATTTGGCGCCAAAATTGAATTTAAAAAAAAATGATGCCAAGACAAAATGTGCCCACAATCAACAACTCGAATAATTTTAGCAGCAATAATACAATCATACAACAACAACAACTTTCCGGATCATCAGAATATAATACAATGATGGGATCGAACCACTCTTCTCTTTCTTCTTCACTTTCATCTCAGCAAGTGATTGGTTTATTGAAAAAACTGGTCAAGATTAATATTCCCAAAAGTAAAATGCAAACCGATGAAGAGTATGAACAATATGTAAATAAGCAATTGAGATTTTTATCATCATTACTTTCAAGTAGGATTTCTCCGACCCTTGTTCAAACACAAGATCAAATTTTGCTCACAGAAACTATCAAGAAGAGACGTATGTAGCTACATTGAATAATCCCAATATTTATCTTTTATTTTGATAGTTGCAAGAGAAAACAAATCGGATACAATTTTTCAATTCTCACAATTATATCACAAACTCAATTCAAAAACTGTAATTCAAAACAAATTCAATCTAGTATATTTACTCAATTCTCTAGGAATTTTCAATTTACAACAAGATAATTCTGTGTCATCCTTAAATATGACATTCCAAGACAATTTATTCAAACTCAACTCTACCACACCACAAAGGCAAGAAAATCCAAGAATGCTTCAATCACAGGAAATTAGGCCTAAATCATCAACATTTGAACAATACAGACAATCGTACAGTGAGCAAGAAAATACAAAATTTGAAATTGCCGAATCTGTACTGGTAAGAGACATCATTTACACCTTTCAAGGAATTGATGGAAAGTACATTAAATTTGATATTGGAAGCGAACGATATATTGTAGATACAAAAATTGGAATACCAAAATCTACTCGACTACTAATGAGCAAGTTGTCAGAATTAGGTTGGCTCTACAAAAAGGTAAAAAGTTTTGTGGATTCTGGAACATTGAATATCACCTCAAATGGATTGATTGTGCAGAGTTTATGTGCAGCCATCGACAAGGAACTTGTGGATTATTACAAAACAATATCTACACTCGAAACACATATTGAAAGTCAAGAGAATACCAATACACCCGTGACTTTCAGAAGATTGGCTGTATGGGCTATTGAACCAACAGAGATTATGAAAAATTTGGCTGTATTGGCAGATTCTTGTAAATTTAAAAAGGGGGGCATATTGATCTCCACTATTTTCACTTTCCTTAAACATGGAGATCCACTAGTTCAACAATTATTTGTTAGAATTCTAGATCATACCTCTTCTCCAATATTTAGAATGTTAAAATCTTGGGTTATTGATGGAGAATTAGAAGATCCTTACGCAGAGTTCTTTATCAAGTCAAACCCGAATATTGGCATTGATAAACTGTGGGCACTGAAATATAGTATAGATGTTGATATGGTCCCTCTCTATATTGACAAGCAATTGGCAGAAAAAATTTTGAGAACTGGTAAAACCATTAACTTTATCAGACAATGTTGTAAAGATGCTGAATGGGCAATGGATTCATCAACCAAGTCATCTACAGATGGACTGGGATTCCACAATATTTCCAAGTTGGAAAATGTTGTTGATTGTGTAGCAAAAGTTGCCAACAAGAGAGTAATCGACTTAATGCTTGATCAATTCAAGTTTTTACTTCATTGTCATGCCATCAAACAATATCTTTTACTTGGCCAGGGTGATTTTATTCAACATTTAATTGAATTGCTAAAGTAAGTTTTTCACGAATAATGTATCTTACATTACTGATAACAGCAATGATTTGAAAAAGCCTTCCAATGCAATTTTCAAACATGACCTTCTTGGTCTGCTAGAGAGTGCAATCAGAGGTTCAAATGCCCAATTCGATGAGCAAGATGTTCTAAATAGATTGGATGTTGCACTAAAGGTTGAAGGTAAATCAAATTCTAATACAAATTCTAGCGATGTAAATGGATGGGATGTTTTCTATCTGGATTATAAGATTACAGTTCCATTGGATACAATACTAGCAAAGCCTATTATGAAGGTTTACCACAAGATATTTAAATTCTTGTGGAATATTAAGCGAGTAGAACTATCACTCAATGAAAATTGGAAAAAGGTTGTCCAACTCATTCGTTCCATTCCCAGAAAGAAGACTACTGTTCTTTCTCAATTATCAAATGCCTTGAACTTTTCAATTCTATTGAGACATGATATGAGTAGATTTTTGAAGAGTTTACAATTCTATTTAATGTTTGAAGTAATGGAGTGTGCTTGGGATAAATTCATTCATGATGTCAAATACTTGAGAGATAATGATGGGGACTTGGATCAATTAAATGCTGCCCATTACGCTTTCCTTACTGGCATTGCTGAAAAGGCCTTCCTTGCAAAGACTCAAGTCAATACACGACTCCAAGTTGAACAAATGCTCATTATCATGAACAAGTTTATTGGTTTACAAGATATTTTATGCTCTATAGCAAGTAATCTTTTGAGTAGGGTTGAAAACTTTATGGATGACGATGAAGATCCAACACACGACTATATTTCAGATGAGGATAAACAACAATTGACCAGCCTTCAACAATGTCATTCACAACTTTTACTTGTCAAGACTTCTTTTGAAAGACTCTCCAGTATTATTAATATTACAACCGAACACTAACAGCGTCAATTCAAATAGTAATATATTTGAGATTTGAATAAAGATGCTCTTTTCAAATAACACCAAGATGCCAACAATTAGAAAATAATAGTTGTTTATAGTACAAAATTGCTTTAAAAAATTGGCTTATTGGTCCTTGTAAACCTTGCTCATCAATTCGAAACTCTTAATAAATGGTCCAATCATACTTGGATTCTTAATCATACTAAAGTAGTCTCCCTTAAGGAATTTCATCCATCCCATTGTGTAAGCAGATCCCAAAGTTGTCATTCCCATTCCATTCTTCATATAATACACCCAATTGTCTTCACTACATCTAATATCCCAATCCAAAGTTTCACCTTCATAAACCTTTGCTTCAGAAGCAGTACCTTCCTTGATAATCAAAACAGTTTCTGGATTTTCCTTTCCTTGATATCCATAACCAACATTGGCATTGAAATTTATAGATTTGAGTGTTGATGGAATGGTTTCATCTTGATTCCACAAGGTTTGGAGTTTTTTCATGAATTGAGTGTTGAACATTTTTTTATGATTTGTTTTATGCTTGTTTCTTTACTTCCTCTCAGCTGTGTCTCTTATTTATACTCTGCACCCAAGCAGTTTGGTACTGGATGGGAGAAATAAAGCGGCGAAAAAAAAGTCGCCTTTGATTTTTGCCAGCCATTTACCATTTGGGTCGTTGTGTAAACCGGTTTAAAAATAAATATTTAAAATAAATATTTAAAATCATATTGTAAAAAAAATGCCAAAACAAACCAAGAGAAAGAATCAAGCATCCTCCTCTGATGTCAATAAGTCATCAAAAAAGATGAAGGAATCATCAGATAGTGATGAAATTATTCCTCTCAAATTTGATACAATGGATGATGAAGTGTTTTATGAAATTTGTACTCATCTTGATGCACAAACATTTAATAATTTATCTCTGATCAATCGGAGGTGTAATGAAAAGTTTAATACTTGTTTGCAAAATATGATCGATTATGATGAATTGGAAGATGCTATGGCAAAAAAGAAGATTTCTGTGCCATTCATGATTTGGCAAACAAATAGTCAATCTAAAATATTTAAAAAGTATAAAAGTGCACACAAGTTGAGTTTGGAAGTTTATTTTAAAGCTTTAGAGTAGGTATTAACAATTTCAATTAAAATGGAAAAATTATTGAAGGAGACGTCCTGGAGGAAATTTTGATGAGTTTATTTACAGGTTTACAATGACATTTTCTGGAAATAAGAAACCTGAACTCAAGAAGGGAACAATTAATAATTGGGATGGTGAGATTAGTGCTAGAAAGATGGGTAATTGGAATCATTCGAGAGATTCTCTCAATCTCTTTAAAAGTTTATCTGCACTTTCTTTCGCAAAACCAAATTCAAAAACAGCTGGTACCTATACCTTTATAAAAAATACTGTGACCGATATGAGGAGAGATTCAGAGGAATATGATACTGAGTGGTCTTCTATTGAACTGAAGGCAGATTTTGATGGTAAAACAATATTAAGATACCACCAAAAGGCAATCTATCCTCAAGATTTGTCACTTTCTCTTAGAAGAAGAGAAGAAGCTTCCATAAATCCAATTCCAGAAGCCACAAACATGTTAAATCATCTGACTCAATATTGTGGGCTGCTAAGACCAAATAATGAAACAGAAAGAAATTCACCAGCATGTAGTGAACCAGCAGGAAGAGAAATGAAAAATTTTAAACAAGATATTTCATTGGAAAGGTGTATCGATACAGTTTTTAATTAGAAAAACTCATGTCAGGTTTTTTAACTTTATTTGATATTGTACAATTGGATTTTTGAATTTAAAAACCACGAACAATTAAAGAACCAACTCCAATATAGCTCTCTTCTTCTTCTTCCTCTTCATTAGGTTCCTTAACAATTCTCAAATGCTTTGCAGATATATTATCCAATACAATGGTGGTCAACTCTTGACTGATATTACTCAAAGATACAGAATCAAACCATTTAGTACCATTCTCAGAGTACTTGATACAACATGGTGACAAGTAGGCTGTGCCCCAATCTGGCTTTCTGATTGGTCTAATATCCAATGAAACCAACTTGTACACTCTATCAAACGAGATTTGAATGAATGGACTATTTGAAGCAAGAGTGCCTGCTCCACTAGATTTTCCAGAAGGGTCTTGTAATGACTGATAAGTATTTGTTAACGATTCATCGGCATCTGACATGGTAATAGTATAGGTGAGTGGTTTGGAAATTGTTGGTTGACTTGGAGCAACCGATTCATTATACATGTGATGGTATGTGTAGAATTTAAACAACCCCAAAGCTACATAACCTTCTTCAACTCTCCTTACTCTCCAATGAGTTGAAACAACTGCCTGTGCAAGTGAAATAGGAGCCGATTTATCATGCACATCAGTCAACTTTTGAAGTACCTTCCAATCAACTCCATTATCAGAATATTCAAGTAAAAGGTTATGGGAATACTTGACACCCCAATCCTTCTTTGTAAGTGAATTGATTGCAATATGAGTAATAGGTTGAGCAGGTGTCAAAAACACTGCTTCAATATAGCTATTGATATCATTATTTGTAGCAGCACCAACTGATAAATCAGAAGCATCCACGAGTGAAGCAAAGGTATTCTCAGTATTTGCAAACTTGGAGCTCATCTTGACTCTATATGGAATTGAAATCATGTCAATAAAAGATGTTCCACTTTGATCGAGTGGAAACTTTTCTATATCTAAACCTCTCGTTACATTACCAACTACTTGTCCAAAACATTTCCACTTTCCTAATCCAATATATTCAGAATCTGTCTTGACACGAATTGAGTTTGTTTCAATTGGTGATTTGAGAATAATTTCACAATCTGGATTGTCACCATCCAATGAAATAATTGCCAAATGTTGCCATTCATTGCCCTTTGTAAGATATTGAACTTGACAACCTTGCAAATATTCATTTCCCCAAACATCAAGAGAACAAGCTCCAATAATCATTCTTTCAATTCTGACAGAATCTCTAAAAATCAATTGAATGAAAGGAAATTCTTCACTTTCACTCAATTCTCCAGTGCATACACCAATCATTCCATCTTCCTCATTCAAATTTTCCAAATTATTACCACAACTTGTATCCATTGAACTCATTCTCATATCATATGGAACGAGAAGTAATGGAGCAGTAGAGTTTGATGAATCTGATTCATATGCTGACCATACTGTTGCGGCATGATAGTTGTATTCCATAATGTTGATGAAGAAGAAGGAATGGGTGGAAAGATTGATGGATTATTAGTGAGTGGTGGAGTGGTGATGGTGCTACTAGTATTATTAGTATTGGAGTTGATGGATGGTTGGTGTGGTTGATAGTTGAACATTTTTTTTAATTTTGTGGAACCAACCAAGTTCATCATTGTGACCATTCGAATTGCAAGCTTGTAATTATGTTGAGTTCAAAGTTAACTAACATTTATTATAATATTATAAAAACCTAAAGAGTATTCAAATGTATTTGGAAAATAGATGTTTACAATCAAGAGATTTACATTTTCTACCTTATTGATGAAAGATACAATATTAAACACACAAATACTGTAAAGAAGATTTTCATTGTAAATACATTCGTAGTCACAATACAATTTTAGCCCCTTATTTCCTTGAATGGCACTTGTCATTACACGACATGTTAAATTTTTGAAAGACAAGACATTAAACCTGTCAATCCATTATGATGAACAAACCTATTTAATAGGTACACATCAGCAGCAGCATTGTATTATTAATTTCAAATATAAATAATTTAACACAAAATGTCTTGGACTCCTTTCGTTGACTCTCAATTCGTTGCTCCATCAAATGGTTTGATCCAAAAGGGTTTGATCATGGGTAGAGATGGTACTATCTGGGGTGTTACTGATGGTTGGGCCGTCACTGCTCAAGAAGCTAAGAATTTGGCTGGTCAAGTTGCTAATCCATCTTCTGTTCCTGCTACTGGTATTACTTTGGGTGGTGTCAAATATATGGGTTTGGTTGCTGATGAAGAAAACTTCCAAGGTTTCTCTTCCACAAAGAAGCAAGGCGTATCAGGAGTTGTCTTGAAGTCAGCTGTCATTGTTGGTAGTTTTTCTGAACCACACAAGAATCCAAATGCTTACTCATTCTTGAAGGGTGTTGCTGATTCATTGGTCAATGCTGGTACTTTGCAATAAGCAATGTATATCTCTTATTAAATTGTACATATAATGTGATTTTTATCATCATTTCCTTTTAATTGTATTAACATGTTAAATAATGATAGAAAGAAAGATTTAGGAAGCAATCGGAAAGAATTGATATCAATTTCATCAAAATGTTAATAATTGCTATATTACTAAAACATTCAAGAAAATTCCAAACGATTAATCCAATGTATACACATAAATAATATTAAGAAAATAATTTTAATAGTCCAACAACAATATTGTTACTTTAGTATGGTAGGAAAGAGATGAAAGGGAAAGAGTAATAACAAAATTATCGTTACAAAGTATCCTAAACTCTCAAAGAGCAAAAACAACCGCAGACTTATCAGCAATCATCTATTTGAATGTAAATATTAAAATTATCATTAAACCAGACACTTACGTACCATCATCTGAGCATACACACAAGCTAAGTACTTGGGTAGCCAATCCTGTCGATCTAACATTTCTAAAACCAGACAAATTATTATTCTTTCCGCCTTCTTGTGTTATGGCTTGAATAGCTGTCGATGAGCTATAATTCATTATATTATTTTGTTGTTGTGAAGTGGTGAGGAATGAAGCTGCTCCTGAAATCTTGAAACTACTACTAGAGGAGGATGAAGTAAAATTCTTACGGAGGGCAGATGAAGAAGCGAATGAGCGGATGGCTCTACAAAAGTTTTGTCTCATTTTTTAAACAATTTACTTGAAATGATTAGAAAATTTACCTCCAATTTTTTAAAATTCCTTAATAATTGTAATATAACTTGGAATGATAAGAGTTGAACATTTTAATAATTTTAATATTAATTGAATTGATTTGAAAAGAGTAGAGAGGTTACCGTTACACAATTTTAATATCCACTTGTTTTGATTTTCAAAAAAAAAATGTCAAAACAACAGGAGAAGAAATTAATGACGAATCATGATGATAATGACAATTCCGAATCATCATCGGCATCAATAATATATTGTTGTTCAACAGAACGAATCAAAAATAATTTAATAGTGTGGATTTTATTTTCTCTCTACTTGTTTGGAATTTACTTGACATTTACTGGATTTTTTCCTTTGGGTGATAAAATCACTTCTCAATCGAATAGAAATTTAGAGGAAATTAAAAAAGAATTGATAAAGAGTTCAAAATTGGAATTATTAGAAGAAAATAATCAACCAAAGGTCAACAAGATTGTTTTTATTTTAATTGATGCTCTTGGATCAATGAGATTTGACAATGCACTGAATAGTGATGATACATCACTACTTAGCTCTATTCACAATAGAAAGGAAAATTTTATATGGTTCACAAGTTATGCTCATGCACCAACTGTTACCCTTCCAAAATTGAGATCACTTGTAAATGGTCAAATGTCAAATTTTGTAGATGTTGTAATGAATGTTGTCACTGAGGATCATTCCACCGAATCGAATGATGGACCAGATAAAGAGTTGAAAAGAAAAATAGTTAATAGTAGTGGATTTTTGTATAATTTGAAAAAGGGAGATTGGAAAATTTTACTACATGGGGATGAAACTTGGTTCAGGTTGGTAAGCCAATCTGAAAGTAATATTTTTCAATCAAGAAGTGATTCCACACATTCTCTCTATGTGACAGATACTGTAATTGTTGACAATAATGTCACACGACATATCAATGAAGAAATGCAAATGCAAAACAGTTGGGATTTGATGATATTGCACTATCTTGGATTTGATCATCTTGGACATATGCATGCTTCTGAAATGGAATTTAAAGAAAAATTTCAATATTACAATGATCAAGTTTTCGAACCAATTCTATCTCGTATCAATGATACTCTTTTTGTTATCGGCAGTGACCATGGAATGACCAATGATGGAAATCATGGTGGTAGTACACCAATGGAAACCAATGCAGTGTTGGCTTTTATTCATCCACTAATCCAATCAAAGGAAACAATTTACAGAGGCACAGTTAATCAAATAGATTTCTGTCCAACTATTTCACTCTTGACCGGTGTTCCAATTCCAGAATTGAGTGTGGGAAAGATTATTCTCGATTTGTTTTTACCTTTTGGTGGTAAGTTGAATAATATAATATTGATTATATTAATAGTAATTTTTAAAGAACAATTTACACTCACAAGTATCATTTCCAATGCAGCTCAATTGCTGCAAAATGTGAATGATCAAGAATATATTGAATATTTGAAAAGATGGGAGAGTGTTGAAAATAATAACTTTAACAGAACTAATCAAATTGAAAATTATTTCGACATACTTTCAGATATGAGCTCTAGGCTCATTAAAAAGAGCGGGAGTATTCAACTGGGAGCAGTCTTAGTAGGTTTAGCGTTCCTTACCATTTTTGTTGCACTTCTTGTGTTTTTGCTATATAGGAACAATTCTTTGAGGAGATTCAATATTTCCAATGATTATATATTTGTTGGAATGATTATTATCCATCTGGCAAGTTATGGATCGAGCAGTCTCATTGAAGAAGAACACCATATATGGTACTACTTTGCAGCATTTATATTACTATTTATTTTCTTCAAATTGGAGAATAACAAGTGGATACTCGCCATGTTAGTATTGGATTCCATGACAAGAAATTGGAATGTTAGCGGTGTCAAGGATTCCCAATATTCGGAAACTCAAACCTCGAAGAGAGAGATTATTGAAATGGCATCTTTTTTGATTGCACTTTTTCTAATGGCAGCACATTATTGGAAGTATCATGAATTGAATGATAGAAAATTGTTGAGAGGGGCCCTACTCGCTCCTTGCATTTTGGTATGGTGTTATGTATTGGATTTTAAATTGTTAGAGGGTCAGTTGGGACTTTCTGATAGGATTAATATTGTTATTATCAATGTGGGATCATGCATAATGGCTTTACTAGTTGCCATTATTTTGAGAACAGAGAGGATTATATCATTCATGCTATTTTCTTTCATTTGGTTCCTGAATGAGCATACTTGTAATTATCCATTGATTTTAATTAGTACAATTCAGGTTATTCTATTGAATCATGTCATGAAGAGGCACCACTCTCTACAAACGAAGCGTGCGAGAACATCAATCAGTGGAACCTTGACTGACTTTTCCAAATTGTTCATTTGTCAAATATTTGCATATTCATGCTATTTCAGGTTTGGTAGAAGTATTTCCATAGCCAATATTGATTTTTCTATTGCTTATCAAGGATTGACTTTTTATCATCCTCTTTTAATTGGATTTTCCCTGTTTGTTAAAATTTACGCTCCAAGAATGATATTTGAAATTTTTGCAACCATTGAAATGGAAAATGATTGGACCATCCATAATAGAAAAGGGAACAAGTTCAATGTCCAGGTATACAATTTATTATTGAGGTCTGGAAAAATCTTAATGAGCGGATTTGTCCTCCTCCTCATGCAAAACCACTTGTTTGTTTGGAGTGTATTCTCTCCCAAGTTTCTTCTCGATTCTACTCTAGAGACTTTGTATCACTTTATTCTCTTTGTTACACTTGCTCTTATTATGTAGATTCTCATACCATTTTCTTTCACTGGGAATGGTGCTGAGAGAGAATGAAACAAGTGAAATATCTTAACCCGTTGAAGCAACACAGTGTTGTTGTTGAACTGTAAACAGCTATTCGTTGGGAGTACTTGTTGAAAATCCATAGAGTTCCAAATTCAATTCTCTCCATTTCCCTCCAAAAAATCCACTCTCAGGAGAGATTTCTTTGTGCCGCTCTTCATTTTAAAATTAAGGCTTAAAAAATGTTCAGTTCCAAACTATCATCCTTAGCAAGTGCGGAGGATGATATAGAAACTGCTAATATTCAAGGATTGAACAATCACGTGAATGATAACGGTATTACATTTAGTGCAGGTGAAGAATGTAAAACTATGGAAAATTTAGAATATTTAAATCCAAAATCAGTTGATTACTTTAGGAGAGGAAGATTAAAGTTAGGAGATATTTCTGCTAACTATAAATACAAGCAAGTGTTTGAGATTGAAAAACAATTCCCTCAGACTCTCACTCTCATGTTAAATTGTAGGTTTTGTATACTAAGCATTATATAATTTGATTTTAATCATAGTAACCTCGGGTGATATTTTAAATGCTCTTCCTGATCCTCCAAAATATAAGAATGAACCTCAAATGGGTTTATTTCCGAAACATATTGATGTGGACAAATACAATTCAATAAGATTGAGTGAAGAAAAGACACCATTTAAAAAGTTTATTCCTTCTAAATTTTCTCCTCATTTACCTCCATTGAAAAGATTTGATCAATTTACTGCTCAGGAAACAATATCTAAACCTGAGGATATTTATTCAGTACAACCTCAATTTATTCAAAAAATTCTTTTGGAAAATATTAGAATCAAATCGGATAAATTTCATCAAAGGGTATGTTTAAAGTGGAAATATTTTAATAGTTAATCTTTAATAGTTGTCCTCATACCAATATTGTGTTGTACTTGTAATGAGATGTATGAATTTGGATACCCTTGTTGGTATCAATCTACCATTACTAAGAGTATTGGATGTTAGATTTAATAACATTTCTGTAATGGATAATATTTTACCAATGCTACAAGCATCTCCATTCATTGAGCATTTGGTTGTTATGGATAATCCAATAGAAAAAATTGGAAATTGGAGACCTATCCTAATTGGAACATGTCCAAGAATAATTTCACTCAATGGACAAACAGTTTCATTTTCAGAGAGAGAGAATGCAAATGATGTCTATGGAACTGTAGTAAGCAGAAAGACATTTTCATACCTTAAGTGGGATGAAAGAATGAATGCTTTATGTGAAAGATTAGAACTCGAGTCTTGGCAACCAGAAAATATTACTACACTATCCTTATCAAATGCAAGACTGACCGAATTTCATATTGGAAATATGGTGAATATCAAGGAATTAGACCTTTCAAAGAATAGTATTACCACTATTAAAGGTTGTGGGTTGGAAAGATTAGAAAAACTGAGAGAGTTCAACATTAATGATAATGCAATTTCTGAAACTCACTGTCTTAGAGTGTTAACCTATATTCCTTCGTTAAGAAAATTGTGGATTTGTGAAAATCCATACGATACAACTGAAAAGGAAGAAAATCGTATTTGGTACTTTATTGTTTACTTGACTATTAATTTGAAAGGTGATAACCGTTGTGTAGGCTTATTGGAATTAGATGATATCAAGATCACCATCGAGCACAGACTTAAATCTATCAAAATTTTCTCAGACAATATCCAAGATGATGATTTACGTAGATTGAGATGGAACTATTCAATTATCAATTATTTTGGTCACCATCAATTGAGGCAATTATGTAATGGGCAATACATGTCTATTGTTACCAAGTTGATTCTTCCAAAATGTGCATTAACTTTGGCTGATTTGGGATTTTTCATCTCACTTGAATATGTTGACTTGTATGGAAATAATCTCATCACTATTAATGGCATTGAAAATTTGAAATCTTTAAAGTTTATCAACTTGTCTGGTAATCCTAAATTGGATAGAGATCCAGTTATTAATTCTCTATCAAAACTTAGTAATTTAATTTATGTAAATATTACATCTGATCTTTCCAAATTACAATTTGATAGAAACCTTAATTCAACCGAGTCAGTGAGAAGAGCATCTGTGCTCAAGCTCCTTTTAGATAGAAACGACAGACTTCTATTCTTGGATGATATCAAGATTGATATTATTGAGAGGTCAAGAATTATAAAGGTCCTGAGAGACTTTTCTGAAGTTGAAGAGTTAAAATTCAGATTCAACCTTTCTATTGTTGCTCAGGTGGTTAATTCTCCATTGACAGACAAACTTAAACTTTCATATAAGGAGATTGTAATTGGTAAAATGTACGATCCTTCTCTTATTACCAAGCTTTACTTGAGAGATTGTGGCTTGAAGGATGTGGGTACAGATTTCTCACATTTTATTTCCCTCACATGCTTGGATATTTCTCACAATATGATCAATAATATTCTTGATATTGGTTTGGAGAAGTGTAGAGAAATCAAATATCTTGATTTAGGATTTAACAATATTTCGAACAAGTTGGTAGATATTACCAATATGTTACATCGTATGTACGACTTGGAAATGGTCTCTCTTTATGGAAATCCAGAATTAGAGAAGCAAAAGAATTACAAAATTAAGATTTTGAAAGATTTAAATAGTTTGAGAGGTGGTCTAAAACTAGTCATATTTAACACTAAAATTACTAGCCAAGAACGTCAATTGGTATGGAATGAAAAAGAAGAGACTAGACTTCAAAAGGTCATTGAAGAAAAGGGATATCACCTCAGCAAGGCATTCTCGATATTTGAAATCAATTTGAACGAATCAGGTATTGATAGATTGGATAACTATATTGGAGCTTTCAAGAATTTGGAAAAATTATTGTTGAGAGGTAACCAATTCAATGCCAAACTTTCTGTTTCTTGTCCTGGTATTTTTGAAATGAAATTGTTAAAGATTCTCGATTTGAGAAATAACAAACTCACCGACTTGGATGAGGTGATTGCAATTGTTAACCAAAACCCATTCCTTGAATGTTTAGGTGTTTATACATCTTCTGATGAAAATGAAGATGCAAACTTTACTCAATACACTGAGCAGCAAGTGAGAAATACCATTATTTCCAAGACTCCTAGACTTGCAAATATTTTCTGCCCATTATGGGAAATTGATGAAAAGGAAATTACTGTGAATGAAATTGTAAATAATTGGCCACTTTCAGATGGAAATCCCAAATCATTCCAGTTCCAAGCCTCTATTTTCAAAAAATACTTGCAAACAGTTAAGGAGAGAGAAATATGGAAAGTAACGATCAATCAAGTGAGTATAGTATCATTGGATTTGTCTGGTTCTGGTTTGGACTTTATAGATTTTTCCAATTTCCTCCACTTGAGAAAATTATCCCTAGCAAAGAATTTGATAACAGATACTGCATTAACACTTTCTGGATTGGAAAAGACAGAGCTTGAAGAATTGGATTTACAATACAATTTAATATCCAGTGTTGATGTTATCACCAAGTTTATTGATAATAAGAAGTCTCTTAAAAAGCTCACCTTGATTTATAATCCTATTTACAAGATGAATATTCAATCAAGATCTATTGAAAAGGAGACAACAGATCGTGTAATTGCGTCAACCTTTGAAACCTCACACGAATATACAGAGACACGTAAGAGTATCGTTTCCAAACTTCAATCTGCTCGTTCTCCAGATTGGATATTTGAGTTGGATGGAAAGCTCGTTACAGTCAGTGAAAGATGTGATGCCATTGCAAAGGAACTTACTTTCCACGAATTGGAACAAACTCGTTTGAGATTAACTCTGAACGAATGCAAATATAACGATACAGAATCTCTTACATTAAAGTTGAACTATAAGGGAATCAAATTATTGAACAGCTTGAAAGATTATCATTTACTCACCCATTTAGATTTACGAGGTAACTTGATCAAACAACTGGATAAGGCATTGTTTTCAAACTTGAAAAAGTTGCACTATCTCGATATTAGAGATAATGATATATCAGTTCAGGATGAACAGCTTATTTTGAATATAATTGGATCTTCTGGATCTTTGCGTACCCTTTACATTCAAAGATGTGGCGGTCAATTATTCTTAGATCCAGCAAAATATTACATTCAAGTATTTTCAACTTTGCGTTTATTACAAAATGTTGATGATTTTACTAATCCCTTCCCACTTTCTAAATCTCAATTGCTTGCTTCACAATTTTTACAAAATCATTACAATGTATCACCAAACTCTCTCACAAATATTCAAATTGATGATCAAATCAATCAATTGAACCAATTCTATACTTTATTATTGTCTCTTTCCAGTCTGGTCACTCTCTATGATACAACACTTGTTTCAAATGTGAAAAATAAGGAAAAGAGTAGCTACAACCTGGGAGGTGTTGCTCCTCCTAATGAAGGAGGTACCACTAGTACTCAACCTCTCAGTAGACAAACAACCATTGTTGATAATGATAGAAATCAAATGTATATAGGAGCTGAATCCAAAATTGAATTGATTGGACCAAAGTCTGTCTACTTTAAATCATTTAATATTCCTGTGAGTGATTATAGACTCTTGCTAATGTCTCACATTAGAACTTTGGATGAAATTGATGGTAGAATGGTCACATCCAATGATAAGGCCATTACAATTATTGAAATTAATCGTTTGAGAAATATTATCGAAAGAAAAGGATTTGCTCTTAGACCTGTACTCACTTATTCAGCAGTGAGAAATTCCATCATTGAACAATTATCAAAAGAACATTTGAATGAAACTGTTAGAGGTTTATTCTCCAGACACGATTCTGGACCCAAATCTCCAACAAGTCCATCAAGTCCAACTAATGCAGCTAGCAATGATCCAAATTCTAAAACAAAAGCAATTAAAGTTTCACCTACCAAGAATTGGACAAATATCACAACTGCTACTCTTCCACTAGATGAAACAATTCCTAATTATCATCATCCAGGTTTACTCTCGAATGATAAGTTTTCAGACATGATTTTGAAGGATCCTCATGGAACTTTGGTACCATTTGAATTTATTCAAGACAATTATTCTAATATTAAGATTTTACAACAATATCAAGATATTCTTCTACTCAAGGGTGAATATACCAACTTGTTTGATGGTGTATTTGAAAAGATTTACTTTTTACTATTTGCCTTTCAATTATATTCTATTTGTTATTCATTCTCAATTCCTTGGCCATACTATTATAATATGATTATCAAGTACAATGTTCTATCAATTAATAGTTTGGATTTAATTTGGAAAACCATCAAGTTTAACAATTACTATTTCATATATTCATGGGAAATGATTTTACCAGGGGTTTTCCTAATATTGTTCCTGCTGAACCCCAACTATAAGACATCTGTAAAATTATTTGTGAGCAAACTATGTTGGACAATGTTTACATGTATATGTTGCTTTATATTACTAATCTTTATTGTTGCTGCTGGTTCATTTGCTGTCTTTCCATCAACATATGACGAATTTGCAAGAGGAGAATTACCAAGTGCAATAGATGTTTGGGGATTATTTGGATTTTCTGTTGCAGTATTGCTGTTGTTATTTGCTATTTTTGTTGTATATCTTATAATTTATAGAGTCAAGTATCAGGATCAAATGTTTTTCATCAACTTTATCAAGATTAGACAGCGTTTATTGTGGATTGTCTTTACAATTTTTTACTTTGTTTGTGTGAGAAGTATCTTTTCTACATTTGAATGTGAAAGTAATATGGTAAGATTGGCAACAACTAACAGTACCACTGTTCCAATATGGATGGTTGAAAATTACAACACGACTCTCTCTTTCAGAAATACTTCAAACTTACGTATATTCAATAATGAAGCATGTCCAGAGTCATTATTCAAACCTCTTAAATTCCCAATCATGTATTGGGTTTCTATTGGATTTGGTATCTTTTATTTAATTTTAATTCCATTCATGATTTTCATATTTATTTACAAGAATCACTCAAAGATTATCTATGAAAATTCTATTAATGATGATTTATTATTACTCAGAAGAAAGAAAAAGGAATACAAACAAAAAATCAAAAAGATTGATAATAGTAGCACACCTATTAAGGAATCCATATCCACTGAGGAAAGAAAGCTACTTCTCAAATCTATCAAGAAGAATGAGAATATCATTTTCAAAAAGTATATCAATGGTATTAGAAATAGTACGAGTAGTATTAGTGTTGTTTTTGAATCATTCAAAAATATGTTTAAATATCAATTCCTTTTCTATGTGTTTGAATTTATTACCATGACTTGTTTGGTTTCATTCTTGAATACCAATCTTGTTCTTCAAGCACCTATTGGTAGTGGACTCATGTTCATTGTATCCGTGTACATGATTCTATTTAGACCTTACCATGACATTACCCTTTCCATTAGTAGCTCCATTCTTCACTTGGTACTTTCATTCAATTTATTATTTGGTTATTGGTTATTGAGATATAAGGACATTAAGGAATTGGGAATCGATTGGCTCATTATTTCTAACTCTAATCAATCCATCATTTTATACGTTATCAATGGAGCAACCATTGCTCTCCTGTTGATCCTCAACTTTGTCATTCCATTCATTAGAAATTATGTATGGATTAGAAATGAACTAGTTGTCGAAGAGGATGATGAACATAAGGCCAAAGATAGACGTTCGAAGAGAATGTCTCTGAGACCTCCAACAATGATTGCCAATTCAGCACCAGCTATTTCTGGTGGGTTTGATAATTCCAATGAAATTGATTATGCCTTTGAGAATAGCTATTTCGATGTATTTGAGCAACAAGAAATTCCTGCTATAGGTAAGGAAATTGTTGTGAGTGAGAGTATTGAAATGAGTACAATAAGAATGGATGCACCACCTCCAAGATACTCGCTTGTTACTAAACCTCCAAGTATGCCAGTTGTTAGACAATAATCAATTCTAACTTTCATTCAACATTAATAACATTAATGATTGAAATAAAGATATTATCACAATACAACAACATTTTATTTCTTTTTGTCCAAAAGTAATTGTTGTTGAGATATGGCTGAAAGTTGTTCAAACAAACCAAGTTCCTTATCTAGTGAAGCAGTAGTGGCAGATTTGTTTTGACTTTGGTTTGCTATTTCAGCAGACCATCGTTCGAACATTTGGCATTGAGTAAAGTTGATAAAGAACTTTTCATACTTTTTCTTGTTATTCTTCTTCTTATAGTCCAAGAACACTTTGGTATCGAATATCCACTCGGGTGTATTCTTCTTCTTTTCAGTATTAAATTCAGCATTCGGCTTGATAAATGCCTTGTAATCTCCAAATAATTTAACAAAGAACATTAAAAATGTGTCTTTTGCCATTGCTACTTGATTTGAATTCTTTGAGTTTTTGATTTCCTTGGCGATAGCTGTCAACTTTTTAATCAAGTCCTTATTGCTTGGTAGTATCTTCTTTTGATCCTTGAGGGTAGAAGGTTCTGAAACCTTTCCAGAATCGATATCAATGTAGAGCACTTCTGCTTCTACTTGTCCATCCTTCTTCAGCTCCTCAATATATGGTTTGTGATTACTGAGGACACCAATGACAAATGGGACAGGACTACAAACATAGTCAACCAATGATTGAGGTAAAACTGGAATGAACACATGTTGCCATGTAAAAGGATACAATATACTAATCATTGCCTGACAAAATGCAGATAATTTTGAAATGTCATTTGAAAATATGACCATTCTTCTTTCCATTAATAAAAATGCAAACATGGTAATTATATTGTCAGCAGAAAGACTCTCGAATAATATGTTGAAATTAATCTATTATTTGATGATAGAATTATTAATAATACGTATGTTGGATATTAAAATCAAAATAGGTTTGTTTCATGAAACTTACGTATTCCAACATTGGATCAGCAAGAATAGGTCTAGATAATTTAACTTCTTCCTGTTGACCTGTCTTGGGATTTACTGTCTTGACAATGGTGCAGGTACCTGGTGATGGAAATGGATTAGCTAGTACACTTTTAAGGAAAGTGAAACAGGCCACATTATTAATTTCATTTCTTGTTTCAATATTATCGAGTATTGTAGAGAATAATCCAAAACATGAGTGTGAAGAAATGATGCAGTAAGTTTCTGGCAATCGTTTCCCAGTACCTTTTGGAAGCATTCTTCTGCAGTATCCATACTTTCTAGTACCATCTATTTCTGTCAAGACAAAGCTATATGTTTTCTTATCACCACCTGATAATGAAGTCCCCTCCTTAACAGTATCAATATCAGGAACTAGTGACTCTTAGCTTTTCATATTAATTTTTACAATAACTTACAACAAAATAATGGAATTGACATGACAAGTTTCAAGTCTTTTGTACTTCTGACATTTTGTGGTGGAAATTCATAATCTATGAAAGGTTCCAATTTGTCTGTTTGTTTCAGTTTGACTACTACCACAACTTCAAATAGTTTCTTCTCTGCACTTGTTTCTGGGTCACTTCCTCTTTGTATCTCAATACTAGAATGTCTACTTGAAGAATTAGACCCACTGCCACCATTCGAAGTAGAGCTGGTAGTTGGTGTTGCTGGTGTTCTTTTCAATTTTTGTAATTGTTTAGCCAATTCATTATTTACATCATTATTAGGTGATTCCATTCTATTGATTTTCAATGGTGGTGGCAAGTATCTGGTATTGTCACTTGATATTTCAGTCTTCTTGTTTCCAAAAGATGTTCTCTTTTCTTCCTCAATTTTAGATGATTGATTATTTACATTGGTTGTTTTGGCAAGAGTTGATGCAGATAAAAGTCCTCTTGAATCATCAGAAACCATTTGTAATCCTTTTATCCATGTTGATGCTTGCATTGGATCTTTTTTAATTGGCAATGCAGGAACAGAGTGATTATGGTTATTGGAATGATTTTGAAAAGTAGTAACAACAGTAGGATTAAGAGTTGAAGGTGTAATATCATTTTCATGATAATTTCGAATTGGAATTATTGGTAAGGTACGATGATGATGATATTGTTGATGAGGAGGTGAATTATTTGTTGTTGATTTGTTAGCATAAATGGTTGATTCAGAATTCATATTATTATCAGAAATAATAGATGATGAATGTTCCATTGTTGAGGTTGTTCGTTTAGGAGGTTGGGGAGGTGATTGTCGATTAAAAGGAGGAGGAGGAGGTTGGGGAGATGATTGTTTTTGTACATTATTTGGAGGAACAGGTGGTAGACAACGTTGTCGAGTTGGTGTTATTGTTGATTCAACAGTGTTATTATTATTATTATTATTGGGTGATGATGATGGAGATGATGAATCATTATTACATGTTAATTCAGTAGGAGGTATAGAGTTTAGAGTTTTAGAATTCCGATTATTGGAAAGTGAGTGCATATTAATTGACGTCCAATGAGAAAATATAGATGAGAGATTAGAGAGTAAAGGGGTTTTTTCAATTTTTGATAGAATCACCATGATGTAGCCACATGCAACACAATACAACAACAACATTCGGAAATTTAAGGATTTGGTGGTAAAAAATTGCGACAAGGCAAAAATCAATTAAGGCAATATGGTAAGCACAATCTTAGACTTTGATTAAAAAACATACCCGATAAGATGAATCCCAACGTCTTTTTGTGGTTCTTTCGTTTGAGAATGAAGAGTTGCAGCTTGTAGGGAAGGAGAGATTTTTGATATTCTCTATCGTTATTGTCATAGCCTGAAATGAAGTATCTTTCAAAGAAGGAGACACATTCACGTGCATCTTGAGTGGTGATTTGATAGGGATTTGAATTGTTGGATTGTCTTGGTGATATTGTGTTATTAGTATTTGAGTCTGAAATCTGGTTTCCTATCAATATTTCTGATTGATAGTATGGTACAATCTTTTCCACTTCGGAAAAGAGAATTACTATTATTAATAATAATAATAATATTATTATCAATGAAATCAGATCATAATGTGACAAATTATGTAATAGATAGTAGTATTGACAATTGAGATGAAAAATTCCAATATTAATATGCATGTGAAATTAATAACAACATACTATTACTTCGTTTTTGCATTCCCAAAGGTCCTGATGATGGTAAATCACTCTCACAAACTAGAGCCTTTCCATCTTCCGATATGAAACATGTTGTGTCAAAGCAGATTTTACTCAATCTTCTATTATTTAATGTTGTCTTTGGTGGGAGTGGTGGTGGCACTCTCCTTGTAGTTCCAATCGTACTACTGTTACCTGTTGTAGTAGCATTCGAAGAGTTATTAGAAAGAAGAGGACTCGTCTCATCCCACAAACCAATCACAAACACCTTTGTTCCTTCCATTGATAAGAGACTGATTAATTCTTCCTCATCGGTACTGATTGCAACAAATGTTTGCTGTCCTCGTGGTGATGTTGGCAGGAGTTTGGAGCCGTTGTTATTAGAAGATTTTAAAAGATTGGGCAATGTTGGGAGTGGTTTTCGAGGTGATGTTGGTGGCAGCTCTGAGACTGTGCGAAAATTCTTCCTCATTTTTTTAATAATTGATTCTTTCGCTTCGTAGACAAGTGACGTTGAATCCAGTTCATTTTCCGTTTGAGCACTATTTTTCAAATTGATTACTAGTATTTTTGATTACAAGTTAAAATTAAGGTAAGAGAAATTCATAACTTGCAATCTCAAAACTTGCAATCATGTCCACATATTAAGGCATGTATTGATAGAATTATGAAAAGATCAGCAGTAAAAAAAGGATTGACTCCATTCAATTAAATTATTCTAAACTTGTTACTTTTCAAAATGTTGCATGGCACTACACGAATCCTTACTCAGCTACAACCATTTTCACTACTGCATAAGTGAACTACCTGAAAGAATATTCAGATCTTTAAAAAATGAAACGCAATCATTCAAACAGTGACCGTTTTGAAGAACCTCCCACAAAGTCTATACACCAGCCTCAACAAGAAACCATTACTTCCGAAACTAGTGAAACAGAAGAAGAATATACAATTAGAAAATTTAATGAAAATTTTCATAATTTTGAACTTGAATCTCTTGATGGCCAAGAAGTAAAATTCGTTAAGGCAGGTATTACCTCTGCTCTTTATTATTTTAATGGTGGCAATCAGGATGAATGGTGTCAGGTAAATAATTTCCCTGAATTGAATGCATTTGCCTCTCAATGTGCCCAATATTGTAGAGGAGGTATTAGTAAATGTATTTATCATGTTTTTGTAACAGGGTTAGTGAGAACAGGAAAGACTACTACAGCAAGATACCTTTTTCCTTATCTACACTCTGTTCATTGCTGTAGGAGAATTAATAATTACATTGGCTATGAAGTTCATTATCTTGATATTAGAGATTTTCCAAAGAATGAGCAAGAAAGAGATTACGATTATGTGAATAGAATTCTTGTAGCTTTGTTGGTGAAGGAGCGAACATATACAACTGTCAGCAAGGAATATCTCTGCACAATCCAATGACAGAGTATTTGAAAAAAAGAAGCAATAAGATGGTTTACTTTGTATTGGACGAAATTCAACTATTATCTTCTGACGCTTTAAACTTTCTCAAGAAGGTTTTTAAATCTCCATCTCTAAAAAGTACAACAAATTTCCTTAGTATTTGGACTGGAAGTACTCAATCACTTATACTCAGAAATTTGAGAGATGTACCCGCTAATGGGTTTTCATTTTCTGATAATAACATGACCTATGACATTCCAAGATCAAGTGCAACTGCAAATTTAAGGGAAGTGGCCATATTCCATAACTACATCTTCAAAAGAAAATTTGTGGACACAGAACTTCTAAAAATCATACGAGATTCGTTAGAGGTGTATCACTGCAGTTATGTTGACCAAGTTATTTCTCAATGCAAAACTAAAACGCTCCAACAAGCCATTGCTGATCTAGTTCAACAAATATTCACCATTTATGATAGAGATATTGGTAATATTGTTAAAGGGCTAAAGCGAGAGGAGGCTTGGACAATTTTCAAAACCAAATCTGTTCCAGCCTTTATAACAGACAGAGCCCTCTGTGGCTATGGGATTAATAGTTCCATGTTCTTTGTATTCAACAAGGAGACGCGAGAGTATGAACTTAGAGACTCATTGCTCAGTTCTTATATCACATTTAGATGGGACAGTTTTTTTAACTCGAGGAGAGCTAATGATGTAGAGTATCATTTTCACTTGTTGTTACCATTCCTTTTTTTGGGTGAGTCCACCAAGTTAATTCAATCCCCCCTAGAAACTCTTGGAATAGCTAATCATGATCACAAACAGTTTGCTAAGGTACTTAATAATGGATTACTTAACAATTCTATTCATTACCACATTAAAATAATAGATGATGAGGAAAATCTCGTAAAAAAAAGCATCAAAGCAATCAGAAATGTTGTGTGTTATCAATGTGATGATTGTCCAATCCTCTATCAAGAAATTGTGATATATTGGTGCAACAAAGAACCAAGAAATTTGATCAATATTACCGATAAAATAAGGGAAATGGTTTTCTGTCAAAACTTTAATCAATGAAATAAGAGATTTCCTAAATTGAATGATAGAGGTGCACTTATTGCAGTTCAGTATGGTCGTCATGCCATCGGTCTACACAGAGGAAGTTCTGTTCATTTCCCTTTGAGCACTATTTTTCAAATTTAAAATTAAAGTTAGAGAAATTCCACCTTGTTTAACAGTTTTAGGAGAGAAAAACAATTTCCCGCCTAAAATTGTTATCAGTTAGAAATAAAAAAAATGATTCAAGGTCGAACCTCAAAAAATTCAAAACAAAATGTTCGGGAAGAGTATTTGAATTATGAGGAGGTAACTTCTACTCCCTCCCGATCTCTTGAAGTGGAAAAGGATGTATCAAGACAACTAGTTATACAAGAAGGTTCCAATTTTCAATATTCATCAAACCTTAATAATGATTTGCTTAATGATTACCTAAACGATGATTTATTAGAACAAATAGAAAGACAATACCTTTCTAAAAATACAAAAAAGAACAGATCTCCTATTTCCATAACAAAATCCAATCATACTATTCCATCATCACAGGATTTTAATATACTGTCCTTGTTACATCATTACAAAGAACCATCGTTGAATGAACAGGCGATATTAAATTCGGAAGCCCATGATAACATTAGTACTAACAATACTACATCAAGTATGAACACAATGGTTATTGAAAATATTATCAAATCTCTAATCAACAGTACTGGAAGTAATTGCCATAAGGTAATCTCGGAACGATATATTAAGGATGTAGTCAATATCAATAAGAGTAATCAAATGTGGATCACTAATATTAGTAAGACCGACATGTCGTCATGTACTTTGGAATTACAAAGCATTTCAAATACATTGACAAGGAAAAAGATAGGTCCTTGTGAGAAAGTGGTTAGAATTACAGTGTACTCATCTCATAATGGAAAACCAAAGAAATGTGTAATATCAACCTCTCATCATCCAAATTTTGGATTTAAAACGATTAATGATAATTGGATTTTTGAGAACTCAATTGACTTACTTCCAGACACGTTTATAATTCCAGAGCAGAATATTCTACGATTCTTACAATTAACATTTATTGGCTCTCATACTTTTGCCAATACACACCGCATAAAGCACGTCTCAGTAACTTTGGAGGATGCAATTGTTTCAAATAAGGATTATCTGGATAGAGTACGAATGGAAATTACAGGTATTCCTGTGGAAGAGTCAGCTTCATTCAACACAACTAGTCATCAACATAGCAACAAGGTAATCGCTCAAACGAAATCATCACTTTCACCTCAAAAAGATTCCAACCTCAATTTAAAAACCATCAAATCCGGCCCAGAGAAGAAAGAGATTATCACAAAACAAATTGTTCAGGCTCTTGATGAGGAAAACATTGAGCTTGACGAAGCAAATCCTCTTCTAAAAATACTGAACACCAATACAGGTATGGAGACACCATTAGATCGAGAAGAACCCAGCAATATTGATTCTTTGAAAGAGGATATTCAGGATTCAGACGATTTCTTTGATGAAGAAGAGCTAGAGAAGGAACTAATGCAAATAGAGATGAAACTTAACGAAAAGAAAAAGATTCTGGACAATATCAATAGTCCAATCAAAACCATACATCTCTCACCAACCAAACAGAGGTCACCAAATAGAGTATTAGAAGATGTAACTCGTTCAACTCCTTCTCCTATTCAGGTCAAAACTAGAGCAGATAATAATCAACAGTTGAAGGAGGCAAGACCGAGTGTTACATTTGATATTCCTGCCTCAACTAAGAATAATACACCTCCAAGGACTTCACCAGTTAAAAAATCAGTAACCCCCAAACAGGAACCAAAATCAAACGTTCCAAGCTCAAAACCAATCGTTATTGATTTCAACCCGTCTTTCCAAATGCAGCCCAAACAGGAATTCAACCCTAGCTCGACTCTTAACAGAAAACCAAACCAAACGTTGCTGTCTTTCATTAGTCAATTACAAAAATATGCTCCCCCAAAACCAGCCTCAACATCTACACAAAACCAAACTCCCCAAACTAAATACTCCCCACCAACAACGAACAACCTTATATTAGAAAAGCTAAACATGCAAAAAAAGTTGAAGGAAGAACTCGAGCACTTGAAACATCTGAATGACGTAAATGCAAGAAAAGAGTATACTTCCCCACATGTCTATACTTCCCCAACCAAGAATGTTCCTTTCCTTTGTAAGTCCACTCACGTTGAAGAGTACAACAATGATTCAGATGATTCTTCGAGTGATATAACTCTAACAGTCGAGGAAGATGACCATCCAATCTCTCCAATTGGAAAGGAAGAATCTGCTCTAGTGGTGGATTTTTCACCTCCACATAACCATACATTACTTCCAAATAGAAACCCACCAAGTCCTCCCTTTCGAATTGTAAATGATTTATCTCCAAAACAAGAGAATGATTTCCTCCATGATTATGATGAAAATTCTCCTCAACAATATCGAAATGATCCATCCCCAAGTCAAGAAGAGGATCTATTATATTTAACCAATGATTTTGTTGGAGAAGAAGAGGATGAACAGCAAAGATCACCATTCAAAGATTTCATTGTTGAAGAAAGTGAAATTGAGGACCATGACTTGTTAACAACACTAGAGGATGAAGTAATTGAACAATTTAATAGAGGAAGTCAGCCAAATAGTCAAAACAATAGTATTAATATTGAAATACCCAAAGAAATGGAAGATTTTCTTATTGAAGACAATGAGCAGCCCCTTATTGAAATACCAGAAATTGTAGCAGTAATTGAGGAAAATCAACCTAAACCAACTCCACCCACATACTCTGTTGTCGATGTACCTGAAGATGAGTTTAGCATTATTCAAAGCTTCCTTGATACAACCCTAAGTTCCGAAAATTCATTTGCTTTTACCCCAACTAAATCCCCTACCACTAGGCTTTCCTCACCTCTAAGTTTGTCAATTCCAAATCATAATGAGTTGGACTCACCAAGAGTTGAACTGTTAACACCAAGCAAGATATTACTCAAAGGTGAACCAAGTAGGCTTCTGAGAGTTAAGAAGGGTATTAATTGTTACTTGCACGATTATGACATTAAGAAGAAGAAGTATAAAGTCCACAAAAGAATACTCAAACTAGATAGAGACTCAAAGTGCCTTTCCATCTCTGCATCAGGAAAGTCTTTATTCAAGAAAACAACGAAAATTGAATTGTCCAAAGATATTAAGTGGATAGTTTACGGACCTTACTCTCAGGCTTTTAAGAATACTAATATTATTTATAGACCTTTCAAATGCTTTAGTATTGCCACACAGAATAAGATTTATAGTTTTGAAGTAATGTCTGAAGGTATTCGTGATGTAGATGATACCATCTTGGGCATTCAGTTCTTAATTCAAGATAGAATCAAATCCTTCAATCGACCAATCTATACCAAGTGCAATTTGATTGTTAAACGTTATCTATTGAAGAAGTATTTAACATTTACAAACACTAGCATTACGGTTGATGATGAAATGTCCTCGATAACAAGTGACAGTATTGCTTCACCTAGAATGATGAGATCTAAGAGTTTTAAATTTTAATAAAATTATAATGATACAGGTCTCAACAAATTTCCATTGTGACAATCCTCTTTATTAATAAAATTTTTATATTGTATATTTAATAACTTATTTGTTATCATTGTAAACTTAATCTCAACGACTGCGAATCTTTCAAAGCTCCAGTACCTACCAAATTCACTTTCAAAAAAAATAAGCCACCTCCATCTTTATAACAACACCCACACAAACAAGAAAAATGGTTAAATTCGCAACCTTGAAAAACCAAACCAGAGATGGCAGATTAATCATTGTCAACAAGGAAGGTACACACTATGCCGAAGTCCCAAGCGAAATCAGTACAACCATGCAACAATTATTAGATGATTGGGATAATTTATATCCAAAAGTTGAAGAATTATACAAGACCATACAATTCACTCATGAATTGTCATCACAAAATTTAATGGCTCCACTTCCACGTTCCTATGAATGGATCGATGGTAGTGCATACATTAATCACATTGTTCTTGTTCGTAAAGCACGTAATGCTCAACCTCCAGAAACACTCCGTACAGATCCATTAGTTTATCAAGGAGGAAGTGGCACTTTTATTGGACCAAATCAAGATGTTGAACATTTTAGTGAAGATTATGGAATTGATTTTGAAGGTGAAGTTGCTGTTATTGTAAAGGATGTGCCAATGGGTACTAAAGCTGATCAAGCTGGTCAATATATCAAATTGGTCATGATTTGTAATGATGTTTCTTTACGTAATTTAATTCCAAAGGAATTGGAAAAACAATTCGGATTCTTTGTTTCAAAGCCATCTAGTAGTTTCTCACCTTTTGCTGTTACTTTGGATGAATTGGGTGAATTGTGGAAGGATGGCAGATGTCATGGTGATTTGATTTCACATTTGAATGGTAAATTGTTTGGTAATCCAAATGCTGGACCAGAAATGTTCTTCTCATTCCATGATTTAATTCAACACGTTACACAAACTCGTGCTCTCACTGCTGGTACTATAATTGGAAGCGGTACTGTCAGTAATGAAGATCAATCACGTGGTAGTTCATGTATTGCTGAAAAGAGAATGATTGAAAAGATTGAAACTGGTCAATTTACAACTCCATTCATGAAGTTTGGTGATAGAATTCAATTGGAAATGTTTGATAATAATAAGGTTTCAATCTTTGGTCAAATTAATCAAACAGTTGTCCAAAAGAAATAAAGTTATTTTGCGTATCCTCAAAAGTGCTGAAAATCCACTCTGTGTGAATTGAATAATATGTGTTCAACCGAGTTTTCACACTCCCTAAAGAAGTTAATTCACTACGGTAGAATTTGAAAAGGCAAACAAGTTTTCCCATGTTCAAAATGTAATCGTCCTTTCACAATAAAATCTAATTCTCAATGTTTCATATCAATTGCCTTCATATCAATAGAAATACAATCACCAGGAATCACAATAATGCTGGTAATTAAATTTACTCTCTTTAATGAACTGCCCCACACTGTTTGTTTAAATGTATTGTGAATTCCTCGCTCGATTCAGTATTGTTGAACACCTTTTTGAGTAGTAGTTTGTTGGTTAGTTGGGGGCAAACTCAATCAACAACACCAACAAGCAACGGTCCCAACAATACATTTCTTCTTGTTTTGAGAAAAATAAAAAGGTGAATAAGGCTGCTGTTTAGCACTTTCGTAATCAACCTCTCTATAACACTCATCAGTAGGAATTGGGTATGAAAACAAATGGAACAACAAACAACCACTTATCAACAACATCACAATTCTCCGAATTTAATTCATGAAATTAGTAAGAAGAGGTACAACACTGGAGGCACTTCGAAAGTGTATGTACCATCCTTCTTTTCGGAGGAAGATTGCATAGTTGGTCTCCAAAACTATGACGCCTTTGATCAACAACCTTTACTCACACCAGACGAAGTTGTCATATCAACAAAGAATTTGATATTTGAGGTATATAATGGTGAAAATCACTTGTTGAGCTCTCTTAAGTACACTCTTCGAGTATGTACTGTGAATTGCAATTTGAACTTGTGGGTACAAGTGGAACTGGTGTGTGGAATGACCAATACTCCAATCGTTTGTGTAAAGAGTGAGAGAAAGGGAAAACGAGGTATTAAGGGAAGGTGTTGTCAAGATTTAGATGTTTCAAAGGTATGTTGTTTGGTTTCTATTTAAAGTAATGTTACTTTTCTTTTCATGTTTCTGCATGCATTAAATGATTGTTCATGTACACATCTGTCATGTATATGTGGACTTTACATAATAGCATGGCTACACAAAAGCTAAATTGGAATTCAGATTTAGAGAAACTAGTAGTGATCAAACAGTTGACAAATTCAGATTGAATGTAAATATCTTCAATGACTCTGCATTGTTACTAACTTTCAAATCTCCAAGGTTTAGAACTGTTGTTCGTTCACCTCAGAGGGGAAAAAACAAGTCTAACAAGGAAATAGTACATTTACCAAAGGAAGTGTCTCTAATCAACACAGAGATTGGAGAAGAGGAAGTTTTGGAAGATGAAAAGAAAAGGAAAAGAACTATTACATCTCCATCACAACAGCATAATGTTTCAAATAATAACATTGTAAATAATACAGCATTTCAATGGCATGATTTTAAAAGACATTACAAATGAAACATCATTCACCAACGCAAATAATCTGTTCTTTTTATTGAGCTTTGAAAATCCACAAAGAAGATTTTTTCAATACTTTTTTAAAAAATTAATAATAATAAAAAATGGTTTTGGATGAAGTCGTATTTTTGGGTAGGTGATTGCTGTGTGATGATATTAATTGTGTCATGATAATTGTTAAATGGGAAATTGGATCGGATTAATATTATTATTATTATTAAATAATAGGTGATAAGATACCCGTTGAAGTGTTGAGAATATTACCACTTCTTCCTCACATATCAAAGAGATCCCTCACTAGAGTGTTATCACTTGTTATTAAATTCCTAACTGGAGAATTATTGAAAGATAAACAAGAAGAATTAGCCATTCCACTTAATGGGCAATTAGAACGAGAATTAAAGTCTTCATGGGAAAAACAAAAGAAGAAATCTAAACATGTACAAGAACAAATTGATTATTCGATCAAGACTGGATTATTTTCAGTGATATTTACAGGTAATTTCCTATTATTTTAATATTTAAATTATTTAATATCCATTTCGAAACTATTACAAATTAATTAGGATTTTATATTATTCTTAGATCCATGATCAGACAAAGAATTAAAATAACATATTTGAAAGATCAATTGAAGGAAATGGATTTTGATGAAGATTTAATTAATTTATTTGTGGAAGCTTACGAAACAAAGAAGGAGCAATTTATGGCTCTCAGTACTGATAAAACTGGTTGGTTTAACCATATTGTGAATGTAAGGTGGAGAGTTGATGTCACTATCAGTAATTCAGTAATGAGTAAGGTTTTCAAACCATTGATTTTATTGCAATTTGAATTGTCCAATTCAAGAATTGTCACTATGGAAGTAACTTTGGAACAATTCCACAAATTACGTCTCTCAGTTGCCACCATTCTCAATGATATGCACAATATTGAAAGTCACCCAATTATGAAAATTAAAGAATAATTTTTCTCCAAATAAAACTTGTAAAGTATCCTAAATTTAACACATAAATATATTCAAAGATAACGAATAAAAAGAAAATAGATAACAATTGGCAGGTTGTAATCTGAAAAGATAAGGTGAATAGTAAAGAGAGGATCTTAAACTACTCGGAATTGTCTCTACGTTCCATCAAACACGTGTTTTTAACACTTCGGAATTTGAAAAAGAGGCTTGTTTTGCACCACCCAGCAAAAAACAACTTTAAAAAAATTCGAGAAACAACAAAAAACGAACGAGAATGAGAAAACATTCCGTGCTTTGTTTAACCCTAGTCTTGTTATTGTTGGGTACATTGTCTTTCCAACTCTTCCTGATGGGAGGAGTTCGTGCTGAAACATCATCAACAGAACCTACCGTAGAAAATACAAACACTGCTGGATCAACCTCCACAGTTACCGATGAATTGGAACAAATTTTGAACGCTCAATCCACACAACAAGAACAACATCAATTCCAAGCTGAAATTAATCAATTGCTTGGTATTCTTATTAACTCACTCTACTCTAACAAGGATATCTTCTTGAGAGAATTAATTTCTAATGCCTCCGATGCTCTTAACAAGATTAGATTCTTGAGTTTGACTGATAGTAGTGCTTTGAATGCCTATCCAGAACTTGAAATTAGAGTTTGGGCTGATACCACTAACAATATTTTGAAGATTAGAGATTCTGGTATTGGTATGACCAAGCAAGATTTGATTAATAACTTGGGTACCATTGCCAAGTCAGGAACCAAGGCTTTTATTGAAAAGATCCAAAAGGAAGCTCAAACTTCTGATTCTGCCTTGATTGGTCAATTCGGTGTTGGTTTCTACTCTGTCTTTTTGGTTGCTTCAAAGGTTGTTGTCACCACTAAAAACAATGATGACAAGCAATTGATCTGGACTAGTACTGCTGATAACACTTTCACTATTATTGAAGATCCAAGAGGTGATACTTTGAAGAGAGGTAGTGAAATTACCATCTACTTGAAGGATGATGCTAAGGATTACACTAGTGCCACCAAATTGAAGGAATTGATCAAGAAGTACAGCTCATTCATCCACTTCCCAATTTACTTGCACGAAGTTAGAACTGAAACTGAAGAAGTTCCAATTGAAGAAGAAGAAACAACAACTACTACTGAAACTACTACTGAAGAAACCACTACTCCAGAAACCACTGAAGAAGTTAAGGTTGAAGAAGAAAAGAAGACTGAAGAAACTCCAGCTGCTCCAAAGACCAAGAAGGTTGAAAAGACTGTTGAAGAATGGAATATTATGAATGAAAATAAGCCACTCTGGTTGAGATCACCATCTAACATTACCGAAGAAGAATATATTCAATTCTATAGAGCAATGACTGCTGCTACTGAAGATCCAATGATGTGGGATTTGTTCTCTGCTGAAGGTCAAGTTGAATTCAAGTCACTCTTGTATGTTCCAGCTAAGGCTCCATACAACATGTTTGATTTCACTCAAAAGACTAACAATATCAAGTTGTACGTCAAGAGAGTTTTCATTACTGATCAAGGTGAAGATTTATTGCCAAGATATTTGAATTTCATTAAGGGTTTGGTTGATTCTGAAGATTTACCACTCAATGTTTCCAGAGAAACTCTTCAACATAGCAAGTTGTTGGCCATGATCAAGAAGAAGTTGTTGGCTAAGGCTATTCAAATCTTGCACGAATTGTCTGAACAAGATAAGGCTGAAAGAAAGGAAAGAGAAGAAAAGAAGGAAGAATCTAAGGAAGGTGAAGAAAAGAAGGAAGAAGTCAAGTTGACCAAGTATGAAAAGTTCTGGAAGGAATTCGGAAAGAACATCAAGTTAGGTGTTATTGAAGATGAAAAGCAACGTAAAAAGCTTGTCTCCATGTTGCGTTTCACTACTTCAAAGACCAATGAATCAATTAGTTTGGACGAATATGTTGCTAGAAAGAAGGAAAAGCAAGAACAAATTTACTTTATTTCTGGTATGGATATGAAGGAAGTTGAATCCTCTCCACACATGGAAGAATTCAAGACTAGAGATTTGGAAGTTATTTACATGATTGATCCATTGGATGAATACATGACTCAACAAGTTACTGAATATCAAGGCATGAAGATTCAAAGTATTGCTAAGGAAGATGTCAAGTTCCCAGATGAAGATCTCGAAAAGAAGAAGAAGGATTTGGAATCCTTGACTAAGGAATTTGAAACTTTGACTTCTATTGCTCAAATGCTCTTGAAGGAAAAGGTTTCAAAGGTTACCATTTCTAATAGACTCTCCTCTGCACCAGCCGTTTTGGTTTCTTCCTCATTCGGTGTCTCTGCTAACATGGCCAGAATTATGAAGGCTCAAGCTTTGGGACAAGAACAAGGTGGTATGGATTGGATGATGAAGTTGAGAACCTTGGAACTCAATGCTAATCACCCAATCATTCAAAACATGAATGATCTCTTGAAGAATAATGTTAACGATGACTCATTGACTAACTCTATTAACCTTGTCTATGACACTGCTTCTCTCTTGTCTGGTTATGACATTGAAGAAAAGAACAAGTTTGCTACTCGTATTATTGCTAGTGTAAATTCCCAACTTGCCTATAAGAATAATCTTGCCAAGGAAAATAAGAAGGTTGAAGAAGTTAAGACTGAAGAAGTCAAGCCTGAACCAGTTGAAAAGGATGAACTTTAATAAATCTGTAATTTCAGTCATTCAATTTGTTTTGATTTGTTCGTGGGGAAAATTTCATATGAACGTTACAATATTTTCTAGTTAACAAAAATAATAAATAAATAATTTATTGGACAGTGTTTGAGAATAGGAAAATTTGAGGAATTGAAATATCATTAACATGACATCCATAAGCTGTTCAAATGAATTATAAAAAGAATGATTAATATTATTATTTGGAAAAGAAAATACTTACTAGACAAAAACTCAAATCTTACCAACTTGACAGCCACGTTGAAATTCTTATTAAATTCAAAAATGAGAGAAGCACCTGGTTCTACCTTTGGTACAGTAATTTTCTCAACAATTACTTGTGAGGCAACATCAAGACTCTTTTCATTTTCACCATATAAAAAGCTAACTCTGATATGTTTGACTTGTGAGTGAATAGTGTCTTGTGTATGAGTGAGGTTAATTCTAAAGCCAGACACTACGGTTCCAACTTCTGCCAACGATACATCAATGCAATTGCTCTCCTTAACATATTTAGATTCAGTCTTGAGTTGAACTCTTTGAATGGTTGGTTTGGCACGAAGTATTTCGTCCAAATATTGCTGCTCCTTAGGAGCAAGTGTCTCTAAGGCATCATTACCATGATGAGAAGAGGAATCATCATTAACCTTTCCATAGAGTAAAATTCTTCCAATGTGCAAAATACGAGGTGAAGTGTTAGATGGATCTCTTTCTGGTAATTTTACAGTAAGTCTTACCAATCTACACAAGTCAGTATTGTTGGATGTTCCCTCTCCATTGAAAGAGAATTCTAACATTTCATTTGCTTTAGATGCTTCCAAAGTCCATTTAGTGATGTTTTTAAACGTTGGTAACCTCTCACCGATGGCAATATCAAATATTGGAGCATCATCCTGTGTGTAACCTAATTGGTCAACCAAAAGAACCATCTTGGATAATTTAGCATATGATTGTAAAAGAATAATGATGGTAACTGTATCAATACCAGGAGGGGCATACCAATATTCCAAAGGTAAAATGTCAGGTGGGAAGAGAATTGATTCTATTGGTGGTGAATTGGCAGCTGTGTCTACAGAACTTAAAATACCACTACTTGGAAATTCTGAACATAGGGTTTCCTTCTCGTGTTTTTTCATCATTTTTCTTGATTGGGAAATTGGTGGATAGAGCTCAGTAAAAAGTCTAGTAATATTCTTGGTTGCAAGCTTGGATTTTCCAGATTCTATTGTGATATGTTCTTGAATTTCAGAAATCATTTCCTTTTGCTTGGCAATTGTTGATGAGCATTCAATACATACTGATGAAGGATTCTTCCAGTTGAATTCAATAATTTCACACTTTGACTTGGACATGCAGTTTTTACAGAATGAGTGTCTACAGTAGCGGCATGAAGATTTTCTCAGCTTGATGCTGGTCTTACACATGGAACAGGTGGAGGTTTCCATAGATTTTCTAATAGATTTCTCTACTTTGGAATCTCTGGTATATATATATTGATTTGGATCGAACTTGTCAATCTTATAGTTATTCTCTACCAAAAGATTATCTCTTTCGTGAGGACTGATATAGAGCTTCAATCTAGCAAGTTCCAACTCTAAAGAGTCTGTAAAATTCATCTCTGAGGTTGTAGTAGGAACCTTGGTTTGTACAAACTTGTAGTACTTTTCAAGGGATCTCGACTTGTCATTTCTGAGAGCTCTCAAAGTTTCATCCTGGTTGTTAATCATTTCTATCAGTTTATCTTTGACATCAAGTTTGATAGCAGTAGTGTTTGATTTGGAGGTTTGAAGGAAGTTTTCCAAACTTTCAGTACCACTTTCTCTGCTCTTCTCAAAATAGTCATCAAATATAGAATCCAAAGCATTGGCATTAATCTTGGCTTGGCTTGTTACATCTTCGATGAGAATGGCATTTTGTGGATTGTCAGTGGCAACAATGCTAGTAGGTACACTACTACTACTTGTGGAGCTAATAGCGGTATTGCTTCCTTCTTCTTCTTGGTCCTGTGTGAATTCAACTGCTGTACCATCCTTAATAATGTCACTGAAGGAGGATTCATTACGTTCGACCTCTTCTTCCCTCTCAACTTGTTTTTCCAATACCTTGATTTCCTCAGCTTTTCTTCTAGAAACTTCAACTTGTTGTTTTTCAAGATTATCCAGAACTTGTTCTACTTCGTTTTGAGAGGATGCCTTTAAAAGTTCCAAATAAAACTCCTTAGGTGATTGAGATGGATTGAGAAGTGTGTCAACTGAACCAAATACTTGAATCTGACCCATGGTCATGCAACTACAAGGAGGGATGCCATAGAATATTATTCTTACAACTCTCATCTTTGAACTTGCATCACTTCCCTCAAAATCGTAGAGTGATGAGTTTTCAGGAATTCCTGAAATTTGAGGAGGTAAAGTATAAATCAGTTTAGTTCCATCTTCACAACGTGGAATGTTAAGCTCTTGGAAACCAACAAGGCAATCATCAAGGTGAGTACCAACAAATACATCCATCTTGGAAGGAGAAGTTGAATCATTGAGACCGTGTCTAATAGTGAGAGCAAGCTCTGTCACTCTACAATAGAATGGCAAGTAAATTTGAACTTCAATAAAATCAAAATCTCTTGGACAAATCCAATGATGAGAAAATCCACTTCTTATCAAAGCTCTCTCTTCTGTTGTCTTGTATGGAATTTCTTTTGGAACTGATTTAAAGATAAATGTTGGATAGTGACTCACATATCTCAATTCTCCATACTTGGTATTGACAATATGTGATGGAAAGTATCTGGACAAGTTCAAACCCAAAAACATTTCGTATTGTTGTTGACGAATTTTGTCCTTGAGAACATTTTGAATTCTTCTCTCCACAATGAGCTTGGTATTGTTAGGAGCAGCTCCTAAGTGTTGAGCAAACTCACGCATTGGTGAAGTATGCATTGCAACCGTATTAGTATAAAGAGTGGCACATACATCTCCAACATTTACATAAATTTCTGCCAATTTGAGAAGGAGAGTAGAGTCAAACTCATCCTTTACCTGTTGAAGAGTATAGTCCAAACTCTTCCAACTCTCAGAAAAGTCACCTGATGGATCACAAAGCGAAACACCAAGTTGACGACACTGTTCTGCCAAAACTTGAATGGAATTGAAAAAACAAATGAGATTGGTTCTATCGAGAGAGTCTGCACAATTCACTCTTACAATACCACTTTGTTTTTTCCACAGCTTCATATCTACAACAGTTCCATGAGATGAAACTCTCATTATACCAGTTGTTACACCAGCACCTCTTAACTTTGGAGAAACGAGGGTCCACAACTTTTTTACAGCTTTCTCAGTACCATCGGTTTTATGAAGAGTGTGCCAATCAAATTCTAACATTTCCAATTGATCTATGGCCATCAACTTTTTAACAACCTTTAAGGATTCTCTAAAATGATGAGTCAAATTTCCTTCTTCTGGGTGAATTTCTTTTGAACGAAGTAAATTAATAATAGTGATAGGTTGATTATTGTACCTATCAACAATTCTCTTATAGTATACATCAATGTTTTCATAGGGTTTGTCAGAAATGATAATACTTGCATCTTGTACTGCATTATTGAGTTCACTTCTCCAGTGGATAGGAACAGTGCCTCTTCTCCAAACAAAAGTACTAAACATTATGTTTCCATTATATGATCTCCATAAAATTTGTTCTGATTCATATTCATTACCAGGACTTGACTTGTCATTCAATCCTCTTGCATTGTATCTTGTTCCTGGATTGAGGCAACTCTTTCTACAAATAATTGCCAAATTCACATTACCGATAGATTCAGTAGAATTGACCTCCTCGGCAGAATCTAATAGTTCATTAAAATTGAGAAGGGCTTCTCTTCCTCTTTTTAAAATATATTCATCCTTCTCTTTACATTTGACAGGTCCTGATGATCTAGCAACACCTTGGAGTAAAACACAACACCAACTTCTCATTCTAATTTTTCTAAAACTCTCCGTCAAGTGAATATTCCAACAAAATTCTTCCGTATAATCTTGGGGAGAATGGGTTGATGGGAATGGTCTTGTCAGGTCATATGTTTCACAATAGAAATGTAGGCCTTTCAATTGGAACTCTGTCATTAATTCACAATTTTTAACCTCTGCTTTAGTGATACGATGAGGATAGGTGAGTGGAATTGTTATTGTCTCAGTTTCTCTTATTGTATAAACATGATGATTAGGTGGAAGTACCAAATCCAAACTAACTTTTGTACAAATAAATAAATAGCCACAAGATCCAATTACTGTATAACCAATGATTGAGTGACATTTTCTATATAGTCAATGTAATGATGATGCTTGCATTCTATTTAAACTACCTACGTTACATTCTTTATATTCTTCTTATCTTTGGACAGAAATTTGAGAGCATCTTGAGGAGAATAGAAAAGATCTACACCCGGATGACCTGTATACAACAATTGTCCAGTATACTTTTCGATAGTTATTATTTGTGTGTCTCTTCTTCTTGAAAGAGAGCTAATAATATGAAATCCACCATTATCTGTCTCTACAATTAAATGTTGTGTCTCTCTCATGACTCGTCCAATTATTGCACAATCCGATCGTTTTCTGATGTTGTGTCGACGAGTGAGTAGTACGACAAGTGTTGCGATGTTGAAGAAGAGAAAGGGAGGATTTTTTTCTAATTTTTCTAAAAATTCTAAATTTTGTTGGTTTCTCTCGCTCGTCTGTCTCAATGGTTCAGTTTGATCTGAAGAATAAATCAATCATGAGATCTTCATATTCAAATAAATCTAATTTGCATCGTTATTTAAAAATCTAATAAAATTAAATCGAATAAACAATGAAAATTAAGTTTGAAAAAAATGAGTGAAGAAGAACAACACAACAACATGGCAGAACACAACGAAGAAGATACCACCCCACAACAACAACAACAAGGCGAAAATGCGGAGGAGGACAATGAAGAGGATTGGGAAAGTATTGATGGTTCCGATCATTATGATGACGATGTATCAATAGAGGAGGATGAAACTGAGGAGGAAAAACAAGAGGAAAATTCTTCGGAAGGGTTAGATACTAAAACTTATTCAACTGATTTGGGTTGTTCACACTATCCTCATAATTGTATGATTCAATCACCATGCTGTAAGGAGTTTTATTGGTGTAGATTGTGCCATGATGCAGAGGCATTCCAGAAATGTAAATGTAAAGTTGAACAAATGGATAGATATTCTGTGGAAAGAATTAAATGTATGAGATGTCAGTTGGAACAGTCAAGTGATAATGTAATTTGTGAAAATCCAAATTGTAATACCCAATTTGGAGAATTTTATTCTTGCACAATTTGTCACATTTATAGTAACGATAAAAATCGTTCAATTTATCATTGTGAGGTATGTCAATAATTTATTTTATCAATTTAATGACTCTGTGTGAATTATTATTATTATTAGGGTTGCAAAATTTGTAGAATTGGAAAGAGAGAGCAATTTATTCATTGTTACACTTGTGGAGCTTGTATGGCTCCAAGTCACAAATGTATTCCAAATTCAATGCATTCGAATTGTCCTGTTTGTTTGGAAAATCTCTTTTCTTCAACGAGTAGTGTTCACTTATTAAAGTGTGGTCATCCAATGCACTCTAGTTGCTTCAAATCCATGCTTAAAAACCGAGTTTACAATTGTCCACTATGCCAAAAATACATGGTTGATATTGATACTGAATTAATGGATAGAGAAATTCAAAACTCTCCCATGCCACAAGAATTTAGAAAGAAGGTTAATATACTTTGTAATGAATGCTTGAATAAGGGTGAAGCTGATTTCCATGTCTTTGGAATGAAATGTTCAAACTGTGCCAGCTATAATACTAAACAAATCATATAATTTTTAATCTTTATGAATAAAATACTTGCAAGAGTTTGATTTATTGCTTAAATACGACTCGTTAAAAGGCTGTTAAAAAAATGGCGCCTTAATTTTAAATTCAAAAAAATGAACACAAGCAACCATTCAACGGCAAATACAGCGAGGGAGCTTAATGAGAGGATTAACAACTTGAAATCCATGGTTAATAATATTCAGGCCTCTCCTTCATCAGCTAGTTTCACCATGAATTCTTCACTCTCCAATCTTTCTCCACCAATGAAAGGAAGATCTCCACACTTTGGATATTCCGATGTGAATCAAAAATCTGGTGTGATGGACAAAAACAATTGGTATTCAAATACTTATGAGGAAGATGAAGCCAAGTTAATAAGAGAAAGTAATCAAAGAATGTCTGTAAAGATATCCCAACTCCAAGATAATGTTGGAAATTATGCTGTCAAGCTTCAGTATTCTAATGACCAAGTGAGAGATTTGGAGCACAAGTTAAGAGTGAGTAGAAATGAATTGGATCAAGAATGCGAAAGAAGGAGAGTGAAAGAAAGAGAACTTCTTGAGGAAATTAGAAATCTTCAGCATCAACTAGAGGAAGTTCAATCCCAACTAGATTTGAGTGAACATAGAGAGAAGAATCTTATTGAAAGTAAAGGAGTATTGGAATCAATGAATAAGGATTTGGAAAAATCTAACAAGGAAAAGACACAATCAATCATAGATATCAACAAAGAGTTGGGCCAAAAGAAGAATCAATGTGAGGAATATCTCAATGAGATTCATGAAGTAAAAATGGCTATGGCTAATATTCAAGATCAATTACAGGATGAAAAGAAAAATACCCAAAGAATTATTGAACAACACCAAGATGTACTTCGTGAAATGCAAGAGAGACACGACGAAAAGGTAGGAAAGCTTGCACGACATATTGAAAAAGAAAAGAATAGACACGATCAAATACTTACCCATTTTAAAAAACAAATTGCAGCTCTTGAGGAAACCATCGCTCAATTTGATGATTTGCAACAAAAGAACCTTGCTATTCAAACTCAATTACAAAATTCAACTCAAAGAGAAAAATTCTACAAATCAAAAATTGACTCTCTCCAAGAAACCCTATCTGAACAAAAAACTCAAAATGTCTTGATTCAACAAAGTGTCAATCATCTCAGTAAGGAAAAGGAGGACCTTTTAATAGTTGAGCAGAGATTAAAGGTTGAATTACTACAAAGCCAACAAAAGATGGAATCTAGGATTGAAAAACTTACAAAGGATTTACAAAAGGCAGAAAAAACAGTACAAAAAGAAACTCAAAAAGCTCAGGCATCCTCTCAACAAATTCTTGGCATGGAAAAGAAGATTACTCAACTCGAAAATGAAAAGGCGATACTCGAAACTGAAGTGGAAAAGGAAATTTTCAAAAAACAAGAGGAAATCAATCTCTCCAGAAGGGAAGCAGAGAAACAAGATCGTGAAAAACAATACCAAATAGAAAGACTTGGCAGGGATCTAGCAGAAAAACAATCAGTTATTGACCGATTCTCTGAAGCTCTTAGAAAGAAGGAAGCAGAATGTGAGCAGCTTGGATTTACCATTAAGAATGAGATTGCAAACAAGAAATCAAAAGAATCAGAGAGTGAAGAACGTGAGGAAGTGATTTTCAAGAAGGTTGCAGAAATTCAAGGCAAGCTTAGTTTTGTTGAAGGAGAGAATGATTTACTAAAGGAGAAAATCAAACAATTAACTAATGTAGAAGAAGTGAACAATAGCATTGCCAAAGAAAATGAAATCTTATTGGAATGTTTGAACTCTTTGAAGATTGACAATCAAAATCTGAAAGATACTGTGGATTTTTACAGACAAAAACAAATGTCAAGCTCAAGAAGAGACCATGAAATGGAGGAATCCCTGCAATACTATCAAGAAGGTGTCGAGAATTCGCAACTTCAAGACAGTCTTTTATTTGAGGAAAAGCAAGCAGAACCTGAAGATCTTGGAAGTGATGTTGAGCTTGACAGTGATGACCAAGATTCTCACCATGTAAATATTTCAAATATGAACCACCATTATCAAAGATATCACCAAGTGGAGGAGGAAAACTACGATGAAGATGAAGATGATGAAAAAATTGAGGAACTAATCAGACCTTACCTCTCCTCATCGAATAACAATTTCATTACAACTTCACCAAGAAGTAAAAAGACACCACTAAGAAATGAGGAATTTGAAGAAATGTAAATATGCGTCCTCAATTAATAACTACTCTAATATGGCCGCCAAAACATTGTCCTTAGGGCTTTAATAAACTGAACCAAAGTTTACAAAGAAGCACAACTCTTCTCCGCAAGATCCTTTTGTGTCTGGTAAAAAACAAAACAACAAAAAAAATCTCATCTTTTACCACTCCTTTTATAATCACATCATGGTAAATCATCGTTCTCTCTTTTTAACTCTCTCCCACAGTGTTGGAACATTAAAATCATCACTTGATGTTCTCTCCCGAAACAAAGTCAATTTAACAAAAATTGAATCCAAGTAGGTTTTAAAGAATCAACTGTAAATTTAATTTATCTGCAAATCAGACCTGTACGTCACTCTAAAGAAGTGTTTAACTTTGTTGTTGATGTTGATGAAGACGTTTCCAATGAACAACTCGACAAGGCCATCACTGAATTAAAACAATCTAAATATTGCAATGAAGTTAAATTGTTGGGAGGAAAATCAATTCCTTGGTTTCCAAGAAAATTATCGGATATTGACTACTTTTCATCTGAGACTTTGGAAGCTGGTGCAGAGTTGGAATCTGATCATGTAAGTTTTGTTAATATTTTCATTGTTTCGAAAGGTTTCTATTTCAGCCTGGATTTACCGATTCCGAATATCGTAACAGAAGAAAACACATTGCAGAAATTGCCAAGACTTATAAAATCAATGAACCAATCCCAAAAGTTGCCTACGCAAAATCAGAAATTGATACCTGGCGTATTATTTATAATGAATTAACAGCACTTTATCCAACCTATGCTTGTGAACAATATAATTACATTTTCCCACTCCTTATGCAAAATTGTGGCTACTCTGAAAATAACATTCCCCAATTGGAAGATGTTTCCCAATTTTTACAGGGTGTTACTGGTTTCCGTTTGAGACCAGTGAGTGGTTTGTTAAGGTAAGAGGTTTCGTATCTATTTTTTTACTCATTCCATGATTGTAAAGTGCAAGAGATTTCTTGAATGGACTTGCTTTTAGAGTTTTTCACAGTACTCAATATATTCGTCATCACTCTGTTCCCTTCTATACTCCAGGTAGGTTAGATTTTTCATTTTCAATTTGGATTAATATTCTATTGTACTTTCATTAATCTATCACAAATGATTAATACCTTAACCAATGATTTTATGAAATACTATAGAACCTGATCTTGTACATGAATTATTAGGTCACGCCCCATTATTTGCTGATTCTGATTTTGCTGATTTCAGTCAACAAATTGGTTTGGCATCTCTGGGAGCTAGTGATGAAGATATTGAAAAACTTGTCAGACTCTATTGGTATACAGTTGAATTTGGAGTTTGTGTGCAAAACGATAAAGATGGTATTCCTAGAAATAAGGCTTATGGAGCTGGATTGTTAAGCTCTTTTGGAGAATTGAAATATAGTATTGATGGAATTGATGTAAAAACTGGAAACAAACCAGAATATAGACCATTTGATCCAGAAGTTGCCTGTAATCATGTCTATCCAATTACAACCTATCAACCTGTCTATTATGTTGCCAACAGTTTTGATGCCATGAAAGACCAAATGAGAAAATTTGCTTCCACAAAACTGAATCGACCATTCGCTTTACGATATAATCCTTTTACACTTTCAGTAGACGTTTTAGATAGTGAAGATAAGCTACTCACACTAACAGGAACAATTCAATCCAATATTGATAATTTGAAATATGCTTTGGAAAAAATTAGACAAAATAAGGGTTTAAGTTTTGAATATAATGAAAACAAGTAAATAATGTGATAGATTCCTACAGAGTAATGGAAACAATTACCATACGAGTTCGAACATGAATAATAATAAACCTTGTGTTGTATTTATTTGCACATGAGAGCTGCAACAACATTTGGCGCCATTTTTGTCTACAAGTTCAAAAAAAATACCCAAAGCAGGAGGATTTATTGTTTGGAATCATCATCGCACGATCATTAAACAAATCATTAGAAAAATACAAGGATGGATGTACCATTGAATGAGAGACCTCCAACAATTGGTCAAACAATGGTGAGGCAACGTCCAATGACTTCGGGGCCAATAGCAAGTGGTTCATTAGCTAGTGGATCACTAAGGCCTACTACCAGCTATGAACGACCTAGAACAGCTAGTGTAGTTGTGCAGAGACAAACCCAATCATCACAATCTAGTGGACCAATGGCCCAAGTTCAAGTCGGAAGTCACATACAAAATGTAATTAACAATCCTAATGCTACAAGATATCAGCAACCTGGTATGGGAGGAGTTTTAAACCAATTCGGAAGTGGATTATGTGGAATGTGTACTTCGGTGGGAGGATGTTTTAATGGAATTGCAGGTTCAGTATTTGGAAACTTTTCAAATATTACATCAGGAATTTCGTCCTATCTTCCAAACTTCTCTATGATTCAATTCAGATTGCTCAATCTGTTATCTCCAAGTTATAGCTCTGATGCAACCAATCCTTTTGAAAAATACAATGACCTTCTGATACTGAAGAGTAACACATCAACTGTGCAGTACTATTCTAGAGATTCTTTTGAAAATTTGAAAATCAAAGTCACAATCAAGAGAACCAACATGGTTATTGGAAAGAAAAGCTTCAAGGAACGAAAGGAACAAAGAGATAGTGCTGCAGAACCCTACGATGATGATGAAGAGGAGACGGAATATAAGACCTTTGTGACAGTTCTGCAATGGCAACAAAAAGTGTTTGGTCCAAGAGAAATAGTTCTCTACAATAAGACTCAAACTCCAACAACAACATTGGAAGGATTCTATAAGGAGGAAGTATCACATTTAGTGGAATCACTGAATACTGAGCGACCTCCAATTGAGTTATTTCCCTACATTCAGGATGATATGGAAAATTGTGTCGTTGAGGAAATGTTTGGTAATTCAAAGAAACAACCTGAGAATGAAGTAAAAGAAGCGGAACAAATAGAAGAGGAAGAAGGTCAAGAAAAACCGAAAAAACAAAGAAAACCACGGAAGAAGTTTGGATCTGAGGGATTTTCTGACCTTCTTCAACACAAACTATTCACTTATGTAGAAATTGATGACTTTGAAACTGATAATGTCCATCAGTCAATAGCTTGCTCTTCTGAAACTCCATACCCAATATTTAAAAATGCAAAAAAACCACTAAGCTCAAAATCCCAAACAATGTACATAATGACAAGTGTGGGAGATATGCAGAATGGTGCATGGAAAGGAAAGGAATATCCAATATGTATAATTCAATCATTACCAGATGGGAGTTTCTTAATGAAACCAGGATTTTCTGTGAAACCATTAGAGAATCAAAAAGAGGAACCAACCAGCGATTTTTTGAAACGATATCAAAATGAAATTGGTGATATTGATCTCTTGTTAAAACCAAAGGAAAATAGATACATTTTCAGAACTGACGATGGAGCTGTATATGAATATACCATTTCACTCTACAATGATTACAAAAAGGATACAAAGGTAGATGAGATGAGAAAGAAAATTCTTAAACAGCTTCAAGAAAGATCACTTCTCATGAAAAGAAATTTAGTAGGTATGGAATTTAATCACCCACCTAAAGATAAGAGAATACGTGTTTCAATTTCAGGAAATATTCTTTCAGGGCGAGATTTCGACTCTGAAAAGTACTATATTCGATACTATCTTGATATGCCTTCTAATTTTGTTTTTGAAGATCCAATGTCACAGAAACTAATTACCTCCACACAGATGGGAACTGCTGTAGAAATCACCAAAGAATACGAGAGTTATTATGAAGCCAACTTTTCCTTCCCTTTCAATTTTAATTGCCTATGTAGTAATATAACACCAATGCCTAAATTATTCTTCCAGGTCACCTCAAAAGACTTTTGGGATAGATATCGAGTTGAGGGATATGGCTTCATTGCTCTTCCATCAACTCCTGGCTATCACAATTATACTGTAAATACGTGGAAACCAACCGGTTCAATTCGAAATAATCTCAGAAGCTCATTTGTTGGAGGTTCAACAGAGTTGAGAGATTTATCATATACTGCAATTCCTAATGGGTTTGAACAGCACTTTCTTAACAAGTTTGGTTTTGCTACAGACCCGAGTGGCTCTATTTCTGTATGCTTGAATGTCATTTACCATGGAGATGTCAATTAATTCATTTGATAATACAATAAAGTACCATCACCATCTACAAATGTAATGACAATAGAATCAATTTCTGAATTTTCCTTCTTGATTTCTTTCACAATTGAATGATATTGATGAAAAGATAATTTCATATGAATAGGTATTGGAACAAATGAAAAGCTCTTCATTTCGCACTTGATTTCATCCAAAGAGTGAATTTGTGAAAAATCAACATCTGTAATTTTCATATTTTCATCTATGTTTGTAGTGATGGGCAGAGTCATTCTGCATACCATGTAATTTAATGAACAAATATCCATCATAATTTGAATATTACACTGTTTGATACCAATCACTTCATTAAAATCATGTTTCGGTAACTTTTTGTTATAAACAATATCCAAATAAATTAAATATAAATTATAATCCTCCACGTGGTATTCTTTTGAAAATACGTCATAGCTTTTCGGCAATTGTTCTTCCATATCAAGTTTTTTTAATCCAATTTTAATTTATTTCTTATCAATTTTTAATCCTCTCAATTTTTAATGTTTTCTTTATGAAATTGTTCCTTTAAAATGATATGAAATAAAAACTATGAATTGAAAGAAAGAAACAATTTTTTTGAATTGGTTTTGTTTTTTTTAAAAAATGAATAATAACAATCATCCACCAACACCCACAACTCCGAATCATCACCACCAACATTCCAATGTTTCCACTCCACAATCGTCCATTTCATCTAATTCTACATCCTCTGTAGCCTATTCTTCAACTCTTGATCAACAATATGAACAACAATCAAAACGATTTTTTCATCATTTTATATCAACGACTGGTACACAGGGTAGTATGAGTCACAATTCTTCATCTTCATCAATAACGTCAACATCGTCAACACAACTCAATTTAGGTGTTAATAATAATAATATTGAAAATAATTCCGAGTATGGAAATATTTACTTGTATTTTCACTACATGTCTCAATTGGATTTTTCTCAAGCCAACCATTTGATTAAAAATTCAACAAATCAAAATTCCCAAATTGTCAATCGGAATTCAAAGTATAAACAAATAGAGGATGAAATTATTGGATGCCTGAGGAGATTTATTCAATGCGAGACTTTATATTATGATGCTAATTATTCACCAAATGAAAAACAAGATTTGCATTCCCTTTATTCACTTTTATCGAGTAATTTGTCTCTAATTTCTATGAATGCTCCGTATGAATTTACCAATAATAACAATAATAATGTGGACAGTTCAATTTACAATAATCATGACCATCAATCGAGTGACCATTTACTCATGATGATGATGATGATGGACCAAAATAATAATTCACCATCAATGAATAGTAATCCGAGTGCAAATATTGATTATATTTATTACAAACAAGTACTTCAACCAACAAATGGTGTTCAAAAATATAATTTGAATCTGATTGATAAGGAATTTATATTGAGCAAACAATTGATTAAGGACTTTAGAGTACTTATTCAATTGAGATTGGAAATTATTGCATTTTATAGAATTCTCTCCAGATACAAACATCCACCAAAATATGATAACTATGTCAGAATTATCAATAGTTTGAAATCTAAATATATCAATAGAATTAATCATACATTTTTCGAGAAAATTGTCCAAAGTATTAACATGGAATTGAATACCTTGACATCTCTATTCGAATGTGAATACAATATTTGTAATTACAAATATAAGGAATCTGTTTTTACACTATGGAGGACTAAAAGTCTATTCAAACAATGGAATCAGCTATTTATTGCACGACAACCATCTTCCAATACTCTCAACCCACAATCCAATATTAATACACCCCAGAGCTCGAATATTTCAATACCTGCAAGTAGTAATACTATTACCACAAGTAGTACATTAAGTCGATCATTGAGTGAAGACAATTTGCTAGTTCATCACCAAAATGACCAACAACAGCAACACCAGCAACAACAACATTTACAAATTAACAATGAAAAATTTCACTCCTCTTCAACTGGCAATATTTCCTCCAATCAACTCAATTCCTCTTCCCAAAATTTATTATCAAATAATGGAATTAATTTGAACAATAATATGAACCATACAAATGGCCAAACTATGAATAATTTAAGCAGGACAAATTTATACAAATGGATGACCATGATTTTTGGATTCAGTCAATCAAAGTTCACTCTAATTTTCCATGATATCGTCAATAATCAATCTAGTCAAATGACTTCAAACCAAAATAACCAATCTATGGCTTCAAACATGTCGCCAACACTTGCAGTGGACTATATCCAATGGATAAAATCATTTAATGAAATTATCAAACCTGAAACAGTTTGTTTGATTTACAATGCATCCCATGACAATTTAGATACATCACCTATATTAGAAACTGACCCAGAGAAGGGATACATGTTAAGGTTGAGAAATTTAGAGAATCCGGATGATATTACTCTAAGTGGTATCAAACTCTACCCATGCATCTTTCACTATCCTCAAACACAAGATGAAAACAAAATCTCAAAGCAAACTCTTATGTACACCTATTGGCCAAACATACTCTCCCTCATTATGGAAAATAGTGCTGACTTGGAAGTTTCAGAAGAGGCCTTCTACTTTTCAGATCCAAAAACCCTGACCACCTACTACTTGTGTCAAGTGACACCAAAATTATATCTTTCCACTATTATTGTCAAGTCCAACTCCAAGGATCATCAAATTGCTCTGAAATTCATGTCACAAATGAATTCATTCATCAGAAATCGCAAAGTTTTCAATTATTTGACAACTATTATTCCTAGAAGTGAGCAATCATCTCCATCCAGTGTTATCAAATCGAAAGAAGGTGCCAATCCAAAGGAAACTCATTCCAATAACAAAAAGTCAACCTTCTCGCTCTTTAAAAAGAAATAAAAATTAATTCTAAATTAATAATTTATTTACAATAATTTATCTAGCTTCAAATTGGATCTCTAATTTTGTTATAATTTCCATAAAATTCCACAATAAAATTCATTACATTTAGAAATAGTTTTAAATCAATCCAAACAACGTTATTTTTCAACAAAACAATAACAATCAAATTAGTCATCATACAAAACACAAATAACACTTACTTCTCGTCGTTCTTTGTTTGTACATGATACGATAACCACAATTCTTACAACGGATAGCATCACCTTGTTTAATAGTGTTCAAAACAGCACAATGTCCGCAAATATAAACAACAGCTACAGTTTTTTCACGCTTAGCAGTAGTACTAGATGGTTGATTCAAAGATGGCAAGCTTTCTTGCAATTGTTGTTGGTGAGATGAAGGTTGGAAAGGATTAGATGTGGCATTAGGAGACATTGGTACACCACCTGGTGTATATGATGATGGTGATACATAGTGTGGCGAAGCATAGGTAGCACCTGGTGATTGTGCTGTTGGAGAGTAATAATTGTTTCCGTCCATTTTTTCTAACTTCAAAAATATTTAACGTCTTTGATGATAATTTATAATTATTATTACTCTTGCAATGATGGTAATTTATTTCACTTTCTTCACCCACATACTGGATTACGTTTCTTATTAATTTTAATTTAAAACTGTGTTGGCCCTGTTACTAGTATAACATTGCCATCACATTACCCCACATAACAACTTCTTTGGAAAGAATAATTCCCGCTTTAATTGTCTGTTAAAAACAAAAAAAATGTTCGAAGACTATGAGCCAATAGATCCAATGTTGGAACCTATTGAACCAGCCTCTCCAATATTTGCGTCACCAATAGCAAAAACCATCATTGATGATCCCTCTTCACCAATATTATTCGGTAATAGTGGTGATGATTCTGATAATGAAGAAATTAAACAAACTCTTGAGAAGTTGGACTATTATTCATCATCAGCCTCATCATCACAGGGTAGCAATACCCAATCATCATCATCATCACATGGATCTTCTGATGATTTATGTGAAAGCTTCTGCTACCGTTCAAGAACAAATAAGAGAACAGTAGCTAGGAGAAGAAGATCCATCAGAAAGGAATCATCCCAAGTCTTGGAGGAATCTGTAATGCTAAAGGATAATGATTTGGATATTATCTATAGCAGTAGTAGTCAGGATATGGATGAAACCCCTTGTGGCTTATTCACTGGTTTTTACATCATTGCTCCTGATTTTACACCAGAAGAAAGGGAGCAATATTCTAAACTTGTCAAGGATAATGGTGGCAAGATGGCAAGTATTAAAAAAGACTTTGCTTGGTACTCTGAGGGATTGAATGAATTGGCGAATGACAAGCTGGTTCTCATTTCTGATAGCCCAAAACCAAGACCAAGTTATTTGGCAGCTCTCATGTTAAATATTCCACTTTTAAAAAAGGAGTGGATTATTGACAGCTTGAATCAAAAATCGATAATTACAACAGATGTGGATAAGTACTTGCTAGCTAGAGGATCTTTTACAACAACTGATGGTATATTTAGAGAGGAAGCTCAACTATTCAATCCAACATTCCAAATGTTACCAAAAGAGAAACGACCACTCTATGGCGTTTCTGTAAAGATTAATTGTAGTGATGTGAAATTTATCGATTCGTGGAAGAAGGTTCTCGAGTCGGGTGGTGCCACTGTTGGTGACATTGCCACCTACTCTTCAAAACATGGACAAGGCAGTAGGAATTTTGTTCTTGTGAGGGATACATCAGAAATTAGCAAACAACGTTTAGATTACTTTAATATTAAGAAGGTCCCAATTCTGAATAAGGACTCTGTCATTCAAATGATCATATCATCAGAGTATAACTTTGAGGATTTGAAAATTACAAAACTTCCAGAAAATCCAACCAACAAGTCAAGGAAGCCAAATCTCATCATTCCACCATTGGTCGCCAGTTTGGATGATTCCCTAACTTCTCCTTTCTATACACCTACACCTACACCTTCAGTCATTCCAAATCCCGCCAGGTCTAGAAGGATATTTGATTCTTCGAATAATCTGGCTTCGAAATGGTTCTCCAATGTGAAACAACAAGATGATTCACTCATTATACAGGATACAAATGCAAGCGTTCTCGACATTCGAACACAATCTGCAAAGAAGAAACAAATCTCATCCTCAGCAGCAAGTAAAAGACTCAATTCCAGTAATATTGCTCTGAATACCTCACTAGTAATGAATACTTCCCATAAGAAGATTAAATTGGACAAGCTGGAACGTTCCTTCTCAACCTCCTTCATGAATACTTCACTTCAACAATTCAATACCAGTATGATTGACGAGCCAAAATCCACCTTTGATGATTTGTCCAATCTAACAACAGGTGACTATTTCCTCAAGCAAGAAAAGAGCAATCAACAAAAAACATGTTTTGTACGTTTGTCCAAACAAAAGATCTTGTGTGGGAAGAGAAAATATGAAGACTCTTCTGAATGGAAATTGGATCAGTACTTTGTGGGAGATGTTGTGACAGTTTCTGGACCCTTCACAGATTCTTCAAAATTTCTTCGTATTGATCAATTGTACTATAAGGACTATGTTACAGAGAGTAAGGAAATGTTGGGCACTGAATATATTCCAGATGCAAACAATCCTAAAAAATTGAATGCCACGTCCAAAACTATTCGAGTTGATTTGTCCTCCATCAATCACAAGATATTCATTGGAAATTTGGAAACTTTTACTACCAAAAAGAAACGTTCCAAAAAACACTATTATTCAGATTATGTGTTCAAGAATTTTGATTTTAAGGAAATAGAAGATGCATCGGTACAGAGCTTGTTTGCCATTCCTAACGAGTTGGCTCAGTTGTCAGACTTGGAGATGAAGAGAGAGAGAAGAATCAAATCAGTAAGAATGAAAAATCCATTCCATGTCAGATTTACTGCTGCAGATTTTAATGGAAAGATATTTGAAGAGGGCAATTATGTGAAATTACATGAACGCGATTCTAAAGAACCTATTATTTGCATCATTAAGGAAATTAGAGAGAGGGATATTGCACACTTTTGTAATCAATTCACGAATATTGGTTACAATGATTTGAACACAGCAGTAAGACCAAGTCCAACATCATCTGTTGTTGTAGAAATTCTAACAGGAAAGAATGCTTGTCAACAGCAACACTATACATTTACTCATCAAGTTGAGGAAATTATGTTTGCCAGAATACATTCTATGGAGCCACTTGTTGCCATCCAAAAACAACTAGTGGGTGAATCATTTGATTTGACCTCGTTGTGTAATCAAAATGATCTCATCATTCTGGAATAGAAAAGATTGAATAAACAAATGTAACTGTACGTGTGGTAGCAATATTATTTAACTTACAATCAATTGCTGTATCTTGAGAAAGACGTTGTGATTGTAATCACAGTGAACAGGGAATTTGACGTGTATAGACAAGAGCGCCAATTCTCTTCATTTGCAGTAAAAAATTCTGTGTTTTCTTCCTTAATACAATAAAAAATGGCTACACGTGCTGTACCTAAGGACAAGGTCTTGTACAACTCTTCTACCGCTGAGAATATCGGGGTAATGCTTCAATGTCAAATTTGCTCTGATTTTTTAAATAACAATAGAGAGTGCAGAAAATGTGGATCCATGTTTTGTTTTGATTGTTTGGATAAATGGATGAAGGAAGCTGGTTGTAGTTGTTGTCCAAAATGTGGGCTCGATGCTAAGGAACTTCCGGTTGGATTCGAAGCGTTCTTATTTAATAATTTTGTAAATAGAGTGGTCAATAATTTGGAAGTTACTTGTCCTAATAATGACAATGGTTGTTGCGAGAAGACAATTAAGAGATGTAACTATTGGGATCACGTTGAAAAGGAATGTAAGGGAAGAAGATTAAAATGTGAGAATTGTGTTTATGGATGCAAATTTGAGGGCAATGGTTTGCAAATGGAAAAACACAAGGCTGAACAGTGTCTCTTCGAGAGGGAGGAAATTAAACAATTAATGAAGAGAAGCCAAATTGATTCAGAGGGATTAGTCTCTATGAATAAGCAATTGGTTGCTGAAAATCAACAATCAAAGCAAAATATTGAAGTAATGTTGAGACAAATTGATTCGCTCAATTCGGAATTAGCAAAAGAAAAGGAAATTAATTTACAATATCAACAAAAATTGCAAACCATGATGAATCAACCTCCACCAAATGTAGTTCCTGTCTCTATTTTACCACCACCTCCACCTTACTCAGTCGGTGAATTCCAATATAACCCAATGCCAATGCCATCACAACCTCTTGTCATGCCACCAGTCCAACAAGTCATCACAAGAAAATTCAGATTTTATGGTAAAACTGTTTGGACCAAATTCCAAGGAAAAGGTACCAATTCAGAAGTACCTGGGTGGGAAGTATTAATAGATGTAGATGACAACCCAACTGGTGACAATGTCAGAGGATCCAATAAGAACAGTGGAGTTCAAATTGAGAAGAAATACTCTGGTTTTATTAGGGATGGAATTCTTGACATTACTGTCGAATGGACTGACGGAAGAAGGGCCAAGTACTATTCAAACAACATCTTATTGGCACACGGTTCGCCAATCAAACTCACATTTGAAATTGTTTCAACTGGTAAACAAGGAGGTACAACAGGTGATTGTGGATATAATCAAGGACTCATTGAGCAATTGCAATAAACAACAAATTTTTGTAACTTTAACAATGTCAAAAGATATTTTATTGTATCAACAATTTATCTTCTACCACCTCTTCTTGGAAAAGTTCTGACTGGAGCAGATTCAGCTCTCAACACAGCTGGTTTGGTAAACAATGTCTCAATTTTTTGGCCATTGTTTAACTTGAGTGGCTTGGTTTGATTTTGGATGAATCTTCTAATAAAATCTGGCTTGATTGGGTTTGGTTTGATTGGGAAAGGCTTTGTGGTATTTGGCTTTTCATTACAGGAACAAGTTCTGCAACCCTTTTCATTAATCTTGAATCCAAATTGACAATGACGTCTACACAAATATTGTGGGCATATTGGTTTGATTGGGAATGGCTTTGTGGTATTTGGCGTTTCATTACAGGAACAAGTAGTACATCCCTTTTCATTAATCTTGAATCCATATGGACAGTAACGTCTACATCCATAAAGTGGGCAAATACTTGATGGTTTGATTGGTTTTTCATTACAGGAACAAGTTCTGCAACCCTTTTCATTAATTTTGAATCCAAATTGACAATGACGTCTACATCTATAAAGTGGACAAATACTTAATGGTTTAGGTTTGATTGGTTTTTCATTACAGGAACAAGTTCTGCAACCCTTTTCATTAATTTTGAATCCAAATTGACAATGACGTCTGCACAAATATTGTGGGCATATTGGTTTAGGTTTGACAAGAGCTGGAGCTTCTTTGCATTGGCATTTACTATTACAACCATTTGCATCGAGAACATAGCCAAACTCACATTTTCTTTTACAAGCTCTATAAGTTGGACAAGGTTGTTTACATGCACACATTGGACAACCACGAGCATCAGTTTGGAAACCATGACGACAGAATTTTTTACAATGTTGTTTTGTGCATGAAGGGAATCTATTATTTGGGAATTTAATAGTAGATGATGTTGGAAGTTGAGCATTAGCAATGACATCTCTAATGGATTGATTAGTGGATGTAATCTTGTTGGAAGGTTGTGGTGGTTTGTTCAAAATTGAAAGAATTTCACTTCTTCTTTTTGTCTAGAGAGTTCAATATATATAATACAATAATTAGTGATGTGAAATAATAATATTGACATACCATTTGGAGTTGAGATGCAGATTTCTCACCTAGGAAAAAGCCAACACCATCCCATCCCTCTTTTTCAACATGCTCTTGACAAGCAACACAAGTCAAGATGATGGCAACAAGCAACACACCAAGCAATAATCTGGACATGACAATTTTTTTTTGGTTATGATATTTGTCGTTGATCTGTGGCCAGGTAGACTTTTAAGTTTTCGCTTTGATTGTAATGATTGATTATAATGTTCACATTCAGAAATTTTTGTAAGAATGAGAGTTATTTCATTCCTTTTCTGAATGATGAATTAATTCTTCCCTATACAATGACACCACCTTGAATTCTATTCAACACATTCGATTTCATGAATAATTTAAAGAAGAGAAATAATCTGTTGACAAGATTGTATCTGGCTTAATTGGATATCTTTCGCTATTAACAAAATTGTACAATGCGTTATTGAATGGATGCCATTGACCCGTGTTCATTCCATTGTTGTCTACCAAACAAAAAAATGTTTTAAGTAACGTTGAAGAATATTCTCTTCTTATTGTTGTTTTAAAACAACGTTGAAATTGGCTTCGTGTATTTTTGTTATGGTGGAATTTTTCTCCTAATTTTTTGATGATTAAAAAATCATGGGAGGACAAACTACAACACATCATGTAAACACATGTCGATACATGGTGATGATCATCATGATCATGTAAACACATGTTCTGTCTAGGTAGGGTACAAAGACATATGTCATCATTCTTGTACAATTTCTTCATTAGTAATACATGTGGTCCAAATTGGAAGAATATTTCTAGAGGAGGAATGGGCCATCACCAAAATCAACAATAATTCAGACACAGACAAATTGATGGTCACATGGGACATGTCAGCATGTACCAAATGGTAATCATAGGAGGTACTGCGTACATCAGCACTACATGATTATCACTGGCATGTGACCGTACATGAATCATGCATGTATTCTAAATACATCTAGAATTGATTTTGAAATTGTCAAACTCATCTCCAAGGCGTATGGAGCTCAAGAGATGAGATTGAGAAGAAGCCCTATTCCCATTCCAAATCACATACAAACTTTCCATGTACCTGAGGAGTAGTGGCATTTGTACATGCGTGACGTAGCCGGCATACGACTGAATCTTTCGACGAATATCTCAAATAAATCTTTATTTGTATTCGTATCCACACATGAAAACTTCCTCAACCGTAAATGCTCAGTAACTTGTACAAATTTGGTCAGAAAAAATTTCTTAGAGATTGTTTGCTAATTTCGTTTTAAGTACACTAATATTCTCTCCAGGTAATATTTGAGCTTAAATTCATTCTTAACCAACACGGCACACAACAAACATCCATGTTTAAAAAAAAGAATCTGCAACATACTTTCATAATCCAACAGGTTAACTTTGATTCAATCTGGTCGAGAAATTTCAGAATTATCAATTACCCTCCTTCTGTTTAAATACAAAAGCAGTTCAACTGATATGTGTGTAAGTGATCTAACTAATTGATGTGCGTGTATAATATCTATTTGTTTTATTTAGGCATAGAGAACATGTTATCATTGGTCGAACCACAAAACCCTAGTAACATATCCTCACCATTTCACTACTCAAAAATAATAGGACAACAACAACAACAACAACAACAACAACAACAGGACCTTACCACAAACCAATTAATTAACTTCCTGGTTGATTATCACAATAATAATAACATCTCTTACATTTCCCCTCAACCAAACCACATTCAATCTACTATAGACAATTCCTTCTCTCAATTTGGTAAGTCAACTTTCCTACTGTGTTGCAACATTAATACCAACTTGGCATTTTATTGCATGCATTTTATATTACTAAACTTCTTCCTGATCTAATTTAACTCGGCGCACAATTTAACTCACAAAAGATATGCCTCAAAGAACACCTGCACACACCTCCCCTTTTCAACACCAACAACAACAACAACAACAACCCTATCATCAACAACAGCAACAATTCACCTTTGGTGAACAACACCATCCACCATCTAACAATGCAAGAAGTAACGGGAACAATAGTAGTAGAAGTAATTATCAACACCAATCTAACATGACGGATTTGAATAATGCCAACAATATTAGTAACAACATGTTCTTGTTTCAATCGAGTGGAAATGTGAGTGTGAATAATACATGTGCAAGCAGTAGTAATAGCACTCCTCCAACAACTTCCTTTCAATTTCACAACATGAATAATCCACCACAACAAGGATTCTCCAGTAATAAGAAGAGGAAACAACAAGCAGAGTCTTCCAGGGGAAATGTTGGATCAAGTTCTGCCACAATGGAGAGTTCTCTCTTTTATCACATGGAAACTGATTTTAAACGAAAGCATGCCGATAAGAAGAGGTTAGTTTGGACCAATGAATTGCATGATCTATTTGTTAAAGCAGTGTCTCAGCTAGGACTCAATGAGGCAAGACCAAAGGAAATATTGGAATTGATGAATCTCCCTGATTTGACCACCACACATATCAAATCTCATCTCCAGAAATATAGACAACAAGTTAAGAAGGGAATCATTCCAATTGGTGAAGGTATGAGCTCTGCAAATGTTGAACTAGGATCAAATTCGGAGAGTGAAACAAGTGATAGTGGTGGTCCAAATGAGGATGTCAAGCAGGAAGTGATAAATTCAAGTGGTTCAAAAGCAACATCCCCTTTCAAAAACTCCCAACCAAGTCAAATTAATCAAATGTACAGTTTCAATCCAACAACAAATCCAAATCAACCATCATCATCTAGCTCACAAACCTTCAATTCCCTAATCAATGATACTAGTTCAGACCAAGTCAATTACATTAAGAATATCCTTTTACATTTTAATCAAATTCCCAACGATCATACTTCATCAAATAATGAAACAGGAGCATACTTATCCTCAACATCTCAGAGGCCAACCCAACATGTAACATTTGCAAACTCAATCACCAATAATAATATCACCACTGTAAATCAACCACATTTCCACTTGGGTGATGGAAGAAGTATTCTCCAAAACTGTCACCTATTAACCAGTGCAAATAGTTTACCAGAGTTTCTGGTACTCTTACAAGAAATTTGCAAAGCTGAGAGTGATATGGCTGCTATTTTTAATGGCCTGCCCGTTCGTTCAACTCATGATTTGAATTTGATCGTTGAGGGATTTAGGATTGGATTCATTTGTGGCATGAAATATAAACCCTCACATCAACAATAAACTCACAATTATCTCTAAAACTCTGTTTGTCTAATATTTAAGAATTTTGAAAACTAAAACTTTAGAGAAAAAATTGTTAGGTTGAAATGTTCATCCAAAAACTAGAATATAAAACATTAGTATAACGAGAAATCCACGGTGTTTATTTCTCTTTGATTTGGCGCCTTCTCATTACAAGCGTTACATTAATAATTAAAAAAATAAAAGCACAACAACAGGAGCTTCATCATTATTAATTTCTTCCTAAGCTTTTAATTATGAATCTCGAGGATTTGGATGATGAGAATGATCTCTTTAACTCTATATTAAGGATTGAAGACAACATTTCGAGAAGAAAAACAGCTGCTTCTCATCTTCGTTTATCAAACCTCATTTCCTCCGATTTTCAAAACGATAACACTGATCCCTACTCTGATTTACATCATGAATACGAAGAGGAGACAATGAGGGTGGACAGAAGAGAGAGAAATAATGTATTTCAAGCCTTTTTGGAGAAGAGAGAAAAAAAGCAACAAAACAATCAACAACCTTCCCCTCCTTCTCCGAGATTTAAAAATTACAATTGTAATGATGATTCCTTCCCAAATAACTTGGAATATGATAGACTGTTTTCAAATGTTAACAAGCCATCAAGAGTGGAGGATTCTTTTATTGCAGAGTCTGAAAACTTTTTGGAGGAAATTAGTAATTTGCAAAAGATGACCCTTGATCCTAAAACTGTAGATAAGCGTAAACAAACAGTGAGTAAGCTAAGCGATTTCAAGAGGAAAATCCCCCAAAAACCGGATGAACAGGTTTCATCAAAATCAACTCAACAGTCAAACAATATTTCATCGATAAGAACTTCTATCAACTTACGCCCAACGTTGGAGCATCATTTCGATACCTTGATACCGAAACAAACTTCTTATATTGATAACGAAAATGATTCTCATGACATGTCTTTCAAAAAACAATTAGAAGAGAGAATTAAATTAAGGAACGAGAACCATAGACTTGGACTTAAGCGAGAGGATCCAAATCGCCCAACCCAGTCCAAGAATGTGATGAAACCAGATGATCTGAGGAAATTAATCACTTCTGTTAAAAAGAAGGGTGCAACAAAGGAAACTTCTTCCAGAGCGTTTTGTTTAGCCGGACTAATGGACGATGTTGAAAAAAACCAAAATGTGTACAATAGCGATGTCAAAAAACTACAAACATCAGCAGATTTCTCTTCAACTAAGAAATTTTCAAAATCAATGCTTCAGACCAATAAGAGTATCGATACTAAGGCAACTAACCCCATCCTAAACCGATCTGCCAGTGCTAAGAAGGTGAGATTCAATTCATCAAATGCTGAAAACAGGAGCAAGTCTCTCTCCAAAAAAGACTCTGCAAACACTGCTCAATCTCAATTGAAAAAAAATTTAGGACTCATCAATGATTCTGTATTTACAATATCCAATGTTGGAAGTTACAAGAAACCTGCTGTGACAACTAGTCAAAGTAACAATGTACAACAACAACCTTCAACATCCTCATTCAGAGACTTGTTAGCTCAAAGAAAAGGTGTTACTCTCCCGAAAGAGAAATCAAATATTGAGAAGAGGCCTCCAGCCACAACATTATCTTCAAGGCCACAAACTAGCTTGAACAATTCTAAACTACGTGGTGATTCTCAACCAAAAATGTCAAAACCAACGAAGGCAGTAGAAAAAGTGCCTTCACTTCTTCGTGACAATAGTAGTTCAACTTATTTCTCCTCAATAGAGAATAAGAATAGAAGTCACAACACGTCCAAACCATCTCTGCGACCAAGTGAACCTAAAATTGAAAAAATAACAAAAACAGCCCCACAATTCGATCTTTTTGAAGAGGAGAGTGATGAAGATGACGATTTTTTAGAAGCCAAGAGGCTAATGCAAAGGATTAGCACGCTTAGGAATTTTATAGGGGGAGACTCTAAAAACAATAAATAAGCAAACTTTCAAAATATAAGGGATTCCATTTATACGACCAAGAAGGAAAATTGAAAATAGGGTAGCTGAATTGAAAACAATTATAAATGGCATTGGGTATCAGAAAAAGATATAATTCGCGAAGAATGTTTTAGAGTGTACTTTAAATTAACATGCAAAGTGAAAGTGCTAATTCCCAAATATAGTCTGCTCAAGTTGGTCTCTTTGAGCAATCAAACTCTCGTACGAATAAAAAAAACACCATTCCAAATATCTCCATTATTACATGTATTACATGAGAAATAATAAGGTTCTTGCGTATGATGACCGTGATTCACTGCCCAACATTGCTAGCATTAAATTTAATACATCGGAAGAGCAAGCAAGTTATTCCTCTAGGAATGAAACTGGGAATGATGAAAAAGTTTCCTCAATATATATTCAGGATAATAATAATAATAATAATAATAATAATAGTGGTGGAAATTATGAGGGAGGAAATGGAGAGACGAGGACTGTATACTCCATCAAGTGTGTTTTAATAGTAATTATGGTCTCTTTAGTAATTGTTACTTCTCTATTACTCACTACAATATGGATTTCTTGTTTTAGTTCGAGTGTTTCAAAATTTAGTCAGGATGTATTAAGGCAACAAATTGAAAAAGTTGTAAATTTCACCGATGAAACCATTGATAAGGTTCTAGTTGTTTCAGATACAACAAAGAATATAATGTGGGAGGATTTTAATTATAACAATACTGAGAATGCCTACTCTTTGACATATAGGATTTATAAGAGTGCATTTACGTATTTATCAACCTTAATGGTGACTGTTTATTTTGGGTAAGTTTTTCAGAAACATTTCAATTTAAAAGAAACTTTTCCAAGAGACACTCTGGGAGGGAATTTGGGAGTGTTAGTATTAGGAGGAAAACCAACTCAAATGTTAATTAATGAGACTGGACAATATTATTGGTATTGTGATGATTTTTTAAATAAGGGATTTTGTGACTACAAGAATAAGGATGTTCCTGATGTCATACTGGGACCATTTGATATGTCTAAAATCATGGGTGTTGCAAATAATTCCCCCAATAAGCCTCAATTTTCGAGGTCTTACACTGACCCAACGTTACCTTCTATAACATTTATGAGTTGTGTCAATTCACATCCTGACAATAGCTCAAAACTACCATATGATTGGTATTTTGGAATTGATATCAGTGTATCGTCAATTTCAAATTACATTGAATCAGTCACTGAAGCTATAAGCGGCTCTGTAGCTTTTGCTATTGAAATAGAGACGAATTATATTGTTGTTTGTAAGTAGTGGTATAATGAAATCCTCAAATGTAACAATAATAGCAAGTTTTCCTGATATACCAGTTTCTAAATTCAATCAAGATAGAACAGAGACAAGAATGACTGCCCTAACTTTTGAACAACCCAAGATACGATCTGTTTCCAAATTAATCTACACTTCTATGAATAATAACTTGAAATCTCTCAAATGTGGAGAGTACCAGTTTTTTACAAATGAAGACAGTGTTATTTGCATGAATAGGTTTTGTAAGGCAGGAGTGGATTGGCTGCTAGTGCTAAATGTTCCAAAATGGGACTATGTTGGTCAGTTATTTATTGCCTTGATTGTTGGTATTCTGTCAAGTTTGATTATTGCCATTGTGGGTGCAGTGATGGGGGTCGTGTCGAGCATTTCTCTCTTCCGCCCATTTCAACAATTGACAACAGTATTCGAATCAATTTCAAACATGAGACTTGAAGACATCCAGATGAGGCCGTCATCATTGGCAGAGGTCAACATTTTACAAAAGCATTTCCAAACCATGTTGACAAGGCTGAAAAATTACAGAGCATTCCTTCCGCCACATATTCTTCAAAAGCTAGATATGGAAGTCAATTTAAGAAAGTCAACAATAGGAAGAATGATCTTGGAAAGACAACACTCTTTGACATCGACCTCAGGAAGTGTAAATGGTCAAATATCTGTGATAACAAGAGATGCAGCAGCTACTACTCCAAAACTAGAACGATTGTTTTGTCTAGGATTGGAAAAGAGAAGAGTAACAAGTGGTATGATTTATTTTGAAGGTTTGGATCACTTCTTGTCAGCTCTTGATTTTGATGAGACTGTTTCTGTTCTCAATGACTGTTTTGTTATCATACAGAAAACTGCGCAAGCCACCAATGGGCAAATAGGAAGCTTTGAGAATAATTACATAACTATTACTTGGAATTCTATCATTGAATCGAGTTCACATGAAGAGTCAGCAACTTTTTCTGTTTATCAAATATTGAGAAGGTTAAAAGCAACTCGAGATAAGAAGTGGAAGAATTCGCATATTCAAAATTTAAAGTTTACATTTAGAGGCTCGTTACTTTCACAACACTGTGTTTGTGGTAACGTTGGGACTTCTCAAATTAAGAATTATGCAATATTTGGAAGTTATTTACACAATTTACAGCTGTTGATTAAGCATGCAAGCAAATTGGAAATTTCTCTCATTGTTTCAGAGTCAATTTTTGAAAAGAATAAGGATAGTTACAATTTCAGATTTGTGGGAGAAAAAAAGCTGCTTGCAGATGATGAAGGTAATTCTCCAATTATTTCACCAAAACAAGATAGAGTAAGTTTTCCAACGAGGTTGTATCAGGTAGGAGAAACTACCTCTATGGAAGATTCTGAAGAATGGAGACAGTCAAGCAGTGGTCTCAAAGATTCTTGGGAACACCACAACCAAGCATGTGCCAAATTTTTTGAAGGAGACCTTGATGAAGCAATTGATCTATTTCAGTTCCATCAGTCTTCCTATCAAGAGAAGTATTATGAAGAGGACAAAGTAGCTCTTTACCTTCTTCATAAATGCTTGGATTTAAATAAGGTTCTAAACTGAACATTCATCTTAATAATGGTTGAAATTGTACTATTCCAAATAATAGTTGTGATAATATTTATCAACGAATTGTTCGTGGACGCTCACAACTTGATAAAGTTACATTTTTATTTACATTTCATCTGTTCATATACATTTTATGGAAATTCGGCCTCCCAGTCATCGTCATTATTTGTCACATTCGAAGTTTGATAAGATTCAAAATGATTTTCTTCCTCATCATCATGCAATTCCATTGTACCATATTCATCTTGTTCATCATCGTCCTCGTCTTCACTTTCACTTTCATCATCATCTGACATGTCAATTTTGGAAATATTGTCTGTCTCAGCACCAGTCACTGTATTTTCCTCTTGATCCAATTTAAGTTCTCCAGTTTTCTTGTCATAGATTACTTGTTTTTCTTCCTCATTAATTGAATAATCCTGATGCCACGATTCCTCTTCAAGTTCTTTGATTTGCAAATCTTCAAAACCCACAGCTTCATTCGATTCCTCTGTGTTATCATGCAAAAGTTCGGATTCCTCTAATAGAGGAGCAGCTCCAATCAACTCTTCCTTTGGTACATTTAAATCAATCTCCTCCTCGAAATAATCCACGCACTTCTTACATCCATCACTATATTCAATTTTCTTTTTTGATTTTTGATTACTAGTAGTATTATTACTACCAGTACCCATTCTCAAACTCCTTCCCAAACCTCTTCCATTAGTTAATTTGTAAAGTTTTGATTCTAACGTATTTAAATAGGCTCCACCTTCAACATCGGGAATACTCCATTGATATTTATCATCGTGATCGTAATGAGCATTGATCATTACATTGTTACTATCATCATTAGAATCTACCAAATATTTATGTTTAGCTTGTTCCGAAAATGAATCATTGTCTTCTTCCCATGTCGAAGAGGACTCTGTGGTTGATGATGGTACTTGTGTTATTTGGTGCGACATTTTTTGTAACTTTTTCCCATTATTAACCCCACACAATTTAAAACAACTCCGGTGGAAACAGATGATGTTTGGGAAGAATTTAATGATTTAATAGAATACGAAAATGGATGTGGGATCCATGGCAGCTGAGTTTACACAAATAGTGAGTGAATTGCAAAATATATAACGAAACAAAATAAAAACCAACAAAACCAATTTAATAATTCTAACTTTTCCTGTAGTAACTTTTTTTCTAGAGGTAAGTTCAATAGAATTTTGTTTAATCATGTTTCGAATTACAATATGATACAGATCTCCTGAAAGAAAAAAAGATTTTGAATATAAAGGACAAAAGATTACCGGAAGAGTATCTCCTCAAAGTGATGTCTACTCATTTGGATTAGTAATGTTGGAAGTTTTAAACAAGGAAAGATTAGATAATTTGGAAAATCATTCTTTGGTACTCAATCTCTTGAATAATCTTGAGACAGATAATGAAATACTGAAAAAATACCTACCATTAATGCTTTCAGATAATACAGATTAGAGACCAACACCAAGAGACTTGGTGTTTCAAGTTTTCAACGAAGAAGATGATTGAGTTTTTTTTACGACAAGTCCAGATACTTGAATAAGAATTTCCCATCACCCTCAGCCGCTGAATATATTTTTCCTAAGAAATCCAACAGATTGCCAAATAATTCTCTCCAATAAAATTCCAATCAAACAGAACAAAACCTTGCTTGGAATAAGGTATATTTTCTGGTTGATGGAACTTGGTACTTAGTACCTATTAATAATCATTGAAGTGTTGTTAACAGTTCTGCTGAGTTTTTCAAAATCAAAAAAAAAGAATAAATTAATAATGCTCATTCCACCAAGCGTTTCTTTCAGTTGTACCTTTGAATATGATCAGGTCAAATATAATCAAACACAAAATATGTTTGGTATGGCATCTATTAAAGCTCCAATATATGTTGAGAAGGAGAATAGATCGAGCTTGGATATAATTGCTGTCCTTGATAAATCTGGTTCTATGAGTGATAAGATTGAGTTGGTTAAAAAGTCATTATTATTCATGATTGATCAGATGCAAGCAAGAGACAGGCTAGGAATTGTTGAATTTGATGCAAACGTTTCAACCACTTTAAAGTTGACCTCTATGGATAATGGTGGTAAGAAACAAGCAATGAATTGTGTAAATAATATCAAGTTGGGTACAACTACTAATATTAGTGGAGCCATTATTGAAGCCTTTGATATATTGGCAAATAGAGGAGGTAATATTTCTCCTACAACATCAATTCTACTTTTCACTGATGGATTACCAACTGTTGGTGTGCAACAACAAGATAAGATTGTAAATATTGTAGAAAAATTATATACCAAGTTGAATTTGCAAAATACTAGTTTTTCAAGTCAAACAAACGTCAATAATTTAATTAATTCATTTTCAAACATGTCAATCAATTCAAATAATACTAGTGTATTTACTTTTGGTTTTGGAGAGGAACATTCGGCAAATTGTTTGACAGAGATTTGTAAAGTTGGAGGAGGCTTGTACTATTACATTAAATCAGAAGATGAAATTCCCCAAGCATTTTCAGATTGTTTGGGAGGTTTAATCTCTGTATTTGCCCAAAATATTGTACTCAAATTCAAATGCATTTCAGATCGAGTATTGCTGAAGAGAATTTTAAATTCAGAATATGGATTTGTAAAGCAAGAAATAATACTTCCTAATAAGGAGATTCATATCAAATTGAAAGATTTATACTATGAAGAAAATAGAGATATTTTGTTTGAATTGGAATTGTTGGCAGAATCTTGTGGAATTGAAAAGCAACAATTATTAGATATTCAATTAGAATACATGAATATCGAAAAGATTGAAAAGGAAGCTCTTCAATGTATCACCCATATTACAAGAGGTGAAATGACAGTTGGTGGCAATTTAACAGATAATCGTTTAATAGACCTCCAAAAGAATAGACTCCTACAAACTGAAGCATTACAGAAAGCAAAGGCCTTAGCCGATTCCAATCAACTTGATGCTGCTCGATTAATTATTAACACAGCGATCAATACCATTACTATGAGTATTACTTCAAATGATCAGTATTGTCAAAACTTAATCAATGAATTGAGAGAATGTTTGAATGAGATGCGTACCAAAGATGTATACCTCACAAGTGGTAATAAGATTATGAACATGTATTGGTGTTCTAATGTTCAACAAAGATCAAATCACAGGACCCAAAATGAATCCATCAAGAGCAAGTCATCAGCCAAAGCAAAATATGTTCATTTTAGTTCTAATTTGAAATAAATTTCAAGCAACAAATTGAATTATTATAATTATTTCCCAACACTTTTCTAATTTAACAGCAAATTCATTAATAATAACACTGTTTTTTAAAATATATTTTTTTATTATTGAATGTTTTTCAAACCTATTTAACGATAACTATAAATAACAATAGTACCATTATAAGTAGTAGACCAATAACAATACTATCATCTCTAACGATATCCACATTAGAATTATTTCTTCTTCTTTTTCTTGGCACCTGCCATAGCTTCTTCTTCGTCCTTTTTATCTTGTAAAGCTAATGGATTTTCTTCATCTTCAGTTTCATAATAATCCTTTCCGACAGTTTGATAATATTTCTTAATCTTTTTCTTTTTTAATTGAATAGCTTCCATGATAGCAGCTGTTGATACATAACTCACATCGGAAAAGTCCAATTTTCTACCATCTTCAAATTCAATAATTAGAGATGGTGGTTTAGAATCAGCATTATTATCATATACATCAATCGAAATACTACAATCTGGGTTTGTGGTTTTTGTTTTTGGTGCCCAACATCTATCATAAAAATCCTTAGCTCCCTTGTTTACTTCCTTCAACATCAATGGACAATAATTAAAGTGAATCTTTTTAATCATACGAAGCGAAAATTTCTTTCTCAACACGTGAGGGTTTCCGTACAATGAACCAATGCTTTTCAAGGCTAAAGCAGTTGGATTACGAATCGATGATGAAGACATTTTTTTTTGCAATTTTATTTTTTTTTATTATTTTAAATAAATCTCATGCATTGCTTTATTGCTTTGGTAGAATTATTAACAACTTTCCATCATGATAAAGTTTCTAGACTCTGGCTCAACAAGGGACTATTTTCAATAACAGTTTAACATGTGCAAGAAGCATTACACGAAATAATTCTTCACCTTCAAAATATTTAAAAAATGAAAAAGACAAATCCCTTTGCAAAGACAAAAGCAAAAGTGGTTGGAAGTTTTGCAGCAGAGGAACCAAAAGCAAAAGGAAGTGGTAATAGTCAATCATCAGCATCAAGTAACAATAGGAAACAAGAGTCAAAGAAAAGATCTACTACATCGGAGGAAGATTTCACTTCTTATCCTCTTGCGAAGAAGAAACTTGTTAATCCAGCCTCTGCAGGACCAAATCAACCTAATGTGGATAGAGTAGCAAATTCATCTATTAGAGCTTCTCTTCAAGTGGCGGATTCTGTCAAATCATCAGAGAGCAGTGATTCTACCTATTTAAAACCTCTTCCTGCTGGATTTTTTGATATTGCTCCATCGGAGAAGGATCTAAAGAGTATTCGAGATGGATACAAGGAATTGAACAACAAGACTGATGAATTATTTAAAGATAAAGGATTTGCACAACTTGTGAAATCCTCAGTTGTAAAGAAATCTATCAATAGTGCATCGGATAAGAAGAACCCTCTCCCTGCTAAACAAACCAAGACAGAGAAGAATATTGAGGCCCTAGAAAAAGAACAAGATGAAAGAGAGGACTCTGAGGAAATGAAGAGACAAGTGGAAGAGTTTTTAAAAATTGAAGAATTGAAAAAACAAAAAGAATTATTGAAAGGAAAACCCACAAATGGAACAAGTGATGAAGTAGCAAAAGTGGAAAATGATCAATCTGAATCCAGTGATGATGAGCTAGTTATTGATTGGAAAAAAAGAGGAAAATAAGTTTATTCTTCTGTCCCTTGTTCTCTTGGTGTCGTGTTGAATGACGTGTTTGCTCCCAAATGTGACTGCGTCACAACCTTATTAACCTTTGCAAGCTCATTTCTAATCATTTGTTCAACTTCCTCGAATGTACTAACTACCACACTATTCGACCAATATTCTTTGACTTGTTTTGAATATTCCAGTATTGGAGCTGCTTCTTTAAAGCATTTTGCGAATAAAGCCACATACGGATAGGTCACATATTCAATAAAAGAATTTTGACATTTTGTAAAGTTGCACTTGGTTCTGTCCATGAAAGGGCTAACATCCATACCCAACTCTTTTTCCTTATCGCCTTGGATGAAGAATTCTCTTTGTAGCCGAGAGATCCAGGAAAAGTGCAGATAGAGAGGTTTTGAGGTATTTGCAGTGTCGGCCAATTTGAGGCAAAGTTTTAGAACTAGAGACTTTTCAGACATTAAATCAATGTGACCATGTGAAACATCATAAACTGCTTGTAATTGATTCATAAAACTTCCTTGGAATGATAAATCCGTTGCTGATATCAGACCAATTGAAATTTCTCTGATTTGCCTTCTTTGTTTGGCTGATAGTGTTTTCAGAATGTTGTATTTCTCTTGTTGGAGGACTCTGTAGAAGGAGGCAACATGGTGGCTCTCTAATACTGACTTGTCACTATAAGTAATGGCCAAATCAGAGGATGAAAGGATTTGGAATTGATTTGTTGTTCCTGGATGTTGAAAATCGTGCATGGCAGCTGCCAATATGACAGCCAACAATTCCTCATGAGTAAGGAACGGAATCATACCTATCAAATCTAATAGGTACATGAATGTTTGAAGTACGTCAGCAGCATGAATGCTATTGTGGAAGGCATTGTACCCATAGTGAGTTTCAATCTCTCTAAGGAATGCATGCAAGACTTCTCTGTCAATATTGAAATGTTCCAACAATCCAAATCGACGAAGGTAATAGGTAAATATCACATACAGTGGCTTTCCCCTCGATGCTTCATTTAATTCAAACACATCAAAGTCATATCGATCTATACTCTTCAATTTCTCTTCCAATCCAGGGTTACTATCGATTGCATTAATATTCTTGACAGTTGTTTGAAGAGTTTGTTGCTTGAAAACAACACCAACTCTAATGAGATTTGCAATTGTTCTCCACCCAGCCCTTTCCCTTGATTTTGCTCTAGGCTTTACAAATGCGTTCAAGAAGGCTGAAACTTCTAGATCAGGATTTGTATCCTTAATTTCGTCCTCAACAATATCTGAATTCTTAGCTATGGTTTTAATGATGAGAGAAAACTTATTCTTATCGAAGGGAATATCATCTCTTAAAGATAGAAGTGCTTGTAGCTTTCTCAAAAAGACTACCATTTCTGTAGTGGTAATCAAGTCTGGCTCTTCATCAATTGTGACAGTGACAAACTTTTTAGCTGGTTTTACACCTAATTTTTTAACTTTGATAACCTTGGATTCTTCTTGTTCTCCTGACTGTTCCATCGAAAATGAGAGTTTTGGTGGTTCATCCATTTTTGATTTTTCTTCTCTTTTGGTTTCTTTAAGATTTACTAGATCATCTTCAGATTTATCTGATCTCAAACTGTATTCAGGTTCCTCTTCCTCCTCTTCATCTTCTTGTTGTGCATTTGTTCCAACTTCCGTGATAAGTGCCATGGTTGGAATTGTTTGTCTTAGGATATTTGTTTTGTCTTTTCTCGAATTGTGATAACTTCCAAACAGACCAATAATTAATTTACAAATAGTGGAGTGTATCAGCCTATTAGATGGATCAGTTAAATCTGGAACATGCTTTATCAGCTTGAACACTACTGTCTTGTCAATATTGTCAGCTTGATATTTCAAGGTAAGGGATATTTTGATATTGTTATCGGCCGACTCAGGAATAACACTGTAGGTTTGAAATGAGAATGCCAGACCAATCATATCGAGCATTCTTCTATGCCTCTTATAGGGTGGAAGGGAGGCTGCGCTTTCTTCACCAGAAAAGAATTTCTGTAAAAACCTCGGGTATGAAGTTTCATAAATGTAATAATTATTTTTCAAATCAGTTATTATAAAAACCATATCGTCCATATTGCTAATTACCAAGCTCACTAGATGAGCCTTATTTTCAATACAGACATCTCCATGAAAATTCAATAGTTCACTATCTTTGATACTAGTTGAGGACATTAGTGATTGAGTACTATGTGTCTTGTATCCTGTTAGTAGGGTTGATCTGTCATCCAAAGTAACTGCTGGTGACAAGTTATTGTTTACAGACGGAGAAGGAACATCCACAACCCTAGAGTTTGATTTTGATTTTGCTCGATTATTAGTTACTATAGTTGAAGATTCACCAGCAGGAGAGTTTCTCCCAGATTGAAGCATAGAAGCATCAAAAGATTGACGTTGTTGTGTAATTTTAGGAAGTAAATTAGATTCGGAAGGGTTACTATTGGTTTTGTTAGTTCTTGGGTTAGTATTCTTTTTGGAATTTTGTTTGGGCAGGTACGGTTTAAGATCAGTGGTGAGAGAATTTGTTGTGCTGATTGTTATGGTAGGTTCTGGTGGAAGGTTTGAGGTTGGTGTGGATGCTCTCAATGTGTAAGTATTATTAACGAAAGGAAGGGGGCTTCCAACCTTTGCAGGATTTGGTGTATGATCAATGAGAAGATCAATTTTTGATTCATCATCTACAAGAGTCATTTCCACTTGTAGTTTTTGTTTTGAATTTCCTCCTCCCATATTTTGTAAATCGTTTGTATTTCCACTCTGAAATTTTAAATACTTCTATTACTAGTATTATAGTGTCCGAAGTGAGTTTGATGATGATTGCTTAATTCCTATTAACACAATATGAGTTTTTTTGAAACAATCAAAATTTTCCTCATGCAACACAACTCTCCGTAATATTGTTGTTTCTGTTATTGCTATTTGCAAAAAGAGAGTGGTGCCTTAGTAGGAGAGTAAGGTAATTTTCAGTCAGAGTGAGTGGTCAGAAGAGAGTATATGTCTGTTTGGAAGGACTCAGCTGCTGTTGTAGATTTTGATCGATTTTTTTTCCTTTCTCCAACCGTTTTTCTGCAACCGACACTGATAATTAAGGATGTGCTAGTTACCAAATGAAACATATTGTCTAAGGAAGAATCGTGTTTGGACACATTTGAAAATGCAGAAATCTCAATTAGAATTAGAGTCTTTTTAATGCATTCTTATTTGGACAATGTTGGGGCAGTGTACATTGACATTGATTTTATCTGATTAAAAAAAACTCAACTGGACATTACAACTTGTTGCATTTCACTAAATGCACCTGTAGAGTCATAAACTCTTGCCTTAATTGTTAATTGAGAAGAAGATCCATAACCAGGAGGCAACATTACATTGACCTGATTGGTGGAAACTTTTCCAGTTAATGCTTGCCAACTTGAAGTTTTTGCATCATTGAAAAAGAATTGATAGGAGAGTGGTGTATTATCATCCGACCATCCACTACATGAAAGCGTCACAGTGTCAATACCAGATTTACTTTGTAATGGATTGACTGTAAAATAACCTGGTTTAGGTGGAGTATTAATTGCAAGATAATATTCTGAAAAACCATTCAACTTATTCCACTGCGCGTCTAATCTGATGGTATAAAAAGTATCTGGTTGGAGTACTTCACCACGAATGGTTAAAAATGGTCCGGTTATTCCTGATATTGTTGTTTGATCATTCAGAGTAAATCCACTCGTCCTGGAACTCCAAATGTAGGTGACTTCATTTCTAATATCTGGTGGAGAAACTGCTTCTAATGAAACATTCATTCCCAAAGGAACAGATGTTGGAAGGAAATCATTGGTGGCCATCTTGATGAAAACATTCAAAAAGACGTATTCAGCCAATTCCACAACAACTGTTTCAGTCTTGGAACGACGTCCTTTCGAATAGGAAATGGTAAATTGATACAAACCTGCAACCAATGAATTCTCTGCGATTGTGAACATTTTTTCTTGATTCACATTGGCATAGATTTCAGAAATTGGACAAACAGCAAGAACTCCCAAAGGAATACAAACAATTGAGAATTCCTCCTTCTCCAAAGTTTTAGTTGGATCATAGGATTGAGAAAAATCAACAGTCATTGCTTGGTTCACTTTTCCATAGAGGAAATTACCATTTCTTATTTTCAAAACCAATTCACTCTCTTTCAATTTCAATTCAACTGTCACTCGATCAGAATAACCAGTTGAGGACGAGACACTTAATTTGAAACTTCCTTCATTTTGTAGACTTGAAATGACAAGAATTCTATTATAGGATTCTTGTGAAAATTTGGTTGCATTTCCTGAAACTTGTTCCCAATTATAGGAAAAATCTTGATATTTGGCAGGAGAGTAAATTATGGAACCATCATTATTAGAGCATCCTGCAACGCTAATTTGAGGATTAATTACAACTACAGATCCATAAACGAATGATTGAGATAAACCTCCAGGAATATCAATGATTGGAGGAGGAACTGGGATGATTTCGAATGTTACTTGAGTTGAAGCACTTCCAGTTACTGGACTAGAAACAGTTAGTTTGATGCTGTAGGATCCAACAGCTAATTTGGAAGCAGCTATATTGAAAAATGCTTGATTTTCAAAGAGTGATAATTCCCTTCTCAAAACTACCATTGAATTTTCATTTGGAGTTGATGTCACCTCAAATTTGTAACTAATAGATTTCTTATCTGGAGAATATGAAGATGAGGTATCCAATTCTAATCGGGCACATGTTGAGATTTTAGAAGAAACTTTTAGAATTGGAGTTGGGGGATTGTTGGTTGAGTTTGGATCTGTATAGACAGTGACAAGAGCAGAGTTTCCATTTTCAAGTTTGAATTTGAGAATGGATCCAGCATATATGGTATTCCCAAATCCTAAATCAATTACGAAACTATTGGTTGACTTGTCATCCCAATAACATTGAGGAGAGGATCCTAATTCTTTTACAGTTTCGTCAAGGAGAATCGAAGAACAATCTATTTGGGTAGATTTGGATGGATTTGCATATTGAATAGTCAATTTGCTTATTTTCAACATGGCTCTGTCTCCAATCAAGTAGTCACAATTCTTTCCAATCCATTTTGTTGCACACACTTCACAATAGGCACCAGAAAATCTTGGTCCACATAAGCAAGAACCTGTTTGTGAACATTGACCTCTTCCATTACAATTCCTTTCTGGTGAGCATGAGAGAGTACAATTGTCTCCAAAGAAACCAGCACTACATGATTCACAGTATGGAGGAGCATAATTACCGAAACATTTACAAGGATCTACTACAGGAGGGGAGTAGATTGGACCGAATGAAGCTCCATTGAGGTTCATTTCAGAAGATCCTACATTGATAATTGATCCAGAAATGAATGCATTATTAACATTAATTTGACCAACTGTCAGTAAATTACCAGAGAATTTACCACTAATGGAACTACCCATAGCAACTACCCAGAATAGATTATCAACTGTGGCACCATCTAAATATTCAACAGTGAAGCCATAATTCAAATTGGTTTTTAAAATCAAGACAATTCTTCCACTTCCAGAAACAGAAATCTTTCCTCCTCCATTTAACCCTTGTGGGAAACAGTAAGTGCCAGCTTTTAGATTTAAACCTCCACTTGGAATGGATTGTTGCATGGTTTGATCACAATCAAGAGATGAAAATTCTTGATAGAGAGAAATAGCAGAGTTGACCATATTTTTTGAAATGTCATTTCTTACATTCACTTGACCATATGCTGATCTCAAAACTTGAACTGAGAAACCTCCTTCAGTTGCAATACTTCCCTCTAATGTTAAATTTCTGAAATTTTGAGCACGAATTGCACTCCTTGATATTAATTGATAACCAGCAAAGAAGTACTTCACATTATTCTTTGGTTCATTATGTTGTGTACATTCACCTCTACCGTTACAAGTTGTTAATGAGGAACAAACTTGTTCCTTACATTCTGTTCCCCCATAACCTGATTTACAAGAATCACAATTTGCACCAGCCCAAAAACCATACAAAACATCCGAATAACAATTGCATGTATTATTGGCTTTGACACATTCTCCGTGTCCAGAACATGGAATCAACACTGAATTGTTTGATTCTGTATTATTCAGAGTTGAATTTAAACAAGTGAATTGTTCACATCTCTCACCAACAAAACCATCACGACAAGAACAATTATTTGATGCAATGCAATCACCATTACCAGAACAAACACTCTTCACTGAATATTCAACACCAAAACATTGAATGGGAGTACAATGTTCTCCTTCATGGAATGGTTGTTTACATTGTTCACAATTTGGACCTGTATATAAATCGTAACATGTACATGTATCGAGGGCAATACACTCTCCATGATTACTACATTGAACCATCCTTGGATAATTGTTAAAACATGAAATTTCTTGACACTGTTCACCACCATAACCAGGCCTACATGAGCAATGGTTATTGGCTATACACGTTCCGTGTCCACTGCAGACCATTGTATCATTGGAGAGAAAGCCGTGGCAATTAAGGATTTCTTGCTGATGTGATATGTCAATTAATAAAAAGAGGAGTATTACAAGAGAATTCATGGTGAGAATAAAAGATGACGATGGTATTTGCCTCTTAGTTAGGCATGGCAAGTTTTGAACCATTTTTTGTTTTTGATCTTTTCACTTTTTCACCTGCTCTTTCTGAAAACTGTTGATAATCAAAAGAAAAAACATAAAATGATACCGACAATGGGGCTCGAACCCACGACCCCAGGATTAGAAGTCCTGTGCTCTATCCAACTGAGCTATGACGGCTTCACAAATAATTATGAAAATATTCAAATGGTGCATATATCCTTACTGCCTTAATGGTAAAAGTTGTAATGGACTTTCACAAGTCCAAAAAAAGAAACTGTAAATTAAAGTTCCAGAGCCCACTTAGAAAAGCACAAGGAATTGGCGGCTTATAAAAGCAGTTTAACAGTTAAAAAAATGAAATCATCACAACTAACAATTAAGCCTTTTCTATTTATTATCATCGCTTGCTTAGTCTTACTCCTAAATTTAGAGACAACATTTACATCATCGACAGATAAAACTCTGCAGACGAATGATATATCATCACGAATTAACAAAATACTTCATTCGGAGAGATTGGTGCAAAACACCAACGATTCAATAAGTAGCAATGAAACCAGTGTGGTGAACAGTACAATACCGACAAGTAACAATCAAACAATTCAATCATCGACTAATTGTTTAACGTTTCCATGTTGGAATGGAAATTGTGTGGAAAATGAAAGTTGTTCTTGTTTTTATGGATGGGTTGGAACCTATTGCAATAGTACTCTAACTTGTTATGGTAAGAGTTATAATAACCCAACAGTGTGCAGTGGTTTTGGAAAGTGCAACTCTCCAAATAATTGTTTGTGTAATGAAGGATATTCTGGATATACTTGTAAATATTACTATTGCAATTCAACTCTCTATAGTAACACATCTTATGTCTGTAATGGGAGGGGATCTTGTCTTCAACCTGATAAATGCCAATGCAAAAATGGTTACAATGGAACTTTTTGTGAATTTGAACAACAAAGACCTATTGCTATGCTTTCTTATACATTAACTGAATTTCACAAATGCCAACCTATAGTTATTAATGGAGAAATGAGCACACCTTCATATGGAAATCCTTTTATTTATATTTGGACTATACAACACAAAACTAAAACAAGTTATGTGAAACAATACTCAACACCATTTCTCAACCTTACAACCACAGAAGTTACAGTGTATGGAAGCTTCGATCTTACCCTCACGGTTAAAGATGCTATTACTGGAGTTTTGAGTATTCCAAAGACTATTACTGTTGTGAATTTGGGTTTTCCTCCACCTGCTATAGAAATTGTTGGAAAGAATAATAGAACTCTCGCCACCACAGACGTTCCAACAATTTTCAGAAAACAAATTACCAACTTGGATTATTCCTGCGTGGCAAAGCAAGAATACAATTTTACAATTTCATGGAAACAAATTTATGGACCTTTTGTAGATTTTACAACAGATACATATTCTAATTTACAAATCAATAGACTGTACTCTTATGGTAATCAAAAGTATGTCTTTAGAGTTGGAACACCTGCATTTGATGGATCATTTTACTTTTATGATGATTTAGAGATAACAACCTACTCTCCTGAACTTCAGTTAAGAGTAATTCAATATTTGGTATCAGCAACAACAGCCCACATTGAAGTGGAGTATTATGATCCCGATATGTTAAATACCCAAAGTAGTACATGGACATGGTCATGCGATCCAGCATGTTCTACAACCTTACAAACAGCATTGAATAGTTATGGTAAAACACAATCCACCTCATTCGATCTCACTAAGGACATTGTTTTAACCAGTTCTTCATTCATTCTCACTTTAATGGTTGTGAAAGGTTCACGAACAGCAACATCTTCTATTGAAATGGTACTTTCAGACAAACCAGTTATCAGTGTCATAGATACGGTTCCTAAAAGAACGACCATAACAACAGATGAAGCATTTGTCTACCAAATTTATTCTCAGTCAATGTTAGATACAATCTCATCGAGGAAGTGGTCTTTGAATGGTGTCGAGTTAAGTGATCAATCTTCAACTCCTTCTACGAGTGATTTTGTCATTTTTCCTGCATATTCTTTAACAGATGGTACTGACAACATGTTAGCAGTAACAATTGCAGATTCTAGTGGAAGGCTTGCAACAACCTCTTATTCTTTCAAAGTTGCAAAGAATCCAACTCTGTGTTCTTGCCAAATTCAACAATCTACTGGTATCTTTATGGAAACAAAGTTTAGTTATGTTTGTGACTCATCATGTTTAAAAAATCAAACACTGGATATAGTTTATGGTTTCTTGGAAGAAAGGACATTTACCAAAATTCCTCTTTCAGTCCTGGGAGAGACTTATTCAGCAGTTCTTCCTCCTCCATACGCAGGGAATGAACTTTCACTCTTTTTGGATGTTGTTAACACTAAAACTATGGCCAAAATTGGAATTACTTCTAAAGTGACCATCCTTCCAATGTCTTTTGAAAAGAATATTTTGGAAAAAGTTTCATTTTGGACTGATCTTTACTCAAATTCTGAAGGAAATTGGAATTTAAATCTCTACACTGCCAGTGCTATTGTGAGGTCAATTTCAGCCAATATGAATAACCCAAATAGAACTACTTGTATGAACGGTGTTGTGAGTGAAGGTGTTTGTACATGTATTGAAGGATATTATGGATCAGATTGTTCAATGAAAATTGCCGATTTCAAAGAACTTCAAGATAATTTGGTCAGTTTAATGTCAGACTTGAAAACTGCTCTAATTATGCACCCAGATCCAAACATTTACCATTTACATTTGATTCTTGTTGCCATTGATTCAATGTTGAGAGATTATACCTCTGTGGCAACAAGTGTTGTATCCAACACTATTTCCCTTCTCGATAAAACACTCACCAGAATGACTGAAACTCAAGAAATCATTCCATCAAAAAATGTTCAATTACTGATCCACTACTCTTTAGAATCAATGTTCAAATATTTTGAGTGGAGATCATTCAGAGGTGAAGAAGACAATATGATATCTGCTGTGGCCCTAGCAAAAAAGTCTTCTAGATTCCTAATGAGAAACAAAATTATTGGAACTGATCCATCCCAATTCATTTCCACAACATTTAGATTAGTTTCAGCAAAGGTACCAAGATTACAATACAAGGGAATCAAAATTGACTTGGGAGAAGATTCATCTGTTTCATTTATTGGCGATGTTTTCCCAAAGGCTTTTTCTAAAAGCAATATTGTTTATTCAGTTTTGACAACAAAGGACATTTTTAAAATTGCTGATAGAATGACCATTACCGAAAGTGGATTTATCATTACACCATATGTTATTTCACCATTCTCAATTTCTTTAGATTTTGGAGAAGATAACATTAATAATAATATGGTAGACTACTCTACCATTGTTTATACATTCCCATTGAGAAACATTTCAGATTCATTCAATTATTCGAAAACTTATTGTGCCTACTATGATCAGGCTTTGAAAGTTGTGTTTGGTTGTAGTGTCAAAGCCTACACAGGAACATCAATTAGTTGTACCTGTAACAAGTTGGGTAATGTTATATTGATTGGACAAATGAAAGCAACAACCACCTATTCATTCGATTGGACTCTTTTAGGAGTAGTTGCCATTACAATTGTTGGAGCAATCTTGTTGGTGTGTTGTTGCATTATTGTGATAATTCTTATTGTAATTGCAGTGTATTGTCGGAAGAGATACAGAGTTGAGGATGAAAAATCACAAAAGATTAAGGTGGCAGAAACTAGATATGCTCGTTCCATGATGAATATTCCACTTGCTAATGGTCAGTCAACATATTCTATGGCAGCAGCTGCTAATTATTGAAGAATAATATCTTATGATTTCTATGTGAAAAGAGTTTAATCTCTCTGTGGTGGTCGGATTGAAAATAAATCACACAATTCACTCCTTTGAAAATTGAATGTAACACCACTTATTTGCAGCTAATTCACCAATTCCATCGTTGTTCGGTCTAAATTGTCCAATTCATTTCACACAACAAGTTAGGTCTCCTGTTTGGATAACCTCATTAAAAAATCATCATTTGTTAACCTCCTTCATTCACTCGGTGTGTGTGTTGTTATTTAAATCGGATATTGTCGTGTAACACATACTCTTCAATTGTTGAGTGACATTATTTTGTGGTGATTATTAGTACACACTCTCATCATCATGAATACTATCACTACTGACAACAACAATGATAATCAGAGGAGAAGATCCTCCATGTTAGGTAACAGTGCTGATGAAACAACACCCTCCTATTTAACATTTAATTACAACAATAACAACAATAACAACAATAACGATAATAACATTATTAATAATAACAATGATATTTCACCATCATTATTAGATGATGATTTGATAATGGATGATAGTAAATCGGATATTCTCTCAACAATACAAACTACTACAAGTGGTGGTGGTATTAGAGGAGGAGGAGACATTGACATTGCTGATGATCAATCAAGTATTGAACAAAGTCAAACATCGTTCAATGCTTTGGACCAAATGACAAATTTAACAGATGAAGTTATTGGAAAAACACTTGTATTAGAAATTATATCTATCATTATTTGTGTATTGTTTTACTTGTCATTATTAGTGTGTATGTATTTGTTATTTTAACTTTTAAATATATTATAATTAATTGATATATTACAATTTATTTAATATTACAATAATAATAGCTTTTGCTATTAGACCATCATTTATTAATTTAACATACATGTTAATATTCTTTTTACACAATTTAACACCAAGTTTTTATCCATATTTTCAAAAAGTTGGAATTAACAGAATTTGGATGATGATTCCGAGATTTAGTACATTGTCAATATCTTTACTTGTTTCTATTTGTTATTTTATTGGTACTATTGTTGTCAGTGTTGTTTCTATTAATGATAATTATTTGACAGATGTTTTGACAGATATTGGATTTGTGAGGTTTGTTTTCATTATGTTATCATATTAACAACAACAATTACTATGTATTTAATTAACAGTTTGAAAGGGAAAGACATTTCATTCATTCTAATTCATGTCATTCCAGATGCTCTTGTTATTATTTTCTCATTTACTTGTTTTATTTTCCTTTCAGTTTTATGGAGAAGAAGATTAAAATTAGAAAAGGAAGGTGTTTCTTTAAAAATTAAGAAAGTAACACCGTCAACTTTTAAATCTTCCCTTATTAATATGAGTGGTAAAGTAGAAACTGTTAAATCCACTGATACAGGAATAACAACAATTGATATTGGAGAAGGTCAGAATGAAACCATGTATGCCATGCAAGTGGATGATGTTGTGACAACTAAGGTTTCTACTTCTAATACTAAATTGGATGATTCAGCTTTGAAGAAACAACAAATTGAATCAATTCCTAAAGTTAAGGGAGCTACCATGTACATGTGGGATTTACCTGGTGTTTTTACTAAACATCCAAAGCTCTTGACATGTTCTGTACAAGAATTGAAAACTTCAGTAACTCATGTTGGATCAATGCCTCCAAAGGAAAAGACTGAAAAGAAACATGTCAATATTCATGAATTGAAATTGATTATATTCGCACTCTTTTTGATGATTACTGCAAGTTTTTATCCAAGTTTTGTAGGAATTCCTTATTTATTATTGAGTTTTTTAATTATTACACTTGCCAGTTTTGGTAGCTTGAAGACTTTTATTTCAATTGGGTATGTTTATTTTAAATTTAATATATAATTATAATAATTTTCATAACTATTACAATTCATCATTAGATTATTTATATTTACACAAGTTTATTCTATACTCTTGCTCATTTTCTACTTTTTAACACGTTTCCAAACCAATTCAATCTCCTCAACTGGTTACTTTTCTAAAATGATTTTACAAAATCCGTATGGTAAAATGGCTGGATTTTTTGATATTGATGGTAATTTGAAATCATTTGAATTTTTCAAAAAGTTCTACACTGGATATGTTTTCATCACATTTGTTCTAATTACATTCATCTTGGCTTGTAACTTTGTTTGTCAATATATTGCAAAAGTTTTACAAGAAAGAGAACTACAAAGACAAGTTAAAAAGTTTTTAACACTTTTGCCAACCATGATTTCTAATAAGGAAGATTTGGATACAAACTCTGAGGAATATCTTCAGGATTTGTACTATAAATCTGAAGAGAGAAGATTAATAGAAATTGATGAACACACTTCAATGGGTGGAATTGCAGGTGGTGTACATTCCATTTATGAATCATCTTACAAGTTTAGAATGTTCTTATATGAACAATTGCAAAAGTTCATTCTCTATGCATTGATGATTGCATTGATTTGTATCATTTTGTCCGTTCCAAGTTTGTGTTCACTTCCCTATTTACTTTTCCTTTATCTTGGTATGGTTTTATCACCAGGACCAAGATTTGAAACCAATAAGGTCATGGTAATTCTGTTACCTTTCTGTTTCATTTATAGTTTGCTTTATATTTGTGCTCAATATGTTTTCCAAATGCCAAATTTTGCATCATACATTCCACAAACCACAGAAATGTCAGCAAATGGTATGTTTTAATTGTAATTATTTATTTAATTTTTCACATACTACTTTTACTAAAAGAATTTAATCCATCTGGAAGTGGAGGAGTATTGTTTTATCCTCTTCAAGGAATTCTCTATAGAGCCATTGTAGGAACAACTGTTGGAGCTTTTTTAACAGATGTTAGTGATAGTGGTAGATCTATTGTTCTTGTTGCAGTCATTTTTGGTCAATTAATCTTGTCCTTATTTATGGGGTTGACTGTAAGAGTTAGTGCTGTATCCAAGCTATTGAAGAGACATAAAAAAACAGTATCAACAAGTAATACTGCTGCTGCTTCGACTGGTTCTCAACGAAAAGGTATGTTTTCTTATTCAAATACTCGAATAACGTTTAGCATTTTTAAAATCTACAAAATATTGGTTCCACAAACGTTCTATCAATAATAACTATGGAATGGATGATACAGCTCCCCTTGTTCCAAATGATTCTGTTAATAGTAACAGATCAACTTCTATGGATATTAAACGTAGATCCATCTATTATACCAATGAGGAAGATAGTGATTTGGATGTTATAATGTCTCCTGCAATGGGTGATCAATCTATTCATGATTCAGTATTCTCAGATTCTATTAGAGACCCAACTAATGTTGACATGACTGAATTGGATAAAATCAATGATGAAGCAGACAATAATTTGGGAGAGGTTGAGTGTGAACCACAAAATACATCTAAAAGAGTTTGGGTTAAGATCAAGTTGATTTTACAAACTATTAAGATTATACTCTTTGACTATATTTGGAAAGTATTGCTCATTCTCTTTGTGAGAAACAGTTTCTATTTGAGTTTGATTGTTTGCTACTTTGCCGATTTGACATCTGAAAATGCTGATTTACTTCATGCTATTTATTGTAAGTTACTTTTTCACACTGTGAATTTAACATTTTCCAAGTAATATTTTGTGCTGTCTATTTCATTTTCCCATCCTTTGCAAGAAAAACATGGATTTTATTAGTTCTATATTGTCAATTTGTTATTCTTGCCTTGTACTTCTTCAATGTGTGGTACGCACCTGAAGTTGTTGATTTACCGTATGAAATTATAGGTTTTAATCCATCATTTATTACAATTGAAAATCAAATTAGTACAAGTAGTTTTGGAGTGTTTTGGAAAGGACTTATTTGGCACATTTTCATTCTAACATTGACCAGTATTCAATATCATATTTCAAATGTAAAGACAGTTGGTAATGTGAATGTTAATACTAGTTTTGATCAATGGGATATGTTTACAAAAGAAAAGAATCCATACTTGCACACATTCTTTGAAAAATTAATTCTTGTTTGGGATAAGATCTTTTTAGAAACTGAATTGTTAAACTTTTTAGGAACTTTGGCAAGTTATTTTGCAGTCTTTTTGGTAATTTTCCTTCAAGAAGAAGCATCATTTATTGGATTCATATTCCTAATGATTGTTATGGCATGTTTCTGTTTAAATGTTCTCTCAGTTCACAATTCAAATTCCACAAAAGCTGGTTACAGATTATTCCAATTCTTTGTTGGCTTGTGGTACGTCTTTGTTTTCTATTCTACTTTGGTATTTGTTGTAGAGTATGCTTATCAATTCCCATCCCTGTACGCCTACATTCAAAGTATCTTGCCAGAAGTTGAAAGAGCAAAGCAACTTATCAGAGAACATGAATTGGACAAGTCAATTGAAATTCCTTCATATTACGGATATCTTACCCCAAAGAGCATTGGTCTATACAAGTACCAATACAAGAATGTCAGTTTACTTCCTTTCACGATCATTGCCATATTGACTATTGTTCAATTGAAATATTTCCAATTTGTTATTGGCAGAAGAAGACAAAGAATCAAGACAGTGCAGGAACAAGAAGAAATTAGAAAGAAAGAACAAGAACAAACTATTCCAAATCAACCACAGCAACAACCACCTACTACTACTACTGGTCCAACACACATTCATGAACATACACCATCATTGATGGACGAAATTGTTGAAACTATTCAAGAATCATCTCATGTGAAAATTGAGAAACAAATTATATTCAGTGAGCAAATAGATTCACTCCTATTGGAATGCTTCTTGGTCATGAAACGTTTCTGTGTTATGCATACTCCTAAATTGTTGATTATTTTCCTCTTCTTGGCTTCCAACTTTAATCCAAATATTATTGGTCTGATTTATTTGGTTTTAGTTCTTGTATTTGCTCCTGCACCTGTTATTGCTAGTAAGATTTGGTTCTTGATAGCTCTCTACAGTGGATTTATCATGACAATCAAGTATATTTATCAACATCCATTCTTTACAAATGGTTTGTGTGATAGTGCATTGGGAGCAATTGTTCAACATCAAGTTGAGAATTTTGGTCGTTCCACTGGTGTTTGTACTTGGTTGGGTTATATTGGACTTGAAGATGCTAGATCAACAGAAGGACATCACATTGGAAATGTATTGTGGTCTAGTTTATTGGTATTTGTTGCATCTCTCCTCCAAAAGGTTACCTATCGTTGGGAGAGATCCATGAAGAGTAGAGGTCTCTATGATGAGGGATGTTTATTCATAGAGGCAGAAGTTAATGTTAAAAGCAAGAATGATCCAATGGCTAGTTTTGCTCAAAAGTTGAGACCTTCATCATCAGCTGACAAGAGAAAATCCAAGGCGAGAAATAGAAATACCATCTATATCAGTAGAGAGGAATTTGAAAAGATGAACTTTGATGAAGATCATCCAACTGATTTAACTGAAGAAGAAAACTTTAAATCCTTCTACAAGAGAAAGATTATCAAGTTTTTACGAAAGCTATTCTCATCTTTCAAATATTATTGTAATCACTTTTATGATGATTATGGATTTGAAATTTCTCTCTTTACTCTATTGTTAGGATCACTTTCATTGATTCAAACATTGTGGGGATTCATTTATTTGATTGTTTTTGGTGTTTGTTTCTTTACTGGAAAGAATAGTACAATTTTGAGAAGAGGATGGATCTTTTTAGTAATGGTTGTTGAAATTAACATGTTAATTCTCTTCTTCTTTAGATTGCAAATAGTTCGTTCAATGCAATTTTACGAAGCCATGATGAATATTCCAATATTTAGCAAGTATATTATTCTCAATTTGACCTCTACATCTGGAGGAGTAATTAGCAATACGTACATTGTAGTCATTCTCTACTTGATGATGTTCTTTATGGCCTTGCAGGCACGAGTATTCTTCAAAGGAATGTATGCAAGATTGCAACATATTGAAGTTTCTCAACCTGAAAAACTTCCAAAACGTGAGAGAGGTGAAATTGTTTCATCCTTCCTTTCCAGAACCCAGAAATTAGATAATGCACTTATTGTCCACTTGGATACAAGCAGTTTAATCAAACGTAACATTGAAACAGGAAAAATTCAAAAAATCAAAGACTTTACAACACCAGATCAACAAAAGAAATTGTGGAATTGGATCAAGTTGATAGTTTATAGATTCTTTTGTTTTATAGTCTTGATTGTCATGTTTATTGATGCAGCCATCGATTCAAATGTTATCAAATTAGGTCAAATGATTCTCTGTTTATTCTATTTGAACTTGTTTAATAGATTGTATTGGAGAACAGTTCCATTCTGGAGAGGAATTGGTATTTTTTATTATTTAACATTTGTAATTGATGCAATTTATCAAATTCCAATTGTATTGTTGGGAGATCCTATTAATTGGGGTAACGAAAATGATACAAGTGGTTGGGTAAAGAATGTTTGCCTCCTATTTGGTCTTAAAGCAAGAGGCCTTGAAAGTTTTACCACCGAAATTATTGTAGTCTGCCTCTATTACTTGCAAATTTTATTATTCGAAAGTGAGGATTACATTCATTTCATTAATTTACTATACAGAGAAAGTCAAGAACGGGCCACCAAGTACAGAAGAAATCAAGCTTATAGAGCTGCTCAAATTTTATCAAGGTTTGCAGAGGGACTCTTTTCAGAAAAGAGAAGAGATGCCAACCGACAAGCACTCAGAAGTTTCCATGAAGTGAACAAGGATTCTGATTTCCAAAGTTTCTACAATAGAAAGCACATGCTCAAAGAAGAATATGAAAAGGTAGTCAATGCATATGCCAAGAATTCAGAAAAGATTGAAAGAGAACGCGCTATTTTAGCACTTGCAATGAGTGATTTATTGGATTTGGAGAATAAGGAATCAGCCAAGATTAGAAAAAAGATTGTCTCTAACCTGAATAAGGAAGAACAATTAATGAAAAAGTGCTTGAAGAAGGCAGAGCATAAATTCCAGAAAAAGATGAGAGAAGTCGTTTCAACTTTGGAGAATTTACAAAATTACAAGAGCTCCACTCTAGTAGTTGATAATTCAGCAAAGAGAAGACCTGTGCATTTCGAGCGTGGTCAGTTGGATCTTCCATCTGATCCAAACCAAGAATTCCTTCCAAGTAATATTTCTAAAGAGGAGGTTCAAAAGGTAATGAAGAATATCCTTTCCAAGATTGTTCCACATGATAGAATTGTTGCTCTTGGCGATGTTTTAGGTGCACCATCTTCAAAATTGGAACAACAATTGAATATTATATCCAAACATGCTAGAAATGACTCTGTCAATGAGGCATTGAGTAAGGTCATTCAACAAGTTGCTCCAGAAATTGCTCAAGAAGGTTCTCAAGAAAATAAGAAAGAGGAATCAACTCCAAAGTTACCTCTCCTATTTAGAGCAAAGAGTTTACTTGCTGTAGTATTTGCCAATGTTGGTCACTACGCTTACATGTTAACTGATTTGATTGTTAATCGTATTCAAATATTTATTGGAATTGCTTGGATGGATGAATTGGAAATTAAGAAGAAATATAGAGTTAATTTGGATGAAATTATTGCAGATGCCATCAATGAATACATTGAAGAAAAGGAAGAGGAGTGGAAGAAGAAGAATGAAACTACCACCACTACTGAAACACTTGTTGAATTGGAGCAACAACCTGAAGATGAAATTAAATTAACAGAAGATGAAAAAGAAAAGGAGGAAAAGGAAGATCAAGCTGATATTCCAAATCTCAAATCAAAAGAATTTACAACACAAGAGTTGAATGATTTATTACAACTCAAACTTGAACAATCCAAAGTTCATCCCGATATGAAAAAGAAACCATTCAATTGGGTTCCAATTGTATTGAAATTGAAACAATTACTCGTAGCCCTTACCAAACTATTCTTCAGCAATACGGATGTCATTTGTTACTTTGCCATGTTGGTTAATTTACTCTATGCTCCAACTTATTTCAATACGGCCTTTACGTTCTTTTCATTGACATATGCAGCCATGCAATATCCATATCCTCACAGATACTTTTGGGAACTCATGCTTATATTGGCTCAACTATTGATTAGTGTTCAATATATTTTATATCTAGTACAATCTGGTTTACCTGACAATCTCAAATCAACTGAATCTGATCCAGCAATTTTCTTATTGGGATGGCAACCAAGTACAGCTCTATTGGCTGATATTGTCATGTACTTGTTAATTATGCTTGCAATCTTTTTCCATCGTGAAATTACTAGAAATCGTGGAGAATGGAAGACCAATTCGAGAAAGAAGAGATTATCTGCAGCTGCACTTGCCTCTGCCAATCAACAAGAAAATAACACTACACAACAAGATAATCCAATTATTACAACCACAAATGCTACCATTGAACCAAGAGATGATCAAATGATTTTACCATCCAATTCACAAATTCTCACCAATACTACTACTACTACTGGAAGAAATAGAGCCAACACAGCAACATCTGTCGAGCTAGTAACCAATGATATCATGACTGCAACACCTCGACCATCCAATGCAACAAACAATGAGGAGAAGAAAGAGTCCAAAAAGACTGTCAAATTCAATGTTCAACAAGAAGAAGATAAGAAAGGTAAAAAGGATAACAGTGAAAAGCCAAATATTTTCAGAAGAGGACTATCCAAGTTTATTAATCATTTTAAGGGTTTAACAAATGATCAATTCAAACTTGGTATAGATTATTATGTTGTAACTGTTGCAGTTGAAATTTTGGCATTTGTCTTTTTCTTCTTTAGTTTCTCTAGTATGAGTGGTAGAGCTGCCGATGAAACATTGGGAGCAATCAAATCTAATGAGCTCTCTGGAACATTTGTCATTATTCTCTTCCTATTCTTTATTGAAATTTGTATTGAACGTGTATTGTACTTGTTTGCCACTGCAACTGGCAAGTTGATATTCCACTTTTTAGTTGTATTAATTTATCATATTGTTTACATTGCCTTCTTTGTTGAAGTTTCCAGAAATCAGAATACTATTGGTTTGGTACTCCTCAAGATTTTATTCTTTATCAAGTGTGTTTATCTCTTTTTGGGATGTTTACAAATCAGAACTGGCTATCCAAAGAGAAGATATACTCAATTCTTTACCAAGTCTTACTATTACATTGCTCAATACGTCTATTTAGTTTACAGAGCAATTCCATTCGTATTTGAATTGAAGACCTTGTTGGATTGGACATTTATTGATACTACATTGACTTTTTATGAATATTTGAAATTGGAAGATGTCTATAGTCAACTTTATAAGAGAAAATGCGACTTGGAGTATAAGATTTTACAAGGTAAAGGATTTGGTAATCGTATTTTCCTTACTACAAAGGCAACAAGTGGTCTTTTGCTATTTATTGTCTTTGCCATGATTATCTTCTTTCCATTATTGTTCTATTCAACTGCCAATCCTGCTCTCAGTTATAACACTGTGAATAGTATTCAATTTTCAATTGGAATTGAAGGTTTTGAGCCATTCTATCAGAATGAATATTTCAAAGTTAATCCAGAAAAGAGTTTGGAAACCTTTGTTGATTTCTATGACGGAAATGGATTGAAATTATTCCCTAATTATGATCCTACTTTTTGGATTCAAAACTTTACACTTGCTCCATATTCAGAAAGGTATTGGCTCATTTCAACACCAAGTAGAATGAGTATGGTGGAAGCATTGGCCAATGAGACACTTGCACTCAACTTGACAATGAGTTTACTTGTGAAAAGAAGTGGTCCATCCACTCAATTGGAATTGGAAACTCGGCAAAGTATTGTATTGAATGCTTGGAAACGAAAACAATTGGCTCAAATGATTAATTATAATGTTTCCAAAGTCAATTCTGAAAATTTGAAAGAGAGCATTGATATTCCACTCTCTTACAATCCATACATGATGAACAAGTACTCGGCGCTTGCTACTGCCACAGTTATGGAAAGTCGATACTTGCCAAATTGTTCTCTCACTGTAACAAATGTTTACAACTCGTCGAGGACTGAACTTGTGCATAATCCACCAGGATTTGTCTCTTGGTTCATGTCATGTACACAACCAACAAAGTTCTATCCCTTGGAAAAGAGTGGTAATTTGAAGAGCATAACTGGAGGTCCTTTCTTTTTTATTCAGAGTACTAATATTGTAGCAGCTGATTCTGTCATTTCTGCCATCAGTAGTTTTGGTATTATTACCTTCTATACATCTTTTGTGTTGGCTGTAGCTCAGTTTGTTCGTTTATACAGCAGTAATCTTGTTGGAAGAATTACATTTGAAGATTTGGACAATGTAGATTTGATTTTATGTTATTGTCAAGATATTTACAAGGCAAGAGAGGATAAGGATTTGGCAATGGAAGAAACCATGTTTGTAAACTTGTTAAGAATATTCAGATCCACCGAATTGCTACAAATTTGGACTCGGGATGCAAAGAAAAATTGGATTTAAGTAAATTTAAATTGTCAATTTCCTCACATTGCCTTTTATTTCTGAGCCTTGCCAATTTGTAACAATCACTCTTTTTAATTAGTTTAAAAGTTTATTTGTTCATTTACAAAGCAGCAACAACAGCAGCGATCAAGGCAACCAAAGCAGAGAAGCCCATTGATGGAGCAGCATTGACCTTAGCACTCTTGGTGGCAGCAGGAGTAACTGGGGTGGAAGCAGTTAAAACATAGACACCAGTGCTCTTGACACTAGCAGTTACAGTACCATCAGTACCAACAACAATAGTACAAGTTGAATCAGCAGCAGCAACTCCATTAGTAATCTTGTTACATGTGTAAGTAGTAGCAGCAACAGATCTCTTGGCAGAAAGTTCAAAGACCAAATCGGCAATAGCAGCAGAATCAGAAACAGCAACTGGAGAAGCACCATTAGAAATGGAGAAATCGATAGACTTTGAGGCAGCAGATGTAACAGTGGAAGTGGTGGTCTTTACAGCATAAGTGACAGACTTCAAACTAGCCAAAGCAGAGTTAGCAGCAATGGCACTCTTGAAGGTGATCTTATTCTTACCAGAAACAACTTGAGATTCAGAGGCCAAAGTAGCAAGATTGACCTTACGAGAAACTGTGGTCAATCCGTTTGAGGTGACGGTTGCAGCTGGAGCATCAGGAACGGCATCCTTAGTCTTCAAAGAAGCAACACTAGAGTAAACACTGTTCAAATTGTCAAGATCGACCTTACTGAAAGCTCTCAAAGAAGAAACTGGTGGAACTCTAGCAGAAACCTTACCAGAAATGTAACCATAGAAGTTGTCAGCAGTTTTCTTGGTAGAATCGAGAACTGAATCAGAGAGACTGACAGAAGATGCAGAAACAACCTTTGTAGTAGTGGAAGCCAAATTGCTAACAACCTTTGAAGTAGTAGCATCACTAACGAGACCCTTAGAAACTGAGCTAGCAAGGGAGGCTGTGAATGACAAGCTATTTTCAGCAGAGGCAGCAGAAACTGAGGTAACAGCTTCAGTCTTGGTTTGTTGAGAAATGAAAGCATCAGCAATAGCGGCGGCAGCGGTAGCAATTTGAGTCTTTTGTTCAGCAGTAGCTGTTGTCAAATCAACAGTACCAATGACAGACATGGCAGAGGAAGCAGCTGACAAGGTTATAGTGCCCTTTGATTCTGCCAAACCACTCAAAGCTTTAGTGGCATCAGCAGTACTTGGCTTGGTAATTGAGATAGAAAGTTGCTCGGATTCAGTTGAAGCACCCAATGCATCAAAAACAATAGCCTTAACCTTCAAAGAGTCACCAGAAGATGGTGAAGGAAGTTGAACCTTTGTGCTTTGTTGTTCAGTCTTTTCGGTGAGTGAAACCCAATTGTTAGATGCAGCATCCAAGTATAAGAATTGGAATTTCAATGGAGATTGTGGATCAGACCAACCATTACCACACTTGAGATCGAAAGAATCGCTCAAAGCAGCACCAGAAAGTGGATAAGCTTCAAAGATACCCTTTGTTGGTGGAGCATTAACAGTGAATGAAACAATAGCAGAACCAGACTTGACACCATCTACAATATTCAACGAAGCAGTGTAGGTAGCACCAGGAACCATGTTAGCCTTTGAAACTGTCAAAAGAGAGGAAGTACTGCTGTCACCAGAGTCACATGTCCAGGTAAATTTGGCGGATGTAGACAAGGCATCCAAAGTGTTATAAGTCAAGTACAAGTCCTTGGTTGGATCAACAGTGGACAAATCAGTATTGGATGTGATGGAAACTCTAATAATCTTATCTTTTGCAGTATCAACAACAGTGATAGTCAACTTGGCAGTTGTAGTTCTGATATCCTTTGTACCTGTTGTAGTGAATGTATATTTACCAGCAGGTAAGGACTTTGAGAATGAGGCAGATTCAGTAGCAGCTGGGGCCACACATGTGTTACCATCAGCATCAACACAAGTGCTTGTAATGGCCAAAGTACCAGTAGTATCGCTTGGATCAACAATATTGACAGTGAAGTCAACAGCATCATCCTTAGATTGGGTCATATCTGGAACACTGAATGTAACAGTTAATGGCTTTGCAACAGCCTTAATTCTAACAGTAGTGGAAACTTCAGAAGCTCCATTAGCAGCAGCAGTAACAACAATGTAATAGTCACCGACAGTAGAGATGGCAGTACTAGTCTTTGCAATAACAACCATGTTATCCTTAGTTACAATGGTTGGAGTGGCAATAGAGTTGATATAAGCGAATGAATAAGCAACAGAACCATTACCCGTGTAACATGTTGGGAAGGAAATTACTGGAGTGATAATGCTAGTAGTACCAATCAAATATTCAACAACTGAACCTTCCTTAATAGAAAGACCTGGGGCAGGACTAGCAGTTACAGTGAATGAGACACTCTTTGATGATGATGAGGCACTGAATGATGAAGTAACAGTGACTTGAACAGTGTAAGTACCAGCAACAAGACCAAGAGAAACCAAGTTAAGTCTAACACCACTTGAGGTAACCTTGAGAGCATTATTCAATGTAGTCTGGGCATCAGCAGTTGGAGCAGCAGTGCAAGTCCAAGCAAAGTTCAATGGACGACGATCAGTAGAAACAGAGTCAAATGCATTCAAAGTGACAGTATCACAAGTGGAAACAACAGCCTTATCGGTTGTCAAATAAGCAGTTGGTGCGACAGCAACAAAGCTACCAACCTTAACAGTTACGGAAACAGTATTAGAAACATCACCAAGGAGTGTATAAACTTGCAATGAATCACCAAGCTTTACAGTAGCACCAGCCCCCAAAACAACTTCGAGCTTACTGACACCGTCCATGTTACATTGAACACCGGCACCAAGGGTAGCAACTGATGTGAAAACTTGAGAACAGTTAACAGATTTCTTCATACTAGTGTAAACAGTGGCAATAATTCTATCACCAAATTGGTTAAAAGCGAAAGAGGAACTGTCTACCTTATAGTCACAAGCGCTACCTTGGAAACCATCAGCACATTTACCAGCAGCACACTTTTGGGCAGAATCATAGTGACCAACACATAAACAAGCTCCAGTCTTGGTACAAACACCATTACCATTACAAGTAGAGGCAGAACAAGCAATATCACAGTTATCACCTACAAAACCAGCCTTACAAACATTACAGAATTCACCATCCCAGTTTCCAGAACAGACACACTTGAATTTTTCATCGCATGAACCATGGGAACTACAAGTTGTATTGGCAGAACAAGTAGCTTGAGTACAAGTCTCACCAGTGTATGCAGGACTGCAGGATACACAGGTATTTTCAAGATTGTTCCAGTTGGAAACACAAGAACACTTATTTGGACCAACACAAGTACCCTTAGAGCTACCACCACATACAGTGCTGTTGGACTTATCAATACCCCAACAAGAGAAGGAAGAACACGTCTTTCCAGAGTAACCAGAAGCACATACACAAGAATCAGGAGCTGTGCAAGACCCCTTTCCAGAACAAACACTGCTAGAAGTAGAAGGAACATTGAAACAAACTGGAATAGAACAGTCAGAACCTGTATAACCAGTCTTACACTTTGAACAGAAAGAGGCAGAGTCAAAGTTACCATTACAAATACACTTATCAGTGGCGCTACATGTACCATGGAATGAACAGCCACCTTCAGCTTCACTCTTACCATTACAAGTAATTGGAGCAGTTTCACAGTTCGAACCAGTGTATCCGTCAGTACAAACACAGACACCCTTTGAGCAGGAACCATGGCTGCCACACTTAATGTTGGTACATGGATCAACAGCTTGATCACAGAGAGTACCAGTATAACCAGTTTCACATTGACAGACACCATCAATGCATGAACCGTGTACACAATTAATATCAGCACACTTATCAGTATTGTTAGATGTAACAGCTTGATCACAGAGAGAACCAGTATAACCAGTTTCACATTGACAGACACCATCAATGCATGAACCGTGGACACAATTGATATCAGCACACTTATCAGTATTGTTAGATGTAACAGCTTGATCACAGAGAGAACCTGTATAACCAGTTTCACATTGACAGACACCTTCACTGCATGAACCGTGGACACAATTGATATCAGCACACTTATCAGTATTGTTAGATGTAATAGCTTGATCACAGAGAGAACCTGTATAACCAGTTTCACATTGACAGGCACCATCAATGCATGAACCGTGTACACAATTGATATCAGTACACTTATCAGTAACTGTACCATTGCTAGTGCTATTGTTGCCACCTGGAGTCGATGGATCGGTATTATTGCCAGTACTGTTATTACCACCTGGAGTTGATGGATTAGTATTATTGGAAGATGGATTTGTTGGATCAGCTGTACCATTACTAGTATTGTTATTACCACCTGGAGTCGATGGATCGGTATTATTACCAGTACTGTTATTACCACCTGGAGTTGATGGATTAGTATTATTGGAAGATGGATTAGTGTTGTTACTTGTTGGATTTGTTGGATCAGTTGTACCATTGTTAGTGCTATTGTTACCACCTGGAGTTGATGGATTAGTGTTGTTACTGGTTGGATTTGTTGGATCAGCTGTACCATTACTAGTATTGTTATTACCACCTGGAGTTGATGGATCTGTATTATTGCCAGTACTGTTATTACCACCTGGAGTTGATGGATCGGTATTGTTGGAAGATGGATTAGTGTTGTTACTGGTTGGATTTGTTGGATCAGTTGTACCATTACTAGTATTGTTATTACCACCTGGAGTTGATGGATTGGTATTATTACCAGTACTGTTATTACCACCTGGAGTTGATGGATCAGTTGTACCATTGTTAGTGCTATTGTTACCACCTGGAGTTGATGGATCGGTATTATTGGAAGATGGATTAGTTGGATCAGTTGTACCATTACTAGTATTGTTATTACCACCTGGAGTTGATGGATTAGTTTCATTGTTAGTACTGTTATTACCACTTGGAGTTGATGGATCTGTACTATTAGACGAGTCAGTATTATTAGCAGAAGGACTTGATGGGTCAGTAGCATTGTTACTACTATCAGAACTATTGTTACCTTGAACAATTAGAGAATCAGTACAAGTTGGTCCATCATAATTGGCAGTACAATTACAAGTACCAGAAGTTAAATCACAGACACCACCATTAGTACAGTTGGCATCAGAAGTACAGGCTGGAACACAGAGAGAATCATTATATCTAACCAAACCAGTATCGCAAATACAGAGGGATGTATTAGTATCACAAGCTAATGTGGAAACACAGTCAGCAGTAGTGTTACATGCTGCTTCGTAAATACCAGAACCAGCACTTACACCTCCAGAAAGGAAGAATAAGGCTAGAACGGAAACTATGGAAAGGAGAACAATATTAACCGTCCTGTTCATTATTGATTTTTTTTTAGTTCGGTTTTTGAGGTGGTAGCAATGAGCATTTATTAAAAAGCCTTACACCCGCCTTAACCTTCTTAGAATTGCATTTTGGCGGGCTGTAATGCATGTAATCGTTGGTTACAAAATCCTATACAGTTCATTTTAGGACAAGGTTTAAAGCGAATTTCCGGTGATGATCAAATGATGTAACAAAGCTCGAATGCAAGTGTAAAATTCGAGATTAAGCTTTCATTTGCTACATGGTGCTTCCACATTGTTACTTGGAGGCAGGTATTCGTTGTGGATCCTTAAATGGATAGGATATAGAAGACGGAGTTCAATCATACAAAAACTATCAGACTCGATAGATTAATAATGAGTGAAGAGAGGAATATTAAGAATGATAAAATTGAAAATCTTTCTATCACCAACAAGTGGAGTATGCCACTGAACTGTTTTGGTCCATCTCCACGATTGGAAATTATCAGTGTTATTAGGAAAATTTTGATTTTGGAAATTATCTTTAGAATAATTATCAAAAACTAAGGTTTTTGGTAACTTCTTAACTGTTTTTGAGACAAGAAACAATCAGGATTTATTTATCATTTTTAAAAATGTAAATTTAAACATCAGCCAATCCAGTATATCTATACAATAAATTCATGTTATAAGAATTATTGAGTAATTTTAAAAAACTTACACATCAGCCTCAATTCCGCACTCATTATCACCTCTCTTGATTTTGAATAAACCGTTCAAACCCCAATCCTGTAGTAGATTAATTTGATTATTATAATTTAATATATTATTCCAGTAATATGTTTAAAGAAAATAAAACTTACAGGACCCCAAGAGTTGGCAACCAACCAATACTTGACATTATTTTCAACACCCCAACCAACAATCTTGATTGCGTGACCACCAAGGAAAGAACCAGTTTGATGAGTGTAAACACCTGACTTGTAACTCATGAAATCTCTATAATATTTCAATCAGAATATACATGAAAGCTGAGGAAAAAATTAAACATTCTCTACTTACTGATAAACACTGAATCCAGATTGAACAGGACCATTAGTGGCAATTTCATTCATGATCTTTTCTTCCTGTTATTAAATAAATTATTGAAAAGTATAAATAAAATTGTTAGAATTATATTGTTAGTTGTGTGCTGATGTAATTAAATAGCACTTACCTTAATGAAGAAACCAGCAATACTACCAACTTCATACCAGTCCTTTGCCTTGTACTTGACAGAGTCAATTGGAGTACTAGTACCATTGCAACTTTGAAAAGATTTTAAGATGAATATGATGATTATAATAAACTTACTACTTTGGACAGGATGGTGCGACACCATTTCCAGATGAATATGGAAGGCATTGATCAGTAACAATACCAGTATGTTTCAAGTAAATCCAAGCAGCCCACAAAATACCACCATCACAACTATTCCATCACAACATCAACATTTCGAATAAATATATAACAACAAATTAAACATACCCAGCGTTATACCAGTTGCAACTGACCAAATCTTGAGGAGACAAGACAACATTAACCTTACCACCAGAAGCAATACAGAATCTATCAGACAAGACTTCAGATGACTGAATAAATAAGTTTCTTATTTGTTAATTAACAAAACTTACAGAAACTAATTTTCACAGTTAAAATTCAAAATAACACAATTAAAACAACTTACAAGCCCAACAAGAACCACATTGTTCTTGATTTCTAATTGGATGAATACAAGTTGGCCACTTTTCTCTAGAATCGAAACTTTCTGGCAAGGAAGAAGCAGCACCATTAGCCAAATAGTATTGTTCAATCAACTTTCTTTCATCATCAGAGTATCTAATAGTTGGTTTAATACCCTATTATTCAATAAAATCATCAACATCATCATATAATATTCCAAAGTATATTCCAAAGTGTGAGAGAATATCACATCATTTTCATCATCATGTTGAATTATCATAGTATGTATTATTTTGAACAATGTTATATTCATCATCAGCATATGTGTGCCAAAATAATGACAGTCACAGTTTATATACAATTATCGTTGCATCACACATAAAAATATTATAATTAAAACAAGAGAAAATAATAATACAAACCTTCAAACCCAACATTTTCTTAACATCACCAACAGTTTTGCCGACAAACTTCTTATTGACACCAGATTGCCATTGAGCACCAGATCTTCTGACCTTCTTGATAATATCAATGTTGAGAGCAGGTTGAGCATCTTCATCATGGAACAATTCAGCTCTTGCCATTGCAGCAATAGCAACCAAGCACAAGAGTGCAAGAATAAATCTCTTCATATTTTTTTTTAACAATATTGAAGTGTGATGGGACGGAGTCACAAACCTCCAACTCCAATGGATCAAAGATTTTTATTAATAATAGATTGCCTTATTTTCTAAAATCATGTTTATCTCAATTAAAGAATTATCCATTTAAAGATTGTTTTATTTACATTTTCATTATATTGAAATACTCTACAGTATTCACTGAACAATTACTCTTCTGAATCTTCGTTTCAATTGCTTATCTTCCATTTGAGATCGATGATCACCTAACTTTTTACCTTTAGGATTGAAATATTCTGGTGCTTCTTGTGGTGGTAAAATATAGATTGGAAATGATTTTGTGCCATGATTTGGAAAAGATGTTCCAAGATTAAGAGCAATCTTTTGAACATCTTCCATTGAGGGTGGTTCAAGTTTTTCCAACTTTGGTGGACTGAGGGGAGGTGAAAAGGTTGGTAACGAGTGACACGAAGGCTTTTTCTTTACCTTAACAATGGGAATTGGTGTTGCACCTAGGAGCATCAGGTTCTTACTCGAAGACCTGGCTAATTTAGTTTGAAAAGAGTAATGATCAAAGGAGGAAGAAGATTGTGGGGAAGTAAAACTACTTCCTCTTAATGATGGGAAATTTGGAGAGGTCATTGGGGAGGAAGTTGTTGTCGAGAGCTTGGAGGGTTTTGGCGGAGTGGAAGGACATGTTACAGGCCGATTATCGTCTGATGAAGCAAGTGTAGATAGCTTGATTGTTAAAGCAGATTTTGGAGGAGTACTCGGCACGAGATGACCATTTCTATTCACAGAAGGAAGGGATTTAGATGAGGAGAGATATACACTAGATGCAGATTCTGTTTTCTGAAGAAGTGAGTCGCTGAAGGATTGATGTTTTCTGAGTGGTTGCTTCTTCAACAGGCGTTTGCATTGAGGGCAGAATTTCTGAGAACTTTCAATCCAGTGAGCCTCTCCATCCATGTTTTCCTCATGTATTGATAGTTGATTGTCGCAAACACACTTAGGGAGAGAACTAAATGTTGATTGTGAAACTCCCATTCTATATTAAGGATACTGTGGAAGAAAGTTATTAAGCGAATCAGCACCAGTAGGGTATATAGTACAATGTTGAAATTAGTGAATAAGCAGCGGCAGTAACAATAAAGCTGCAACTAACAGATGATATTAACAGCAACAACACGTGCGAATGCCTTAAAAGACGCGCAAATAGTAATATTTTCACCCAGTTTTAAGGTATTACTATTCAACAGAGTGAAGTAAAACAGAAGAAGGTGTAAGGGTTGTTGCGTTTTTTTTCTTATCTGTAAAATGAGTCTGTAAATGAGAATACACAAAAAAATACGCTCCCTTCATACCCAAAATTATCAAATTGCCCATTTGAATTGATGGTGAACATTTGAATTGGTCAGCTGAATTGGCATGTTTTTAATCTCTGTATGATGAGCATGTTAGATAGATAATACTATGTAACTATGTTTTTATTGAAGTAGTACTTGATATGAATGAGATTTTAATAACAATGGTCAAGGAACACAGAGTAGCTACAAGTTGTCGTTGATATTCTATTTATGTTTTACTGTAAATATTTTAGAAACAGATCAAAACTTTCTACTCCTTCTTCAAAAAACTCCCATGTAGAATGGAATCATATTTAGTTGAACAAACAAGGTTAATAATTTGACTTTTTTCTAAATTACTCCTTAATAGATGATAAGCAAAAACAAACTCCTTCTATTGTTGTATTAGATCTTTCAAAGAATATCTAAACAAATGATTGATATGTTTACTACTAACCAGATTACTTTGTAATATAAATAAAAATACAACAAATTTGAATATTTCAACTAATAATATGGTTATAAAGTTATTTATTGATTCATAATAATAATATTATTTGATTTCAACACAATAATTAAGTTTTTTAAAAAATTTTAAATTCAAAAAAAATGGGTAGACGACCAAATATTCAACACACGGAAAAACAACTTCTTCAACATAAAGTAAATGTTCTTTCAAAAATCGGACAAGAACGTAATCAATATGGATATTCACGATTTAAAGAGAGAGATTTATGTGATGCAGAAAAACCATCCATGTATTTACGATACAAACATTTATATAACAATGATATGGCACAGGAGGAAGATGACATTTTCAAAAATTCTATCGATTCAAAGGATAGTTTCCTGAATGAAATTAATGATAAAAAACAAGAGGAGGAACAAGATGATTTCTTTATCGATCCCGAGACTGTCAGTAAAAAGAAACAGAAGAAACTTTCCAAGATGAAATTTAAACAATGTGAGGAGAAGAGATTTACATCATCGGATGGTGAAGTAATTTCATTTGATACTAATACTGAAAAAAGTAAAAAGAGAAGGAGAGAATATGGAGAACATGTCATGACACCTTCTATAGAATTACAGAGAAAATTGGATCCAAAGCATTTCAAGGAAAATGTTAATTTCATTCCAATACCAGAAAAGTCAAATAGATTGTTGAAAAAGAAAAAGATACAGAATGTTAACACTAATAAGGAACAAGTCAATCATGATGATTCTAATGATGAATAATTTCCCTTCTTTTTCAGAGAAAATATTTTGAAATTAATTTTGAAAATAATTTTGTGAAAGGATTTTCTGGTAATCCTATTATTGATTCAATTTGCTTTGGAGATGAAGTATCCTCCTTTTGAACTTGTTAATGATAATTTGTCATAGTAAATATAAATTATTTCTGAATCTTTTATTTGTTTCCACTTCAGGTTTATTTGAATATTCGCTATGAAAATGTTTGAATGTTTATTTGAGCTTAAAGAAATTATTTTAATTAAACCTTTGCATGAACAACTTCAACATTAACCGTATCCACCTCTGTAGTCAGAACAAAGAACGTCACTGTTGAACCAACAATTTGAGTATTTTCATTCGTTCTAATATTGAGTGGCTTTCTAACAATTTGTGGAGAATTCATTGAAAAGACATAAATATGAGAATCACAAACAGTGGCAAAATAAGAATAGTGATCAAATCTTGCCAATTGTTTTGAACATGATTTGGCTTGAAACTCAACCTGATACCCGAGTGTTGCTCTGAGTGAATCTTCTGAAATATCAAACTTGTACATTGAATATTCATTGGTTGAATTTGAAACATGACAAAAGAATAGAATACTATCCACTTGACTCATCACATTGGAGCACCTACTCAAATCAATTACCTTTCCATTTCTATCTTTCAAAAGATCTGAACTGAGCGATCCCTTAGTAATAAACTTTTGATCTACGATATGCAGCCAGTAGGCATTAGAGGTTTGAACCTTCTTTTCAAATCCAACAATATATCTCTCATCAAATGATAATATTGATGGATTCAATTCAACTACATATTGATTAATTTCTGTTTGTCCAACCACATGTCCACTTCCAATATTAATTCTTGCAATTCCTCCACTAAATGAAACAAATAATAAATCTTCATCATAGAGCATTTGACTTGACTTTGAAATTCCTGTAAGTGATGAAACCCATATCAAGTGTGATTTCATAACATTGTAATTAATCAACTTTCCATTCGACAAGACGAACATCTTATCATGTGGATCTACACAAATAATTGAATCAATACTTGGCATTAATGTTGAATTGGCAATAATTTGAAAGGATGATTTGCTACTACTGCTGCCCTCCACATGAAATTTCATTATCAAATCATTTCCAGATGTTAAATTCCTCATCACTGTATAATAAAATCCCAAATTATCCATTTCTGCTGGAATACTCAATTTCATTTCAAGATTATTCGGTATTTCCAAAAGAATCTTCCATTGCTCCTTTTGATTAAATTCAACAAGATGGCTTTTATAATCCCTACCAATATCCTTCATTTTCTTTTCATTGTTACCATCATCATGATTTTTAATATTATTATTATTAAATTTTAATATATTTGATGATGTAGTAGAAATTGCAAATATTCTCCCTAGCGGAGGTACAATTAAAATTGATTCTGGAATTAAATTAAAACCACCTTGTGAATCATGAGAGTAGTGTTCAAAAATTGATTCGGGAAAGTATCTATTTCTATATTGATTTCTATTGGGTTGAGACCATTCGTAGGCAAGTGTGAAAAATCCATTCATGATTGTCATGATCATTAACATCATCAATGTGATGAGGATCAACTTTTGCGTTGGAATTTTCATTTTTTTTTAATTTTCATATTGGAATATTAAGTGTTTTTGATATACTTCCAAATTTGTCTCTTGTTTGGATACTAAGGAGGAGGATAATTATTTCACAATTGAAAAATAGTAGAAAATTACAAAAAAACAATTTATAAACAAGTACAGTTTTAAAAAAGAGAGCCAATACTGAGTGGAGAGGAAAGATCGTTGGCCGATGACTTTTTCTTTGGTGTGGAAGGTTCTTCTGGAACTTTTTCCTGTTCAAGTTGTAATCTGGCATTTTCAACTCGTTCTCTAAATTCAGTAAATACTCTTCTGATGGCAATCATTGTTTGACTGTTTGCTCTGCTCACACCTTGAGTAAAGACGGAAATATCCATCTTGCTCAGTTTTCCCTTCTCTACAAGTTCATTCAATAATTTCGATCCAGCTACATAGTTGCTAACACAAGCCGCTAAATGCATCTTGTTGTAGCATTGGAATGAATATAAAATCTTGTTAATGTTGGCCAAGTTTGGTGTATCAGAGAAAATCGATCTTTCAATAAGATGAGGCAAAAATGAATAGTAAAGCTCTGAAATAGTCTCTGTAAAGAGTTGTTGGAGGGCTATGGCATCTTCACCTTCAAAATTAACCCTCTCAGTCAATAGTCCATGTAAATAGACAGAAATGTAATACGAAACTGATTTTACAGGTGCGGCTACAGCATTGGATTTGTCTAACACACCATATTCTGATCTGTAATCAAAATATTTGATACACAATTGAGTTATCTTGGTTTCTAAAATTGAATAGAATATTTGGTTGGACAAGTATCTGGTAGGATAAAGTCTCCAGGTAAAGTTTAAATATCTAAACAATGACACTAGTAAATCTCCATTCTCATCCTCTGAAAAGACATCAATGAGGAATGGTGAAAACTTTTCATATTTTTGCTTCTTCTTGGCAAGCCATAATAATCTCTTATCGAAAATGTCTGAATTGGTCAGATTATAGGTCAAAACAAAGATTGGAACAAAGTATAACATGAAAGTTTCTGGGAATGGAGATTGACTCATACCGGATAATATTATTCCAAAAAGTTCCAAGATTGAATGATAAGGTTGAGAGTTGAGGAATGAGGATTGGAATTGAGCTGTCATTGCTTCAAATGTTGGAACCATTTCAGATACTGAATTTTGTTGAATGTAAGCAGCAATGTGAGATTCGTCAATACCTTGTTCCAAATCCAACACTTTACCAAAGCAATAAAATTGAGAGCATACACGGAGAAGTTTGTGAAGGAATGGAATGGCGAGAGGGTTTGAACCTCCAATAGTGGTTATCATTGTCTTCCACAAGTCTGTTATGTGGTTGCAAAGCAAGTGTTGATCAACTTGTGTTCCCCAATGATTGGTTAAATATTGATTAATATCTGTGCAAGTGGAAGGAATAATTCTTACAAATAAATGTAATACTCTCAGGGTCAAGCTTAAAATCTTGTCAAAATGTGGTGAAATATTTGGAATAAGATGCTCATCAGCAGATGGATCAAAGGCATGCAAAAATGTTTTCAATTTTCTCAATTCGAAATGCAAACTGATCGAAGAGTTGAGAGCATTTTCAGAGCTGAGAACTTCGAGGTTTCCTTGAGAATATTGCAAGAGGGCTTCCCTTTCTTTCAAAAGTGATTCAATAGACTCGAAAATAGTATTAAAAACTAGGGTGAACAGCTCTTGTTGTTGGGAAGGTAATGCTGAAACTATAAAGCTGATACCTCTATACATTTGATGTGATAGACTGTGCTCAATTTGATTCAAGAATTTAAATTCATACACACTCTTTACCAAATTGAAAAATAACTCTGATGCTCTACCGCTGGTATCATTTCTGCAAATCTTTGAACCTTCTTCACACAGAGAGTTGAAAGAACTAACTGAAGAATAAATAACTGATTTGACATTATTCGAATTGTTGTATCTATGTTGTGTTATTATTAATTAAAGTAAAAAACTACTTACACTTTAGAGTTGAGAATTTGTTGGAATGAACTCATGGATTTCATGAGAAAGTTAATACACTAAATGATCGGTTGTTCTCCAAGTGCTACTATCTTATCTGAGAATACCTCAACTGTTTTTGAGATGGCTTTAAATAATGGAACTAGGAGGTAAGAGGACAAGTTAATAAGAATATTCTGTGTGTTTCTGCATCCACCACAAGTATTCTTTACCAAAGTTGTAATCATTCTAGTGAATTGTGTATGGAATGGATGAGTTATCAAGTTTGATACAGTTTGTGAGAGTTTAGCTACAATATCAGAAAAGTATTGAATTTGTGAGAATAGTTCAGCAAAATAGTTTTCACATTCTTGCTTTTTCATGAGGTCACCAAATGAATTCATGGAAAACAGGATAGATTCTAAAAGAGCAAGATCTGGTAGAGTGCTCATCAAGGCACATGCAACCTTTTCCATAAATTCCTCAGTTAGATCATTATTGGACAAATGTTGGGCAAGTTGTTCCATTCCTTGTTGCAAGTTGGAAATACTTTGTTTTTGGAAAAGATAAACAAGCTTTTCCTCGCATGCTCCAATGACCTTTCCTCTGAGTCCATAATAACAAGCAAGAAAGACTTCCTTACTAGAATCTCTAAAATTTTCAGATTCATCTGTATCATAATCTATCAATCCAATAGTTTGAATGGATTTGTCAATGGCAGTGTTGATGGTTTTCTCCATTATTGACATGTGATATGGAGAGAGTTCTTTAGTAATCTCTTGTAATAGGTGGGATCTAACAGTCTCAGGAATATTCTTGAGTTCTGGTCTAGTCAAACCGAGTTTGATTAGATCAATATCAGTATTGTGTAAATGATACCAGAAAGGATGAGTAAGCTCGATTAGACTAAGGTCGGATCCTGAAGATAATTGATTGATAACCTCTATCAATTGTTTTGCTGTTGGATCCAGTAATCCTCCATTCGGTACTGTGTTGTACTTTACAGCCTGTTCAACAGCATCCAAATTAATGATCCAATCATTAATTTTTTCAGAAAATACCATGAACAATTTGATAATATCTCTACAAATATTCATACTGAAATCTGTATAGAAAAAGTGAAAAATGTTGGATGAATGTTAAAATTATAACAAAATCATCACTACAAACCTTCTTCAATGGTTTTACAGTATTTTTCATATTTAGAACACAGCATTGGAATGGAGTTGTGAATGTATTGTTTCAAAATATGAATATTACTCAAATAAATGGTAGTATGAAGCATATCATTAATACATTCGAGGCAAGGAGAAAGGAGGTCGTCACATCTTTCTGCCAATCCAAACAATATTTGGAGAAGTGTGCTATTTGAAAAAATAAATTCTGGTGAGATACCAAAACGAACCCAATCCTGTAGAACCTTGACCGATTTCTTTTTAAGATTGATCACAAATTCCATTTCCTTTCCTATACTTGCTTGATTAATACTCTATAAGACAGAAATACATACCCGAATTGGATGGAAAATTTTCAGATAACACCGTACTAATATACTCTAATATTTTAGTCTCCATTTTTCTCATCTCCTTCTTCAATTCAGCTTGTTGTGAATTACTAAAGACGCTAGTGGTCTCTATTTGTTCCAACAAGAATGCAAACCAATCAAGAGTGCAATCAGTCAAATTTACGTGAATAATTTGAGAGCTTGGCGAAAGTAAAAGTGAGGTATCATAAACAACTAAACTATTACTATTTCCACTACTATATTCCAACAAGATATTGTCTTGGAAAGGCTTGAATATTTCTGCAAACAAATCTACTTGATCCAAATTTGCCTCCAACACTAGAATCCAATTCAATGTGAGCATGGCAAGAGCTAGACACAATCTCGAGACAATATTACGATAGTCAATAATGGGTGTAGCAATATACTTGTTGTGAAAAAGAACTATTGCCTTGAGCAAGTATCTCCTCACCCACTCTATTTGGTTTTCATTCAATTGATGGAAATTGTGCATTGTTTTTTGGTAAATGAGTTGTGCAATTAAAAATTGTTCAGAAGGTTTCTAATAAAAATTAAATTATATAATTTTGGAATTAAAAACGTACTTGTATAATTTCATGATTTCCAAACTCCATCAATAATAAATCAAACAAAATTTCCCAAGCATCCGATGTTTTTCTAAAATCTTGAATAAATAAATCAGCCTCATGACTATTAAACATTAAAAAATTGTTAATATTTTCTCTCAATACTCTAATTTTATGTGATCTGAGTTCCGATGATGAATTTATTGGTGGAAAGGATCGTTGTACCATAGGTGAAGTCATTGGTACATGATTATATCCAAGGTTGCTAGGTGATGATAGGTGAATTAAAGGTGTTGCTGGTGTTGAAGGTTGAGAATAAATACGAGCCGAAGTAGAAAGAGGTGATGAAAGAATAGATTTTGAAGGAGGTGGCGTTTGAAAGGGAGAACGTCCAGAGTTATTAAACGGGCTATTTGGTGGATTCATTTTTTTGATTGTTTTTTTGACATTGTAAATTTGGCGGGATGAATGTGAATTTCACAACTCTTTGCAAATCAATATTTGGTATTGAGATTGACTATGTGGTATTCTCTAGACAAAGGGTTGTAATAGCACTGAAATAGATATTTATTATTCCTCTTCAACATAACGTTCAAAGAGTGTGCTAATTCCCAATTCAGTTGCCAATTCTTTCACAATTGGAAATGAATACTTGGAAGAAAGTGTCATCATGTGCTCTCCACTATTCATATTGGATTGTAAAATTTCATTCTTTTTTCGTTTCCATTCGAGGACATTCTTACTCAGTAGACTTGAAATGTGTGGAATATAGTCAATTGGACCAGTTAGAGAATCTACATGTTGGGAATTGCTAATGATATTTCTGAAAATGTACAACAATCTTGGTATGTCAAATAATTGTTTCTTATTGGTCTTGGTGCTAATCTTTACACTTGATGTTTCGTCTAATTTTTTCCTCTTTTTCTTTTGTTTCAATGAATTATCCAATAGTGTATCCCACTGTTTCGAATTTTTGCTAGCAACATAGGCTGCAATAATAATGTGCTTTTCAATTAATTCACTGGTTGAACCAATACTTTCACTCTCCAAAAATTCTTCCAAATTATTCTTCTTGTCAGATGGATTATTTAGGGATCTAGCAGCAAGCTCCTTCAAATTGTACACATCGAACATTTCTATCAATTGATGGAATGAAATATTGCTCACCAATTTGAAAAGACTCATACAGGTAATCTCATTCGTCGTGTCGACTTGAGTCAAACAATGTTTGAATAATCTAGGAATTATTTTAATAAATATTATAATATTCTTTTCCATACTCATGTGAACATTCAAGAAGAGTTCTATAAATTCCTCAAAAATCTCCCTATACTCACTAAACTCTACAATATTATTCACAAGATAGGACTTGATTACATCCATATCATTACAATTTACTGTATTATAAATTATGTTACTATATATATTGATAATATTATTAGAGTTGATATTTACATTATCAAACGATAAATGTTTGTTATCAATATAAAATACACAAATTCTATTAGAACTATTCCTAAATAAATTCATAAATATTGATAATAACTCAAAATCGTTAATACCTTTCAGAAGAATGCAAAACTTGTCAGTCAATTCACTCAATTTAGAGAAGAAGTAAACCTTGGAAGGTACCTTTCTGAATTTTGTGTGGTCGAACATTTTGATTAATAGAGAGTGTAAAACTGAAGACAAGGTACTATACTCTCTCACATCAATTTCGATAATAGAATACTCATAATCATCAACTTTTTTGACATACTTCATCAAATAATTGATATGATAATCTATTATATTACTATTCATATTCAAGTGAATAAATCCATGTTTCCACAAATGATAGATTGGATGAAAGTTATTCTCAATATATGGAAGAATCATTGGTGGTGTGACTAATTCATTCTCCAACAATAATTCAACAAAAGGATAGGAAGATCTCCGTCTATCAGCAGTTTCATCATCTTCCTCCTCATGTTGAATTGGCTTGTCCTCATGATTTTCTTCGCCATCAGAATCTTCCTCTTCGTCTTCATCTATGTACTTATTCATTTCATCTTCATCCTCTTCACCACCAGAATTATTTTCCTCCGAATAGACACCATCTGTCTTATCTTCCATTACTTCATCCTCAACTAGACTATTATCCATTCCATCACTCACTATTGAAATATCAATGCAACTAGAATCGTCATATTCCATATCATTATTACTACCAGTACTCCTTCTTTTGTTGTGATGATGAACCACTATTTCCTGTTTTTCCTTTTGATCAATGTCCTCTTTAACTTCGGAGGATGATTGTTCAACATTACGAGCAACAACGACAGGTGGTGGTACAATTGTTGTTGTTTTTACTTCTTCTTCTTCTTCAATGGGTTGAATCAGAATTTTTGTTCTCCTTTTTCTACGAGAAATAACCTTTGTTTTCAACACCTCCTCAACAACCTTTTCATCATTTTGATTATCGTTCATTTTTTTCAAATTTAATGTGGAATAATAACTTGTGGCGGGAAATGCACCAGCTGCTACCTTATTCAATTGACTCTCAACCGGTATGGTAATATGCAATAATAAATCAATCTATCTCTTCAATATGGCGAATAGATGACGACATGTATAAATGTGCTTCACGTTAATCAAAATCCATACACTCTCTTTAAATTTAAAAACAAATTTTCTCACCTTTCTTGTTGTGACGTCATTTTTGCACAACAATAAAAACAAGAAGGAAAATTGATTTTAATTTCATAACAGCAAAAAATGACCTTCTCCAATAACAACGAACAATCAGAAGCAACAGCTAGAGAGGTTGATGGGAATGCATCATCGGATAATCGCCCTGCTAATTTTGTTCAATTGGTAGATGGTGAAGGAAAATTTAGGTGAGTTTTTATTGGTGGGATTGTTTGTAAATATATGTTATTGTTGTTTTGATATTGGAAATTGTTCGGAATATATGATGATGATAATAATATTGATTCATATACATGATAATTTAAAAATAGTGAGACTTTGGATAGATTTGTTGGTCAAACCAATATGAGAGGAAAGGGAGATAATTATAATATTCTCTCTGTTTTTGGACCTCAAAGTAGTGGTAAATCAACCTTGTTGAATAGACTTTTTGGAGCTGGTTTTCCAACTATGGATGCAAGTACTGGTCGTTATCAAGTTACACTAGGAGTTTGTATGGCAAAGGCTAACAAAACATTGGATAAAGATATTCTCTTGATGGATTTGGAAGGAACTGACTCAAAGGAAAGAGGTTCTGGAGATGATAATATGGCTTTTGAAAGAAAGATTTCATTGTTTGCTTTGGCAGTTTCGGAAGTTTTACTTGTAAATATGTGGATGCAAGATATTGGTAGATATAATGCAGCTAACCTTGCATTACTTCGTATTGTTTTTGAATTGAATTTACAGTTATTTACTAAGGACAAGTATGTTTTTGATCTTTTTCAAGTGCTTATTTTAATATGATGTTAATTATTTAATTTTACAGATCTTCCAAGACACTTTTACTTTTTGTTATTAGAGATCATATTAGAGAAATGACACCACTAGAGGCTTTACGTGATCAAATGATCAAGGATGTTGAAAAGCTCTGGGGTAATATCATGAAGCCAACACAATTTGAGGATTCTAAGGTGACAGACTTTTTCGATTTTGAATTTACTTCACTTCCACACAAGCTCTTGCAAGAAGACCTTTTCAATAAGGAAATTGAGCTCATGAGAGATAGATTTGTCAATCCAAACGCTAAGGGCTATGTTTTCAATCCAAAGTATAAAAAGTCAGTGCCAATAGACGATTTTGAAATGTATGCTAAAGATATTTGGGAAGTCATTTATGCTAACAAGGATTTGGATATTCCAACTCAAAAAGAAATGTTGGCCATGTATCGTTGTGATGAAATTTCCTCTGCCTTGTACAGACCTTTTGAAGAACAAATTATTGAATGGAGCGAAATTCTCAAGAAGAAGCAATTGGTTTCCAAGTTTGGAAGCAAATCTCACGACATTATTGAAAAGACCCTTGCTCACTTTATGGATCAAACTAAATTATACGTTCCAGATGTTGTTCACAAGAAGTGTGAAGAATTTAAGGAAAGAATGGTCTCTGAAGTTGCCATATTATTCACTTCTCAAATTGCCCTCATCAAGCAACAATCTTTGGATGCTTTCAAAAAGTTTATGTTCTCCAACGTACAAAAGAAGATTGACGATAATGAAATTGTTGATGATTTTACCAATACTACAAAGCAAACTCATGACTATATCACCAATTTCTTTACTGGTTTGGCTGAGGAATCCATCTATCCAGGATTGAACTCTGATGAACAATTCAACTTTAACCCATCCTTGGAATCTTTGGAAGAGGAAATTAAGAATATTATTGAAGAATACAGACACAAACAAGTTGAAGTGATTGTCAAGATTCAAATTGATGAAATGAAGAAACACATTAGAGAAGATATTAATCAATGGGTTACGAAACCAACTGAAAAACTCTGGGTTACTCTTTCCAATTACTTGACCAAAGTTGTAACCGAAGAAAAGGAGCATCTCGCCAAATCTCTCAAGGACTTGGATATTGCTGATTGTTCCAAATTTGTACCAAGAATTAGAGTTGCTGCCAGAAATGAAATTGTTACCAAGGTTAGAGAAATGTCCAACGTAATCTCACTTACACTCACCAGTAGATTTGAAGATTTATTCAAGAGAGATGAAAATAACATTCTCAGAGCTTGGAAGAATATGGAGCAAATTAAGGAAGATTATACCAAAGCTAGACAAGAAGCCATCAAGATTCTTGATATTTTCTTCCTTTGTAGATTAGATCATCGTGAATTTGATGATATTCACCTTCGTTTACCAAAGTTAGATGAATCAGGAGGTATTGGTGATTTTGCATTCCCAGCTTCTGATGATATTCGAAAGGTCTTGAAGCATGTCAAGGTTGAGGAGTCCTCCACTAACACTGATGAAGGAAATGAAGTTGAAAAGAAGGATATCATGTCCTTGTTTGAAGAAAACCTTATCATGAGTGAAAATATCTGTATTAGAGCCTACGAGAATTATATTATGAGAACTGACAATATTTACGGAGATGTGCAAAGAGCTCAATTGATTGCTCAACAAAATAAGGCCAATATTCCATATTGGGTTTATATTTTACTTGTAGTTTTAGGTTGGGATGAAATTTATTCTATTATCAGAAATCCAATTTACCTCATTCTTATTTTGGTGGTTGTTGTCTTCCTCTTCCAAACTTGGCTCAAGACAAAGGTTCAAGAATTGATTGAAGATCCAGAAACCAATCCAACAATTGCATTTGCACTCCAAATGGCTCAAGTCCACATCTTCCCTTACCTTGCCATGGCCAATGTTGAAAGAATGATTCCTCCACCAGCAACATTAACCTCCACTAATACTACTAGTAGCAGTAATTCATCATCCAATGTTAGATTTGAAGAATCTTCATCGGAATCTACTGTCAGACAAAGATCTCAAGTTAAGAAGGCCAAAATGGAAAATCAAATAAGTTTGCATCAACATGATGAATAAATCTCACAGCACAATGTGTGCTAGAACTTCATTCATGATTGGTATTGTTGTAAAACGCCAAAATTTGTAACGGTTCTTCAAAATCAAGCAAAATTTCCAAAAAAAAATGACAGCTTTCACAATATGCAGAAATATTTCAAGAATCCATGTCGGAGCGCAATATGTGATGTTACTAGTCATCATGATGACAGCTTCATCATCTCTATGCAATCATTTATTGCAACCCCAAAATACTAACGAAACTTTCGAATATCAATTATTAGATAAATTAAACTATCCACTCCATGAATGTCTCGATTTAAATCCAGTCAATGAATATTATTTTACCAAATTATTCACCTTTGACACACCCATTGAAAATTTCTGTTCACCTTCTTCCAATCATGCTGTTATTGCTTGTGAAAAACTTTGTGAATTTAATTTTTGGGATTTTACAAACAAGTCAACATTGATAGAATTATCGAGAATTGTAAATTATTGTTTATATTGTAATTCAACAGATACAATTGAATTTTTAGAATCAAATTATGGAACTTGTTCAATATTTAACATTTTTAATCAATCAATTAGTTTATATCAACATGTGATTCAATCACATTGTAATGGAAATTCGAATAATTTGGTGAATGTGCCATTATTTGATCATACATTTTTAATATCAGACTATTTTAAGAATACTTTTTATAATTATTTATATAGTTTAGATTCGACCATTTCTAGAAGTTTATACTTGAAGAATGTTTCACTTCCAACATTTTTTGAATTTTATTTCAAACCCATCATTCAAAGATATGGATTACAGAGTGAATTTTTCAATCAATCTAATTCTCTCAATTTACAAATAGGAATGAATATTCCCTATCTATGTTGGTGTGATTATCAGACTGAATATTCTTCATTTGGATTTGTTTGTAATGATTTTTATCATCGATATCAGACACCAATGGCTTATTTCTATGCAGCAATCTTTTTTGCATTGCTCTATGTTGGCTTGTTCTTCTTTTTGATATTATTTGTTTTCATTCCAAGAATTGCTGAGCGAATTGTTTCATTTAAAAAGAAAATGATGACCAATATTGAAGAAACTAATCGATTCAAAACTATTTTGTGGTTTACCAGACACTTGTTTGATATTGTCAGTCATCCAATTATTTGGTTTTGCATTTCTGCGTTTGCTGGATTTTTAGAAAACTTTTTCAGGTTTTTATTCAATTTTTCAGGAGTTCACGATTTTTTCCTTGCCTATTTTGGAGGAGTTTTTAGAGCTATTAGTGCAATTTGTGTTTTGTGTGGATATAGTTCAATGGTTATTTTGTGGTCACACATTATTGATCTATCACAGAGGAAAGATGCAAGTAATAGAAAGCTCTCCAAAATTAACAAGATTATTCTTGCAGTATTTTATGTGGCATTGATTATTGCCCTAATTATTGCACTGATAGTTTTCGTTTCGGTTTCGTATTATGGTTATGCGTGGGTTGTGTTGGCGATATTTGCATTGATTTATTTATTCACCTTTGAGATTGGATTTTCTTTTTATGGAGTCAAAATATTCTTGACATTGAGGAGGAATAATGGAGGTGTTTTGGAGTATAGATTTACCAAGTTTATTTTGATTGTCTCTGTATTGTTCCTTGCTAATTGGTTGGTGGTATTTTTGTGTGTACTGACCTATGCTTTTGGATACGATGTGATTTCAGTGTTTTATGGGGTTGTGAGGAATATTTTCCTAGATTCTTGTATATTTGCTGTATTGTCATTCTCTACCTATATGACATTTAAGGAAGAAACTTTCAAGATTGTTTATGGAGACAAGTTGACAAGAGCTGTTAACAGACTGTTTAATAGTAATTCAAAGGGAGAATCATCCACTGCAGAAATGAATAAACAGCCTGCTTTATAATCTTTTTACAACAAATTATCAATAAGTAACTATTTTACAGTATGGCTTAAGTTTTAATATTTACATTAATTTTATTGGAATAAACTCCAAGGATCATAAGGAGCGCTGCTGCTTGCACTACCAAATGAAGAGTTGGATGGTGAGGGTGATGACATATTTCCATTGTTATTTTGTGTCATTAGTTTGACAAAATCCATCATTGATGACAAGAATGAATCTTGATTATGATGATTCCATTCAATATGTACTGGAGGTCTCAATAAATTAGTATCAATAGGAGGTAACATGGTTATGGAAGGTTGTGTTTGTTGCTTTTCCTCCTGTCTTTTCAGAAATTCTTCACATTTAGCAATGAGTTCCTTATCAATATTGTAAATTGATTTGAATCTACTTGCCAATAATTTAATGGCCTTTAAATCCTTTTCCAAAAGTGAATAATTATCGAATGAGATTGTCTTTCCTGAGGAGGTTTTGATTCTAGATCTCCTGTCACGTAGACCCATCTCAACTTCCTGTGAAACTTTCAAGTGGAATTCACATGCTTTTCTTATTCCAATATCTACAGCTGGAAGTGCAAGTCTATATATATTTTAACAAATAAAAGAAAATATTAGTAAAAATCAAAATCAAAATCAAAAACATACTTGAATAAATCATTTTCAGTTTGGAGAGTAATTCTCAAAGCAACTTCTTCAATGAGTTCACCAGCCAATTCAGGAATTTTTCCATAGAATAGCAATCTGAATCCATCATGAATAATATTCCTAATCAAACTTTCAAATTCCAAATAATTCTTTGAAATTGAATCATTGCTCAAGTTACTTGTCATCATATGTTTCTTATGTTGATCCGCAAAAAGAAAGACATTTTCCAATAATTGTTTGAAAATCATGTAATTTGCTGAATTAGGTTCTGCACTCTTCAAATATTCCCAAACTTCTGGTATTACAACATCCTCAATATTTCTTCCCGACAGTACTTGGAAGAACTGTGGCAATCCACTAATAAATGACTTGAAATCTTTTGGAGGTTCGTGTTCACATACGTGCTTAATTAGCAAATAGGAATGATAAAAATTCTTCTCAAAAGCATCCATATCATCTATATTGTCTTTCATTTTGAAGAAATAAGTTACGTAGTGTCCAAAAAACTTTCCCTTTTTCTCTTGACTACCCTCAATGAGAAAAAACAGAGCTATAGTATGACAACCTGCAACAAAATACAAGTTTTCAAAACATTCTATGGAATGTTTTGTAATTTCCTTTTCACATATACTTGCAGTGAGGGTAGCCAATTCCGTTTTGGCATGAAATTGATAATACACAGTCAGAAGGGCTGAATACATTATATATAATCCTCTCATTTCCTCCTCTGACTTGATTAAATCATTAGTTTCCAATGTAAGAGGTTCCGTAGAAACTCTCATAAATTGATTCAAACAATTCGTTACAAAATAAGTAAATTTGTGTTTTGGTAAAACTGCTAAACCATCCGACAGGTAGTCATAATAAAATTCCACAAGTAAATTTGGATCCAAAAGTCCAATTTCCTTCCATTCTGGTTGAATTTTAATCTTTCTCTTTTTTGGTTCTGGAGGATACTGATCCGAGCCTTTTCCTCTCTTTCTAGGATTATCATACTTTAAAAAGGTTTACAATTATTGTAAAGTTAAAAAAAACTTACTTCACAAGCAATTCCTCTACTGGCACAATACGAGCACATTGGTAACTTTTTATCACACTAATGGATTTCTAATAACAACAAACAACACAAAGTCAACCTACTTTTTTATGATTCGTTCTACATTTATTACAGGAAATCGGATGAAACATTGTTTCGGAACTTGCATCTGTTCCTTCTGAAGTTTTTCGAAGAACATTCTCTTCTTCATCTTCTCCATTATGAATGGACATGTTTAATTCATCCTCTCGTTGAGTCATTTTTTTCAAGTCCGAGTACCGCCAAAATTTTCAAACACGTTTGTTGTGGAAAATCTACAATTCCAACTTCAGAGGCGGGAGAATCAACCCGCAAGGGTTTATAACAGAATTTGTTCTATAATCCCTCTAATCCAATAGAACGAGCAATGCAAAAAAACAATTGAAAGAATATGCATGCGCATTTGGTTGAACATGATATGATGACGATAGTGGTGTGGACAAAAGTGAGGGGATTGGTAAAGTGCCCGCTTTTGATTCAAAATCCACTACCGATAATTGGTTCCTCTCCAAATTCGGATTGTTGGTGGTTTAAGCAACACATGAGTGAGCATGAGTGAGTGCGATTAAATATGTGATTCATAATTGATTCTGTTGAGGACAATTTGAAAAAAAACAAACACAAATACACAAGTTTTTATCGAGTTTCTAATAGAGTTTAGAATTATTGTAAATATATATTCGAAATAAGAAGATGATATCAGAATCAATTGTGCCAGGAACTGTTGTTGAGGAAGGAAGCACGCCAACTACAACAAGTGCTGCACCACCTCCAGAAAGTCAAGCAGGAGTTTCGAATAATTCCTTGTCAAGAAATCCATTCAAAAGAATCAAACAACGTAGATATCAAGCACAAATGAAAGAATTATCTGAAAAGAATGAAGAAATCGATGATCCAAGAGAACCATCCATTGGAGCAAAGGATCACTTGTATTTATTATCCAAATTTGGATGGTTTAATTTAATTTTAATGTTTTTTGGAACTATTGGTGCAGTTGGGTATGTTTTTTATTAATATTACTATCATTACTAATATAATTAATTATTCATTGAATATTTTTAAATAATATTTTGAATTACCAAATATAGTGCTGGATTAATTTCCTTATTTATCCAATTTATTGTTGGTGATTTACTTAATATTTTAACAAGTACCAATGTAACCACAGAAGCCATCAGACAAGGTGTCAATACAGTTGGTTGGAAATTAACAATTGTTGCAGCAAGTGCTTTTGTTGCCAATTTCATGTTACATTTCTTTTTCAATTGGGCAAATGAAAGAGTTGGACAAAAATTGAAAGAATTATATTTTAATTCATTGACTGCTCAGGAGATGGCATTCTTTGATATTAAGAAAGTTGGTGCCTTGACAAGTGTGTTGAGTGATGACGTGGCCAAGATTCAAGATGCCTATACATTGAAATTATCAACAATTATTCAGAATACTGCTCAAACAGTTGGTGGATTGATCATGTCATTTACTTCTTCATGGAAAATGTCACTTGTCATTATTTCAACCACACCATTGATTTTCCTTACTATTATTATTTTGGATGTCATTATTAGATTATTCACAAGAAAGACCAATGATGCCAATGAGAAGGGTTATGCCATTTCAAGTGAAATTATCAGTGCCATTAAAACTGTCAGATCAATGGCTGGTGAAATTAAGGAACAATTGAGATACAAGTCACAATTGAAAATTGTTAGCTTTTATGGATTTTTTAAGGCATTCTTTATTGGATTGGCATTTATGATTGGTAGGTTATTTGTTTTATTCATTTTTTCATAACTTGAACTATTGAAATCTAGTTGGTTTCGTATTGTGGGGAACTATCGCTCTTGGTTTCTGGTACGGAGGTAATTTGATCATTGATAATGAGCTTAGTTTGGGAGATTACTTTAAAGTTTTTGGTTTAATGCTCATGTCAGTTATGGGTATGATTCAAACAACTGCAAGTTTCCCAGACTTTACAAAAGCAAGATTGAGTGAAACTTACTTGTTGAAGGTAATTAAGAGAGTGCCTGAAATTCCATTTAAGGGTGGTAAGAAAATTGATAATTTGGTCGGAAATATTTCCATTAGAAATGTTGATTTTATTTATCCTGCCAGACCTAATATTACAGTATTGAAGAATTTCTCATTGGAAATTAAGGCTGGTCAATCGGTTGCTTTGGTGGGTCCATCTGGATCAGGAAAGTCGACCATTGTTGGTTTATTGGAAAAGTTCTATAATCCAAATAAGGGAAGTATTGAAATTGATGGAATTGATATTACTGAAATTGATCCAATGTGGCTTCACAGAAATTTAGGTATTGTCACTCAAGAACCAGTATTGTTTGCTGCAACCATTAAGGATAATATTGCCTATGCAGTTGGTTTGGAAAATGTCACAGATGAACAAATTATGAATGCTGCCAAACTTGCCAATTGTCATAATTTCATTATGGATCTTCCAGAACAATATGATACATTATTAGGTGAAAAGGGTGTCTCAATGTCGGGCGGTCAAAAACAACGTATTGCCATTGCTAGAGCCTTAATTCAAAATCCTAAACTTTTACTCCTGGACGAAGCTACTTCTGCATTAGATACAGAATCAGAAGCTTTGGTTCAGGCAGCTCTCGATACCTTAATGCACGGTAGAACAACCATTTGTATTGCTCACAGATTGTCAACAATTAAGAATTCTGATATGATTTGTGTTTTGGTGAAGGGTAACTTGATGGAAAAGGGTAAACATGATGATTTACTCCGCAATGAAAATGGTGTCTATAGAAAGTTAGCTGAGAAACAATTGGCATTCACTGATCATCCTGAAAAGGTTGATGCTGAGGTGATTATGGATATGATGGAGGAGGATGTTGAGAATGAATCATCAGATCATGATGAATAAATCTTTTCAATTACACCATTTACGAAACTGAACATACTTTCTATTTTGAACAAGGATTGAAAGAGTCCTACTCTAACAATTTGCTTCCAGAAACCTGAAATTTCTTGAAAATATCCTTAATTTCATTTGTATAATGCTGGCATCAAACTATCTGCATTCTTTTGTCTCCACATCTTATCACAATCATCATGCTTAAAAAACTTAGTTCAACAAAAAAAATTTCCCCTCTCACAATAATTGCCACTCCAGTTAAAATGCCAGTTAGTACTGAATCATCATTTCATGCAGAAGAAACTGCTACACCACAAAAACCTGCTGACTTGTCTGATTGTTTAGCGGAATTGTATAGTGCTATAGCCAACGATTCCGATTGTGATGAAGAAACCAGAGAACAAGCTAATTATTTACTACAAAGTGTTAAGGCTGCGACGATTCATTACACTTGAATGTGCTTTAATTGTAAAGAATGAATTGGACTTTTTCAGAAATGCTGGGTTCCAAATTAGATAAATTTGTTTCTAACTGAATTACTAGTTAATCTTCCACTATATCAAACGAGTTTCTCAACATAATGAACTTCCTCCTTAATAAGTGCTGTCTCTTTAATCTTTTCTTGAGTGCATTTTTTATTAATGAAAAAAGAAGTACAATGTACTTTCTAGTACCCCTTGCTCCCGCAGTCCCCCAACCCCAACTCACATCACTATTTGATTTTTCTGACAGATACAATTCCACTAACTTGTTCATCATTCCATTTACTATAACTTTCAAATCGTCATTATCAATTCCGCATCCAGATAAACTCAAAATTCTCAGATAAGAAGAATCTGAATCTAAAGAAACATATTATAGATTTACATTTAAATAAATTATTACATATATATTTACATGGAATTATCAATAATCTTATCTACAATTTGTAAAATCTTAATTTGGTATTTAACACTCACCCCCATTTTAGGGTAATCAAGAGTCCTACTCAACAATTTGCTTCCAGAAACCTGAAATTTCTTGAAAATATCCTTAACTTCATTGTATAATGTTTCATCATTGAGTTTGATGAATCGCATCAAATTATCTACATTCTTTTTCTCCACATCTTGGATGGTTTCTTTGAATGAGTAGGCACTACTACTCTGTTGAATTGCTGAGCTGGATGTACTGCTTGAAGCTTGACAGATTGAGGATTGTTTGGCATGTTTCTCGAGTTCAGCAGCTGTTGGTTTGACATCAGTTTCCTCTTCGTCATCACTATCAAGAGAAACTGTTGGAATTATTTTAGGTGGTTCTTCAACATCATCTGTAATATCAATAAAACCGCCATCATCTTGCTCTTCTGTCTTGATTCCATTTTCATCATCATCATCAGAGGAAGAAGATTCGTCATCAGAGGAAGAACTTTCATTATCTAATGATCTTCCTCTGGCCATGTTTTTGGTCTTTCCCAAGTCAATATTATATTCTTGAAGTTCACACAAGAAACCCAAATAAGATCTGTACTTGTAAACAGATTGGAACAGTAGAGGTCCTTCTTCGAAAATGGTTTCAAACTTTGCTTTCTTTCCCTTCCTCTTTACCTTTTTCTTTGGTCTTTCAATTCTTGAAGCCTTAAATGAAACTTGCATTCCACAACGTTCTTGCTGTTTCATGTTTTGTGTGTAACGACTCAGTTTTTCAACCTCTGATGAGCTAGTTGCTATGAAATCGTCCTTTTCTTCATCCTCTTCCTCATCAGAATCATCTTCATAATCAGAATCAATCTTTGACTTTTCTCTAATGGCTTGATAAACCTCAATTTTTATCGAACCATAGTCTCTAAGATAGGTTGAAGAGTTGGAACTACTACTACCACCAGCACTGTTACTTCCACTTGCTGAGCTGCTGCTGCTTTGATTCATTGGTTCATATGCATCAATTAGTAATTTTCTTCTCAATTTTCCAATCATATCATCATAACCACGTATATCCACAATTTGTTTTTTTGGAACCTGTGTGTCTAATTCTGTTAAAGCCTCTCCACCAATAAAGAACTTGAGTATAACATCAATATTACTCTTATTTCTGCATTGAATTGAGAGGAGAACTTGTTTCTTCTTCTTGTTTTCATCATTATCTTCTTCCTTCATGACTTGTTCCTGTAAACTATCAAATTTAGAGATGTGAGTTGCAAAGGTTCTAACTAGTCGAGCACTGCTGAACATTTCATCCTCATCTCCATGTAAAATATTTTGACATAAAAAGATTGATCTTTCTCTATCCCAACGACTCAACTCATCATCATCAGTTGTATTATTATTATTACTATTATTATTGGCATTATCATCTTGATCAAAACTTGTAAAAATGTCAAAGTGAATCTTATTCAATTCTTCAATCTTTGCCTTTCCTTTCAAATGTTCAGGTAGTTGTTTAATTTTCTCTCTGCCACTCTGATTTGGATTAATCTTTTGTTGTGATTCTTCATCGGAAGGTTCATAGTCTTCATCGTCAGAGTCATCATAATCAGCATCTTCTAGATATCTTTTTGTAATTTCTTCTCTGTTTCGTTTGGACATTTTTTTTGATTTGTTGGCAATCAAGAAGAAAACGAGGCAAACAATGGAGAGCAGAAATTTGTTTGTTGAATAATACGAAAATTTTTGTGCTTGCTTACAATTTTGCTCTTTACTAAATAGGAACAGCAAATATTGTTGTGTTGTGATGAATTAATACATAGTTGACTATCTTGATTTAGATAATAAACTGTAGTATCATCAAAATATAATATATTTAATTGTTTTTTAAACAATACAATTTCAACATTAAACAAAATGCCAAGAATTACATCAACCCTCACAGTGACCAATAATAATTCGGAACCAAAAATTGCTTCCAAACAATCTTTTGAATCATCATCAACAACAAAAAAGCAAGATCTCACCTTTTTGACACAATCAATGCAATCTATGAAGGATGTGGATGTTAATTTATTAACTGATTTGGGAAAGAAACAACAACAAGTAATTAATTCAACTACGACTACTAATAGTACAAAAAAGAAACAACAACGATCATCGGACGAAGATGAGGATGAAGGTTTGAATGGAGAGGATGACGACGATGATATGAAGGATGACGATGATGAAAACAAAACCAAGAAAATAAAGAATAATGAATAATTTACAATTATAATAGTAGTAATTTGAATGGAGCATAATATTGGAATCGAAAAAATTAATGAAATTAATATTTAAATATGAAAAAATTAATATGAAATAATTTATTCTTCCAATTTACTAAACTTGGCTTTAGAGCCAACAGCATCAGAAACTCTGGCATATCCACCTTCAGCAAGTAACTGAGCTAATTCTCTCTTGATTTTACCAACAACAGCTGGACCTTGAGCAGTGAAAGCTGTATAAACTTGAACTAGTGAAGCACCAGCTTGGATCTTTTGTAATGCATCATAACCATCCCAAACACCTCCAACACCAATGAGTGTCACCTTACCTTCTGTTAATTTGTACATATTCTTCAAAACTTTAGTGGATTGATTGAAGAGTGGACGACCACTCATACCTCCAGCAGATCCATTTGGAATGGCATTAATTTGTTCACTCGATACAAATGGTCTTTCAATAGTTGTATTGGAAACGATGATACCACCAATGGAATGTTTGAGTGCCAATGAAGCAATGTCACGTTGTTGATCGAGGGTCAAATCTGGTGCAATTTTGATAAGGAGTGGAATGTTTTTGTGTTTTTTCAATTCTGTAGAAACTTCCTCAATTAATGTATCAAGGGAACTCTTTTCCTGGAGTGATCTCAAATGTTGGGTATTTGGTGAACTGACATTAATAACCAAAAAATCTGCATGTTTAGCCAACTTTCTCACACCAATCAAATAATCCTCAATACTTTCTGGTGCACTTGTTTTGTTCTTTCCCAAATTGACACCAATTGGGAATGTATTAAGAGACTGGTATGAATTTCTATAGGTTGTCAAATTTTCATCCGAAACTTCCATTCCTTTACTATTGAATCCACATCTATTGAGAATGGTATCAAAAATTGTTCCATCTGGATCGGAAACTTTAGAATTCAATCTGAAAATTCTAGGTTTTGGATTTCCAGGTTGTGGTTGAGGACAAATACTTCCAACTTCCATAAAACCAAACCCCAACTTTTCAATTCCTTTCATACATTCGGCATCCTTGTCAAATCCAGCTGCCAATCCAATAGGATTCTCAAAATGATATCCTAAACAATTTGTATGTAAGCTAATGAGTGGATCCAATCCATATTGATTTGCTTTTAATTTCTTTTCCTTTGGACCAATTCCATACTTTATGGCAAGTTTTGATAAATTGTGTGCATCTTCGGGATCCATCTTGTGTAAGAGAGGCATCACAAATTTAGAGTACAGTGGTGAATCAACATCATTAATTCCCCTGTAAACAAATGTTGCACCACCAGAGAGCAAACAAGTTGCTCCGAACATGGTCATGAGTTTGAATTGTCTTTGATAGGACATTTTTTTTAAATTTATTGATAATTTACAATTTCTAAGCTTTAGTCCATGATTAAAAGTGTGAATTTGGTCTTGGTATTTAGGTCACCACTTCAAAAGTTAGAATTAAACAATTTAACTTTGTTATGTAAAATTAAATAATACTAGGGATTAACTATTCATTATAGTGATTGAAATTCAACTCTGAATACTACTCTTCTAATAATTTTCCATTTAATTTTCTCAATCAAAAACAAACGGAAACATGAGCTGTTATCTAGGTATGGATACCTCTCCATTTTTGTTACGACACCTACATTTGCGCTATCTCTAACGTAAACAATGAAATATTGAATTTAAAAAAATATTTGTTTTAAAAAAAATACTTGAAACCTCTCAGGTTCTATTGCGCGTTTTCTATTGTGGATTCTGTTGGATTGATTTTAGGATTTTGAAAGGATTTTATAAAAAACAATAATATAAAACGAAATGATGACCGATGCCGATATGAGAGAGGTTCGGTTAGATGAAGAAAACAACCGTTCTTCTGTAGATTTGGATGCTTCATCCAGACCATCTGTTGATGTTGAAATGAATATGGAAACTCCACATACCATTGGTAACTATGCCCAATTGGACTTGGATAGTTCTAAACCAAAACTTGCTCGTAATCCATACATTTCACTTCTTTTCCACAACAAGAGATTTTTGATTATTTGGATGGCTGGTGTTTTGTCTGGTATGGGTAACTATTTCTCTGAAATTGGTATTGTATACGAAGTTGAACACAGATCCAATGTTGGTTTTGCCACTGGTGCTGTATTTTTGTGTATCTTTGCTCCTTCCTGTTTCGCTATGCCTTTTGCTGGTGTATTTTCCGATGTTTTTGATAGAAGAAAAGTTTTAATTGTGGCGAATATTTTGAGAGCTATCCTTGCTTTTTGTTTACTTTTTAGTCATTTAATTGAAGAAACACCAATATTGTTCGGGTTTTACTATGTCATTCTTGCCTTGATTTTCTTTATCAATGCTTTTTATGATGCTTCTCGTGGTTGTTTACTTCCTCTAGTTGTGGATCACAACGATCTGGTTGCTTGTAATGCTCTTGATAGTTTGACTTGGTTATTCTGTTCTTATACTGGTGCTGCTATTGGTGGTTTTGTCACAACTCTCACTAATTTGACTGTCACTTTTATTGTTAACGGAATACTCTTTGTTCTAGCCTTGCTTTTGACCATTTCATTAATGTGGTTCCCTGAATTGAATCCTCCAAAGCCTGCAGATTTCCCAACAAAGCCAATTCCAGTTATCAAACACAGTGTTGTTGAATTATATCAAGGTTTCAAGCTTTTATTTAGTGGAAAAGGATACTTGTTGAGCTTTACTGTCATGAAATTATTGGGTGCATTGATTTGGGCTTCTGTCGAATTTATCAATGTTAAATTGTCTGAATTCCCAACCTTGACATTATTTGACAGTGCTGAAGCTACAATGACATTTGCTTACTGCTTGTTTGGTGTTGGTTCTGGTATTGCTCCAATGGTTTGTGAATTGATTTTGGGTAATAGAATTAGACGTTCAGTTAGAAGTGCCTTCTGGACTAGATTTGTAATTCTAGTTTCCTTCTTCATGTTGGCTGTTGGTTTTGCCTTAATGACCTTCTCTGTTCATGCATCCATGTTTATTGCCGCTAACTTTATTCTTGGAGCTGCTGGTGGTACCATGTGGGTCTATAGTATGTCTTCAATTGAACATTTGACACCAAATAGTTTTTTGGGTCGTATTACTGCTTTTGATATTTGCTTTGGTTTTGGAGCTGGTCAAGCATTGGGTGTTATGATTCCATCACCATTACTTAACGATATTATTGGTATCAAGTCACCGCATCTCTTTGCTCTTGTAATGTTCTCTCTTTCTTGGATTTTATTTTTGTTTTGGCTTGTCTGGTTTTATTTGACTCGTGGTATTCATCAACACCACGTAGAAGGTCATGGAAGTCACTCTGAACATGCTGCCACTCACTAAATTTGTAGATTTATCGATACATATGGTATGTTTTCTAGAAATTCTACTCCTCCAATATCAAAAATAAAAAAATAAATTGTTAATCCTAGTTCCATAAAAATATTTAAACCATTTCACAGCTTTGATTTACCTCCTTAAATGAAACAATTGTTGGAAGTGTTATCCCACCATATATTTGAATTAAATACCTGAAACAATATCAACCTCAAAAACAACAGATTATTTAGATTCAACAAAGATTTACAAACATTCCTTTATTAAAATTCATTCATGTGAAATCTAAGGAATAAAACTAATGCTGTTTCTAATTATTTTTGTTTTACAAATATTTTCAGTTCAGCACTCGATAGGGCCATCATTTCACAAAGAGCTGCACATGAATGCTTGTGTTCTGGCCTATCACTTGTTTGACATTTAGTACTGCAATAAAATACCGAATTACACTTGGAGCATTTCAAGGCAGTTTCCATAGTCTTTCGACAGTATGAGCATGTTGGAAGATGATCGACAATAGGTTTGAGATCGTTGGAAACTTTGATATTTTCTGGCTCGTGAATATTCAAAAATTTCAACTTGTTTTCTTTGTGGTATTTGAAAGTTTCCATAAAACCTCTCAATCTTTCTTGCCTACTATTAATGTTCAAACCATTCTTTACCATTATTAATAGATAAATACAGATAGAGAAATAAACTTGTGAATCACGTTTTGGAGATACTTGTGCATTATAGTCCGTAACAGATCCAACAAAGTTTGCTGCTTTTTCATTCATCTTGCCACTAAATAAATCATTGTCTATGAAAATGTATTGCAACTTGTTCAAATCTCTATGATACATGTATGGCTTATAGACCTTCTTGAAAAGTTTAGTGTTCTGATTGACAAACTGGACAAGGGCCATCCAACCCTTCTCAAGAGGATCAAAATTGGTTTCCACAAAAAAAAACAGCTCACTACTAAAGGTAGTTACAAATCCATTAAAAATCATTTCCAATACGGTCAACCAAACATCCATTTCTTGACATCTGTATAGTGATTCATTGAATTTAGAGATTGGAACAACACCTTTCAAGGCATTAACGATTGTTTTTCTAAAATGGAATCTGACTTCTTCAGGCTCATCACACAATCGTTTTTCAGGAGGAACATCTTCAAAATAAGAGTTGAAAATTTTGAAAAAACACTTATTGTGATCATGCTTCGAGTTGAATTGGTCCTTGAAATCAGTGAAAGCATAGTCTTGTTCTCCTTTTGTCATTTTCTTCTTTACATCTTTCACAGCACTTCTTTCTTTTGCTGAAAATACAGTACCAACTCTCATCACATCTTCAACAGTGATATCATTGCCTCGTTTAATTGGCTTTGAATCCTTATATCCGAACATATCAATTTCCATCTCCAATTTCCCCCTCAAAAATGCAATTAAAAACCTCAAAGTTATGAAACTATTCAATCGATCTCCAGCATCGTTCAGATAGGCCTCCTTATCAAAAACTAAACTTTCTCCAATAGTTTTATCCAATTTCTTTACAAATTTTCTGGTCATTACAGAACCATTCACATCAAAACAAACATAATTTACAATAAAATTAGTCAACATGTTCAATTGTTGAGGAGTTGATAAATTTTCGAATAGTGTATCCTCTGGGAGTATATCAAACTCCTCTGTAAACAATTCATAACAATAACAACCAATAGTTACCAAAAACTCTTTCAATTTCTCATTCACTGGAGCAAATTTGATGGAAGATTGAAAATTATTTGGAACCACTTGAATTGATTTTTTTGATTCCACTGATAAAGTACTTTTTGATAATATAGAATTTACATCATTACTACTTGAAGAAGAGGTCCTTGATTGTGAGTTCTGACTCTGAGTTGTATTTTGACTTTTTGAAATGTTACTAGCCTTTGAAACATTGGTCGATCGATCTTCGGAAAGTACACTCTGACTCGAATTATTCAGAGAATTTGTGCTGCTACTCGTGATATTTATTGTCGATGGTTTGGAAGATGTTTTATTGGTGTGATTAGGCTTTTTCTTGTTTGTCATTTTTTTTTATGATTTTGATTAAATAATTGAAATTGATTTTGTAATGATAGAATAATTAATATTAATCAGGCAAAAGAGAACTTTCCAATATTGGCAATTACTGGTAGCCAAGAACCATTCCTAAGGGAGAAAACATTCCTTTATTGAATCCAACTCTTAGTTCTCTCATTTTCATATGAAAATGTGCACTCAACTATTGACATTCAAACTTCCAGTGAACACTTCCTTTCAAGAGAAAACCACAACAACTTTAATTTTTAAAATTTTGCAATTGTTCAAAAATATTTTTAAATCTAAAATTATATTAAAAAAATGCCAGCTAAGCAAAAAGTTAAGAAGTCCAAGCCAGCCAAACAACCATCAAAAGACCCAATGATGGAAGCATTCAACAACCTGGTTGGAGAAGTTGAAAAACCAGTTGAAGCAACAACATCAGCCGAAACAACAACAAAAAAGAAAGGAAATTCTGAAGCTCTCGCAAAAGGACGTTTAAATAGAAAACCAAAATCAGAATTACTCATTAATGTTTTAGGAAGAAAATACACAAAGACTGAACTCCATTCGAAGGTTTTGCAAGCCTCCGGAAAGTGTTTAATTCCTGAAACCATCTTGAGAGATAATGTTAAGAGAGTTCTCCACTCCGATAAGCTTGTGGACTTATTACCATCACAAAAGTCATATACATTCGGTAGTAGAGCTCTCCCAATGTTGAAGGAACATATCGAATTTTCATTGACAAACTTACTCTATATTGCCAATGTTATTACTATTTCTAAAGGAAAGACCACTATTGGTGAAGGTGAAGTTCTTTTGGCCAATTTAATTATGAGAGGTAAATTACATATTCACGGTGATAAGAGTAATACTCAAAATGCTGTGATTAGATCACAAGGCAAGTCTAAGAGGGAAACAATTAGTCTCGGACAAGATGTCAATATTGACAAGATTGCCATGATTTTGCAAGAAGCTCTCTCCACTAAAGCCGATGGTGAAATTTCTTCCACTTCTCTCTTGACTAATACAACAGACAAGTTGAAGAAAGCAATTGTACATGCTGAAGAAAAGTTCCATGATATCCTTTCAGCTCAACCAACAATCAAGAAGAGAAAGTTGATAGAAACCAAGGAAGAATTGCAAGAAGAAGAGGAAGAACAAGAAGAGGAACAAGAAGAACAAGAAACAGTTGAAGAAAAGGTTGAAGAAAAAGTAGAAGAACCTGTTGTTAAGAAAGTCACAACTAAGAAGTCAACTAAGGAAGAAAAGAAGAAGGAAGAAGTAGCAGAACCAAAGCCAAAGAAGAAGAAGGTTGAAGTTACAAAGAAGACAACCAAGAAGTAATTTATAATAAAATTATTTAAACTTTCATCTATTATCATTGAGATTTAGGCTATTATTTTAAGTTCCATAACTCACCTCAACATTAATTTTGAAAGTTTACTTGAAAAAAGTTTAAAATCATATTTTTTGAATTGAAACATAATTTTCTTTTTTAAGGCAATAAATAAGTTGATCAGATTAGTTACTTAGGAAAGTGTTGTTTTCACATAATCTTCAAAGTGAACTGGGTTTAATAAATGTGTATACATCATCTAATCAAAATTGGAACAAAATTACTGATTGGCTTTGAACGGCAAATCAATTTTAAATAAAATTATGGTTTTATTTTTTAAAAAATCAAATTCATTTTAACCTGAATCCGTTCTCAAGCTTGGTGACAAATTCAAGGTCCTTGGTAATTCCTGATAACCTTCAATCACTTGCATGATGAACACAAAAAGTGGTAACATCCATTCGAAAGGAAATCATTTCACAAGGTAACTCTTAATTCCTTCTTAAAATCTATTCTTATCTTTCCGTTGGGTATAAAAATCTCTCTGATTTTCCGTTAAGCTTCTTTTCAAAACAATTAAAAAATATTCCATAAATACAAACAACAACATGATGGCCGGCGGTGCACACAATCAACCAATCACTGAAGAATCAAGAACCCTTGCTCAAAGCATCAAGGCTAAAGTAGAAGAAATCACTGCTCGTACTTTTGATATCTTTGAAGTTATTGCTCATTCTACTCAAGTTGTTGCCGGAATCAATCACAAGTTGAAGATTAAAGTTGGTGACTCTGAACACGTTCATGTTAAAGTTTTTGAATCCTTGCAAGGACAACAAACTGTGCAAAGTGTTGAACAAGGAAAGACTGCCACTTGTTCTTTCTAAATTTTGTCATCTTTTGATGCAATTTACTAGGATCAACTAGTTGTAAATTAAAACTATTGATAAATTATTTTGTAAAATTAATTCTCTCTTTGTTTCTAAATTGTGTTCATTTATTTTCACACAACTTGCATTCATCAAATCCATTAATTCAAAATTATTTCAAAATTATAATCAAATTTTAAAACAAGTTTAAAAAAAATGGTAAACGCCATCAGTGGAGTATTGTTAGAATGTGATCCGGCAATCAAGGAGTTTGTATTGTATCTGAACAAAAAGTACAACAATGGTATGCATGGATTTGTTTATTTTACTAACTTTCAATACATTAATCATCTAATGCTTGGAATATTTATGATCGGAATGATGTTCAATTTAAATATCGGAACAGAAATTGTTCTCTTTGACCTTGATGAAACCCATTTATTTGTAATGGAAGACAAAACGGAAATAATTCAATTCGAATTGGATAAAATGATTGAGCAAAATGCTTTCCAATATCAACAATAATACCTCATCAAGATTTATTGTTTAATGATTTTTTAAAGTGGAATTCTCAAAATAATAATAATACAAGTGTTTTATTTTAATAATCTACAACGTCAAACTCTTGCTGTTCTTTGAAAACTCTCGATAACTCAATATTAAGCTTGTTCTTAAATCTGTGTAAATATTCCTTATCAAATGAATCTAATAATCTCGTAATGTTTGCTCCTGAAGTTCCAAAAATTGATTTTTCTCTTTCATTGCTTACCACTTTAATGGCATCGGTAGGTTCTGAAACCAATTCAACCTTCATAATCTTGGAAAGTTGCATTCTCCATTTTACCTTCTTTTCAACTGGGTCCACCTTCAAAATAAACTTGTCAGTAATCAAGTAAACAGCAGCCTTTGTTGAATCTGGCATGTAATAGACAGCTTTGTTGGTCTTTGCATAGGCACCATCATCAATAGAGACAGTAAGATACTTGGCATAAGCATCTGTTAATGAATATCTTAAAACAGCACCATTGTCAGCCAGAGTTCTAGGATACCTGACACGAGTGAAGAGTGTAGTACTACTGTTACTGATACCTTCAACAGTTCTTGTTGCCATATCAATAATACCACCAACTGGCTTGAGAGGAATACCAATAATACCTTTGCCAACACCCTTAATAAAACCAACAGCACCTTCTTCTTGAGCACCCTTTACAGGTTGCATAACAATACCAGTAGCACCTCCATAAATACCACGGAATAAAGACTTGGCTCCAGATGCCAAACCTTCCTTAATATCTTTTGGTTTTTGATTGGCTTGTCTGTCACGTTGTTGATTGTATTCCTTATCAAATGTCAAAAAGGCAATACCATTACCAACATTTCCTGTAAGTTTTGAAGTAAAATTACCAATACCATGGACTGAATTCTTCAATAAACTCATAGAACCCTTTGCTAAACCACTGGCAAATTCTTCAGGACTCTTTGTGATGGCAGAGGCAGGTTCATAGAAAAAGTCAACGACACCAGTACCAATATCACTGAACAATCCAACTGGATTACCAATAATATCCAAAGAACCCAAAATCTTGTAGAATTGGACTGTGGCTTGACGAATATAGTGTTTCTTAACCTTATCAATAAGTGCATTGAGTGTCATGAACGGATGGCTAAGAATGAGTGAGTTAAATCTCATTGGAGCATTATCAATTCTTGTAAGAGTGACACCAACAGATTTAAACAAGATCAAAAGTGGATTACTATCATCTTCTGCTTGATTGAGTTTGAATGTCAAATGGATCTTTACAGGGTGCAATTCGAGATTTTCAAAGTAGAACTTTTCAGCATCAGCTTCAGACTTTGGAATTTCAACAGGTTTGGTCATTCTTTCAGCAATTTGAGCATCAGCTTCATTGTTTTGATCTTGGTCTGTTGACAAGATACCTATCAATTTCACAAACTTGGAAATAAAGAGGTAGTCAATTTCACAACGAGCTTCTCTCATCATTAATGACATGTATGGGAAGGTATTTACATTGGTATTGTTTTCAACAGATCTACACAAACTAAAGTGAATAAATTCTTGTCCTGCCTCATTAACATTACATAAAATAACAGGATAGGTAGCCTCATAATCTTGGTGATCTAATTGAAGTTTGTACAGCACACATTCAATAAATTGATGTTTGTCTGTTGTGGCATATCTCATCGTCAATCCACCTAACAACAAGTAGGCAACTTCACTTGGAGAGTTATCAATAAATGACACACCAATTTGGTTAATTTCAGCAAGCATGAATAAATTGAAATCTTCCTCCTCTTCCTCTGTATAATCACTCATTTGTCCTTCTCCCATCATACTAGCTGAAGAGGCTGCATGAGTAAGAGATGGTTTAGTATTCTCGCCAATTGTAGATCTTCTCTTTCTCTTCAACTTGAAGCTAATGAGAAGGCTGGACTTGGTGCAGAATCGTTGCATGTAATGCTAATCTTTTCACGATCATAAGTCTCTGCATACATTAAAGTTTCACCAGTTGGAACAATGAATGGCTTGTTACTTGTGGAAGAATTTCTAACTCCTACATTCTCTCCAGTGTGATTAACAATCCAGAATGGAGAGAATAGAATAATTTCACGGTAGGCAGATGTATTCACTTCAGAATAGTCAATGTAAATACGTGAATAATTTCCTGTTGAATTTTCAATATTGATATGTGTTGATTGTTGTGTCATTGTGCCGTCTCTCTTTGCCAAATGGATAAGTCCCAATTCTTTAGTCACCCATTCCTTTTCAACCTTTACTCTTATGAGTATGTTGTTATTCATTTCTGTAGAGTAGACAAATAATTTTTCACCCTTCAACATGGTACCTTCCTGTACAACTGTTCTTTCATTTGATTGAGGTGATTGAGCAATAATTGTGAAATCGACAGTCTTTCCAAGAGTATTATCAATTGCCAAAGGTGGTTTGATATCAAGAGTACAGTAGAATCTTTGATACAAGAGTGGATTTTCGGCATACTTTTCTCTGAATTGTTGATAGTCTGCATCGAGGGCAAAGTTGGTTCTCACAACAGCAAACATGTTAGGGCCCTTTTGATTTGTAATAGTGACATTCTTACTACCCTTGTAGAGTTTGAGTAATTCTGTAAATTTGAGACCACCAGATGGTAAACTCCATTGATAGCCCTCTCCAATACAAGGTCTCATACAAAGAATTCCTTCTGATACAGATGTCAGTGGAATACCAATATATTCCTTTGGATTAACAATACCAAAGCTGGTAATCATCTTGGAGGAGATGTTGAGAGAACCAATTTCCCAATCCATAGTACACAAGTTTCTAATTTGAATACCAGAACTGATAGTTATAATCTTTCTACCTTCTTTCAAATCATTATCAACCATACAAAATTCATTCTTATTATTCTTGATATGGAGTTTACCAGTTTGTTTCAATTCAACTTGTAATTTGTTAAATCCAGGAACATCAATTGTTATGGCATGATGAGCAGTTTTGGTTTTATCTTCTGGTAGAGAAAAGTTCATTTCTTGACCAGTTCCAATCTCGTACATGTCTGCTTTTTGGAGTTGAGTATTGTATGGGAAAATTAATTTGATAATATGACCTGTATGATTTCTAATACAGTATGGATCAAACTTCTTTGATACCTTTGTTTCTGTATAAAATTCATCTTTCCACAACTTGGCTGTAGAAGAAACGGTAGTAATCATTGATTGGGTAACATTCAACAATAAACCATCAAACTCTTCAGGATGATACATTTGCTTGTATTTTGGAATATCCAAATCTCTAATTTCAAATCTGTCTACATTTGGAGTTGCTGATTTTGTATTTGGCTTTCTTCTAAAGAGGAATTCAATACCATAAGGTTCAAGAATTGGTTCCCAAGAGGCAATCTTCAAGTTATAATAATCAGCTTGAATGTAACCAATCAACTTGGCCTTAATAGAGGAAGTGTCGCCCAATTGAGTCATTTTAGTTTCAATCAAGTGAACTTTTCTCATAGTAAAAGTAATTAATGGTATATCATAACCTCTTACATCGTCTACCACTAGGATGGATACAGATTGATCTGGTGTCATGTCAAAGTTGAATAAAAAGTTTGTAGTCTTGTTGTTAGTTTTCTCTTCAACAGTTGGTATCACGGCTAGGTTATTTCTTGACTCTACATAGTCATTAAGTACGAATTGACCATCAATATGTTCAGTTTCATCCTTAGCTTCTGAAAATTCTTCTTCTTCAGATTCTGATCCAGAATCATCAGATAATTCAACATCTTCAAAGGCAATAGGAACTTCTTCCTTCTTCGATTTGCTCATTGCATCAGTAAAATGATTTACCACTTCGGTTATCATCTTGACATCTTGATAGGAGATTCTAGACCTCACATTGCCATCAATTCTTGCCTTGATATCATTGTGCACAGCTTGTGGCTCAGTACTTGACAAGTATTCAAAATCAAGAGAGAGAGGTTCGAGAATGTTATTCTTTGAAATAATTGTTGAATTGAAGCTGTCAACAAACATTGTCATTTCAGAAATCATTACAACAATGCTTTGTTTGTTAGCGCTTGTTTCCATCTTGAATTTGAGTTTAGATCTCAGAACCATCAATCTACTGTTAGGATCGCTTGGCTTAACTGGGAACATTACGTTAGGATTGTCAATTGATACAACTACAATGGTAGCCTTATCTTCTTTTTCAATATCCGTATCACCAACAAAAACAACACTATTATTAGTAGAAATTTTGGCTTTTTCACCAAGCTCTGCATAATCTTCCAAGGTCTTGTCTGACTGCTTCTTAATCTTTACATTGACAAGCTTTAAAATCATACCTTCATCCACCTTGAATACGGAATCATATGGTAAATCAATAGTATGACCATTACCATTAACTTCGACAACACCAGATTCAGTCTTGTGTACAACTAATCTTCTTACTGGAGAAAGTGACAAATCCAGACCCAAAGTCAAGTCAGAATTAATATGAATGTCACCTGATGGCATTGTTTCATAGGTAAGAATTTTTCCTTTTGGACCCTTTTCTGGTCTCATGGTCACAAAGAAGTCTTGGATTTCGAATACAATATCTGGAACGAAAATAATTCTTGGATTGCCCATCTTGACATCTACTTTTACCAGAGACTTTTCAGGATCGTTATAAATGTCTACATTGATAAAGTGTTGAGAATTTTCCTCCTCTCTAGTGTCGACAAAAGTCTTGAAGTAACTATCGGATTGCTTTCTCAAATCATGGGCATCTGTTGCATGAATTGAAACTTTTGTTACAGACAATCCATTTCTCTTTGTATTCACATCAACATTGAGATCGTACATATTCAATCTGGCCAATGGATCATCGGCTGTTCTTAAAACTGTCAAATTAAGATTGGAGAATTTAACCTTGACAATGAGATCTGTAATTTTGGCATCAGATTCAGAGAGAACCTTATCTTCAGTCTTCTTAGTCTCATTGGTAAGAGCTTCATTTGACGAAGAAAATCCAGCGTTATCATTCACATTACCATCCACTACTTTGAAAATCATTTGGTATTGTTCATGAGTTAGATTCATAGCAACATCAGAAACAGCAATATTTACGAATACTCCTGGAACCTTGTGCAGAGGGTTTACGACTGGTCTTTCAACATCCAACAACCAATCCATACCACCAACAAATTGCTTATTGTTAACACTGGTAATAGTGTGCAAATTCATTTGAGTGAAGGATATGGCGTAGAGCTCAATCCAACAGTCTTCTCTCTGAGTAAGTGAGTTTCTAACAGTAATTTCACCCAAGTTACCAACAATAACATCTGGATTATTGTAAGCCATTGGAGCAATTACGAGAGGATTAACCAATTTAACATCCAAACTAAAAAGTTCCAAACTTTCATATTGTTTCAAGACTGAGTCTTTAGAGTATTCAGAAACTTTTTTACCTCCAGCAGCCAGGGCATCCCAAAGAGGACCATTCTGCATAAAATGTTGAAGCTTGACAATAACACGATTCAAGTAGACAATCTTGACAGATTCCAAAACAAGTTTCAAGAACTTGTTATAATAAGGTTGAGTTGGGGCAACATTTTCAGGTCTTTCATTATTTTGGATATAGCTAAAAGTAATGAGAGACTTTTGATCAGTTGTGGAGAGACCAACAATTTCTCTATAGATAGTACCATCATTAGAGTCATCAATTCCAAGCAAGTTACCAACTGTACCCTTTACACATAATCCCAAATCATTCATAGAGAATGAAACATCAGCATCTGCAACTGTAGCAGTGGCAAAGCTGGAAAAGTCTTCCTGAACCAATGCAAGGCTTACCTCAGACAAATTAGCATGCAAATCCATACTATTTCTGTTTTTGTCTCGTTTTTCAAATTTCTTGTTCATTTCGGTTGGTGTGATGGTTGGAACTCTTGCTTCGATCTTTTGAGTCAAATCCAAAACATCATAAATATACATTAAAAAGGTAGTTAAGGACATAGGATCAAAGTTGAATAACATCTTGTGGAAAACAAACTCCAACAATAAATCGGCATTTCTCTTGTAATGTTCAGAGAGAGGATCTGATACTTGGATAAGAGTAAGATCAGCAAGTTTCTTATCTGATTGCAAATCTGATGTTAAAATGTACTTATCAGTGGCTGTTGTGGTCTTGTCACTAATTGTAAATGTCTTTAAACTAAAATTCATAATGGTATCATAGTGTCTTATTGCCATATCAACACCAAAATCTTGAAGTTTGATATCTGTTAGTGGCATTTCAGTGAATTCATTCTCTCCAACCTTCTTGTTATAAATAAGGGAGGCACAGAATTCTCCCAAATTAAAGTTGAGTTTCAATTTGACATTCTTTTGTTTTTCCTCTTCATTATGAGACTTTTCATTATTGCTCAATTCGAAACTAAGCTTTTTGTTAACATTCTTGGTGGACATTAAGGTAAACCACTTGTCAAGTAAAGTTTTGCTTTCGGCTTCAAAGATTACAGTTGTAGGACCAGACTCTTGAGGAATTACAATAGCCAGTTGGTTCTCTGTTAAATCTGGATTTTTGTCAGATAATTGATATTCAATGGATCTATCATCGATATAAATACATCCTGAAGGTTTCATATCATTTTCTGTGGTGTAGAGCATGATTTTACCATTTTCTGTCACTTCAGTCCAATATGGTTTAAATTCACCATTTGTCAAAAGGTCTGATTTGATCTTGAGTGCACCCTTGATTTCAACATCTTCCTTACTGTTACCAGTTGGATTATCCACTAGAACAAGGAAGTTGTTGGCTACATTAACAATGGTATTCATAGCTAGAGGAGAAAGGTTAACCTTAATAGAAGGAATGGTTCCTTCAATTTTAGTTCCAGCATAGTTGGTATCGTTTGTAATGAGAATACCCAACTTGGTAAATATATTAACCTTTTCGATAAGTTGGAATGAATTTGTCGTTGTTTGTTTGTTATAGCTTGGAACATCTGTAATGACTGCTTGGATATTTGAAAGTTCAAGGTCGAATCTATCATAAAAATCTTTTTCTTCTACAGTTTCATTCTTAATTCTCCTTTCTCTTTCTTTCTTATCAATATCACTCTTGAATTTCAATTTACCCAAGTCGAGTAATACTATTTTAGAGTTTTCATCCTTATAGTCGATAGGAATAATAAATGTTGGAGCCAAAATTAACACATCCAAAGCAATTAACATTTTAGATTCCAAAGCAACCTTCAATTGTGTGAGAGCTTGTTGTTGTAAACTTTCAAATTGCTTTTTAGCAAGGTTTTGAAGTGCAGAAAAGTCCAAATTTGATGGAATGATAAAGAAGGAGAGAATTTTTTGAGCTAGAGGAACATTGAGTGCAATGTCAACTTGTTGAAGCAATATTTGCACCTTCAAATCTGATTCACCATCTAGAGGCTTATTTTCCACAATAATTTCTGCCAAATGGCCAACTTGCTTTCTTCTTGAGAGAATCTTTTTGAATTGTGTCACATCAGAGAAATGATCTGTAATTTCAAAATCATCCAATGTCACTCGTACAATGACAGATCCCTGAGCTCTAACACCAACCTCGGTTCTAAAGTTATTAAAGGCACCTTTAACAATGGCTGAATCTGGATCACTACTCTTCACTCTGGCATTTCTAAGTTTAAGTTCTCCTTGCTTTAGGTAAAAATTAATTTGATAGGATACATAATCTGCTGGTAGCTCTATGGATTGAGCCTTTTCCTTGGCATTGTAACCAATTGTCTTGTGTAACTCTTCACGTTGCTCTTCTGTAAATTCAAAAGCAGTTGGTGATTCTTCTCCAGAAGACGATTCCTGAGTAGCAGTTGAGGGTTTACTTCCCCACCAACCACCAAACCATCCAGAGGATTTTTCGTTCTTTGTAAGGAATGCCTTATTCTTTTGCTTTTCAATTTTTAATTCTTCATAGGCCAGCTCCCTGTAAAAGATAATATCCTCAAAATCAATCTTGTCTTCCAGTGAATGGAGAGTTTTTTTCTCCGAATCAGAAAGCTTTTTTTGCCATGGATATTCCTTACTTCTCTTGAAGAGTTCAATATATTCCTTTCTTTGCTTTTTACGTTCCTCAATTTGTTGCCAAGTAAAGTGATGTTTCTCTACAATATCCTTTGCAGAATTGATTAAATATTCCCACCATAATCCCTTTTCTTCCGATTTGTAATCTGTCTTTGGTCTCAAATGTCTAAATCTTTCAAATCGTGAGTAGTTACTCATATATTCAAGAGTTGAGAGTAGATTCTTATATTGTCTGTCATCGAGGCATAAATTTACATTGTCTAATTCCAAATTGGCCACCATTGTAGGTTTGCTCATATCGATATTTCCTTCCTTTTGCATGACAAGTTTGGCTTCTCCATTAATTGGACTTACAATAAATCTTCTGTAGAACTTGTTTTCAGTGATAATCTTTTTCATATGGAGAGAGAATTTCTTAGTATCCATTCCAGATTTTGAAAAGAGTTCAATTTCATTATTGTTCATATAGAACGATAAATTTTGAAGTAACATTTTCTTGTAGAAAGCTGCTTGGACAGTCTTGATAAAAACTTCCTCCCAATTTTCATTACAACTCTTCAAGGACAGTTTTTCCATGGTAATACCAAAAACTATACGATTCTTTGGATTGGAACCATCCTCATAACGAATGTGTACATTGGAAATTTCCACTTGAAGATTATTCAATATAGTTTCGGTCATTCTAGAAACAAAAGTATCCCCTTGTTTATCGTCTGTCTTTTTATCTTGTTTGATGTCATCCACAGCCTCTTGTTGTTCCTTCCACAATTCATGGTTTTGAAGACTTCTTTGTTTGGCCAATAATGCTCTAGCCTTCTCCGATTGTTCATCATACTATCAAGTGAGTAAGATTAATATTAACAAATAATAATATTGCATAGTTGATAATAATAGATTATAGGGTATTAATCCAAAGAAGAAGTAAAATAAATTTGGAAAATTAACATTTTCAGTTTGTTGATGATAGAAGAAATTAATCCAAACAAACGTTAAATTTGTAAATCCAAATATATTTTCCAAATTATTTTCAATAATTACATTATTAAATATATATTTATATAAATCGAACAAGTAATTAGAATCCTAATTGCAAATAATACATACCTTATCACACTTTTTTGGTTGAACAACCAGAAAGACATCACTCACTTTGGCAATCACAGGACTGCTAGAAAGGGATTGCCAAGGAATCGATGCATCAATACTACCAACACATCCTTGTACGACAGAAATTGGTAAATCAAATGTATCCAAAGCCGAAGCTTTCAACGTTAGATTGGTTAGATTAACACTTCCGCTCCATACAGCAATTTTAAGAGATTTACTATCTAAATTTTCAATATAATCTCCGAGGAGTTTAACAATAATGCTCGAAGCAATTCCTTCAAACATTCTTTACTCTCTAATTCCTTACTACTACTTTTTGAAAATAATAATATGTGTAGTGTATTAAAAATCGAGAGAGGAAATATCGAGTAGTGTTATGTTTTTTTTCTAGTTGATATTTTTTAAAAAAGAAATTAACCATTTCAAATTTTTGAATCTTCCAGTCGTATTGTTGCTGTAGTAACACACAAAGAGATTTGTCAACAATAAGAAGTGTGATGACTTAATATTCAAGAATCATCTAATTGAGAAATTGAATTGATTTTAATGAAGAGTTTGATAGAGAGTTGCACTTTCACTATTGATGGTTGTGGTATCAGCTGTTCCTCTGACCATTCTTGACAGTTTACTGCTTCTCAAACGAATGATGGCAATTAAGACCAAAAGAATCAATAATAAACCTCCCATGATTGGAAGAATTACAAGCATGATAGTAGTTAGTGATCTTTCCTTTTCATATAAAGCTCTAACGCAAATGTCTGCCTTAGTATTCTTGCATTCAGAGCACCAATCTTTTGGAATGGCATCAGCTTGACAAACACTCTTGAAATTAGAATAGGAACAATTGAAATTAGAATCCTTTCCTGGTTTGCAACCAGTTCCAGCCAGAGAAATCAAACTATACTCTGTGAAACTATCATCAGAAAAGCCTCTATTATATCTGATTCTAATATAAAAATCGTCAAGGGTTGGTTTTTGACCAGCTGGTACATTGTCACTTTGATGAAGTTCAAATAAGATTTGAGATCCATACGGTGGAATTGCTCTCAATTGAGGATAGTCATCAGAGAGTTTGAGAGCAGCCATAAGGGATAAGATTGTCACGTCGTGAGCACTGTAATGAACATACTTGTATGGAACTGTCTTACTTTCATCAGGATCAGCTCCATAATTATCTGCTTGCTTGTCTGCCTTCAAACCACTGAGAGAGCTAATCATCTTTTCCATTTCAACAATCATCTTTTGAACGAGTGGACCACCTCCCAAAGTGCCTTGAACCTTTCTTGAGAAGGTACTATAGGTTGAAGCATCTCCAATTTGTAGAATCTTTTCCCAAATATCCAAAATTCCCTTCAAATTGAGTTGATTGTGTGAGTATTGAACATTGAGTAAATCCAAAACCAAGTAGAAGTTTGAAAAATCAATTGGTGTTGTAAATTGTGGATAGCTTGATAGTGTGGATTCTTGTTGTGTTGGAGCATCTTCTGGGCTAGCAAGATATTTGTAGAATGGAACTCTTGTTTCATCTTTGCTTTCAGTATTCGAGAAAATGTTTGATAGGAATGATTTTTGACTATTCATTGTAATCAACCCATTCTCAAATGGAATACCAGTCAAGTTAGAAATAATTTTCAAATATGGTTTAAAATCGGCAATCATTTTCAAATATTCACTACTTTGTTGATTTTCCTCATTGTTGAGATCAATAGTTGGACATTTGCCATAGCCAGACATCCAAATTTCATTGGTTGATGTTTGAGTATGAATTGGAATTGGTTGCATTCCTTGTGGCATTGCATTCACTTGTCCATTCAATGAAATATCGCTCAGTGGTCCATATCCATTCGGAAACATTGCTTGTGCAATGCTGAATACTGAAAATAATGTTCTATCATAATTGGTAGCATAGAAACGAAAGTCCTGAGGATTCCAGTGAGCAGTGGTGGTATCCATTTGATTGTTTTGTGGATAAACTAAATTACTAATGACATTTGGATTTTCATTCACTCCTTTATGTGATGACAATTATCCGAATTGAATTTAAATTATCAGAGATATTAACATACCATTATTCTGGGTATTATTCATAAATCTTGACAAGTATCTATTTCTAAAATGTTTACCAACTAGTTTTCATTGAGTGTTACATGATAATTATTCGAAACAAAAAACAAACCTTGAAAGCATTGTTGAAGACCCAGTCCAGTTAATTGTCCTTGGCCGAAAGGAATCTGAATTGAAGGAGAAACACCATCACTATACGAATATTTGGCTAAAAATCCTTGCCAATCCCAAGGATCCGTCGGAATTTGATATTGAGAAACTGGAGAACGATCACAATGTCTAGATAAAACTTGAACTTGAACAATTTTAGCATGAGAAATGTTGCCAAGAAGTAACAGTATTGCTGTTGTTACTTTGAGAAGAATCATTAAATATCCAAGTGAAAATGAATGATTTGACGTCATCATTAATTTCTTTTCTGTTGGATAATGATTTTTTTTAATTTTTAAAAAGATTTTCTTCAACAAAATTGAAACTTGAATTTGCCAATTACAAAACACAAGATGTATTTATATTTTAGATAAACGTAAAAGACTACACACATTGAAATAAAAAGAGGAACGTTGTATTCAAAATTTACATCTCTAAATTCAATACCACAACATTTATATTGATGAGTTTGTAATTCAAAAATTGGTGAACCTTTTTAAATTTAATTGATTTTATAAGAAAATCATATTGAAAGAACAAAATAATTCAAGATCTCTAATAAGTACCAACCGTAAATTAAGAATTAGGTTGATAAATTTTTTGTTAGTGTTTAAGATTGTAAAAGTATGGTAAATCATTTGATGTTTAACTCATTAACGTTAATCTAAAGAAAGTACCAATAAAACACAACAATTATTTCAAAAATTAAGAAAAAACAAAATCTTCATTATTGAAAACCAATTCTTCCCTAACCACTTTCAGGTGTGCTAGATAATACTTTCTACTAAACAAACTAATTTACAAACTCACACACTTGGTTTTCATAATTTGTTAGAGGAATATGTTGTTTCCATGTGTCTTATAAATGTTCCACTAAAAATCAATTTGTTGAATCTCTTTAGAAAAAAACAAAATCCCAATAACCTTGCCATATGTTTTTTAGTTGCACCTTAATAAAGATCTACAATATTCAAATTACCGAATCTTTTGTTTTGATCTGAGTTAATTGTAAAGAATATGTTTTATTATTGGTTCCTTTAATACAAACAATTCATTCTTAAAATGAAGAACTATTCTGTTTACCTTTAAGTGATGAATCTATGTTTCTTTGTTTACTTTTGTTTTTTTTATTTTGTTTGATCGATCGTTGGTGAGCTTTAGTTGAGTATTTAAACAACTCAAACAAGAAGATCTCACTTGAACTAAATGTTGAAAAAGAAAATTTCTTTAGTTTAACGAAAAAGAAATTTTAAACAAATTATGATATCATTTCATTTAGATTAATAAAGTTTCCTCCACAATATTTGGAAAGGCTTGAGTATTTGATAAATTCATTGGTTTTAAAGTTAAAATTTTCTGAAAGATAGATGGATCTGAAATTACTTGTTCAAAATTACAAATACGAGCAGAAATTAAATTACCAGTTCCTTCCAAAGCCTTGGCCAATTCTAATTGATGATTACCCATTAAACTCTCATTCGGAACAGCAATTAACTTTTTTCCAAGTTTAAGTGTTTCGAAAATACTTCCTGCACCTGCATGTGTAATCATTAAATCAGCAGAAATAATATCCTCCTTAATTGATGGTTTTTTCCTATAACACTCCCAAGTCATTCCCTTGATTGGACATTGTGATGGTGGTTCGAAAGAGCCAGTACCGATCTGAATTGTAATGTGAGTGTAGCCTTGATTGTAAAATACCTGCAACACAGATGGCTTACAAATTAATTGAATTAAATCCTCGAATTGTGTTGTTCCGACAGTGACAAATATTTTCATTGTGTGATGAGTTCCTTCTCTTCCTTGTTGTTGTATTTTTGTGATGATGATTATTATTAAATTTCAAAATTAATAGTTGTCTATAAAACACGTGTTGCAATTATTAATGGCATATGTTAAATAATGCTGCTACATGATGATAGGTTGAGAATACGACTACAATAGAGTATTTTCATTATTCCCATGAAAAGAGGATTGCTTTACAAAACTATTTCAAGTTGCATGTTCACCACACATCATTGGTAAAGTCAACGCCATTGGTTTTTCTTCAGATGTTCGGCTTGGTGTTCTATTTTTGAATTTTTCAACTTGCAAAGAAACACAAAAATGAGTTCACTCTCTGCTATCGCATCCATTCAAGAAACTGAGAAGCGTGTGACCGAATATCAAAACTTTATCAAAGACAAGATTGGCAAGGGTGATAAAGCTGGTTTGATTGAATTGGTTAAACATCGTAAGTAATTAGCGATATAGAGTAATTAGAGTGTTTGAATATTTTTGATCTTGTGTATTTAATATTAAAATTTGATCACTTGACAACAAATAATTGCGATCATCATCACGAATATATTATAATTATTATTGATATCGGCATAATTGTTCATAATTAAATATAACAATAACAACACGGATCCTTTTGATCATCATCAAAATAGTCTCTGATAGTAGTATTCCTACAATTGTCAGCAGACAAGCTATGGAAACTTATGCTAATGAAATTTCCACAATTGAAGATGCTAAATTGAGAATGAAGATTGCCGAGGAAACCATTGACCTCATCAGACCTTTGGCTAATTCTACATTTTTTGATGCCAATATCACAATTAGAAAGCAACTCTCTAGAGATATTAGAGAAATTGATCAAGATTTTGTCAAGGCAGCCCAACAACTTACACCAATTGAATTTGATGCTGTTTTACAAAATGATTCCAATGCTGGTGTTGCATTGTGTTTGGAAGTTGCTCAACTTTATTTGGGTGCAGGTGAAAGTGCCTATGCCGAAACTTATGTTAACAAGGTTAGCCACTATGTAGATGAAGTTAGTGACAAAAACTTGCAAGTTATGCACAGTTTTTGTTTTGCTACTCTCTCCGATTTGAAGAGAGACTTTTTGACAGCTGCTCGTCGTTATTACAAGACATCTCACTTGGTTATTGAAGCTGAACAATTGTCTGTTTTGAATAATGCTGCTGTTTGTGCTATTTTAGCCAAAGCTGGTCCAGATCGTTCTCGTGTCTTGGCCACTCTTTTCAAGGATGAACGTTGTACTCATTTAGAATTGTTCTCTGCTTTGGAAAAGATGTTCTTGGGTAGAATCCTTCGTCCACACGAAGTTAAGGCTATTGAAAAACACTTGAAGGAACACCACAAGGCTACTGATGCTCAAGGAAAGACAACTCTCGAAAGCTCAATTATTGAACACAACTTGTTGGCTGCCAGTAAGATTTATAACAATATTACATTTGATGAATTGGGTACATTGCTTAGAATTTCTGCTGCTGAAGCTGAAAAGATTGCTTCCAAGATGATTTCTGAAGAACGTATGCCTGGTTCAATTGATCAAATTGATAATATTATTTACTTTGAAAGTGGAGCTGAAAACTTGCAAATTTGGGACTCTACTATTAGATCAACTCTCCAATCTATTTCAAGTGTTACTGATTCAATTTTGAAGGCCCAAAACGTGTAAATTTAATACAAGCTGTACAATTAAGTAAAAAAATGTATTTATAAAGATGACATTATTCCAATAGATATTAAAAAAAAGAAAATTAAATTGTAATTTCTATAATTGATATTAAGATTTATGGAAGAATGTGAAAAATACAACTTTACAAGACTTAGAGAAGATCAAAATTAATGTGTTTCGCCAAATCATTAATAATAAATTAAATAAATTATTGGAAATCCTCAACACCATCATCTTCATCATAGTGATGTCCGTGATGATCGTCATGTTCATCATCATAGGCAACAAAATTATTATTAATTTCCTTAGCAGCATGTTTAAATTCCCTCTTCATATAATTAAAATCTCTAATCAGAGAATCTATTGTTCCTACGAGAGCATCTCTTGGTTCAATATCATCGGTTGTTTGTATTTTAATTTCAATGTGATGTTCCAGAGGGTGAGGATTTCTGTATCCGGCAAATAAAACACGTTTATCCTCATGTAAACGCATTCTAATAATATTTCCAAGAGTGTGATCTTCCTTGTTGACAATAAAATTAGCAGCATTTGGCATCTTTTCAATCTTCTCTTCACGAAGCTTGATTTCACCTTCAAGATCGAAAAGTTCGTGTGCTTCTGGTTTGTTCATCTCGATAGTTAATTAAATATCCTAGGTTGTTGTTGATGTATTTTTTATTAATAAAAATGAAGTTGATGAATTAATTATTTTTCAATAAGATTAAAATATTATTTTAAATTATTTGATATGAATAGTAATCGAATATTATGAATTGTTTTTACACTTAATAAGTTCCTCCTCTTTAAAAATCAATTTAAATTACAGATTTAATTATTGATTCATCTCTATTTCTTTTACCACATAATGATAATATAGTGATGCATCTAAAACACAAAAAGAACAATTCCATTATCATCATTCAATTAAACTCAAAAGATAGTACAACAACTTCTTATCCATTCAAATTTTGACAACAACACCCAATGTTTTCGATTACAAAAAAATGAACTCAACCACACAACAAGTTAATGGTGAGAAGCAGGTTAGAGGAGGTGATGAACAACAAAATTCAATGACCGATGATCATCACCAGAATAACCACCACAACAATAATAGTGAACATTCCGATTCTTCTTCAGATACAAAAACACAACAAGAAGAAGCAAATAATAATAGCATGGATAATACGACAACCACCACCACTACAACAAATACTCATTCACCAGAAACCGATGAATCAACGAGTAATGGTGGAGATGAAAAGGATGGAACTACACCTCCATCATCAGCATTGAGCGAGACAAATGGCAGTACCAATGGAGAGGATGACTCGGAAGATTATGAAGATCTCCCAACAACAACAGCAAATGCTCCAGCCAAACAAAAAGGAAGCATTTCTCTGATCATTACTGCCAAGAGTAAGAGTAAAAAGACGAGTTACACAAAACCCGATGCTAAAAAACAAAGGGAAAAAATAGAATCAATTGAAAACAAGTCACCTTTTAAAGCAGGAAGCACATTTGTAATTATTTCTTCATCATGGTTCAAGATTTGGAAAGAATATGTAAATTATCCAAATGAAAATGTTGGAAAGAAGAAACACAAGGAAACATCACATAAAAAATCTCCTGCTCCTGGTCCAATTGACAATAGTGACATTATTCAAGAAGTTCTCATTTATAATGGTTTTAGTTTAAAACATCCATTAGTACCAGAATTTACCAATTTTACAAGAGATGGTTCTGTTCTATTCACAACAGTTCTTAAAAGAGATATTACAAGACAAGATTTTGAGTTTGTTTCCGAGGAGGTTAGTTTTATTATAATACTATTGTCAAACTAATTATAATAATAATTACTACTAATAATTATACAGAGTTATGATTTATTAGCCCATTGGTATGGAGAAATTAATAATAGTCAAAAAATCGTCAGAAGAGTTATTGTGGATGGCTTGGAAAATAATCAAATGAGACGTGTAGAAATTCATCCATATATTCTCAATATTTATATGGTCAATGAAAAGGGAACAATCATGAAAGATACCAAGACAACAATTCAAGTAAGCAAAAAATTGGCTACCAAGGATTTGAAAATGCTTGGTTGTGTTCTTTTTGAAAGTACAATAATTCAGAAAACATCAACTTTGAAAAACTGCAGAATGTGGCGAAAGGAAGATTCAAGCGCCAGTGCCATTGCTGACAGTGAGAGTCAAACTCTTGAAAAAGCTCTAATTTTTGATGGACAAAGTATCGTTTTTGAGTTTAAACAAAATGGTGGAGAATTTCCACTTGAAATTTTCAAAAAAAAGCAAGAATCAAACGATGCTAGTGATGAAGAGGAAGATGAAGATGACGAAGAAAAGAGAAGTAAATTAAGTGAAATTTGGGATAGTATCAAGGATTATTCATTTAGTACATTTGGTATTGCAACTCCTGCCTCAGGTAAGAGTAAAAAGAGAGGTTTGTGTGGATTGAGAAATTTGGGTAATACGTGCTTTATGAACAGTGCTATTCAATGTCTCTCTAACACTGTACCTCTTAAAAATTACTTTATAAGTGGACTCTATGCAAAGCATATCAATACAAGCAATCCATTGGGAACTAAGGGTAAACTTGCTAATAACTTTGCCTCTCTCATTAAAGAAATGTGGAGTGGTGGTGCCAACTTTACTCCAACCAACTTTAAGTATGCCATCAGTCAATTTGCCCCTCAATTCTCTGGCTATAATCAACACGACTCTCAAGAATTGACATCATATTTATTGGATGGTTTACATGAAGATTTAAACAAGGTAATCAACAAACCATATATTGAAGCAAAGGATTATGACGGACGACCTGATGAAGTGATTGCAAAAGAATCTTGGGAACAACATTTGAAGAGAAATGATAGTGTAATTGTAGATTTATTTCAAGGACAACTCAAGTCTACTCTTATTTGTAATGGTAAGTTTGTTATTTGTATTTTATTGCTAATATGTATTCAAAGTTTGTAACAAGATTTCAGTCAAGTTTGACCCATTTATGGTAAGGATTTTTTTAAATTGAATAATTATTTACACTTATATAGTATCTTTCAGTTCCTGTTGGTAAATCAATGCCTCACCGATTGGATGTAATTTTATTGAATACAGAAAATGGAGGAAGAGCAACTAAATATACTGTCGAGTTACCAAAGCAATCAACTGTTCAAGTACTTGCCACTCAATTTGCTAAAGTTAGTGGAAGAGACCCACAAAAACTCCAATTCTTTGCCATGGCTGGATTTTCTATTGGAAGACAATTCTCTTTTAATGATAGTGTTAAGATTATTGATCCTAACGCCAAATCAACTCCAAAAGTATTATGTGCTGATGTTCCAGATGATTACTCTCCTGAGAAGTATTTAATTATTCCAATAAGACAGAGATACCCTTCCGAAGAGGGAAAATTCAAGAGTGTGGGTATTCCATTTGTATTATTCGTAAAGAAGGAAATTTCCACAAAGGACTTTTATGATATTCTTTGGTCTCATTTACAAAGAGTAGCCAAGAAATCACCAGAAGACCCTGAAACTAATTTACAACCGACCAAAGAGGATGGACAAGAATATCCTCTTGCTGAAAGAATTGAAATTTTACGTCAGACACTTTTCCCTGCCTTTGATCCAGCCAATATTCCATTTAAATTTACAGTTATTGACAAGTCTGTTGAGGTTGTAAATGATACATGTGGCATTCCAATTCTTTATGATGATAGAGATGATATGGTTAAGGAATACTTACAACAGGAGGATAATTATTATTTCTCTGTTGATTGGTTTGATGTTAAAATGTTGAAAACTAAAGAAACAGTAACCGTTCATGTTGCAGAACAAAATATTACTAACGAGGCCCCTCGATCTCAAAACATTAGTCTGGACGATTGTTTGAAATTGAATAGTGAAATGGAACAACTCGGAGAAAGAGACCAATGGTATTGCCCTGATTGTAAGAAACATGTTTGTGCATTCAAACAGTGTTGTGTTTGGTCTAGCCCTGAAATTTTAATTATCCATCTCAAGAGATTTGGTTTTAATAGATTTGGTAGGGAGAAAGTGAATGCACTTGTTGATTATCCAATCTATAATCTTGACTTGAGTGATTATATGGTTAGAAAGCCAGAAGACCACATGCTCTATGATTTATTTGCTATCAGTTGTCATACAGGAGGTCTCTATGGTGGTCACTATTATTCATATGCTAAAAATTGTGAAGATAGTAGATGGTATTGTTTCAACGATTCGTCTGTTTCGCCACTTACAGAGAAGGAATTGAAAACTTCAAATGCTTACATGCTCTTTTATCAAAGAAAGAGAATTGTAAATGAGGATAAGGTTGAAGTTGCTTTCCAATAAAATAAGTCAAAGTATTAACAAAATTAATCTAAACTTGAAGTAGATTATTTATTATTGACAATTTCAACTGGTCTAATTTTCAGCACATCCATACCAAACTTATTTTCCCATTCTGTATATATTCTGGAACAATATTGATAGGATGAAGTGAATTGTGGGCTCAACTTTTCAGAAAGGCCTCTCTCACAACTTTCAGAAACTCTTTCCAGCATAAAGATTAGATGGTCAGCAGTAAGATCTCGATCAAAACCATTAGATCCTTTGAATCGTCTAACTTTCAAGATGGCTTCACGGTACTCTTCAATTTTGGGTCCTCCCTTCAATAAGGTTTGGAATGCACTTTGATATTCATTGTAGCTACTATTCTTTTCCTTTTGATCCAGTTCGTACATCCATTCTTGGTCATTTACTTGATTTTCTCTAAAGATTTCATAAATAACCATCAAATCGTCTTCCACTGAAATTCTGTCAACTGGCCTATAAACATAGTTTCCCAAGTTTGCAGCACAAGAGTTAGAATCTACAATAAGTGAAATATTCAATGATTTGGCGATGAGCATCATTTGTTCACACAATGAAATGGATCTACTAACAATGGTGTGGATTCTATGCTCCCTAGTACCAATATTACCAACGAGAGCCTTCTGCGTAGAGATTGAAATTATCAAGTTGCACGGCAACTTTCCTTGTTGCTCCATTGTTGAGCTAAAATCAGCAACAACACTCAAAATTTTCAAAGCCATTGTAATCACCTTTTTGGAGGCATTTTCATTATTTGGATCACAATAGTAAATACGTATTCTGCTAATATCCAATAATTGGATATCACCATTGTTTTTCTTTGCAATCTTTGATGAAATTTCAAGAACCTTTTCAAAGTAGAATGCTCTCTCGGTAACTGTTAATGATTCCAAGTCCATGATACGCATATACAAAACTGAGTATTCTTGATAGGTCTTGAACCCCTTTGCAATGTTAGCGATTGAGTTTTCTGGAATTTCACTACTTGCTCTTCCTTTGGTCTCTGCTAATTTGTCTTTTACATTGATGTTTGTCGTAACAATTTCAGTCTCTGTAACATCATTGTCAATTGAATCACCTCTAATTTCCATCAAGATACTGTTAGGAATGAAAGAACGAACATCATTCAACCAAACAACCATTTCATCCAACTTTTGGAAGAGAACTTGGAATTCACCAAACATTGAAAAGTGTTGTCTAACCTTCTCAAGGTCCATGTGCTTAATGTGACCAAACTCAACACTCAATGCTTTGAGAGGTTTCGAAATTAAGAACCCTAAAATAATAGCCATTACAAGTCCAATTACTACATAACCAACTGAAATACAAATAGCCAAGTACAGGGTATCATTGTGGAATTCTTGAACCGAATCATCGACCAATACAATGGTCATCCCTAAGTTAACGTTATTGTAGGAGAATTTTGTATTGAGCATATTGTAGACCAGCCCCTCAAATTCAACTCCGCTGACTGAGATTTCAGAATTGAAATCGAGGAAGGAATTCTGTTTGAGATACGTCATTAGTTTACCAATGTTCAGTTCCTTAATATCATAGATCGATTTAAGAGTGTAAGAATCTGGAAGAGAACTAATAACCACTTTTTCAGTGTTCAAATCTGAAAGAACAATGTAACCCTTTGATTGATAAGTAAATGTCCTCATTAAATGAGCCAAAGCTTGTAAGGGATATTCCACCTGGGTTATTCCATAGAGTTGCAAATTATTGGCATCAAAAATAGGCACAGTAAAGACTAGATTAAATTTGGATGGATCTATTTTAGAGGATGGTGACCATACACCTTGTAGAGCTTGATAGGCTGGCAGGTTGACAAGTTTGTCTTTCATATCTAAATAGAATGCATTGGAAAAGGTACGGTAGGCGGAATCAGAGTGGAGGAGAGTTGAATCTTCAAAGTTTAATGGAATTTTAGTGGAACTCGAGACTATGGTTTGAAGAGGTTGGGAGGTATCAATGGTGATGGATGTATTTCGATGTTCACTTGTTTGGTAAGTGTTCAAATCTGAATTCATTGTTTGATTCATCCAAATATAGCTATTTACAAAATCTGTTGATTGATCAAGTTGGCATTTGTACATGGAAGAAGTGTTTGCATTGCCCAAGCAATTTTCAAAATATAACCCTATCGAGGTAATGTTGTGGTAAATTAAGCGTGAGGAGAGGTATTCTCTGATATGGGAAGAGAGAGCAGAAGAGGAGAATGGTGATGGGGAATAAGCAAACTGATTGATAAGCATTCGTACATCTTGTTGAGCAGTAAAGGCAACAGTCTCTACGACACCTAATCGTTCCTTCAGAAAGAGATCCACCTTGGATTTTATGACACCAATTGTTACCGAACTCAATTCTGATGAAATATGACCTGTGAAGAGCACAATGGTCAAGGCAAAAGCAATACAGAACAATAATATAAATATGAGCACAAACACAATCACCAAGTTAGCCAGTGTTAAGCAATTATATCTGAACCAGGGAATTATACTTTTGAGGTCGTTCGGGGGAGGTGTATCTGGTCTCCCCATCCGTTTGCTTGAGACATGAATAGTGTTGGAGAAGGAAGTTTTGGTAACGGCCCTCACATCAAAACTTCTAGCACTCAATTTCCCTATTGATGATTGTAAATAATTAAAAGATCCATTTGATGATATTTCCTGCAATTCGCAAGCGTTGGGATCCAACGTGTGGTTGTTATAGGAGGGAGTTGGAAAATTCTCTATTGGTGTAACCTTATTGATTCCCATTTTCTAAATTCCCAACAATGAAGATGATTGTATGAATATAATAAACTAGACTGCGTAATTGTTGTTGGAAATGCTCAAGAGTTGATTGTTGTTGTTTTTAATGTTGTTTTGAAAATTGTCCTTGTCGTAGATTTAAGGATGATGTATTTTTACTGTGTGATGAAGGAAAACAATTTTTTGAGGCAATAAGCGATAGGGTATATTGATTTTTTTTTAATTTAGCTTGGATTGTGCTCAACCAGACAGCCACTTTTGTGCAACACTTTGTTTAGTGGAGGTGCAACTTATTTGGAACCCCTTGCAATGCACCACTACATTGAGATGATAGTTAAAGTAGCTTTCAGGAGCAAGCGGCATCTAAGTACAAAGTTCATATATTATACCACATGACAAAGTATATTCACTCATGTTGAGGTTGAAGAATTTAAAGGACGGTTATCAATGATGATTGTGGAAGGCAATATCTCTTCGCCACTAACTCCACTCAATGCATCTACTAGGCGACAGCAGTCGATCTATTCAATAATAACAATCCTCAAGCCACAGTGAAATAGTGGTATCTAAGTGATGTGGCAGGATTTCTTGCTTTTCAACCCCTTAATTCGTATGGTCGGTCAATACCTTGCAACCATTTCCAGAGGATTCCAGAGGAATTATCTTCGGCAAAAATTTGAAAATTATCTGTGCATACTTATTTGAGATTTCAGTAATCTTCACACCAAACCTCATAACTTTGATCATTCTAAATTGAATAATATTAATTAAATTCTAATTATTAAACATAGCCGTCATTGTATATCTTATCTACAAATCCAAGGTATTTTTGTAACAATGTAAAGGTCATGTATTGTGTAGGGTTGTGGCCCGAAGATTTCCCGACTCATTGTTTGCACACCCGTACTAATAAGGACAGACAACCCATTCATGCAGCTGCTTTTGACAATACGCCGAGGAAGCAAATTGTAAAAAGTGCAATTTTATTCCTTATATGAGAGATTCATATGTGTTCATTATCAACCTTGATAGTTAATTATCAACGAAGTTACTCGTGGTAATTTGTTAAAATGCAACATGAACATTTAGATATCCTGTCCTTCAACAAGCAAAGGAAGTGTGGAACAATACAAATATTAACTTAAACCAAAATCTTGATACTGATGTCAACACCTGGAACGAGACCAAAATAAATGTTAGTGGATTTGATTTCATTCTTTGGTGGTTCAGTGTTACCATCGTTAGACATCAATATCATATTCGAAACCAACTTTCTTTTAAATTAAGGTCCATTTGAAAGAGAGTTGCATTTTTGCTTTAAAGTTCATTAAGATTTCAAATTTGGAACTTCCCAATATGAAATTATTGTAACGACAAGTTTTTTTCTGATCAAAAAAAATGGTGGAACAAACTTCCATTACTCATCAAAATAACAATGACGATGGAATGAAAGGAGTAAAAGATGGATTAATTTTATATAATCTCGGAAAAGTGGAATATAATAATTTTGATCACCAATTAATTACTTCCAATGAGGAATATCTATTTTCAAAATATAATCTAGTATGGATAATTCAAGGGAAAAAAGTATACTCCATTGCCAGAGTTGTAAACAAGGTGGTAGAAAGTGAGAGGAGTGAATTTGTTGGAAAATATAAAATTCAATATTGTAAAGATCAGTCTTGTTATCATGTCTCTCCAAGCAAGATGATTCCCATCATGAGTTTATTGCATCAAGAAAAGGTGATTGTTTGTAGAGATACAAGAGATTTCCGAATGCTTGCAAAAACACAAGTTTTCAAATCGTATGATTTTGTACAGCAACAGAAAGGAGGTGTTGATCCAATAATGCAATCGGGAGACTTTGTGATTGAGATTGGTTCTGCTCGTGGTGATACCTCTAAAATATTATTTGAAAATTGTGCAAAATTATTGTGTTTGGATATTTCAAAGGATTATATTGAGGAAACTAAAAAGAAATATCCAGAGATTGAATTTTGGTGGTCCAATTGTTTGGATGAAATGGAACAAAAAAGCATTTCCAAAGTTTGGAGACGATATAAATATGGTAACCCATCATGTGAATTGAAAGTGTTTATTGATATTAATGGAAATAGAATGGTGGAAGCTGTGAAACAAGTTGTAGAATTTGTGAGAACATGTCTCAAACCTTCATTGATTGTGGTCAAGAGTGAAAATTATTATGATGTATTTTAATCTCTCATATTACCAGAACCTTTAACATGATCATCTTTCCAATCTTCCCACACTCTCTTCTTTTTCAATTCCTCTTCATCTTCTTCCTCTTCGTCATCCTTCTTCTTTTGAGTCTGTTCTTGTTTGAATTGCTTGTCTTTTTCTTCTCTTTGGTGCATGTCGATACATTCCTGTCGGGCAAACTCTTCCAGAGATACTGTTGGTCCAGGAACATAGGATCCAAACACTCTACTTTTGATATCCTCTCTTGTTGTTCTATTATTGATAATATTGGATTGAATGGACTGATTGGCGAGTGCCTTCTTTTGTAATGAATTGCCACTACTGGTTGACTTGTTTCCAGTATTGCCACCATTATTATTTGGAAGTAAGATCATATTATAGCCCATTTGTGAGAGAACCCCACGGTTATTAAGAACATCATTAATAGATGTAGCCTTAAGATGGGAAATTGGTTGTCCTGATGTTGAACCACTTTGTTGTTGATACGATTGGGAAGGATGTTGAGGCATGGAAGGACGAGCAGAAACTGCATTGAGCATTCCTTCTTCTCTACTGTTGGAAGCTAAATTCTCCAAAGTGTCTAGAACGCAAAAGTTAATATAATCTCTAATGTTCAACATTTTCTTTTTCACTTGTTCTGAAACCTTCTTGCTTGAATCCTCTCCAAGAGAAACACTCGACAATAATCTAGAAATTTCCAATTCAGACATTTCCTCAACGTTTGAAAATAACTCCTGTGCTAAGGCATTCTTTGTCTTCATTCGCAATACCATTTGACTTCTGTCATTCATCAATTGTTCGAATGCCTTATCCTGTTTCTTGGTAGATTTTGCAACTTGTTCCTCCTCATCATCATCCCTATTCATTGTATGAGGCAATACCCAAGAGAGGTAATCATCATTAACCTGATCATATTGTAAAGCCAAATTTAAAAATTTACAAAAATATTCATTTGCTTGTTTCAATTGAATCTTTCTATTTTTTTGATGCAATTCCATATTGAATGGCTGAGTATTTTCCTGTCTAATTTGCAAAGTTCCCAATGCAATAAAGTATGGAACAAGTAAAATTACTGTTGTTTCCTCTGTCAAGTCAGATCCATCCTCATTCGATGAGAAGGGCAAAGGTAAAAAGTGTTCCGAAAATAATTTTACAATTTTACTTCCTCTCTCCGACGTATTAATAAAATCTGTTGGATTAACTGTGGTAAGAAAATAAAGATAATTTTCTGGTGATTCTTGTTCAGAGAATGGGAGTGTGTTTTGTTCTTCGAGTATTGACATTTTTTTTGTTCTATTTTTATAAAAATCAAATATTATTTATTCATCAAACATTTCATTCTTATTATTTCAAAGAATGAGTGACTGAATGATCCTCAATCCAAATTATTTATTGCAAATCTCCTTAGAATGTTTTTTAATTTTTTTTAAAATTTAGCGCGTTTTCTTATTGATTTGCGTTCATAGCCGTTAGACATTTATTTTAAAATAAAATGATGCAACCACCATCTTCAACCGCTATCCCTCATTCTTCATCTTCTTCGATAATAGCACCCAATACAATGATGATGGAACAGACAATGTTTGCACCATCATCATCATCATCAGCTTTGGCTCCTCCACCTCCACCACCTTCTTCATTTCCTGCACTGGGTAGTGCAATTGTGATGAATTCGAATCCTCAACAACAACAACCACTTCATCATCACTATTCACCCTATCCAATGCATCATCACTCAACTAGTAGTACCACAACAACACCAAATGTTTCCACACTAGGCTTGAATAATAGTGGACCAAATAATGTAGGCCAGCAACAACAACAATTGCACAAATCCTCATCACTCTCATCCATAATGAATTATGATCATCCTCCAGTTTCTCCAATTCTCTACAATTCCACAACAAACAATGCTACCTCATCCTCCACTAACTATAATAATGTACAATTCAATGTATTTGGTCGTAAATTAGATCTCGAAGAGCTCTTACCAGGCTATCCAAATAACAATAACAAATCAGCCTCTCTCTATTCCATGACTAGGGGATGGTATTTGTCTAATTTTGAAAAGAAGAATGCTACCACCACCAACAATGAACAACAACAGGGCAGTATCAATAATACTGCACCATCATTATCAATGAATAATGTCAGTAAAACAATAGATTCAAGCTTGAGTAATAGTAACAATAAGGGTATTGTAATTAAGAAACCCATTCATAATAGCCATGTTATTCTTCATTACAAGTGTGGAACTGATTTGGTGAATCGTAGAGGAAGATTCAAAGATAAGAAGAATCTCATTCAAGAATTGAAAGATTGGTGTAAAAAGTGTAAAGAGAGAAAGAGAGAAGAACAACGTGTGAGAGATCAACAAGAGGAATTTTTATGTAAAGAAAGTGTTTTATAAAGTTAATTATTAATTAAAATAATAATTATTTGAATTATTATTTAAATATTAAATTTATCATTTAATAATTAAAAAATGTTCCTATTTGATCTCTTAACAATTCATCCTCACTCATTTGATAAACAACATCATAATAATGAACATTCACAACACTCGGATTCATCATCGACACCATCATCAACATACAAAATACCATCATCAACAACACCACCATCCGATTATTCGAAAAGGAGAAGACTTGTTCAACTCCTCTCACACTTGAAACCCATTAAAAATCAGGAATTACGAACGAAAATTCTCAACAAGTTAAAGGAAAATAAGATTGATTTATTAGATCATCACTTGTTCAAAATTTCAACCAATGCTCCAATTCTTCATAATTTATTTTCTCACAATATTAATAGTAATGAAAGGATAAAGGCTAAATATTATAATGAATATGATTCACAGATATTATTACATCCATTTCAATCAGTGAACAAATTGACCAATTTTATAAAGAGTGTTTACAATGTTTTGGAAATGGTTGATGAAGATGATCATCACAATATGAAGTTATTAGATAAAGAAAATTCAAAAAAGGAAAAGGAGAAGAAATCATCAAGTGTTGGATTTGATCTACCAATTGAGGAAGAGGATGATCCATCATCAAAACAGAATTTTAATGTAAATAATAATGCTAGTAGTAATACTAATAATACAGTATATAGTATTGATAAGATGCTATTTAAATTATTTAATGCGAGCAGTAATAGTGATGGGATTGATTTTAATGAGAAGAGTTCTGAAAATGAAAAAATCAAACCAGAATATTATACAACTATTGATAGACCAATTACTTCTAGTATGATTATTCTGTTTGTGGAAATTTTATTGAACATTATCAAATCATTAGCAATTTTAACTCTATTAACTGTAACCTATGTACATGATCGATTCAATTTTTTTATCAAACCGATTATTGTAATTGAATTGTCCAAATTGGAGAATCATCTTTCGGATTTAATGTTAAATTTTAGGAAGTATTTCAGAATTGGAACCAATGCAAAGCTCACTGTTGCCAGATTACTAGCCAAGATTAGAAATAATAATCCAAAGAATTTCTACATGATTCTTTCAGTTTATTTGAGAATGAAAAATCTCATGCAAATACCAAAATCATTTGTGAATCAGTTATTTTGGACCATCACGAGTATTTATCTCAATATTTTACTATTTTGTATATTTATATTTGAAAAGATTGCCTCACCTAAATTATTACACTTGATTTACATGTCCAATGACAAGTTTTTAGAAATTCTTAACAATCTCCTCACCTTTGTCAATCACTATTACAAGAATGTAATTGAGAATGATCAATTTATCAACTTGAAAAAACATGAAACTGATTTGGATAATAAGTTTTATTCACAACCATTGCAAGGAACTGAAAATTAGAGTCCAAACAGCCAATTAACAATATTAGGAGATAGTAAGAAGAGACTAATCATACTCGTGAGAGTTATTAAGGAAACAGCAATGAACAATTTTTGCTTGTAAATTGTTTTCAAATGTTCCATTCTGATTAGAGGTCCTTGCACGTATTTGTTTTTGCAATATTGGAAGAAGGTGAGGAAGAATGATAAATGACTAATAAATACAAATAATTGGAATGCAATCACGATCAATAGTCTCTTCCAGTGCAGAATTCTTCTTGAGGCTGTAAATGAATAGTGCAGATATTCGAATGTGTTCATACTATTGTAAACATTATCATCATAATTCACATCTGTGGACGCAACAAAAAAGAAAAATATGGAACTTGCAGATACGATTACTATGTACACTAAAATCATGATGAAAATATTAAAACATGTTAATTGTTTGTAGAGTTGCGATAGGACAGTTTTTACATGTTCAATAGAAAATCTAGCCTCTAACAATGAATTATTATCAAGCACAAATTGTTGTTGATCAACTTCGGAAGATGAAAATGGGGAAGGCTCGTCATCAACATCTTCATAGCTTACGGAAGATGAGAGGCTGTCTTGTCTGGTGAATTCTGGTCGTAAACTCATTTTTTTGTGATTGTTTTAATGAACGTTGTTAATTTAAAAATGGTTTGCCTTAACAATATTGAAACAAAAGTTCTTTAAGAAGAAAAAATACATTTCACACAAAAACTTAGATTTATTTAAAACTAGAAATACTTTACTTAAAAACCGTTAGCATACTTGTTGAGTTCAGCATTACGATCTGGATCAGTACATTGAGGTGGATAATTCATGTCAGTAGTGTGACACCATCCGTACTTCAAACCCATATTGTTAGCAGAAGTCAAAGCAGAAGTATATCTAATTTCAGAAGTACCATCGTTTGGCTTGTACAAAATCCAGTCCATCATGGAGTGACATGAGGAACCATCCTTCTTATTTTGAGTAGTGTAATAATAGACCTTCTTTTGAGAGGCTTCTGGAATAGTCTTGAGCCACTTTGAAGCACCATCAGGACTCAAATCAGTATTTGAACCACATCCAGCACCAAAGACCTTACCAAGGTTAGCAATGGAACCAGCAGCAGAACAACCACCATAAGGAGTACCAACAGATTGCAAAAGTCTAATGTTAGCATTGGTTGGAATATTATCAGCAGTTGACCAATAGAAAGTGTACAAGTGAACACCTGCCATACCACCTTGACTGTGAGCAACAACAGCGAATGAATCCAAATCCTTAGCAACTTCCCAAATCATTTGAGCAAACTTGTCATTGCTTCTAGATTGGTTTGGATCGCTGAAAACAATGGCATTTTGGAAGTGAGAGGCAGTGAATGGATCACCAGCAGAGCAATAACCGTGAACAAGGATAACCTTATGGTTGCTATTTCTAGCCCTAGCCTTGAGAGTGAGTTGCTTTGGTCTTGGACCCATCAACATGGTTTCAGTAACTTGTTCAAAAGCATACTTATCCATCAAGAGATCGTTAATATATGAGTGAACAATGGACTTTTCAGTGAGTCTGTGATTAACCTTCTTGGTTTCAGTATCAATCAAGAGACTGTGAGTTTCAATTGAAGAGACTTCATCCAATTCACTAATAGCAGATGAGGTGTCAACATCTTGAATCTTGATATTCTTCAATGTCAATGGAAGCATAGCGTTAGCCTTTGACAACCACTTCATGGAGAATTGCAATGGAATACTGACATAATCCTTACCGAGTTCTTGAGAATCAGAAGAAATAGTCATACCAAGAGTGTAACAAACTGGGACAAGCTTGGAAGCATCAGTCTTGGAAACAGCCCAAACTTCAGCAAAGGCCTTATACTTCTTTGGTTCAGCAGATGGCAACAACTTTTTAGCTTGCAAATTGACAGTCATCATTTCATCAGCTTGAGTAAAGGAAGCGAGAGCACCATCCTTGACCAATTGAACTTCCTTATCAACAATAGCAATAATGTGTTGAGTGGTACGCATAAAGGTAATCTTTGGTGATTGTGGATCAATAAACTTGGCAGATTTGAAGAGAGTCTTTCTCATTTCTGCACCAACAACACCCTTAACAACAACTCTAAAGTGGAAAATACCCTTTTCAGTAGCAACAAATTCACCACTGAAAGCACCTTGGTGTTCCAAAGCTTGAATACCAGCAAAAGAAGTAGAGTGCATTGGAACAATGTCTTCCTTTCCATCAGGATATTGAACATCAATTTCAGCTTCAATATGTTCGAAACTTTCGGCTGGAATAGCCTTTGGAACATACTTGACACCAATTCTTTCTCTCTTTTCAGCTTCAGTCTTGTCAGTAACACGAGTAATGAAACCAATCTTTTCACCAAGAACAGCATTCATATTGATAGATTGAGTATGAGCAGTCAATGGGCTACTATTATAAATGATCAACATCAAGTCAGCCTTTGATGTATCCTTCTTAGATTGATACTTTTGTTGAACAGCTTGTGGAGCTTGAGAATCCAAACTAACTTCAATAATCCAATCTCCAGTCTTAACTTGATCATTGTTATTAAAGTTGAAAACTTTAGCTGGAACAGAGCTATGCTTATCATAACCCATCCATGTATTTACAACGTGATTTTTAGCTTTAATAGCTTGATTATAATTTTCAATGTTAGCTTCTTGTAATTCGTTAACAACGACATCATCAATATTAACAACTCTCAAATTCATGTATTTAGCATCAGGACCAACAATAGAAATAGCAACATGATCCAAAGAGTCAACTGGAATCATTCCTTGCCATGAAGCCTTGTCTCCTTGTTGTTGGAGAGCAATTTCCATCATGAAAGAATCTGATACCAATGAAGCATCGGCTGGTGTTGGATCAGCAAAATTAGCAAATTCACTTGGAGGTCCTTGAACATTTTTAAAGTATGATGAAGGAATTTCCGAACCATTCATAATGCTAACCATCATCAGGGTCATCATTAAAACGACGGCAATGAATCTACCCGTACTCGTAGCCATCTTATTTATTTTTTATTTCTTGCAAACAAGTCCTACCAAACAAGCGCTCACCATAATAAAAAATCAAGGCAATGATAAAAAGTCCGGAGTTTAAAAAAAGATTGGAAGAAGGTTCACTAATAATCAATTTTCATAGTGATTTGGCCATGAGGTTTGGGTTCTGAAAAAAGAACATTTTATGTGGCATGCCTGTCAACTGATTGTATTGAAATGAATGCAATTATTAAATAGATCTTTGTATAATGATTTTTGCAAAGGCCATTTCAGATAAGAACTCCTCACGCAAGAATGTTTCAAAAGTTTACAAAAAGGGCATTACGGTGGTATTGAACGTTGCAAAGGGTAGGTCATTTTATCACTCTGATTATTCTAAGGTAGTGGTTATGGATTGGTGGTGGTTAGTTGTCTCTGTTGGCAATGTTGCATTATTGAGTTTTAACTTTTCCTTGATATAATTGGCAATAGAGGTAAGGTCAGGTTGTAATATTTGAATTTCAAACATGGTGCAAATGATAATTTCCTTCACTCCATCATTATTAATGTCCAATGAATCAATGTATTGTATTGGATATTCAAAATGATAGGTACATTTGTAAATGCATGTATTACTCTCAAATTGGTAGACAATTAGTTTTCTATTGTAGGTACCAATATAAATATCCGTAATGCCACACCTGTAAGGTTGGGCATAGAGACATGTAATCGAGTCTCCAAACTCGTCACTGTAAATAACAGTAGATTGGATATTGGTCATTATTTCATTGGTATTATTGATTATGGAGGGAGTGGAGGGAACCATTTGATTATTATTATCCTTGACAAAGGAAGTGAGGGGAACATTGTAGAGGACAACCCTACCAACAGATTCACCCACCAACAAACTCAACTCTGTAGGTGTATAGTTTAAAATTTTTACAGAACTAATTGGACTATTCAACATGAACTGTAGTTCAAGATTGGCACCTTTACAAATTTTCACAAAACCATTTTGACATCCCATGACCAATAAGTTATTATTAGAATCAAAATCAATGACAGAACCTGGTACACCTCCTGGTATAATAAAATCATATTCAATAAATAAATTTTCATTGAATCTATTGTAATAATGTCTAATATTACTGGCATATTCATTATTCCTAGTGTAGAGAGGAAGGTCAAATAATTTGAGAAGGATTGAATTATTTTGAGGAGTGAGAATAATATCAGAAAAACAATGAAAATTCTTATCACTTCCACAAATGACAAATATTGAGTATTTTTGTAAATTGGGATATAGAGTTGTTGTTTGAGTGCTCAACTTCAATGGAACATATCCTAAAGAGAATGTTTGAATACACTTGTGCTTGGTTTGATTTTGTGTATTAATATTACTACTGTACAATAATGAATTGTACTTGATATTATTATGATTATTCACAATTTCATCAATATCCAACAAGTAAATGTAGAAATAATTATTAAATTGTTGATTCTGTTGATTCTGTTGTTCATTCTCTTCATTTTCATTCATCTTTGAATGTGACACAAATGAAGAGCCACCTCCACTTGTATTAACCTTCTTCTTTTTCTTTTTTGAATGAATAGTATTCATTTCCGAATCCTCATCTGTACTATCACCTCCACCTCCAGAATCATACGATGACGAATATTGATCCTCATCTCTATTTTCATCATCATCAATATACTTTCTCTTTTGTTCACTATTATCCAATGATGTATTAATACTAGTATTAATTGGTTGTGTGAATGTAACTCCCAACACTAGCTTACTCTTATCATAATTAGAATTAAAGGCTGAGATGGAAATTATCTGAGAGTCTGCTGGAATTCTACTAATATTATAAATTGGAATTTCTTGAATGGGAAATTCACGTTGAATAAATACATCCTTATTATTATTATTTGCAATATTACTGTTAATTGTAGTATTATTGCTAGAATTATTTAATATATTAATTATTGAAGTAGGAGAGGTTGATAATTGTTGCTGATGATCATCGGAATCTAACAAGACATAGATATTATTACTCGTTGCTGTAAATATGAAGGAATGTTCCTTGTTTGCTTCCTGTTGTTGTGATTGTTGTTGATTACTTGTTGTGGAAGGAATAGAATTGTTTGAAAGTCCCTTTTTCAATATGCAAAGACTGTACAAATTGGTCGGATGATAAAAATCATGACAGTTTAAACATTGGGAGAGTGTGAACATTTTTTTAAATCAATAATTAATATTATTGTTTTATTATTGAATAGACTATTTATTTTGATTAAAAAGGAAATATCATGGAATAAATTGACTGGGAGAGTTTGTGATGGAGATTGGGTTTATTCTTCTTCTAGAGTTTTCAAACTACTTTCATTCATCAAATCCTTCCAAGAGAGAATCATTTGCATGAATTCTTTCACTTGTGACCTATCAAAAGTTTTACCTAAAGCTCCTTGTAATTGATGGCTACAAACCCTAAGGGTAGTGAAAGATTTTCTTTGGGTTGGATGTGAAATGTCGGTTCTATTCTTAAATTGAATCTTAATATCGTTAAAGTGCAAATTTTCCTTGATATCGTAGTGAATAGAATCGATTGAGAGACGTGCAAGTGGTGTTTCAGCTCTCAATTTGCACAACTCATCATTTTCCAATGTACTGCCAAATGACAAATTCAAATCATTCAGATTGGCAAATAATATAGAATCATCCTTCTCATAACAATAATAAAGTGTAAAGTCGCTCTCATTGTACCACAATCTTGACTCCAACTCTTGGATGGATGCTGGAATTAAATCTCTAAACCCTTCCTTGATAGTTCTAGAGTGAGTAACTTTGGAAAATCTCACGTCCAATGTATTTTCATTCTTATTCGATATTGTTTCAGCATTATCATTTGGTTGTACAAGTATTGGAGAGACAAAATCTAAATAAATCAGTTTGGTATCAGATCTTCTCCAGCTTTGCATAGAACATTTAACCAAGTCAGTATTTTCATCCTTGTAGGTCTGTTCTCTGTCGAGGTAGAGCAAGATTGTAAATCTCTCCTTCTTGTCCATGTCTACAATATTGAGTGAAATGTACTCCTTTTGCTTTCCCAAAACTGGATTCTTATCAACGAGAATTCTCTTAAAGTAATGATTGTTGGAGAATACACTTTCCTTATTTTCTGCTTTCTTGGAAAGTAAGAAGTTTGAAATTAGAGAAGAATCAGGCTGACGTCTTGCATCTATAAAGTGTAAGAATAGAGTTTTGACATCATTATCGTTACCAATCTTCATCTTTCTAAGTGACTCAAATGTTACTCCCTTTTGTTGAGAGTGAATCTTTGTTGCTCCTGCCTTTGCTTGATAAAAAACTTGTTTCCCAAAGTATGCATACACTTGCATGTATTCATCATTGCTGCTATTGGCTGGAATTTTTTCTCTGAAAGCATCTGCTGAGATCGAGCGTGTAAAAGGTTGAAGAAGAAATCCTCCATTAGTAAGCTTGTCAGATTTCATCTTGGTATTGAATGATTTTCTTACATTATTACCTTCTTTACCTTCATCTATGCTAATATTTAACCGTTTGGTTGCTGGAATTCTATTGATTGTATAGAATTCTCTATTCTTTCCAGATTTATCCTCATAACTTGAAAAGTATACCATTGATGATAAAAAGTCTTTCAAATTATTCTTCTCAACTTCCAAGCATACAAATGCTTGTTTTGGATGTGCAAAAACAGCATAATCATTGTTAATCTCTCGCAACAAGAGATATTTGGCTTGTAGGTATTGATAATCATATGAACAGCTTATTTCTATAGTTGTTTTACCCTTCTTTTTGATTTCGACAGGTGGATCATCAGGAGAAAGAAGACACTGTTTAGACAATAGGTTCAATATTCTTTGAGAAATTCTTTGGAAACTACTAGTTCTAAGAATGTGATCACCACATGATTCATCATCTCCTCCCACAGCTTCATCTTCTGCAGGTAAGACGGAGATAATTTTGGCGATGTTTCTATTGTAACCTTTGTGAGAAAGGTAATTCTTGGCATTATTGAGTAGATCAGTTATTTGAACGGATAACAGACCAACATCAACAACTGGTTGATTGGCTAGTAATTCAGTAATCTTCTTTTGGATGGAACTTCTCAGAATTTGTAAAACCAAGTCAAAGTTTTTAACACCACTAGAAATTAAATAGATAGCATTCAAATCAAGATTAATCTTATTTTGAACGTATTCAGTCTTCTCATGTGGTTTCATCTTTTCAAAGAGTTCTGATATGAGGCAAAATGTTTGATCGCCATACTTTGGTTTGAAAAGGCAAAATCTTCTTGGATAAATCAAAGGCAAGAATAATACTAAGGACATTTCATAAAAAAATTCAATGTCAGGAAGTGTCGTATTCTTATCAAGTAACATGGTCATATCCTTGATTGATACACTTCCAGAGACGAGAATTTTTTCTGGTATTGTTAAATCAACCCAAGGGTGAGAAACAGAATCTCTAGAAATGATTATTCTTTGTTTTCTCATTGCATCTGATTGTGGATGAATAAATGAAATCTTTCTATCAAATGCTGAAGACATTGCTTTGAATTTCAATCCATGGGACTTGATCAATTCACCTGGAAGTCCTCTGAAAATACCAAAAATTTGGTCATCATCCCTCACTGAAAGCAAACTTTGTCTCACCTGTGTATAATCAAGTGTTTGATTTTTCTTTTCTTTTGATTCTTGTGAACTACCTTTGATCATACGTTGTAGCAATTTAATTGGGAAAAGTGGGTCCTTCTTTTGAGCTTCTGTAAGTGGCAACACAAATGATGAATCAGATACAGGAAGGTTATAGGCGAGATTAATCTTCTTATCGGATTGGAACTTGATCTTTGTACAATCAACAACACCTCCGTCAAATTTATGGAAAAGTTCTGAGAAAACTTTCTGCATCTCATCACTATTTGTGAGTGAAAGGGCTTGATCTTTGATTTGCAAGCTGCATTCAATTTCTTTGAGTGACTTGTGTTCCTTCTTGAGAGCTCCCTTCACTGATTGTTCATAGTACAATGTGGCAATGAGTGCCTTAATAATATTCATCTTTTCAGTGCTGAGCACCTTATCAGTTGAGTATTGAATAGGTTTAATTTCTTGCCTTGAGTGTTTGATAGCATGCGGAGTAAGGTTTTCAATAAATATACCATAGGCTCTGTAGAGAGATTGAGAAATTTGTAACACTAAAGAATCAATTTCAATCATCTTCTTCAGAGCAAGCATTTCCTTGGCCAGTTGACTATTAAATTGGCTGGGAGTTATTTTGTGATCTCTCCTCAATGTTTGAAGTTGTTTGAAGCGGTTATAAGCATTGAATCCAGCAATTAAATCACTCTCAGATCCATTATCAAATGAATAAATAGCTCTTGCGCTTAGAAGCTTTAAAGATGAGAAGGCAAGAATTGGCACTGATCTGGACAATATGGAAACAATAATTATGCACTCTGGTAATAAATTCAATGAATAACCAATTAGTAAAAGGTAGGCTGCATTTAACTCGGTTGGAATTAAAGAAAAGAATTTTCCGATGCTAGTAACCAAGTAAGCTTCATCTAATTCATATTGATTCACAACACTATTGGAATCAGTTTGAGAATTTCCCAATTGATGATTCACAATGGCTCCAAGTGATTCAAGTTGATAGTAAGCCTGCTCTAACAAACTTTGATTTGGAGGATCTAGACACTTTTGCAAAACTTCTGATGGAGTTTTGTAATTCTTAGGTAAACCTTTGAATTGTGTTGGGTCATCAACGTAAGCTCCATTGAACATGAGTATTTGCAAAACTACAGAAGAGAGAGGTTTTCTCTGTATTTCTGGTACGACAGAGTCATCTAACATTTCATACTCGTCTCTTGTAATCATTCTAAAAAGAATACCAGGAGAAACTCTACCTGCTCTTCCCTTCCTTTGTTTGGAAGAATCTTTGGAAACCCAATCAAGTCCCATAACTTCTGAATTAAAATTTTCATTCCAATATTTGCCTTTACATAGACAAAAATCAATCACAATAACAACATCTGGAACAGTGATAGAGCTCTCGGCAATGTTAGTACTGAGAATAACCTTTCTTTTACCTTCTTTTGGTGGTAAAAGGGATTCTTCTTGTTCTTGCTCTGCGATGAGGGAGTGAAGAATATGAATATCGTATGGACAGTCAACTGCTGAAGCCCCTCCAATAAAATTAGCTGTCAAATCATCAGCGAAATCCTCTATCTCCATCATACCTGGAAGGAATACTAGTATGGATTGATTTAATGGATAACGTACGTGTAGGTATTCAATAAGACGGGCTCCTAAAATTCTTCTCTCTGGTTTTATGCTGGCTCTCAATGGTTTAGAAAGCAAGGGAGCAAATTGCTGCTTGCTCAATAATTCTTCCTCTGGGAGAGGATTAGAAACAGGGTTGTATAAAAGGGTAATCACATCTTCAATGTGGTTTTCAGTTACGGGATAACATCCACTAGGAATATGAATTGCAGGAACCTTCTTTTCTATGTTTGAAACGAAAAGCTCATCATCCTCTCCATTTCCCCCATTATTTTGTCCATTGTTCTTTGCGGATGAGATATCCATATTAAGGTAACTCTCAAAATATTTACAAATCTTTTCTTGTGAGAGTGTGGCACTCATCAAAATGATTCTAATTTTAGGATTAACCTTGACAATTTCTCTCACAAAATAAAGAAGGAGATCTGTGTCGACTTTTCTTTCGTGAATTTCGTCTAGTACTATATGTGAAAATTCATTATGAAAATTTTCATAGCTTGATGTTGATGAAGAATGCATACCCATGATGATTTGAGTCAAGCATCCTTCTGTGGCATAAACAATTGGTGTATTATGATCTAAAACTGCCTCTCCACCAATTATATGACCAGAAATTCTTCCTTTGAACAATTCATTCAATCCATTCTTGTCCAAATAAGACTTCATTTCATTATTGACCCTTCTAGCTAAACTAGTAGCTGCTAATCTTCTTGGTTGAGTGCAAACAATTTTGATTTTTTTCAAACGGTGTGTATTACTATTCTCAATATAGTGTTTCAAAACGATTTGGGGTAATTGAGTACTCTTTCCACAACCTGTGAAACCTGTTATGACAGTGACTTGATTTTCTTCAATAGAATTGATAATTGAAGATGAAAATTCATGAATAGGAAGTGAATCCATAGCTTTTGGTTTAGTATTTGTATGTTGTTCATTGTTCAATTTGATTTGACCTATTTGAGGAAGTAACTGGTTTTCCTTCTTGGTTTTTGCTTTTGGTAACTTTTCGACAGGTAAAGTCACAGAGCTCTCAATTGAATTGTTTTGTATAGCTTGGCTATTTACCCTTTTGTTTTCTCTAATTCTTGTTGAAGGCTTGTTAGTTGTGGCACTTAAAGATTCTGGTTGAGATTCAATTAAACGAGGGCCTTGAACATTCAATTGTTGTCCTTCTGGAACTGGAGGGAAGTAGTTTTTAACCCTCCTAAAATCATTAGGTTTCTTTTCCTTCTTGTTTCTTTGTTTCCTGTCATAGATGTTACTTGCAGTAACATTACTACTACTAGTAGAAGCTACTGATGATGAAGCTTTATCGTTTGATTCGGAATTATTATCAATGGTAATATTACTTTCCAGAGGATTAAAATTGTTTTCTTTTTTCTTTGAAACTCTTTGTTTCTCCCTCTTTTCCTTCTTTATTTGCCTCTTGAAGGTTGCCAAATCCTTGTTCATTTCCTCCTCTGTAATCACAGATCTTGTTGGAGGTTGTATTGGTCTTTGAATTGTGTCATTATAATTTTGATAATACGATGATGAAGACGACTTATTCACTGGTGGATATGTTGGTTCTTCTGTAGATTGTCCTTCTTGTTGTTGATAATTATTAAACTGTTTCCTCTTTGCTCTAATTCTCTTTCTCTCCTCCAGTGCGCTATAACTTGTTCTCTTGTCAATTGTTTGTTGTGGGACTGTAGAATGGAGAGTATTGGAAAGTTGGAAAGTAGGAAAAGTTGTATCGGGTGTAACAATGATATGTGTTGATGAGACTCTTGTGGTATCATTATCATTGTTTTGACCTGATGATTCACGTGTTGTTGAAGATGATGTGGGACCAGTGGCGAACATTTTTTTCATCCGAATTTTTCAATTTAGATTTTGAAATGTTTTTGTAAGCTATTATTAAATATTAACCTTCTCATAATTGACAATGAGAATTAATTGCATTATCCAATTATTGGAACCTCCTTTATCATCATCAATTATTAATAATAATTAATATGAATTGATGAAATAATTTAATTTTTGAATTTATTAAAAAAATGAGTAAGCACATGAATGTTTCCTTCTTTCATGAAGATGAAATTATTAATGATGAGGAAATACCTTCAAATTCCGTATCATCAACATCATTCGTTGCTCCATCATCGACACCCATCAAGAAGAAAAATTCCTACAAGAATAATCCAAATCACCCTCTGAGTAATTTAACGCTCACACCAACAAAACCCTCTCCTACAGTGGGGAAAATACTAGCCAATAACAGTGCTAAAAAACAAACACCTTTTAATAATGAAAATAATAATACCATCCTAAGCGAATTTCCATACCTACAATTAAATAATACAATGATTCAAAATAATGATAAGGTTGAATATAATTTTGAAAATGTATTTTTGAATTATAATAATATTATTATACCAAAGAACAAGCTGAGTGGTGATGCATCTTCATTGATTATGAATGAAGCTTACACTCCGATTTCACCTTCACATTTAAAAAAGACAAAACAAGGTGGGGAATTAACAGTTGGTGAAATTGAAGGAGAATTAATACACATTCAATCATTGAATGATTCACTGATATCCTTCTATTGTAATAGAGGAGGTGTCATTTATCCAAACATTATGATACCTCACAATCACAATAATAACAAGTACAATGGTATTATCAAGAATGACACTAATTACAAATCAGTTTATGACACTGTTTGTGAATATATTCAAACTGTCACTAATTACATTCCGACCTATTTATTCAATTCTACATATTACTACTCCAATGGAGATTCAAATACATCATCCGATATAAGTCAAAAAGGCGTTAAGTGTCACGATTGGCATCCTTATCTTATGAAAATTGCTGTAACATTTGAAGATGACTCAATTTATTTTTACAATGTTATTAATGAGGAATGGTCATGCCAAGTTTTGACACATGAATTCCAATATCGTGTTAATACTATCAAATGGAAACCAATTGTTCAAACATCTTCGAATAAGGATCCTAATACTTATACTGAGTCTATTCTAGCTGTTGGATGTGAAAAAGGAATAATAATATGGGATGTCAATAGGAGAATGAACTTAACTAGGCGTGGAGTGTGTATTTTTATTAAAACACCAACTAGTGTGGATCAATTAACGTGGAGTCCAGATGGTGAAATGCTTGTTAGTTCTAGTAAGCATGATGATACTATCAGAATTTACAAGTTCATTAATAACGATTGGACTCTCTTTGATACCATAACAAGATTGAATGGAGGTGTTAGAAAATGCGTATTTTTGAATGATGAACATTTACTTGTCAGTCATCAAAGTAACGTATTCAGGATTTATAATACATACACTTGGAACAATCAAAAGTGGTCTTCATTCAATAAGCCTATCCAATCTATTTGTTACAATTCAAAATACTTGTTCTTGACTGAACAAGATTCGGATTGCATTCATGTATTGAAGAATAATGGCTTATTTAAAAAGGTCGATAGCGCTGTCAATTACACTTACCATTCCAAAGTACCGCTCTCACAATATACCAACAATAATGTTGTTTGTTGTGGTACTATCAATCAAATTGTGTTAAATCACAATCGCTTAATTGTTTCATTCAAGGATTCACATTTACTCGCTGTATTGCAAGTTAATTTCCATCCTCATTTTACTTGTACTCCATTGGGTTTCATTAGAGGTCCATCTCAACACTTATTAAAGGATGTAAACCCTTTGCAGGCAGTGAATGAACACTACAATGAAAGCCTCATTAGCCCAGATGCCACCTCAGTTGATAGTAACACTAGTGGAAGCAGCACTAATATTTTTGGACAAGCTCTTGATGAGAATATTTCGAATTCATACGACTTGCAATTTTGGAACAATTTTACAAAGGGAAGTTTATTGTCTGTAGTCTGGAAGGGCATTGACAAGGACAAGCTCAGCATTTATCCATTCTATTATTCAACAAGTGATGACTATGGAAAACCAATTAGCATAGATAATAAGGAATGGAACGTCTTGTTCGATGAAAATAACCACTTTTACAGAAATAGATTGAACAAGAACTATGAAAGACTTTATGAAAATAATGGAGAGGATCAATCTTCAGTAATGTCAGATGACAGAGACCTGGATCATTCCAACATATTCCAGTAAAATTTTGGTTTATTACACATCAATTTTAGAAAAACTCTTTAGAGGAATGCTTGCGTTAGGTGAAGACGAATAATTGGAATAATCTTTCTTTTTAACAAAGGTGCTATCCGAATCTTTGACATTATCCTTCTTAGAGGTACTACCCGAGAGGATGTTTTCATGCAGATATCGTTGCATGTCAGTGGAAAATGGTTCTGGAGGAGTTGAACTGCAACTGCTCACATATGAGGTGTTGTAAACAAAAGAATCGTCAGCATGAGAATATAAATCTAAAGAGTCAGTCATTTTGCTGCTATTCAATAAGGAATCATCCATATCGTGTGATATCATTGGTTTCTTCTTACTGACACTTTCAAAGAAGTGATTGGATGGTGAGTTTGATTTTGAACTTCCATAATCTCTGAGATTTGAAATCGAGGAATTTAAATGGTGGTTTGTTTTTGGTGTTGAATGCTTTGACCCATAATCTACAAGTGGACTAGAATAGCCATATAGATTGGTAGATGAGTTGGTTGATAACCTTGTATTGTTAGGGCTCTGACTATTTGGTTTTGGAGATAGAGTTGCACTTTTTGAAATTGGCTTGATTGGAGAGTTTGAAGGGCTAGGAATTGAATTTGCATACCTAAACGATTCAGTGCTATTTGAAACTGTTGCAGTGGCAGGTTTAACAGGAGAGGCTGGAGGTGATTTCTTGAGAATGCTATTATCAGTATGGAATTGATAGTGGCTCGTGTTGTTAATCATACTATTGCTGGTCTTGGAGTGATTATTAAGGTCTGTCTCATCTATTGGTTGTTTGCTTGTGGATCTTGTGGATGATTTAAGAGAGGCTGTATTTGGGGAGTTTGTATTACTGACCTGGTTGGTTTTATCCCTATTTTGGGCTTTTAATACATCCAGTTTTCCATTCACTTCATCCAACTTTTTTAAAATTACATTAATCAATTCGGATTGATGCTCAATTACCGACTTCATTTGCTTACTCTCCGATATTAAAACATCCAACAATTGATCCTTCTCAAAGAACGAGGAGCTTTCGACCGACTTTTCAGTAATGAATGTATCATTACTGGCTTGTACATTTGGGTAGAGTTTTTGCATTTCCGTAATAGCGTCTGCATTCATATTGGCACCATATTGCGGTGGAAAGAATGGGTAATAATTAAAGTTTGGAAAGAATTGGTATGGATTTGGAAACATTGGAAATGGCTGAGGAGGTTGATGTTCCAGCATTGGGTTGTGTTTGTTACTGCTACTTTTCTTTGAAGATGTCTTTGAAGAGACAGACCGTGTTTGAGAAAGAGGAGCTTGTGGTGATGAGTGTTGTTGCTTTTGTTGTTGAGGAGAATAAACTCTCGGTTCTGGAATGGATTCTTCATCACTCTCCTGATAAAAGTGTTTCAAAATCTTGTCATGTTGCTGGTGTGAAGCTGCTTTCTTTGAGTTTTTCAATGATTCCACAAGTGGAGGATTAGTACTGAATGAATTGTTGGCCAATGGTGGATAGTTTGAATAATTACTGGCAGTACTTGTTATTTGACTCGTATTCAATGATCCAATTTCAAGATTTTCCTCCATCATCTTTTCATTGTTTTGTTGTTGAGGCGTTGTGGTAGAATTATTCAACAAGTCCTCTTCCTCATCATCGTCCACCTCAAAATATGAAGATAAATTATTACGTCCCGAAGATGAAAGACTAGCACCTCCTCTCACAATATTTGCTCCTCCTAAATGCTGATGATGATGCGAACCATTTTCATGACCACTTTGATGAAGGCTTCAGAAGAAGGAGCATGATAACTCTTCACTGAAGATGTCTGACTTGATCGAATGCTTACCGCACTAAATCCACTCCTATTAAGATTGTATGAATCATTTTCCCCACCCTGTTGTTGTTGTGATGCTCTCAAATTCTTATTATTATTACTAATACTACGTGAAGAATTGTTAAGGCCCGAAATTGGGTGTTGTTTCATTTTTTCAAATGCATAAGGCTTGATAAAGAGATGATCCTATCACTCAGGTAATCTTGTTATAAAATATTCATTGTCTAATCATGATCATAATATCGAAAATATTGAACAGTGTAGAGTATTGTGCTTCAGAGTTTATTTGGAATTGATAAAAACAATTATGATAAAAAAATGTTAGAAAATCCTGTTCAGAAATTAAAGAGAAAATTGGGAGACTTTTATAGGGTGAATCCTCATCTGAAAAATGTGGAAAAACCTTTGGATAAAACGCAATCTTCTTCTGATGAGGAAATGGTGTTAAATAATAATAACAAGGCTCACTCTACAACAACAAGTAATAATAATTCTAGTACAAATAATTCTAAATTAAATAATATTAATAATAATAATAATAATAATAATACCAAATTAAATAAGAGTGATAGTAAATTAAATGATAATAATAAGAATAACAAAGAAGTAAATAATAGCAAGGGAGGAAAATTATTTAAAAAAGAAAATATAAAAACAGAGATTATATCCGATAGTAGTAGTAGCAGTGATTCACCATCATCATCATCTCATAAAAATGTGGAAAAGAAAGTTGAAAAACCAAAAAAGATTGCTGGAAAATTATTCAAGAAATCATTTTCATCAAGTGATGAGGATATGCACTCTTCTTCAACAGATTCCGATGATTCTGCTAGTAAAGTTAAATCAAAAACCAAAGAATTGGTTTCTCACATTCATCAATCCAATGATGAGAGTATAACATTTAAAACTACTCAAGTTTCAAAAGCACAAGTTGAAAGTTTACTGAAAAACATTAAGAATGATCTGAAAGAAGCAAAAACAAACTCATCTCAACAAGTCTATTTGGTCAATTCACTAATGAGAGATGAAAAGTTAGCTTTCCAAAGAAATATTGATGTAAATTTACTCACTCTAGAAAATGATTGGTTTGATTTCAAGCCTCTTTTCCCATTTTTCTTTATACCAAAATATAATAATTATGATTATCTAGTTTCCCAACTGGGTCTATTCAGATTAGTTGATAACACTCAAAATATTACATATAATTTGAATTTGAATGGATTGCTTGTAAACTTTAATAATTTATTGGAATCAAATACGTTTAAATATTATGGTACCTATAGAGAACAACGTCCAATTTCAGTATTGGATTCGATTACAATTTTTGTAAAAATAACCTTTTTGGAGATTGATTTTAAGACAATAGCTTTCGAACTTGTACCTTACCATACCATTCATGTAAAGAATAATAGAGTATCTGATAATTCTGGAAAATTATTACCAACACAAATTTCAACATCGTTTTCTAGGTCCATTCATTCCAATCTATTCAAACAACATTTGAACTCTAATACTAGTTATGGAATTAAAGTATCCTTCCACTTAAAATCTGATCACATTTCAGAAGTTCACAAGGGAAGTTTAGGATTATCATGGGAAGATGATGGTGAATTGAGTCTTATTATGAATAATTGTTAATTATTAAAATTAGTTGCGCCAATTAGATCGCTATGAATTTTTAAAACAATTTATTCTAAATACTAATTTAGAAAAAATTAGTATTTTGATAATTAATAAGCACGTTCTTTTTACAACTCGAGAATACTATAGGCAAAAACCATTGTCTCAATGATTTTTTGGTTTAACAAATAATGTTTCATTGCTATTCAAATCTTCATGTATTATCGGATCCGAACGATCATTCTGCACTGAGTGATGATTTGATTTATTGACTTGATCATCATCTTTAACGGGAACAACCGTTTGCCCTCCAACAATAATCTTATCCAATTTAATATCAATATCATCAGAGGTTGCTCTACTATCAGAGGACATCATTAAATGATCCATAAAGCGATTAAATCGTTGCATTTTTTTATTATATTTAAATATTAAGGGAACAGATGAACATCAATACTTGTAATTGGAGAGATCTACTACCACATCAAATGAAGATGAATTATCTTTGCACAATGGAAATGGAACTTAAAGTTCAATCAAGTGGAATTTCTGTGAAAATCTCAACAGCGTCAACCATTATTGGTATTTCACTATTGGTTGTTGGAGTTGATTCTTCCTCCCTGAATTCCTCCTTTCTGACAATTTCTGAATAATTGGAAGCCACTTGTTGGGATATTTCATCTCTTTTTTGAATTATTTCAACATTTGCCACTTGTTGTGAGCTATTTCTGAATTCTAGAATGATATGATCTAATGGACCAAATGAAAACGTAACAACAACACAAAAACACAACATGGCAACCTTTTGAATGATCAAACTAACATGAAACAATGGGAAATACACAACTACTCCTAAAAAAGCAAGTATTAGAACTAGAACATTGAGAAGTGCAACGTAGAGTTGACCAAATGAAAGTATTAGTAAATTTCTGCAGCCCTTTCTTCTTTGCTCTGTAACTGGAAACCTTTGATTTAAAATTAATTTCCTAATCAGCAAGACAACAATTACCATATTAAGGAATGTGAAAAAAAAGGTTGCAATACAAGTGCTCACTAGGAAAGTTACTAAAAACACATTAGAAACAGCTGAAACAATCTTGAAGGCATGTTCAGATATCGTCAATTTCTTTTCTGAATCAAAAATAAAAAACACCAAAGCAAACAAAAAGGGAACAAGTAATATAAATGTCAAATTGAGTATTGCAAGAATGGAAATACTGGACCATTTGACCCCAAGTGCTGCTTTTTGGTTATTTGCATTCATTCTCATCCACTCATGTGCTTTGTTGAAATACAATTCATACAAAATCTTTGTAATTACGCTCTGACAATTGGTGTACATTACAATGGTCAAGAAAAAAAGTGACAACTCTGAACTAAAACTAATACAAGGAAAAATCACTCCAGAATTGAACAGTATTGATAAAGTTGTGCTCACCACTGAGAGTTGAAAGCATTCTTGCAATGCCAACACTAGCAAAACGACTAAATATAGTAATTTCTTATTGTACACCATTTTTTTGTAATTCATTATGAAAACAGTTAGCATGAAGAGTGATATGATTAGAAATATTATAAACCCGATAGAATTAGTTGTTAGGCCAACACTAGATGTTATTAATTGTTCTTTTGTGTAGGTTTCATTGTTATTGTCAGCTGCCATTTTTTATTTTGGAACTTATCTCTGTAAAACAAGTTTCTAAACCATCTCTTCCTATTTTGATTACATCGATCATACCACATCAGTTAGTGAGAGTGCTATATATCAGTACCGAAACTAGTAAATTGTATCAAAACCTGTTGATGTAAATTGTATCCATGGTTGTTATTCCAATATTAAGGGCCATTTAAAAACTTGACCAAAGCTTAATTTTGATTTTCATTAAAATAAACAGAGTAAAGTACTGTTGTACTAAACACACCTGAAAATACAAAGTGTGGTCAGGTCAAACACAATATCCAGCAAATTCCAATCCAATAAAAGTTTCACTCAAATATTATTTTAGGCACCTCATGAGATATAGATCATTTGTAGACAATAATATGTGAGGGACTTCCACATATTAATACATGTCCCTGTTTTCTATCAAATCTCATGTGATTTCCTCCTACATTTGAAAACTCATGTAAAATATTAAGCTTATTATCAAATATAGTTAATTGATTTCCCAAAGCAATCATATTTCCTGTCTGTTCCTCAAAAACAATACAACTGACCAACCAATCATGATATGGTATCTTGAATTTCTCAATTATTTGAGAGAAATCCTTATTAAATTTCAATCCTTCAATAACTCCTTCATTCCCCAGAGTGTGAAACAGTGTTGAATTCTCATCATCACAGAATTTGAAAACTTTTGACTCATTCTTTCCCCACAAACAAGGATGTCTAGCAAGAACACTTCCATCCTCTACTCGCAACAGTGTTACTTCCTCTCTGAATGGATGAATCACAAATAGAATTGAATGCTTAATGGAAATATCAATTTCAGTTCCCATCGATTCGACCCTCCATTTTGGATTTCCAAACTTCTGCAATTTCATAATTTCATCCAAATCATAGCAAGCCACTGAATAATCTCTCAATATTGCATAGATATAACAAGAGCCGTCTCTTCTTTCCTCCAAAATAAACTTATCTAATTCTGGATTTAATTTCAATGGCACTGATTGAAGCAATTCCTTTGTATTCATATCGAAAAAGAGAAGAGATGCATTCGAAAGCATGGTCCTTGCTATCATTAAATTCTTTGAATAGCACATTTCAAATTGTTGGGTTAGAATGGGACCAAACTTTTGCAAAATTTCAAACTTGTATGAAAAATTCGTAATTTTTGGTTTTTGCATCTTTTCAATGAATTTACTTTTCAGTGTCGGATCAAATTGATTTGGCCACATTGAATGATGATTATTTTCATTGAAAATTAGTGTGTGGTTGTAGTGTTCGTGTTGTGACATTTTTTTTGTTACTTTGGTGAACCTTGATTGTAATGGAAAATTGTAATCAGCAACACCAATAGGTATCTCAATATTGATACAGCAACACTTTGTAAAATGTTCAGTATGGTTTCGTATAGATATTATATAAACTATTGATAAATAATGGGAGTTGTTATTTTTGTAATTGTTTGAAAATTTCATTTCTATGAGTGTGTGCAGCCTTTTCACTTACATGATCGAAATAATAGGCAATACTTCTCAAAATGACAGAAGGAATGAATAAACTTGATGTGAACATATCAATCATTGGATAGTTGAATCTATTTACACATGGTCCTACACCAAGAGTAGCTCCAACAATTTGAAGGTAGGTGTCGAATGAGGAAATGACATAGAATTGAATGGAAGATTTCAATAAATTCTTTACAAGCATTGAACCTGATTCAATATAGGTTTGTAATCCAGAGAGACTTGACAAGATTGCACATTCCTTTGGTTTTGTTTCATTTTCCTTCTTGAATCCTTCAGTATCTGTATCAACAGGTAAAGCCAAGTGAACTCTAATATTAGTTCCCAATAATTCATTACGAAGAGCTTCAGCATAACCCTTAATAGCATACTTGGTTGGTGAATAAGATCCATATCCAACAAATGATGCAATTGAACATGCTGATCCAACGAAAATGACATGTCTATCAAATGCTCCACCACTAGCAGCTTCCAAATCCATCATTTTAGGAATAAATTTCTTTGAAAGCATGACATGACTGAAATAATTCAAATTCATTTGATATTTGAAATCCTCCATCTTTTGTGAGAGAATATATCCTGGAATTGACAATCCTTGGTTAATAAATAAATAATCAACATTTTCAATAGCACTTGAATATAAATGTTCAATCATCTTGTCAACTTGATCCTCATCACCAACATCACATGAATGAATAATAACTTCTTGCTTTCCTTTACAATATTCTTGTAATTCCTTCTTTGCTTGTTCCAATTTTTCTTGATTTCTTGCAACAATAATCAATGTTTTAGCCTTTTGTTTTAAACATTCAATACCAATACCTATATATTATTTTAAAATTTCATCATCATTATTAAATACAATAAATACAATTAATGTTATAAATACAATATTATAATAATATTATTATTAAATATAATATTCAAAATAATCATCATGATCGGAATGATTCAACACCATTACAAACACCTACCTAATCCAATACCAGTCGATCCTCCAGTAATTAAAACAGTTTTTCCTTCCATTGAATGTTTCATCTTTTTTCTTTGAATAAACAAGTAGTGAAGTAAGTGAACCACTGATAGAGCACTACCAATCACCAACATGGGTTGCAACATGAACGTCCACAATAAACTCATTTTTTTTTACAATAATTATTATCCATTAAATAATATTATTTAAATATTTAATAATTTATTAAAAAAAAATGATCAATAACAAGACGATCAATTCTGATGTTCCAAAAGTTCATGATGATAATACATCAGCAGCATCGGATCATGAACAACAACAACATGAAGGAAGATCAAACTCTAAAGAATTTGAATCATCAAGGAAACAAACTTCAATTCCACGTTTAATTATGTACTTTCTAATTTATAGTGCCATATTCTGGACATTGTACTTTATCTATCAATATAAGAATAATCAGGAATTTAAACAAAAATTTGTCAAGTGGTATTTGGCTACATTCCACGGGAAGAAAGAGGCTTCTTCTTCAGTGCTATCTGTTCCTAGTGAATTTAAAGTTGATTTTACTACATACAAGTTACCATACAAGAGTAGTGGAGGAAGTCATGCTAAGGATTATTTCAAATTTACACAAGAAGAGTTGAAACATTATAATGGAAAGGATGAAAGTTTGCCACTCTTGTTGGCAATTAAAGGAAGAGTTTATGATGTTAGGTTTGTATATATTTGTGAGCTCTCTTATTAATTGTCTATCTCATCAATTCTCTAAATAATGATTATTTCAATAATTATTTTATCAATATCCGAAACTTAGTGAAGGTAAAAGTTATTATGGAATGGAAGGAGGTTATCACTTCTTTGCTGGTAGAGATGGTACAAGATCATTTGTAACAGGGTATGTAATATTTCAATAGATTTATGGATACATTTTTAAAAAGTTGCTTTGATGAAGAAAAGGAGGAATGCACAAGTGTTCAATCTAAATATTCGGATTTCACACAAGAACAAATGCAAAGTATTGAAGATTGGGTCAAGTTTTATGATGATCACGAAAAGTACAAATTTATTGGAATTGTCACTGATCTAAAAGATCAATAAAAATTAAGTTGATGAAATAAATACGTGTATTTCTCAACAAAAGAAATGTTATCTCTATTCAAATTATCTTTCTCCATCTTCTTTTTGAAAATCCTATAATTTACTCTGAGGTAATTCCAAGTCTTTCTGAAATGACATTTAAATTCTCTCTACTCAAAATACCATCCACAATGAATGGTTTCTGTAAAATGACAACGAGAATGGCTCTCACTAGTTCATTCAAACTTTCGGCCTTCTTTGCAAGGTGAGCAAATTTACCGATTGGTGAATCAGAAAGTGATTTGTGAACAAAGTGATTGTAATCGAACATGCAAGCACATTCCACAAGTTGAGTGAAAATAATATTGAGCTTGTCCACATGACGATATTTTCGAGTGGCCTCACTTACTTCATTCTGTTGCTCTTGTTGATCTTCATCTTCGAATGGGTCCAATATTTTCCTCTCTGGTGTTCTCTCCAGACAACATGCATTATAAAGATAGAGGAAGAAATTGGACCAAACCAACAATGTTTTCTCCAAAGACTTGTACAACTCTTCTGTTTTCTGTGAGGACATACTATCTCGTAGCAAGTATTTAGAAGGATGAAGCAGGGATTCGAATACAAGTCCATCTGAAATATCCGTAATGAATTTCTTAATTTTCAACTTGCTGCAATGACTTGGTTCTTGAATAACTTGAAAGAATTGAACAGCATCCAGATTATTACTCGTTTTGGTCGAATGCTTGACAAATACTCGTAAAGCTCTATTGGCTAACTTGATTTCCATAGTTACAGATTGGCTTGAATCTGTTTCAAATCTAGAATTGAGTACTTTTAGTAATTTCATAGTGAGTGGTAAAAAACAGTCGTTGAGGTAAAAGTAGTTGGCTACTTGACTCTTCTCAATAGATGGATATACCAAATCAAAGAGTGATAAAAGTTGCAGACCTATTTGGTGTGAAATTCTTGTTGGTTTTTCCAGTTCTGAAGTGTAATTCTCAATGAATCCATAAAGCATTGGCCATAGCTTTTCCATCATTTCCTGTCCATACTCACTTGATATTAGAATTGAGTATCCTCTCAGTGATTTTGAGATAGGAATGGATTTGCTCTTCTCATCACTTGTTGAAGAATCATCCATGATGGAGTGAAGATTTCCATACTTTAAAATTTCAATGCAGTGCCTAAGGCATTCTGATTTCTTTCTTTCCTCCTGAGAGTATTCATTGAGACTCATATCCAATAATTTGAGTACGAGTTGAGAGGCCACTTGAGCCTTGGTTGTTGGAGGTTTCACCAGGGATTCAGCATCCTCCTCTGTGATTTGATCAGTCAAGAAGTGATTATTTACATTGTGTTTTACATAGTGGCCTTCCTCCTTAATGATTAAACTTTGATGTTTGGAGAGAACTTTCTGGGCTAGTTCTCGTAAAGGTTGACATTTACTCTGTGAAGTTGTCAAAAACTTGGTAAAAAAACTCTTAATGATCCACAATTTGATACTATTAGAAAATAGAAACAGCCACTCGCTCAACTGTTTCAATAACTCAAATTGACAAAAGAATACCAATGAAGCAAAGTAAGAATTTAAAAACTCTATAAATTGTTTCTTTTTTTCACTCTTCAATTCGTCAATCTTTTTCCCTAGTTTTTTCTGATATTCCTCATTTGTAAAATCCCCATCTGTTAATAAAGGTATTATAATTGTAGAAAACAAATGATTCACATTTTCCGAAAATACAGTATTCAATTGAAATTGCTTGAAAAGAACTTCATTAATGAAAGAAAGACTAAACTTGGATGAAGGTTTAGGATCCACTGGAATTCTACAAACTGGCAACAAGGTGTATTCAACAAGTAATTGTTGCATTTGTTCTGGTAAATCAATACTCGATTTATCTCCAAATTTTTCTCTTATCTGATTTACACTCATTGTAGAAATATCAAATGTTGATTCATCTCCAAAATCACGAATCAAATCATTGTTATCATCATTAATTGATAAATGTTTAACAATTTCATTCCGAAAATATGAACATAAATTATTAATTTGATCTGTTATTCCTCCCAGTAATAAATCATCCAATTCTTTGAATAGTTTTTTCCATTCATCACTTTTATCCTCCGATGATGATAATTCTTTGGCTGATGATTTGAGTTTTTTCATTTTTTTTGAATTTTAAACTTTTTTCGATTTATGAAAATTTAAAATTGATTTTATCTTTTAAAATTTAGAGAAAAAGCTTAAATTTATTTCTTTTCAGAATCAGACTTACTCTTCATGTAAACAATATTACCCACAGTAAAAATGATAAAGAAGATGATGATAAATCTCAAAATGAAACCAGCTCTCTTTCTCTTATCTCCAATTTCTTTCATGAAATCTTGGATGGTAGCGAAGGAGGTGTGATGTTCAGAAATCTTTGGATCATGTTTGATGGCACCTTGGAGATCACTCTTCATTCTATTGTCAGCTTCAACTTGATATTTGGTTGCCTTTACAATGGAAACATTCTTGGAGGCTGATTGAGATGGATTCTTCAAATCTTCATCTTCAATACCAAGCATATCGGCCAATTGAGTAATCTTACTGTGAATATCTTCGAGAACAATTTCAGCTCTTTGTTTTTGAGTCAATGACTTGTCGAGAGATTCCTCAATTTGAGGTCCTTGGTAGAGTGAGTGCAAGAAGGTAAAGTACAATTCAGCACGATCAACAAGGAGACGAGCAACCCATAATTTTCTCTTTTCCAATCTTTCAGGATCAACTCCTTCAATTTGTTCCAACTTTAAAATGTCTTCTTCCAAAAGTTCAATAGCATTACACAAATCAGTGTGGGCCTCCTTAGCATTTCCAAACTCGGTATAAATATGATAACGACGTTCCAATAATTCCAAAACCTTGATTCTAATTTCTTCAATTCCTGGATTTTCCAAAGATGCGTCTTGCTTTTTGTAAGCTTCTTCCAAAATTTGATTTTCCAAAGGATTGCTTGATGGTTCAAATTCAGTAGGTTGAACAATTTCCATACTACGTCTTTGTAAATCCATGAGAGTATTTGTAATTTCATAAACTTCATTTTCCTTTTCAATCAACTTGATAGTGTGTTGTAAACGTTGAACCATTTCATATTCAGTTTCAGTTTCATCATTTTCCTTCTTGGCATCATGTTGACTATTGACAATGACAATCAAATTTAATCTTTCATACATGGTTTTTAACTTTTCCAAGTCACTCTTTGCATTCTCAACATTTGAAAAGATGTGAACATATAAAAATGTTCTTTGAAGGAGAGCATTAACAATATCCCAGATTTCCTTTGGAATTGAATGACCGGCAATCTTGGTCAATGGTGTTTCCTAGAATTACACAAAATAGAATAATATATTATAAGAGAATAATTCAATTTCAACAACACCTACATCTCCTTTCATATTAAATTTACTAGCAGAACCTTCCAATTTTTGAATTAAACTATTTCCATCCTGAATAATCTTGCTAACATGTTCAAGATAACTCTCTTCAGTTGGTGTTGAACGAATAGCATCCAAATCAATTAATAAGTGATGTCCCTCAGCAGCTGGTGTTGTTGCTGATGGAGTTTCTTGTTTCTGCTCTGCTTCGGAGAATATTTGATGTTGAGAAAAGAAACGTGATTGTTGATAAATATTATTCATTACTCTCACTTGTTGGGTCAAACAAGGAATGTGTGTGGCACCGACACCTCTAAAGGCAGAAACTTGTTGTTTTTGAGAGGAGAGAGCGGCACGACGAATGAGAGCAAGACTTTTTTTCATTTTTTTTGATTGAATTTCTCAAAAAAGATTCAAGCTTTTTCTATCTAATTTTTTCTTTAATTTGCAAAACGCTTCAAAGAAATTGACATGTAGAAATAGTTTTTTTGATATATTTTGTTCTTGAAAGAGATATTAAGTCAATCATTAAGATATTATCAAAAGAAAAAATTGATATTGTAATTGCAGATTGTAATTACAGTATCCCTTCATGACCTCATCGATTGAACCGAATTGTGTGGAGAAGGATGGATTGGAGGATTTGATAGTTTGCATTTGAAACAAATTAGCATTGATTAATTCTAAAACTTCATTCACGGAAGATTCAAATGCTTCAATTGGGAGTTGTTTCAATTCACTGTACGATAAGTTCTCTTTCATTCCCTTATTCAATATTACATAATTGTTGACAAGTTTCTTTTGGGTATCTTTTGCAATGGAGGCAACATCATTCAATAAACTTATCGTATCACATGCCATGTGATTATATTGAATGAGCACATTATCGCATCTTTCAATTTCTAATGGAATCTTGTTAAAGATATTGTTGATAGTAAAGAAAAGAGAGGCCATGGAGTCAATTCTTCTTTCCTCTAAAAAGTTAGCCAATATTTCTTCAGTGATTGGTCCATTATTATTTTTTGCCTTTTCAATTAGATTAGTTCCAGTCACCAGGAATTCCAAAACCTTTCTTCTAATACATTCGAATCTTTCTTCCCTGATTAGATTGTACACAAATTGTCCCATCTTGAGAGCAGAGTGAGAAGCATGAACTGTTTCTCCTCTAAATATCTTACAATGTTCTTTCATCTCTGCAATAGACATGTCAGTAATCTTCTCATCACAAGCATCATCCACAATTGAAATGTATGCAACTATTGGAATGACAATCTCTGTGAAAAACTTTTCATCTTCCTTAACCATTGAATCAAAAGAGAGAACCAACCACTGTGCAAGATCATATGATCCACTGAAGGTATATTTGTTATTTCTGAATTGAAACTTTCCAACAAGTTGTTCCAAAAGAAGTTTACAATGTTGATCAGATTTCTTCTTATCTAAAGAGACGAGAATTGAGGATTTACTTTGATCGAAAGTGAGTTGAGTTGTTTGCATTTTGTTAGAGTGTGTTAGGGTTGTATTGTTTTTTTTGTGTTGGAAGATAGAGAGTTGAGAATACTGAGAGTTTAAATAGCTTGAAAATGTTTTCACATGTGAAAATAGATTTGTGCAAATTCGTGACTTCCCATCACGATTTGTTTCGATTTCGATTACTATTTTATTTTTAACTTGTGAAGATTAGAAGAACATTTAAACGTGCGTTGCAAATTTATTTGCTTGCTCTTAAGAGTGTGGATGAGGAGAGCTAGATCATTTCTTGGAAGGTGAGCTGTATTGGTGTGGCTGATGAATTCATGATAGGAAATAAGTTGATGACCAGCTGAGCTCGATACTCTGTCAATTAAATTTTGATGGAAATCAGTGGAGAAGGTTCTCAAAGGTTTTCTAAAGAGTTATTTATTTGTTATTTACAAGTGGTTTTGTTTAGATTGGTTTCATGATCCTTAAATCCAGCTATATCATGATTGACTGGTGCAATTAAACTATCTCAGTAAAATCTATTTCAATTCATTCTCTCAGACACTACACAACAAATGTGGAGGGAGAAATTGGGATTGATGAATAGTTCTCTGATGATAGTTGCTAAAATTATTCTAAACTAATATTAATTTTGAGAAGGAGTGGCAACTTGTTGCTTTTCCAACAATTTTCTTTCCTTTCTCTCTTGCTTTTGAGCTTGTTTTTCCAATTTTCTTTGAGCTTTGATCATTTGCTTTTCAAGTTTCTTTTCCATTTTCCAAGCATGCTTTTGTTCCTTCTTTTGGAGCTTCAACAAGAGCTTTTCATCAACAGTTGGTGTGACAATCTCAGCATTGTTGGAAATTGGTTCAGTTCTTACTTGTTGAACTGGTGGTACAGTATCAATTACTGGTTCAACAACAGGTACGTTAATTGGAGCAGTTGGTTCACTACCAGTTGTGACAGTTGAAACAGATTCTGGTTGAGTAGAAGCATTTTCTTGTTGCTTTCTTTGCTTCTTCAATGCAATCTTTTCAAGCTTGTATTGAGCTTTGAGTAACTTCTTTTCCAATTTAAATGCTTTCTTTTCTTCCTTCTTTTCAAGTTTGAGTTTAAGTCTTTCTTCCTTGTTTGGAGACGACTTAATAGTAGATGGAACATTTGGGTCAATGCTAACATTGGCAGGATGGAATGACTTTCTTAAAGATTTCATTTCAAATTTGATAGTCATGATTTGTTCCTTCTTCATCTTAATTTCATCTTTCAATAATTCAACTTGTTGCTTCTTTTCGGAAAGACTTTGGGATTGTTCTTCAGTCAATTGAAGCTTGACCTTTCTTTCTTTCTTTTCCTTTCTTTCCTTCTTTTCATGATTCAATTTCTTCTTCATTACTCTGAAAAGAATTGGTTTATCTTGTGGAATTTCTTGAATTAATTTCATCATTTCAGAAAAATCATTTTCATCATTAATTACATAAACTGTTTTTCTCTTCTCAGAAGATGGAACAATAGCCTTGATCTTGAAAGTGGACAATAGCACTTCATCAGAACTAGTAGCAGATGGCAAATCTTGAACAAATTCTCTAACAGATTCATTCAAGTCTCCGAAATTAATTAATTGGAAAACCTTTTCAATCTTTTCCTTGTTTTTTCTCATTATCAATTTTCCAGTAAGAGTAGTATTGTTATTATTAGTAGTTGTGGACATTCTAATCGATTGTTTTAGATTATTATATTAATAATTGTTTGATTTGTTTTTTTTGTTGTTTTAATAAAAATGAAAGGGGTGGGAAATTATTTATTTCATTCTCTGCACACAAAGTTCACCATCTCTCCAATAATAGTTTTTTGTAAAGTTACAACAATTATATAGAGTGATAACTGCAAACTAATTTCACAATGTTGGAACAGAACTTCTAATATACTATCCAAAATTGAGGGTTTTCTTCAATAGGAGCGGCAAAATATCATTGAAAACTCCTTAAATAATTAGTATCGATGGATCTGAGCCATTCAAAGACAAATTTCAACACTAACTGTAATTGAAAAGTATTGAAGAGAGATTCTAATTGGTAATTCTTACAAATTCTACAATTGTATCTCTATTGATTAAAAAGAAACTGTTTGATCGTATCATTAGCTATCATCCTTGTTGTATTATGTAAAATTGAGTCATCTTTTCGATGGAAACTTTTCTGGTCAAATTCATTATCGATACTGTAACGACAAAATTAGTTTTTTTTAAAACTTCGTTTTGATGGTTTTAAAATTACTAGAAATAATGTGACACTTAACATCGGCTACAAAACAGGTGAAATAGCAGGTTTGTAGGCGTATTTTTGTAATCGAGGTTAACTGGATTGTAGGTATAAATTTGGACAAAAGTTGTTGCCTACATTTCCAGCATAACATAACAAAAAAAATGAACAACAAGACTATCGTTCCAGGTAAGCATCTCACTTGAACAATGTTTTCGCTTAGTTGTAAATATTTGTTCAATTTGCATTAATTTTTTACCGTTTCAGCCATGAGACAACTCGCTACTTTGATCAAGAAACACCCAAATGCTAAGATCATGATTGCCCCAACCACCAGAAATCTCCACAAGCAACACAAGACTCCAGGTTTCTTTGATCAAGTCTCTGGTATCTATGCTACAACTGGACACAAATTAGACATGAAGCCATTCGAATTCAGAGAAGGTGAACCATTGTGGTACTCTAACTTCTTGGGTGGTATCATTATCTCCGTCCCAGTCGCTATGGGCTTCTTTGCTTGTTTCTTCAGTTTGTTCTGGTACACTTTCTTCGATTCACAAACTACTCTCGGTAGATCCAACCCACATCCATTCCTCAGCATTAAGAATGGTTCTGATTCTCAAGCTACTATTAACCCACTCTTCAGATTCTGTTACCCTTATGGTCCACAAGCTTCTGACTTTAAGATGCTTTTCTGGAATGAATTGAACAAGGCCAAGAAGCACGAACTCTAATTTCATCAACTACTATAGTACTAATTGTATAATTCTAAAAACGGGCCCCCTAAAATAAACAGTAATTAATAAGGGTGTTATACTGAACATACGGCTCTAGCTCTTTAATTTTATTGTTAATACTACTTTTTAATCGATAGTACTGAAATCCACTACGAGCAAATGATGGGATTATTGTGATGGTTAAAAATGCCACCTCATTTGCCATATGGCGATTTTTAATAAACTTGAGGAGGACATCTTTGATTACATTTCCGAAGCAACAAAATATTAACACAAAAATCATAAATCCCTTCAATTAATTATGTTTGAAAATAATTTTTAATATCTTTACAAAACTACAGCGCGGACAACATCTAGCGAACCACTATCTTCCTCACATTCGCCATTTGTGTTAAATTCGCTGACCGGTCTAACATTTTCAAAAAACACAGAGAAAAAAAATGTCAATCAATCTTAACAAATTATTGGAGGAATTTAAATTCGATTCCTATGACTATTCCCAATCCGGTCCAATAGAATGGAGATTAGTCGTCAAAGAAGGTCGTCAACGTTGGATTCCATTCCCACAATCTTTATTAAAACAATCGGGAGAAGAACAATCAAATGTTGATAAACACTTGTTAAACAAGCCTTCAAATTTTGAAGATCCAATCACTTATATTAATAATCATCCTCTTGTTGTGGGTACAACATCAAGTAATATTAGTTCCACCAATGATGATGACCAAGCAACTACTAATGCCGATAATGATGACAAATTAAAATACATCTTTAATAAGAGTAATAATTATATAATTAATTTAGATGAACATCAAGTTGATGCTAGTATATTGAAAGCTATTGATTTCTATTCTAGTGTTCAAACACAAGATGGACATTGGGCCGGAGATTATGGTGGTCCAATGTTTTTATTACCTGGTATTGTGATTGTGTTATATATTTGTCAAAAGAGATTACCTAAACCATTTGAATATGAAATTGTTAGATACATCTTGTCTAAACAAAATCAAGATGGAGGTTATGGACTTCATATTGAAGGTCACTCAACCATTTTTGGTACAGTTTTGAATTATGTTGCATTGAGATTGTTGGGTGTTAGTCCAGATCATTCATGCATGAAATTAACATTGGAATTCCTTAGTAAGGAACCTGCTAACGGTGCTTTGGGAGCACCACAATGGGCTAAATTATATTTATGTTGTTTGGGTTTGATGGATTGGGATTGTATTGATCCAATTCCATGTGAATTATGGTTATTACCTGATTGGTTCCCATATATTCAACCAGGTAAATGGTGGTGCCATTGTCGTGTTGTTTATTTACCAATGGCATACTTGTATGGTATCAAGAAGGTTTATGCCAATGCTGAAACTGATCCAATTATTTCACAATTGAGAAATGAATTATACGATCAAGTCTCCAAGACAAGTTATCAAAATCAACCTTGGTCAAAGTATAGATCATATGTTAATCCACGTGACAATTACCATCCATTCACTCAACTCTATTCTAAATTTGCTAGTGTTTTGACTGTTTATGAAAAGTATATTAATTTCTCATTCTTGAGAAATGCTTCATTGAAGAAGTGTATTGAACATATCAAATATGAAGATAGTGTCACCAATCATATCTGTATTGGTCCTGTCAATAAGGTATTGAACATGTTATCAGTATTTTTCAGTGACGGATCAGATAGTGAACTTTTCAACAAACATTTAGATAGAGTTTATGACTATTTGTGGTTATCTGATGATGGTATGAAATTCCAAGGTTATAATGGTTCTCAATTGTGGGATACTGCTTTTGCTTCTCAAGCTATTTGTGAATATTACAAGAGATTCAAGAACCAAGATAATCAAATTTCATGTCAAGGATCATTTAAGAATGAGCATTTGAATTCGCTTTTGAATGCTTACAACTTTATCAATTTCACTCAAGTCAAGGAAGACGTTCCAAATAGAATGGAATATTATAGACATCAATCTAAGGGTGGTTGGCCATTCTCTACACGTGATCACGGTTGGCCAATTTCTGACTGTACTGCTGAAGGTTTGAAGGCTGTTTTGACCTTGTACGATTTGTTCAATATTAAGGGAACTCAAACCAATAGCTCTGAATCCAATTTACAAAACATTGAAAAACTCAAGACACAATTACAAGAATACTATGGAAAGAATGAAATGAATCCATTAACTAGTGATGAATTAATTCTCAGTGAAGAAAGATTAACAGATGCTGTCCGTGTCATTTTGTCCATGTTCAATGGTGGTACAAATGGTGGTTGGGCAACTTATGAATTGTCTCGTACACACTCATGGATTGAAATTATCAATCCTGCTGCTTTGTATGGTGAAATTATGATTGACTATCCACACACTGAATGTACAAGTGCCTGTATTACTGCCTTGTTGCAATTCAAGAAACACTTCCCACAATCTCCATACGTTCCAATGATTGATGATAGTATCAAACATGCTATCAAAGTAATTGAAGGAAAACAAATGGAAGAAGGTGGTTGGTATGGTGGTTGGGCTGTCTGTTTCTGTTATGGTACATGGTTTGCCACTACTGCCATTGTCAGTGCTGATCCAACACTCAACTATGGTAATTCACAAGCTTTGAAGCGTGGATGTGATTTCATTGTTGCCAAACAAATGGAAGATGGTGGTTGGGGAGAAAGTTATCTTTCATGTGTGACTCACCGTTATTCACATGCTGAAACTTCACGTGTTATCAGTACTGCTTGGTCTTTACTCGCCTTGATGACTTCAAATTATCCAAATCTTAAGGTTATTGAAAAGGGTATCTATTGTTTGATGAGAAAACAATTACCAAATGGTGACTTCCCACAAGAATCCATTTCTGGTGTTTTCAATCACAATTGTATGATTACCTATACAAACTATAGAAATATCTTCCCAATCTGGGCTTTATCCATGTACATGAACAAGTATCACTCTAAATTAGTTCAATAAATTTTGAAATTTCTTTAGTTTAATTAAGAAAATCATAAACCGAACTCAGAAAAGTCTTAAATTTATTCAATGAAAATCTATTTATCATTGTTGAACTCTGAGTAATCTTCAAGATTGATAATATCGGTTGCAATTTTGTCTGTGAAATATCTATCGTGTGAAGTTGCAATGATAATTCCAGGGAAATTCATCAATGCTTCCTCAATCACTTCCAAGCTAGGAAAATCAATATGATTAGTCAATTCATCCAATACCAAAATTGAGCATTTTTGCATGATTATTTTACACAATTGTACCTTTCTTCTACATCCAATACTCAATGATTTCAATGGTGAATTCAAGTCATGCCAAGTATAAACTCCAAGATTACACAATTCACTGATAATCTTTTGTTTTGTTGCTTGAATGCTAGAATCTTCCATCAATAATTCAATTGCTGACTTGTCAAGTATCAGATTTTCTTGTTCCTGATCCAAATATCCAATCTTGGCATGCTTACTGATAGTAACAGTGCCACTGTCAGATTCTGTCAATCCCATCAGAATATTCATTAAGGTTGTCTTGCCAGAACCATTTGGACCTTGAATAATCAATCGATCACCACTCACTAGAGTAAACGAAACATTTTGGAAAAGTGGTTTGTGAGCAAAGGATTTAGTCAAATCAGAAACTTCAATGCACAACGAGGATGAAACAGAATTTTCATCAAATTCGAATGAAATTTTGTTTCGTTCTTGAATTAAATCTATTCTGTTCTCGAGCAAGTACTCTTGCTTTCTCGTAATTTGATTAAACGCCTTGGAAGTACCTTTGTGAACTCTTTCTTCCTGATTATTGTAACTGATTTTATCCCTATTTTTGGGATCTCTCAATTTTCTGGCTTTCATTGAAGAGGCCATTTGAATTGACTTTTGTTTCAGATTTTTCAATTCCTTTTCTTGGAATTCACGTTCTTGAATGGCTCTCTGACGTTTCTTTTCCTCCTGAGCAAGATAGTTTTCATAGCCACCTCTAAAGTGGACAAACTTTTTCGTATGAGGTGAAAGTTCTGAAATTCTATTAGAAACTGAATTAATCAAAGTTCTGTCGTGAGTAACCATCACGACTGCTCCATCATATTCCATTAAGAAATTCTCCAGCCATTCAATTCCCTGAACATCAAGATGATTCGTTGGTTCATCCAATAATAAAATGTCAGGTTTCACAATACTTAATGCACACAGAATTGACTTGGTTTTCTCTCCACCGCTCAAACTTTCAAATTCTTGCTCCAATAAATCGTTATTCAATCCTAGAAGTTTTGTCTGTTGATAAATTTCATCTCCAATAAGAGAATTCAATTCATTGTACCATTCCTCAGAAAGTGGTTGTAAAGGTTGATCTAGAAATTGTTGAATATCAGAGTCAGGGAAGAATTTGAGCATAGTGATAATTGTTGGTTCATTAGGATTGGTGATATCTTCAAAATGTTGAGGTAAGAAACCAATCTTTCCCTCTATTTCAATCAATCCTGTATATTCGAATAATTCAGAATTCGAATTTTGTTGTTGCGTACTATTCAATAGACGAAGAAATGTGGTTTTGCCACATCCGTTCTCACCCACTAGGGTCACTTTATCACCTCTTGAGAGTGAGAAATCCAATTCGTCGAATAGACTCTTCTTTCCAAATGAAAGTGTTAAACTTTCAATTGTAATCTTAATTGGATTTTTCATGTTTGCGTTGTTGAGTTTGCTTGTTTGTTTTTGTTTTGAATTCAAAGGATTGCAGGGATCAGTTTTATATTCATTCACTTGCTTTCATTTTCAAGATTGAGTTGAAACTGAATATGAATTCTTTTAATAGACTTGCTAAAATTGGCAGTTGGGAAGTCTTGTTTTTAATATAAATAGAAGAATGGGTGCTAAAAATACTTTATGTTTAGTCCGAGTGGATTTCAATTTAAGATTACTTCGTATGTGCGCAATTCAATTTATGAATGTAATGTCAATCATAACAATAAATTATTTTATTATTCTAATGAATGCCACATTAATATTTACATTACTTTTGGTGGGCAATAATATGGAGTGCATTGTTGATATTTGTCTTGGTATTGCTGAGACTCTTCTTTAATTGTTCTCTAAAGTGAGCAGAACCTTCTTCGTCTGTTCCTTTCAACTTTAAACAATTTTCAATCCATTTTACATCATTTGAAGATCTCAATTCTGGAATACCTGTTGCAAGCATTAGTAAAAACAAGTTAATGAGTAACTTTCCGTGCTGTCTGATAATATTGTAAGCCGCACAACAATTCTCTGAAAATTCAATATACTTTGTACTTCCTTCACCTCCCATCACATAGGCATACATTGTAGTGAATACGAATGGTGCTGTTTCTCTTTTATATAATAGGAAACTCTTGTAGTTACCCAAAAAGTGACCAAAATCAATGTGGAATAAGTCTCCTTTCTTTGTTACCATGATATTATCATTGTGTCTATCACCAATACCAAGCACATACGTTGCAACACAATAGCCTGCACTTGAAAGGGCAAAGTTATTCACAGCTGTAATCCATTCATTATCTGTTGTGTTGTGCAACTTTAGCCAATTGTATATTGGTTCATCAGAGAAGGCATGCAAAGCTTTACCAGTAATCTTTGCAATGGTAGTACTGTTGAGAACAATCTCAATCATACCAATCATATCACCCAAACATACACAACCATATGGTTGCATGTGTAGATCGAGGCCTTCATGTTTCCACAACTTGTCCATAATCTTGAGCATTTGAAGTGTAAGCAAATCTTGTCTGATATCATCACCAGCTTTGAACATTACAAATACAGGAGCTGCTGTTTCATCAGCATTTTCAAAAACAAGCCAAAGCGGTAACTTTTTGGAATCCATAACCTTACACTTATCAACCAATACACCTTTGACTTCCATCTTTGGACTGAGTGGAAGAGTAAATTTTGGAGGATGTCTTAGCTTGGATAGCTCTTCTCTTAGTACCTTCAAATGGTCTTCAGATTTGGCCTCCTTAACTTTCATTGCAATTGAGTACAATTGACCTACAATACCACTTTGTTTCAATAGCTCTCTTCTGTGACCTCCACAATTTCTCAAATATTCTTCCAATATTATACCATATCGTTCTCTAATGTAAGGCACGTGCATTTCTGCCTTCAAGTGCCAAAATAAAATATGTCCAATAATGTGAGTGCTTCTCAAGCCTCTCTTTAGCAAATACCTAGAGAGTGGAGAATCGTGATATAATTCATACTTGAGAGTTTGTACTAATTGTAATACAAAATCAGCAAACGTATTATCTGGTAGCTTATCCAACAATTTCAATGCATATCTTCTCACATGTTCGCTACTGTAATTAAAATCAAGCAACTCGATTGCATCCAAGGTTTCTGGCTCTTTCCATTTAGGTATTATTGAATGGGCCAGATAGACAGCATATGGGTATTGCCAAGGAACACTCAACATTACTTTTGGTAGGGCTTTTGGATTTTTTTTCAAAATCTCTCTGGCTTCCCACAATCTCCATTTTTCTTCATCTGTTGGAAGTTTAAGGGGACTCTCCGATAAAACTTGTTCTAAATACTCCATCAATTGATCCTCTGGAATTGCCTTGTATATTTCCCTTTGACTCTTTTCATATTCAACATAGGAATTGAAAAATAATTCCCCAGGAATGCAATTAGTTGGGAAATATACAGGTTTCACAAATTCTTCTATATAGTATGTGAAAACACAAGGCGCGTCATCGTCAGCCAGTGCTCCTAGTCCAACATTTTCAACACAGGCATTGGATGGTTCGTGAGCCTCATTTGGCCACATTCTCAAAGATCTAAGTCCATTCAAGAATTTTTCATTATAATCAAAGATCTTGTAATTGACATAGGCCAATGGTACGTGCTTTTTGAAATTGTTTCCTTTCGAAGGAGTTTCTTCCTTCTTGTATGGTTTTACAAAAATAGTAATACAAATCTTGGTTTCTCTAGGTAAATCTGATATTCTGAGAGGAAATTCAATGTTTTCATTCCATCTCAAATATCTAGAATATGCTACTGAGTTGGTGAAATTTCTGGCCAATAATAAACCTCCATGATATAAATCTATCATAACATATGTTGAGGTCTCCTGTGGCTTGAAAGAAATTGTGGAAGAGTTCTTGTGGAATATATTTGGAATAACGTTATCTGCTCCTATTATTTTTATCTTAAACTTTCTGTGATGCAAATCCCATAGACTGATTCCCTTCATTGAATTCCAATTATCTCCACAAAAATGTAACTCATCACTATCAATAGATTCAAAACTCGATTGCTTTGTAAGGTCATACTCTATATTTTTAAGGTGGACATCCATTGGATCTGATTCCTTCTCAATGGTTTCTTTATCCATCAATGTTAGTTCTATAGGTATTTCTTTGTTTATACAGTTTCTAATGTGCTCAAAATCAATCATTCTAGTATCTCCATACATGTACTCGGCAGCTCCAGTGGCTTTAAAAAACCACTCTTCCTTCCTTCGTTTTGTTAAATAGGCTGAATTTAACTTGTTAATAAAGAATTCAGCAAAATCATCTGCAGACATTTCACCATTGCAATGTACAGTTTTTACCATACGTTTCAAGGTAGGATCGGAATCATCTTTGAAATGTAAATTTACTTTACACATGAATGAGCCTTTGAATTTTGAAGGTGGTGGATCTGATGTTGCATAGATAGGAGGTAGAACTGATTGAGTTGTTTGTTTTTCTCGAAATAATCTTGCTCTATAATTACATAGCATCATCATGATTATTATAAAATAATAATTGAGGATCATTGTTATTGAATAAAAAAGCATATCAAAACTCACAAGCTCATATTCTTTCTAAACAATTCACATTCTTGTTTTCCTTTTTTTGATTCCCAATCTTTTCCAATTAACAAATCAATTTCCTCTTGAATTTGTGAATCCGACAAGTGAAGGGCTCGTTGATCGCTCGTCTTTACATTTTTTAATATTCAGTTTGTTTAAATAACAGTTGAAAACACTTACATATCTATCTTCTTCCATGATTTGTTTGTATACGGATTGTTGCATCAGAGAATTAAACATTTGTTGGGCTTGTTGAATTTTAAGCCTTTCCTTTTCCTCTTCATCAAGAATCTTTCTCTTATCCTCACCATCTTCAACCAATTCGTGAGTGGTTGTTATTGAATCGTCCATTGAATAGGTTCTATCATTGGTAGAATTTGTTCTTTTGGGTGTTGAGGTAAAAGTAGCACTCGATACACCTCCTCCATTAGGAGAACCTGTTGGCTTTCTCCTTTGAAGTGTTAATGGTGAGGAATTTTCAACTGGGCTAGTACTACCAACCACGCCAATGTCCTTATTACTAGTTGATCTCCCCAACGTTCTATTCAGAAAGGACACTACACCAACATTGTTACTAGAAGAGGTAGCAGCAGAGGAAGGTGAAGATGATCCTAAGGGCGATGTTGCTTCATCCTTACTTCCACCCCTCCTTAGCTTGGTGAGAAACATTTTTTAAGTGTGTTTGGAGACCGTCTCCTAAAGTGTGTTGAGTTTGAAAATATTCCATCCAGGCCTTGGCAAAGCGCTCAAACTCTCCAAACCATTGGAACGAACGAACCAATCCATTCGACTTTGAATCAACAGTAATGCTCACCTCAATACGATCACACTTGAAAAAGGAGGTATAAGGTAATGAATCCATGAATGGGTCACCACTTCATGACTCCTATGAACAAAAAAGAAGAGGTTCGAGGAATGGTAATGCAACAATGTAAAGTGATACTTTGTATAAATAACATTGTTGAACAATGTAAGATGTGTAATGCATAAGGTGGCTTGAGGACACTTCATATTATGTGGTCTTTTCAACGATTACTTACTCAGGCTTTTTTACTGTTTTTTACAGTAGAGAGGAAACAATTCATATTTAAGGTTTTTTATCCACCATATTTGTAGTTTGATTGTTTAATAATATTCAATATTTAATTTATTGTTATATTAAATAATTATTTTTATTGATTACAAAAAAATGTCCACCACCACATCAAGCACCAAACCTATGAGTGTTATCATATCGGAATGGGAGAAGAATACACTCCTATCGAGAGAGGAGGAATTATTGTTAGAAGAAATTCATCAGGAATTTAATCACGATTATTCAACAATGGATAAGCCACCATCTTCTTCATCATCAGCAGCAGATGATCAGCAAAGTAGTCTTGTCGATTTTTCTGTTTGGAATTCTGGTGATTTTCTCTATCAACATGACTTTGATCAACAAGTGGATAAACCCTATGAAGATTATTTAACAAAATTGAGACACTATCAAGAGTTGAGTCATTCGTTGATTGTGGCCAGTAATAATACTTTGGCACTCTCCGATGATTTACAAGAACAATATCAATTAGTCTCACAAAAAACCAGTCGATTACATCACGATTGTGAAACACTTGTCAAGGAAACGGAACAATTGGAAAAGTTTAGCAAGGAATTGGAAAATAGATTGTTACACTTTGATGATATGGATTTCTTGAATCAACAATTAACATCCAGTGGATTTTTAGATGTTAATGGTGAAACATTTATCAAAACTATTGGAAAATTGGATGATTCTATTAATTTCCTTTCAGCTAATTTGGAATACAAGGAAGCCAAGACCTTCCTCACCAAGCACAAATATCTTCTCTCCAAATCGCTGGCTCACTTGAGAGACACGATCGGATCAAAGATAAAGGCAACCACAGACGCACAATTTGTAAAATTAAAATCTCTCAACTCTATTGATGATTCCATTCAGGAGATGACCCACTTGTACATTGACTTTAAGGTTGCTGTTGATCCACTGAAAGCTCTTATTAGAGAGTTAGAGAAACGAGGAGGAAGAAGAGAGTCTTCAGTTTTTATCACGGATCTGTTTGATATTTTCATTCAACAGAGAGGAGTATTGTTGGGTCTTTCAATAGAAAGAAGAATTACTCTCCTACTCAATCAAGCCAAGCAAAGTGAGAATGAAAAGACTTTCAAGACTAAATTTATCAGATCATCATGTGAATACATGATTCAAATATGCTCCCAAGAAACCCAACTCTTCCAACAATTATTTTCACTTTCTAAAGATAATCGTCAGATTGGAAACAAATTTTCTCACTTTATGAAGGGTGTTACCAATATTCTTTATGAAAGAGTAAGAGAGTTGATCATTGAAGAGAATAGAATAGATACTTTGTGTTCTTTAATTGATATTTTGAGAAGTGACATTCTTGTCGAGCGTGTGCAAAACAAGGGAAAACCTAGTCAAGCCATTGAACATATGGTACACGCTATGATTCAAGACATTCAAGAGAGATTAATCTATAGAACTTCATTATTTATTACGAATGAAATTGCGAGATATGTTCCACATCCAGAAGATATTGATTATCCAAACAAGCTCAAAGCACAGAATGATCCTTCCTCCTCAGAAACTGCAAGGAAACAACTAGACATTCACTATCCAACTCTTGGGTGGACTGTTGCATTGTTGAGTAAACTTTTTAGTGCATTGGATGTGGTAGTTTTTGAGGGAATGGCACAGGAGGCTGTCACTATTTGCTCCATGTCATTCATTGATGCCAGTAAGAAGATTTCTGACAAGACAGATGCATTGAATGGGTCCCTATTTTTAATTAGCCACTTTTTAACTCTTTTACAAGAATTGAGCTACTTTAATGTTAGTTTTACCAAAACACAGACTACACTCGATTTTTCCCATTTGTATGAGGGCATTTCAAGATTTTTGAAGGGACAAGCAAGTTTCAGTGTCACCAGTCTTATTTTTGATTTACTCAGTCAAACAAGACCAAGGTTGGTTGTTAATAGCACTGATTCGAAGAGAGATCTTGAAAAGCAACTCAAGCTCGCTTGTGAGAATTTCATCCTCAACACTGTAAAGCATGTTGCTGATTCTTGTATGAACTTTATCAAGAAGAATAACATCAATAAGGACTCACAAGAAACTAGTGAAATAATGAAAGAAATTTCCAATATCAAGAGCGAAATGAATGAGGAAATGACCACCAAACTAACCTATATTAAGGAACTAATGAAGCTCTATCTGAATGAAGACAAGACAACCACCAAGTTATTAGAACCAATCATCGAACAATTAGTCTCTCTATATCAGCAATTGTTGGATTTTATAGCCGAGAGTACAAAACTTTCAGCAGAACAAAAAGCAGAAATTACACGAGACATGCTTGATGTTGAATCATTTAGAAAGAAATTGACTGAAAGTTTGAAAGTTTAAATGATATTTTATTTTCTTAACTTGAGTTTCATTTGTTGTTGAATAGTCTCTCTAACTTGTAAAGGAATATCATGATATTTATCCTTAATAAGATCGTATTGATCGGCTAAAAGAGAGCCCAATCTATGCATTAAAATTTGATCTTTGAAATCTGTTGGAAGTAAATTGAGGGAAACCAATAATGCATTCTCAGGGAAGACCATTTTTTTCACATTTTTTTTAATTGCATTTAAGCATGCCAATTTCACATTTGGATCATCTCTAAAATCTGGTATCATTAATAATTCAGTTGCCAATTGCTCATTTCCTCTAATTCCAATCTTTGTTTTGACATATTTGAAGGCCAATTCTCTCAATGCAGAGAGTTCAATAAAGCCAGAAAATACATAAATTTCAATGCAAGTTTCCAGAGTTGGAATAAATGCATTAGTATAGCAATATTCCAACACCTTCTCAAAAGCCGCAATAGATATCGAATTAAAAGTCAACTCATTGGTTTGGCTTTCAATCATTCCAGAACTGAGTACTGTAGAGAAATATGGACATCTTTTCATAAATAACTTGTGCAGAAAAAATGTTTTCTCCTCTCCATTCGTTGGATCTTGTACAATTACGGTAAGATCCCACGAATTCTTAGCAAATGACTCATTTACAGGAGGTCTTGTAAAAAAACTCTGTCTTTTGCTAGTAATAGAATTGAGTTTCTGAACACTTTCAAATATTGAGGCACAATCCTGATCATACTGGTATTGATTCATGGTTTCTTGAATCAAATCTTCGCCCACCAATTGTTTCACTCTCTCCAACAGCTCGAAATCATCTTCCAACTCTTTCCATTTTTCAAAACTATACAAAGTTTCAATATATGCACAAATTGATTGAAATAAATCCTCATCCAATACAATTTCATTCAATTTTTCATCCAATCTGAATCTTTTCAGAAACTTTCTCATATATTCCGATCGAATACTTATAAACAATGAATGTGCTTTGAAATATTCTTGTGTATTGGAAATGTTAACAAATTTTAAATTACATGAAGAAAGTGGCGAATCATCGGCCAATGTTTGATTTGTAACAATTCCCTCTTCACATGTTCATAAAGTTCAGTCATTTTTTTAAATCTTGATATCAACTGTTTGTACTAGATGTGCAATTACCAATTTGATTCAGTTTCAATTTTCAATTTTCACAATTCCGCTAATCTTCAAACATTTCTCTCCAATTGTTAATATTCAATATATTATTATCTTATTATCTACCTCAATTAAACATTGTTTTACATTACTACTAAGATTGTCATCCAAAATAAATTAAAAATCTCTAGTTTACAATTAAAATCTGAAAAAAGAATCTCAAAAACACCACTTTAGCAAAAAAGCAAAAAAGCAAAATTCATCATCTTTGTGGTTCCCAACAAAAAGCAATGACAATGTATGGTGCTCTGGAGAGTCAGGATGGAGAGGATCATCTTTCCGGTATTGGTGGTGGATCAGCCTCACATAATAATAATACCACGATGATGATGGACAATCATAATAATAATAGGAGAAGAAGAACACATCAACATGATGTAATGGAGGATGATGAAACTGCTCAGGAATTGACATCCTTTTCCATGTTGAATGCTCACCCGACTGTTGATCCAATAGCAGTGGAAAATGATGGTCATACGATAATAATAATGGAAGTAATGATGATGGAGAAGAATTGGGTTTGGATGGACAATTAGAGGTTCAAGACAAGTCGAAATTTGTTAGGTTTTTGAGAATGTTGTGGAATTGGATAATACATAATTTAATGTTGATATTGACATTGATTGGTGTTGTGTTGGGATTGATTATTGGAATTAGTTTGAATGTTTCGGCTCATGGCTCGAATCCTACCATTGAAATTTCACAAATGACAATTGATTTTTTGAAATTACCTGGTGAATTGTTTTTGAGAGCTTTGAATTGTTTGATTGTTCCATTGATTGTGTCCAGTATGGTCACATCTATTACATCCATTGTCGATACCATTAAGGAAAATGATACACCACCAGCCAATTCAAGACAATCCATTGATAATTCTCAAGATTCTAATACTGAACCAATTGTTAGTGGTAGTACTAATAATAATAATAATGGAACTATGAATGATAATTATGCTCAAGTACAAAAGAAGAAACACTCTGCACTGATGAAGATGGCCTGTTTAACTTTGAGTTTTTATTTAATGACAACGTTTATTGCAGTTGTTACAGGATTGGTGATGGTCAATTTGATTCAACCTGGAAAGATTAATATTAATCAAAATAATGAAACAACTCAATCAACTCTCTACTTTAATAATCAACCAAGTATCAATTTACAAGGTGAAATGTATCCAATTGGAGGTGTGATGGGTGTTTTCGCAACCAATATGCTTATGGATACTAGTATCAATGGAACTAATAATTCAACTGGTGGAGATAAGAGTTCTTATCATCAAATTATTTCAATTATTGAAAGCTTTGTTCCAAATAATCTTATTGATGCAGCATCCAATACTGTTGGTGGAAGTGTCAATGTTTTAGGATTGATTGTGTTCTCCATTTTCTTTGCTCTAGTTATGTTAGCAGTTGGTGAGCCAGCAAAACCAATAATCAAGATTTTCAACTCACTCAATGTTATAATTTTGAAAATGGTGAGCATTATCATTTGTTATGCTCCTATTGGTATTATGTTTTTAATTATTTGGAGATGTGTGAAGGAGAAGGATTTGTTACAGGCCATGTCTCAATTAGCTCTCTATATTGCTACTGTATTCTCTGGATTGGCATTCCACTCGTTTGTTACGCTTACTTTCTTGTACACGATTTTGGTGAGAAGGAATATTTTGAAACATTTATTGGCAGTTTTTCCAGCCCTTTTAACTGGTGTAAGTTTTGAGCTTTCAATATCCTAAATATATATCTCTAACTGTAATATCACAATGAATAATAATAGATGGGCACAGCTAGTTCCAGTGCAACTCTTCCTTTAACAATGAAATGTTGTGAAGAGAGAGGAAACATTCAAAGGGAGGTGGCATCATTTGTGTTGCCACTTGGAAGCACGTAAGTATTTAGTCAGGGATTATTTACAAAACCCTTTGAAAAGTGTAAACATGGACGGTACAGCATCTTATGAGGCCGTTGCTTGTATTTTTATTGCTCAGGCCCTTGGTATTGAATTGAGTATTGGACAAATGATCATTGTTGCAATCACAGCCACTTTGGCCTCGATTGGTGCTGCTGGTATTCCTGAAGCTGGACTTGTCACTCTCATTCTCGTGATTGAATCTGTTGGATTACCAAAAGGTTTGTTTTTTCAATGTGTTTACAATATTAAGCTTGATCTTAGAATCTGTTGGATTAATTTTATCGGTAGATTGGTTTTTGGATCGTGCCAGAACTACTGTTAATATTTATGGAGATACTATTGCTGCAGGAGTTGTCAATCGTTATGTACGATTTGATGAAATTTCATCAGAAAATTCTCCATCTGCCAGCGCCAACTCCACTACTATTGAAAAGAACACAACTGAAAAAACAAGACTTGTTTAATAGGTAATAATATTTAATAATTTGTAAACTATTAAACTATATAATAGTAATTAACATTATAAATTTTTGTAATTAACATTATATCTACGCTCTTAAATTCATTCAAATACACCTTTCAAAATTTACGGAAAATTCTGAGCTTTCCAAAAAATCTTCACACAAGACCTTAATAAGACTCCTCATACTAAGGAAGGGATTTCAGGTTTGTCCTTTCGTCCTCAGAATTTTGAACCGTTGCCGTTTGTTTCACACAAGCCTGTGAGGATAACAATGAATGCTTGATATTGATGATGAGGTTTCACAAAGTGAGACTCTCACAACGTTACGTCCCCGATTTGCACAGCAGGATCCTTATTTGAGCAATATATTAAAGGAACTAGTGGGAATATATCGAGACAAAAAAAACGAATTCACACACAATCATAATGCTTCAGAAGAAGAACAAGATGAATGGCGCACTGTTCCTCGCAGTAGCACTATTGTTTGTTCTTAATGTTCTTATTGTAAATATGCAACATGTAGTTGAGAGTTTAACATTGCATTCCAAAGTGGGAGAGAACAAACAAGCAGCAGCAGCAACTGTTGGTGTTGGTGGTGAATTTGTCAAGTTGAGTGGTAATTGGCTTAACATTCCAAACATTTCCAATTTCAAATTGCATGTTCGATCAAGAGTTGATTCAATGATGGATATTACCATTCATGGCTTTATTAGAAGAAATGAAGGTGATAAACGTTCTCCATATCACATCTATTCCAAAACAAGTCAAGTGCATTCTACTGCCAATTTGACTCACTATTTCGATTCTCAAATGGAACATTACAATAGTGAAGAACAATCTGCATGTGGTAGAAATTGTAAACCTGTCACTGATGAAAAAGTTGAAAGATTGAAACAATTTGCCAATTTCAAAATTCCATTCCATCAAATGTTGAATCAAGCTTATGAGAATAATGCCTACTTTTATAATCAACAAGTGGTGGGTGGTAATCAGTATCAAATTTATGATAATGTCATGGATGGAATTTGTAAAGATTCTGACATTGTTGTAACCTATTTCCATGAACAATACTTTTTACTTTGTTTGGTAAAGAATGGAAGAGAAATTTCTTCACTCAAACATATTGTTGGTAGAGAATTTATTGTAACTGTTAAAACATTCACAAATTCTAATTTCCAAAAGTCAATTGAACAATTCCAAAATGAATCTCATAAATTCCCAAAAAAGAAAGTCAATGCTGCCTTAATTGAGCAATTAGATGAAGACGAAAAACCACAAAAGAGAAGCACCTTGAAAATGAATGCAGATCCAACAAGAGCCTACTTTTTCCAATCCAACTCACATGCATGCATTTTACCATGGTTGCAAGGTTCCAAATGTAAAAGTCAATCCACCACCATGAACACAAACAACACTGCAAGAAGTGTTGCTGAACTTCCAAAGAAGAGATGTGTCTTTATTCATGGTTATGGTACCAATATGGAATTCAGTGGAGCTCCAGTTTTCCACTCTAGTCATTTCAGAGATGGTGAATATTGGGGTAAGATTGACAATTACACTCCACAATGTTCTGAAAGAGTTTTCATGAGAGAAGAAACAAATTACAGAGGTTGGATCAATACTGAATTGCAACAATCTGTTTGTAATATCATTTTGGGTGATTCAAAGGACAATGTCATTAAGAATACCATCATTTTCGCTCACTCTATGGGAAATATGATGCTTGCTGGAGCAATCATGAATGGATACTGTTCAATCGATAAGGAAACTACATCATGGTACAATATTATGGGTCCTATTCAAGGAACTTCTGTTGCCAATGCTGGATCTGCTCTCTGTAATCACAAGTTGGGTATTGACAAGTTGGTTACTCATTTTGGTTTGTGTGAAAAACCAGGTACACCAAGTGAAGCTCTCTATTCATTATCCACTGAATGTAACTTGTTGCCTCAAATTAAACCAATTGTTGAACAGTATGTAAAGGGATACATGTGTGGAGTTAGTAAGCTTGGTGTTCATCCAATGTCAGGTATTTCTATTGGATTGAAGATTGTTGGTTCAACATTCTTAGCAACTCATTACAATGATGGTGTCGTTCCACTTTACAGTTGTAAGAATACAATTCCAGCTCAAGATTTTGTCAATGATTACAGCTCAAACTTTTATAGAGTTAAGGCCAATCATTTCGATGGAACGTGTGCAAATGGCGATGGATGGTTTGATTCTTCATCTCCTTGTTCATTCTATTTGAATAAATATTAAGAATAAGAGTTTTGGTTTAAATCAAATTTAATTGAAAAACTTGTTTAATTTATAGTAGAATTGAAAATTCATGTTATTCATTATTTAACATGGCAGTATTATTTAAATCTGTATTCCACATAAAGTTACAGGTCTTGTGAGGTTCTGGAACTGATTTTGTGAATGGGAATCGTTCTTGAATTGTAGGATCAGAATAGGTAACACTTGTTTTAGTTTCAAATCCAAACTTTCTTCTCAATCCCTGAGAGAAGGCAGATGTACTTTCAGTGAATGCCATCTTGTACCCTCTTTCTCTCACATTTCTCAATAAATATTTAGTCAATTCAGAAGAAACTCCTCCTCTTCTAGCAAATGGATAAGCAATACCAATGTAAATGTGAAGAATTTGTCCTATATTCTCTGGTTGGAAGAGGGCTTTCTTTTCCTCATCTCTTCCCTTCCAATAATCTTCATGGAGAATGTCTAATAAATTGAGAACATTTTGGAATCCTCCCTTTCCCTCTCCAAAGTAGTGTTCTATAATTTCTGGACAACCCTCAAGAGTACCCTTCACATAATCCTCACAAATAATTGCAGCAATTACCATACTATATAAAAACAATCACATTCATCATCATTAAGGTGAAATTCAATTTAAAAAGCAACACTCAAGGAGAGATGAAAACAATGAAAAACTTACTTGGATTTCTTATCAACTGCAACCACTCCCAAATTATCTCTAGCTGCAATCCTTGCATAATATTCACAAAAGTAGAACATTTCTGGTGGTGTTAATCCCGATGTTGAGCACAATGGTTCATCATTGGCAATACAGGTTGCAGCCAAAACAGCAGCCTGTTGAACGTATTCCTCAGTGAGAGGTTTGATAATGTAGGTTTTCTCGCCTTCTTGTTGTTGTGTAGTGGTTGCGATGGTTGTGGTGGTTGTTAACATTTTGTTTGTGTGGAGATTCGGAGTGAATATCACAGCAACAATTTCGAATCATTGAGCTTTCATTGCATTCCCTTTTGCCGAGAGGTTATGACCTAACTGATGGATTCTTCACATTCAAATGGTAAAAAATGCCTTATTCTCCTGTAGTACATTAAATGAGCATCTGGTGTATTAATAATTAACCGTTTTGAATTAGTTAAGCAAAGACCAGTGCATCTTCTTCACCCTCATTCGGAGGAATTTCTTGTTGGAAATTAGCATTGTGAAAATGTTTCTGGTTCTGGGGTGAGTTTTGAGGCGATTGAGTCATCTTGATAAGATTTGGCTTTTCAGTTGGCTTTTGATGATTTTTCAAAAAGGATTTGCCACTCCTTATCAAATCTTCCATCGATTCACTGGCCTTATTCAATAGTATTATACTAGACAATGAACCTCTGAATGCTCTTCCATTCAGCATATTAATAAAATTGAGAGATTTGTTTTCTCCTGGTTTAACTTTGAGTTTTGTCTCAGAGTCAAGTGGAATAACTGTATTGATGCCATTGGCCCAAACAAGAATTTGTCTTCCACCATTGGTAGTGTTAATATTAGCAGAGCTAGCAGCACCAGAAGAAGAAGGAGATGATGGGTTTGAAGCAGGTTTACCAACAACTGAAGATGGAGAAGGTGGCAATTGCTGTAACATGTTGAGAGAGATGAAAATTTCATTCCACTCATTGAGTTTCATTCCACCAATTGTTCGATGAAATTCCTGATTGTTCATCTTGATATTGTTAATATCGATAGTGAACCAACAGTACTTTTCTCCAAATACACACAGAGTTGTTGATTCGCTATCCAAATAAACTCTCATAATGAGTGTCCATGAATGATATCCAAAATAATTAGTATCAATATTAAACACGAAACTATATCTTCCAAAATAGGCACCTTCAAATTGAATACCACACTCATCTACTGGACTCAGTGATTTTCCATATCTTGTCTCCACAAGGAAGGCCTGCCTTTCTTTGAGTGTGGTATAAACCTCCCTGTCATTGGTATAAAATTCATAGTTGGGATGACTTGTACTGGTCACTGTAGTACTATATCGTATATTGATATCCATCAGAATGGCCATTAGTTTGTGTTTAGGTGGTGGTAGTTCCTCATAGATCTTATTGAGAGTTCTTGAAGGACTATCGAGCATGTAATCTTCCAAAGTGAGGATTTCAATCTTTGCCTGCTGCCGAGCTTTGAGATCAGCAATGCTTTTCAGTAATTTAGGAACCTTATTGGTGGGTGATGGGACTTCCTGTTTCTGTTTGTTGTTAATTCCTTTTTCTACTTTTTGAAATGAAGAGTTTGAGTTTGCAACAATTCCTAGCTGTGGAGTTTTCTTCTTTCCATTACTTGAACTTTTAGAATTTCCTGATGATGAAGAATTTCCAAACAAAGATGGCGTTGAGGGTGATTTTGTTAAATTCCTATGAAGATGATCTCTTGGTGGAATCTTATTCAGTGAGGTTGACTTTTTCATGGTTGGTGTTGATGACCTAGGTCTATTCATTAGTAAATTTCCACTTGATGAATAGGGTTTAAGAGGTCTGTCAACCGTCTTTCTATTTGCATAGGAAGAACTTGATGGTCTAGTGGTGGAATTTTGGTTTGTTGGCAGTGGTGATGAAGAATTAGTGGAAGTATTATTGTAACTGGTTGGAAAGGAAGAGGATTGATAGGTTTGTCGAATGCCATTTCCCACAATTGGGGGATCAACCGATGATGAAACACTCTCATTAGTCTTTGGAGTGTTTGCTGATGATTTTGGAGGTTTCTCCTTCTTTCTTCTAGCAGTTGGCACACGAACCACAACATTCTCCACAACTGTAGCCATGGATAAAGGGAGTGGTTTCACCAGCATTTCCATTGCCTTTGAATGAGATGGAATGTTTGTTATGGACATTGTTGGTTGTACCTGTGGAGGATACAATTGAAAAGTTGCAGGTTGATAGATCACTGAGGGTGTCGAAGAGGGTTGAGGTGTTTGTGATCTTCTTATATTAAGGCCTCCTATTCCACCAATATTGGATATACTCTTTCTTCTTCCTAAATTCGGTCCATATTGAACATTATCACGAGATTCATTATTTACAGCACTCCCATGAGTGTTATTAGTATTATTATTTATTGTTGTTACTGCTGTACAGATTGTGGTTGGTAGAATAATTTCCAAAGGAGGATGCAGTCATGGGTCTTGGATTATTATTAAGGTTGGACGAATAATTATTATATTGATTGGCTGAGGAGAGTGAAGAGATGGGAAGGGTTTGATTATGAGGTGATGATATTCCATTATTGCTATTGGTGTAATAATTATTATTATTATTATTACTATTTTGATGATGATGACCGTTACTAGAACTAGATCGATGCGCATTAATATTCATCGGGTGTGATGAAAATAAATTGCTCACTCGATCGTGTTGCTGTTGAAAGTTGGAATAACTGGAGGAGAAGTTAATGTTTGCAACTTCATTATCGAGTTGTTGCTGTTGTTCTTGTGATTGTTGATAGTTTGATAGACTTGAGTAAGATCTAACATTTGCAAATCTATTGAGGGTGGATGAACGAGGTCGATTAAGGTTCATCTCTATTCCCTTACAATGTTGATTGCCTAGCTAAGTTGATTCTTCTGTGAATGGTGTTACTCCTTGAAGGAATTAGGTACAAGAGAGATGATGTTGTTCTGTGTTTTTTGAAACGGTTAACAAAATGTTCATAACGATCAATGTTTTGAATGATCCAAATTAGACATTAAATTTTCCAAATTTGCTTGTTGTATATATATTAAACAGTTAAAAATAAACCTGTGAAAGATTCATAAATTTATTTAATAATATTCATATTCTCGTTTACAAAATGTGTATTGAAACAAAAGCTCTATTTGATTTCTTTTTTTTTCAGGAGTGCCTAGAAAGACATCCATCTATTATTGCTGCAACACCATTTGAGGAATAAATCATTCCTCTTGAAGATTCACTTCCTAATTCTTATGTCCACCACAATACCAGTTCAAAGAGGTTAGATTTTTAGCGCTTGTTCTATCAGAAACAGTGATCCAACTACATTGGCAACAATAGGAAGTGTGATCAGGGAATTCTTTTTCCTCAAAACCTTTCTTTACAGTTTCTGGATAATTGTTTCTGAAAAAGAGATAATTGACATCTTCCTTCCACTTTTTTCCATCAAAATTAATAACCTTAAAGTCGCATTTCATGCATCGAAGATCACTACATCTCTTTGGTGTAAGAAATGTATTAATGCCGAAAGAGTCATGTCTATTGGAGAGATAGGTGGTTGAACACTTTTTACTCACTCTTGGTGATGTTAGACTGCTAACAGGAGAAGAGGTTGTAAATGCTCCAACTGATGCGTTTTTGGGTATTGAATTTTTCCTCTTGATTATGGGAGAAGTGGGTGAGTCCTCTATCAACTCATTCATGAAATCATCAAGTTCCAAATCATTATGAGAGAATTGTTTTTTAAACATTGCACTCTTCTTACTGGCCGGAGAAGGTGTGCTATTGTTATGATTAGCAAATGCAGTAGTATTTGCAAAAACATTATTCTTATTTCTTGCTGATCCACTCCTTGGCACTGATGACGATCGAGATGATGCAGCCAAATCCTTATTTTTTTGGTTGGGTGATTTGTGTATTGCTCCTTGGGAACTTGGTCTATCGGTGAGTAAATCCTCAATCTCCTCGACCAAACTATCCAAATCCAATGTAAGCTGGCGATGAGACATTTTTTAAATTAAGCAGAAAACGGTTGTGTGTGATTGAGGTGGCGGGAAAAGGTTTGTTGTATTATTTGAATTGGAGGAAAAGAATAGATAGATTATTGAATAATGGTTAATATCATATGATTACGATAATTTTTGTTTTAAAAGGATATTGTTTGATGATGTAAGCTCGAGTTGAGGTAATTTTTTTCTGATGTACCTTGGGTGCTATTGATGTGCATGAACTTTTTAGCGCCTTATTTTGAGTTTTTTTTGGAGGGATGGATATATTTGCTTGGTAAAACAATTTGTTATCAATTTGCACGCATCACAACCTTTGGACCTTCATTATCAATATTACAAACCCATCTGAATTAGTTATTCAAAATTATTAAATATTTTATATTATTCAAAATAATCCAAAAATTTTAAAATGAATTAAAAATAGAAAAAAAATACAAAATGTTTTCCCTTCCATCATCGTTTTCTGCTCATGATTTGGGAACAACTGCATCTTCTTCTTCTTTGTATTATCAAGGTGGTTCTTCATCTATAAATAACGATCAATTGGATGATGATTATACAAATATCGGATATAGTGGAAATGGACAATATGAAGATGATGAGAATGATTATGAACCCGAATCGGGAAGTGATACAGCAAGTGATACCGATGATGATGACGAAATTGCTGGAGCAATTATAAAACCAATACAAGATATTGATCAAAATGACGACATGTACCATATGAATCCTCACTCCTCGAGTGTAAAAATCAAGAAGAAACAACGTAAAATTAGGGAAAAGAGAGAGGCAGAAAAGAGGGAGAAAATTATTAGTAAATTATCACGACCTGACCATCCACAATATGATCGATATGAAAATTTCACTAGAAGTACATTTAAACCAGTAATGAAGAGATTAATCAATAATTCAACATCAACTCCGTCAACCAATAAGAATGTGGAAATTACAATTGCAGGTATTGCCAAGGTCTATGTTGGCGAATTAGTAGAATTATCCAAGACGATACAGAAGGAATGGGGAGATGATCCCTCTGATCCAATAGAACCAAGACATTTACGAGAGGCCTATAGAAGAAACCGAGAAAAAGAAAATAAGAAGAAAAAGTATGCATTCCGATGAATTGTACAATTATAAATATATTTTTCAATTATCTAGCCATTAATTTGTTAATCAATTATTATTATTTAACATTAAAGATAAATAATATCTAAAAAACCTTCACACAAAATGAAATAATATCCTTCTGTTATTAACATTTATTTTACATTGGAACAAAAAGAATTTACAATTCGACATTAATAATAGCTTCAAGGCCAGCTCTGCCCATCATTTCTTCTCTAGTATTTTTCAAATTTACATCAATAAATACATTTGTAACACGTTGAGCCAATACAAGTGTTGCAGCACAGGCTTTAACTTTGACAGTTTTTGTACATCTAGCCAAATCCAACAATTGGAATGATTCCATTTCAATTGACTTGACTCCAAGTTCTTGTAATTTACCTTCAATATGATCATTTTCATCATCAAATTTATCGTCGTGTCTACCTTGTGAACTGTAGAATGAATCACCCATTGCATTTCTACCACGATGATGTGGAAGATCTAATTGTGTGAATGCATTATCCAAAGCATCTTGGAAGTCCTTGTTAGATTTAACTGGCAAAGAGAGCAAGTATGGTTTAACACCTTCAGTACTTTGGTTTTCTTCTTTCAAAGTAAAATAATCTGGATTACGAATAACGGAAATAGAGTCTTCAGTAATAACATAATCACCAGTTTGAACACTGATATCTGGAGTACCACATGTACCAAGTCTCAACATGGCAACTGTTGATCCACTTTCAAAACAATATAATGCTTCTCTAACCAAGAAATCCATCATTGGAAAACCCATACCAATACCAACAATTGAAACGTCCTTTCCTTTATATTTACCAGTAATTGTATAAAATCCTCTAGCAGATTGATGACGAAGAGTAATGGAATCCTTATCCAAAAATCCTGCATATTTTTCAGCACGAGCAATATCACCAACGGTGATGATACGATTGGCAATCATACCTTTTGCCAAGTCAAGATGGTAAGTACGTCCGTCTTCGGTAACAGGAAAGTTAGCAGAGTGAAGTTGTGGCATTTTTTGTATTGTTTTTTATGGTGATGATGATACCACCACATGAAATGCAGGATGATGAATTATTTACTTCTCTTACTTGTTTTATTGTTATTGGGTATGGAAGGAAAAGTTCCTGGAAGTTGATATTTTGGGTTATTGAATAACTTGTTCTGTTAGCTATAAATCACAAAACTCTATGCAATAAATTCTGATGATTAAAATACATACATTCACGTGAATCATGCAAAATGCATTTTGATTTCTCTCATTTAGCTACACGGAGGTTCAAAAAAATCTTCTATGTTTGATATTTGCATGATTTAATGAAAGAAAGGATCTTTTCATGTAGTAAGATTGAAAATTAAAACAGTTCAATGAATTATTTAATTATTTATTATCAAGCAATTAAAAGCTCAGAAAGCACCTTTCAATAATAATTATTACTATTTAGAACATACTTAAAAAGCTATTAACCTTATTCAAACCAATAAATCCACTTTATAATATCAATATAACTCATTCAAAAGTAAATTGTAAACAAGAAATTCATACTAAATACTTTTTCAGTGAACACTTGATTGTTTTTGTGTCAAAAGATCCATAAAAGGAAGGAACATTTATAAGAAACCTTTATCTTCTCTTCATCTCTAGCTCAAAATCTCAATCCAATTCAAGTTACATTAAAAAAAAACAATTCAAAATGAAACTTTCAATGATCGGTGCAACTCTTCTCTTGTTGTGGATCACAATGCTTGAAACAGCTGTTCAACAAGAAACTTTCCAATGTTACGGCTTGGATTCATCTAATCCGAATGTTTGTAATGGAAATGGAATTTGTTCCTCAGCAAACTCATGTATTTGTCTATCTGGTTATTCAGATTTACAGTGCAAAACTTATTCATGTTTTGGATATTCAAACAAAAATCCAAACTCTTGTTCAGCAAACGGAATTTGTATCAAACCAAATACTTGTCAATGTGGGATGGGATGGATTGGTTCAGATTGTTCCATTCAGAATGACACTGATATTGCTCTCAGTAAGTCCCTTGTTTCAGAACTGAATTCAAAGAAAATTAATGTAAAGAATAAGGGCTCTGTTGTTTTACCAAATAATCTGGAAAAGTACTTGGAGAAGAAAGGTTTCTTTGGAAATGATAGTGTTATGATGAAGAGTTCATTCCAGGAAAATTCAAAATTTGTGAGTGGAATTTTGACATTTTCATTTGAGAAGTTGGATACAAGTCAGATTTCAGTAATTGGATTAGAAACACCCATTCGAATAGTGTTTGAGAATATCTCTATGGTGGAAACAAACTCTAATTATTCATGTGCCTATTACAATGAGCAAAAACAAACGTGGCAATTCGATGGTCTTCAAACTCTAATTTCCTCCTCTTCACAAACATTTACAATCACTTGTAAAACCAATCATCTCACAAGATTTACAGTAATTGACTTGAATCTCAATCGTGAAATTACAGACAACCCAACCCCTACACCAGTTGATTCTGGTTCAATGTCAACCACCAGTGGTATTATAATTGCTGCCGTTGTAACCTCTACCATTTCGTTAGGTATCATTTTCACAGTTTCCATTTCTATAATAATCTTTTTCATCATTATTATGAATAGGAAAGGTCGCCGTCATTGCTGCATTAAGAGACCTATTTTTGCCAACAAATAAATCAATTCCTTAATACCAACAAGGATTCTTCTTGATTGATTGAATGATGCTGATAAAACAGAATTAATGTTGAGTTTGTTATTCACTAAAATTGAGGATGAGAAAAGCCAAGACCACTCTCTGGAGAGTTCAATCTTTCTCGGCAAGTTTTGCATTTTTGTTGGGCTAAGGTTCCAAAGAGGTTTCAGAGGAATTTCAATTAGAATCAAAATCCTTAACCATTCAATTGGCAATAAAGCTACTTCCAGATGATGATTTAATGATGGAGATGAACAAGTTCGCTCTTCTCAATATAAAGTGTGCCTTGGAAAGGTTTAAAAAACAACACGGTAATGTTGGTTAAAAAAACTATTCAAAAAAAACATCGTCGACGACAAGTAACAATAAGGTCTGCCCTCACATTTCTTAGAGAATTGATTTGTGCGAGACATTTGGTAGCGAGAGAGAGAATTAAATTCTCTGGCATTATTCTTCATTTCTAATTAGTGGTGGTAGTAGTAAAATAGAAACAGACACATTAGGATGTCGCCTCAATTAAATTCATCTCCCTCATCATCACCGCCATTCAATATTAATCTGATGAGGCGGAAAGATGAAACATCACGATATAATAACTTTCTAATTTTCATTACCTTTATAATAATATTATTGTACATACTTCCTCAAAATGCTTATTCATTCTCACTAGATTTTAGAAATCTACAACAACCATCATCTAGAAATATTAAATTGGTACCTGAAGGCATAATTAATGGAAACCCTGTTATTGTGCGAGGGACAGGGCAGAAACTGTATATTGTTCAAATCAATGGAACTGCAACAAGTGATAGAGAACTGAGGTTTGGAGTCACCATTCCTTTCCCTTCCAACCTAACAAAAGAGAACTTTAGAGTGGTATTGAGCAGTGATCCATCAGTTTCGGAAGATGATGTGAGGAGGTTCCCTCTAGTTGCAAACATTAATTATGAAGGAGAATATGAAACGAGTGTAATATACACTTATTCACCTTACTATCCTAGGCCCCTCTTTTTTATAGTTGTGGAAAGTCAATTACCTCCTGGAATGGAGAGTCGAATAATATTCCATTATGAAGTTTTAGATTATGTAGATTATGGAGATTTTGAATCGGTCATTTTCCCAATTCTAATCATTTGTGGATTGCTAATTCTTCTAGTAATGGCTTCAGCATGTTTTTGGGGAATGGTTAAGAGAATGAGAGACAGGGCAAGAATAGTCTCTGAGCAAATGGAAATGGAAGCCAAAACTCTCATTGAACTCAATAGACACCATCAACAACGGACGCCAATTGCCAATCATGTTCATGTTCGCCAAGAACGAGACAATCGAGTATTGAACACCATTGATCCACCAAAACAAGATGAAATGAATATGAGACCAGAGGGAATTGTAGAAAAGCAAATTCCTATTAAATCTCAACAAGTAGAATTACATGCCGATTCTGATGCTGTGACCTATGTTAGACTTAATAGACCTCCAGTTCAAGAGGAAATTCATCTAGCTCAGCAACAGCCAATCCCTCTTCCAAACGAAGAATCAAATGCTGATACTCAAAACCATGTTCTCATTCCTCCTCCAATTTTCAATCCAACTCCAGTACCAGGTTTTCCTGGCTTGTATGCTACCACCACTACTACTACCACTGTTCTCCTTCCACAAGTTACTGAGCCAACCATGCCAACCTCAGCTGAGGTTGATTCGGATAGCTCAGAATCCAACGATCATTGAAATAATTATTATAATAAACATTGTACAAAAATATTATTTAAATAATCTTACTAACAGCCAACAAAATGACACCAATAAGAGCAAATAACAAAGAGCACGATAAGATGATCAAATTTCTAACACCAGTAATTTCTCTAAAAACACAAACGTTCCAGAAAGTAGAAACCAAAGATGGTCCAATAGCAACAAGTGGATAACCAACAGTAAAGCCCAAGTAAGAAGAACTGTACAATAAACCAATAGTAGCAATACCCCACATGGCGCCACTAATAATACTACTCATAATCATGTTTGGATAAATTTCTGGTTGATTCTTTTTGATTAAAATGTAAATCAAAAATACAGCCGAGTTCAATAAATAAATTCCACTGAAATGAGAGAAGGCAAAATCAATAGGACCTGGAGATTTGTTGTGAATGTAAATTTCATGTTGGACCCACAATTTGAAAGGAGTCAAATTGACAGCATACAAACAACCTGCAGTAATGGCCATACCAATACCTAATAATCTGACAAATGCTGGATGTTGAGAAATCTTTTTCAACTTGTTCATAAAAGCTTTAAACTTGCTAACATCTTGAACGACAATGTCATCATTGATTGACTTTTCATCATTGAGATTTTGTTGAGGTTCATTTTCATTATTTAACAATGAAGTACCCTCAGTGGCAGCTTCAGTTGTATTTTCTTCAGTTTGAGGTGTTTCATCATCATTCTTCTTCTTTTCCTGTGGGGGTTTAATAAAGAAGAATAATAATAAACTGATAATACCACAAACTAAACCAAAAATGTTCATAATATTACCTCCCAAACTATCAATCACCTCCTTCTCAACACCAAACAATCCCAATTTACCAACACAATATCCACCAATCAAGTTAGCACCACTCCACAATAAAAATCCTAAACCCAGCCCAACACATTTAATAATTGGAATGACAAGTAAATTACCAGTGGCCCAAATACTTCCACTCAACAATCCAGTCGGAACAAAAATCAACTTGTTATCAGTTGTGAGAGCCAATGATATGAATCCAACAAAGAAAATACCATTAGACATTAACCAGGAAAAGGCAACACCATCTCCTGTTGGATATTTCTTTGTGACTACATAGTTACTTCCATAGAAGAGAATGGCAATCAATGATCCAACATAACCCAATATTGTTGTTGTGGTGGTTGATGATGAGTCATTGTCACTACTAGTTGCTGTTGTAGTAATCAGTGTTGATTCCGAAATTTTGTTATTATTGCTATTACTTGTAGTAGCAGAAGTAACACCACTCAAAATTACGCACAAAATCATGATGGTAGCAGCACCACAAACGATCAACCTCCTCGAGATTGTACTACTCATCCTGTTTAACGTTGATGAATTTAAAACCATTTTCTTCTCTTCTCCAAACAGAAACAAAACAATGAGTTTGCAATGCGTGATTTGTTTTTTTTTGAAAATCTTGGCAACTTTTTTGTGAGCGTGTGCGCTTGTTTCATAAAATGTGAAAGAGTGAGTGGATTATTATTGCATGTGAGGTGCGAATTGTTGCGAGTGGATTTGTCCTTGGTAATTGATTATTGATATTTATCAATAATTAAAATGTTGTGGTTAGATGCCTAACCTTCAGGTTTTGTAAAGTGTGAATGATGTTTTGAAGAGTCTAAAATAGTATGAAGAGCAAAGGAGGACAAATTTCCTATTGTGGGAAGTTTGTCATTTTGTGAAGTTGATGGATATAACTGTCTTTACAGTTTAGTTTTTCAACAAGACATTTGCCAAGACGAAACAAAGGCAAGAATATTAGAAACAATAATAAACCAATTGTTGTTTCGAATTCATTATTGGTATTGTTTATTATTGTTTCTAATATTCTATCTGAATGCCACACATTTATGATTATTAGTTGTAAGTGTGTGAAGATCACCAAAATTGGAATTTATCAAAATTAGTTTAATAATTTGTATCATGTTGTGTATTTGGAACAAATTTACCAATAACCACCACAACTACATTTTCCATCTTTGAAATGATGATACCTATTGGCATCTCTTACAATAATTTCAACATCCATCACTTTTGAAATGTACGTAGTAGCCGAATGGCAATCATTGCAAACTCTCAGATTTTTTGTTAATACTATTTTCTTTCTATTTGGATTCAAAACAAAGGCGTGAGCAATGGCTGTTTTTTCAGCATGTCGATAAAGCAAATTAACTTTTTCCTCCTCTGACAATGATTCGGTTCTGGTAACCCATCTTGTATCTGGTCTATATCCAGCCTTAATAATTTTACGAAATATTTCATCTCTCATTCTCTCAATTTGTGCAAACATTTGAGAGTCCTCTTTGTGGTCGTCAGATCCAGAAATAAATCTAAATACAATGCCATTTTCTTCATGATACACAATACCAGGCAATTTTTTTATACCTCTTTTTCGCATCAATTTTTGCAATTTGTTAGCTTTTTCGTTTAATCCATGATATGTGTAGATATGGGATAATAATATATAGGGTGAGGTTAGTTTTTCATCAATTGTTGTCATTTTGTTAAATACTTTTTCACCAAGTTCAATCTTATTGAATTTTCTACATCCTCCCATCAATGCGCCCCACAAACCAATATCATTGCGACTACCTATTAGTTTTTCTGCTTCCTCAAATCTTCCTGCACGAGAAAACACATCAATCATAACGCAATCAATAGAGAGGGTTGGATTAAAATTATGTTTTGGTTTCATATCATTATATAATTGAATTGCTTCTTCAACCATTCCACAATGTGAATATGCATTCAATAATACTATTAGAGTTATTTCATCAATTTTGACTTTCTTTTCAACAATTTCATCGAACAGTTTTTGAGCTTCATATCCTTTACCGTGTTGTGCATAACAAGAAAGCATATTAGTATAAGTGACGATAGAAAGTGGTTCTTTTGATTCATCCTTCTTTCTAACAAGATTATCAAATAATTGTTGTGCAGTTTCTTTTTGGCCAACTCTAGAGTAAAAATAAACCATACCAGAAATAACCTCTTCATAGATATCCATGTTGTTTTGTTTTATATCCTCAATTATTTGAATTCCAATGTTTGAAGCTACATATTCTCCACACGCTGCCATTAAAATGCTGAAGGTATAACTGTTAGGTTCAAAGTTTTTTTGTTTCATTTCCTGATAGACTCTAAATGCCTTATTCAACCCATATTCTGCATCTGATGGAGTGTGGGTGTTTGACATATCATTTTGTTGAATGTATGCTTGAATTAAACAGTTCCAAGTTACAACATTCATCAATCCGTTCTGTTTCAATTTTTCACATTCTTCTATGGCAATATTTGAATAACCACATTTTGTGTAAAAATTAATAATTGTGTTTGATAATTCAATTGTGAAATCTTTGAGTGTTTGTTTTGCAAGTTCATGAATTTTAACTCCTTCTTCATACATATTAGAATTTGCACATGCACTCAATAAAATTGTGAATGTTGTTGAATTAGGTACAACACCACTCTTTTTCATATTAATAATCGTATTCATTGCTTTCTCAATATCATTTTGTTGAATGTATGCTTGAATTAAACATGTCCAAGTTACAACATTCATCAATCCTTTCTGTTTCAGTTTTTCACATTCCTCAATAGCGATATTTGAATAACCACATTTAGTATAAAAATTAATAGTCGCTGTCGATAGCTCTAAAGAAAATACTTTGAGTGTTTGTTTTGCAAGTTCATGAATTTTAACTCCTTCTTCATACATATTAGAATTTGCGCATGCACTCAATAAAATTGTGAATGTTGTTGAATTAGGTACAACACCATGCTTTTTCATGTCAATAATCATATCTATTGCTTTCTCAATGTCATTTTGTTGAATGTATGCTTGAATTAAACAGTTCCAAGTTACAACATTCATCAATCCGTTATGTTTCAGTTTTTCACATTCTTCAATGGCGATATTTGAATAACCACATTTTGTGTAAAAATTAATAATTGTGTCTGATAGTTCAAATGTGAAATCTTTGAGAGTTTGTTTTGCAAGTTCATGAATTTTAACTCCTTCTTCATACATATTAGAATTTGCACATGCACTCAATAAAATTGTGAATGTTGTTGAATCTAGGTAAACACCACTCTTTTTCATGTCAATAATCATATCTATTGCTTTCTCAATGTCATTTTGTTGAATGTATGCTTGAATTAAACATGTCCAAGTTACAACATTCATCAATCCTTTCTGTTTCAATTTTTCACATTCTTCTATGGCAATATTTGAATAACCACATTTAGTGTAAAAATTAATAATTGTGTTTGATAATTCAATTGTGAAATCTTTGAGAGTTTGTTTTGCAAGTTCATGAATTTTAACTCCTTCTTCATACATATTAGAATTTGCACATTCACTCAATAAAATTGTGAATGTTGCAGAATCTGGGTATATACCATGTTTTTTCATGTCAATAAGCGTATCTATTGCTTTATCAATGTCATTTTGTTGAATGTATGCTTGAATTAAACATGTCCAAGTTATAACATTCATCAATTCACTCTGTTTAATCTTTTCATATTCTTCGATTGCAATATTTGGATAACCACATTTTGTGTAAAAATTAATAATTGTGTTGCGATAATTCAATTGTGAAAACTTTGAGAGTTTGTTTTGCAAGTTCATGAATTTTAACTCCTTCTTCATACATATTAGAATTTGCACATGCACTCAATAAAATTGTGAATGTTGTTGAGTTAGGTACAACACCACTGTTTTTCATATTAGTAATCGTATTCAGTGCTTTCTCAACGTCATTTTGTTGAATGTATGCTTGAATTAAACATGTCCAAGTTATAACATTCATCAATCCTTTCTGTTTCAATTTTTCACATTCTTCAATGGCAATATTTGAATAACCACATTTAGTATAAAAATTAATAGTCGCTGTCGATAGCTCTAAAGAAAATATTTTGAGTGTTTGTTTTGCAAGTTCATGAATTTTAACTCCTTCTTCATACATATTAGATTTTGCACATGCACTCAATAAAATTGTGAATGTTGCAGAATCTGGGTATATACCATGCTTTTTCATGTCAATAATCATATCTATTGCTTTCTCAATGTCATTTTGTTGAATGTATGCTTGAATTAAACATGTCCAAGTTACAACATTCATCAATCCGTTCTGTTTCAATTTTTCACATTCTTCAATGGCAATATTTGAATAACCACATTTAGTGTAAAAATTAATAGTTGTGTTGGATAATTCAATTGTGAAATCTTTGAGTGTTTGTTTTGCAAGTTCATGAATTTTAACTCCTTCTTCATACATATTAGAATTTGCACATGCACTCAATAAAATTGTGAATGTTGCAGAATCTGGGTATATACCATGTTTTTTCATGTCAATAAGCGTATCTATTGCTTTCTCAATATCATTTTGTTGAATGTATGCTTGAATTAAACATGTCCAAGTTATAACATTCATCAATTCACTCTGTTTAATCTTTTCGTATTCTTCGATTGCAATATTTGAATAACCACATTTTGTGTAAAAATTAATAATTGTGTTTGATAATTCAATTGTGAAATCTTTGAGTGTTTGTTTTGCAAGTTCATGAATTTTAACTCCTTCTTCATACATATTAGAATTTGCACATGCACTCAATAAAATTGTGAATGTTGTTGAATCTAGGTATAACACCACTGTTTTTCATGTCAATAATCGTATTCATTGCTTTCTCAATATCATTTTGTTGAATGTATGCTTGAATTAAACATGTCCAAGTTATAACATTCATCAATCCTTTCTGTTTCAATTTTTCACATTCTTCTATGGCAATATTTGAATAACCACATTTAGTGTAAAAATTAATAGTTGCTGTTGATAGTCTAATTGAAAATCTTTGAGTGTTTGTTTTGCAAGTTCATGAATTTTAACTCCTTCTTCATACATATTAGAATTTGCACATGCACTCAATAAAATTGTGAATGTTGCAGAATCTGGGTAAATACCATGCTTTTTCATGTCAATAATCATATCTATTGCTTTCTCAATGTCATTTTGTTGAATGTATGCTTGAATTAAACATGTCCAAGTTACAACATTCATCAATCCGTTCTGTTTCAATTTTTCACATTCTTCTATGGCAATATTTGAATAACCACATTTTGTGTAAAAATTAATAATTGTGTTTGATAATCCAATTGTGAAATCTTTGAGTGTTTGTTTTGCAAGTTCATGAATTTTAACTCCTTCTTCATACATATTAGAATTTGCACATGCACTCAATAAAATTGTGAATGTTGCAGAATCTGGGTATATACCATGTTTTTTCATGTCAATAAGCGTATCTATTGCTTTCTCAGTATCATTTTGTTGAATGTATGCTTGAATTAAACATGTCCAAGTTATAACATTCATCAATTCACTCTGTTTAATCTTTTCGTATTCTTCGATTGCAATATCTGGTCGGTTCACCTTCAAAGCAAAAGTGGCGATACAAGATGATAATTGAAAACTTGCCAAGTTACTTTTTTTGATCATATCATAAAGTTTCAATCCAACTTCCACATTATTTTGGTTAGTTGCTTCCTTTAGAAGAGGAATGTATATTCCAAAACTTGGTTCAATTTGTTTACTCTCCATACGTCCAATAACACTGAAAGCCTTCTCAGTGTTTCCATTTTGAAGACAAGCTTTTGTGTAGTATATGTATGAGAAAACGTTGCATAGTCCTTGACTTTCTAATTCTTGTAGAATTTCTTCACACATATCTAATTCACCAATAGTAGAGAATGATTTTAATATCGCAGTCAAAGTGAATGAATTTGGAGTGGCTAATTTCTTCTCTTTCATAACTCTTCTGAACCAAAATGTAGCTTCATCACTAAAGGCTTCGTTTCTACAAAATTGTTGAATCAAAAAATTCCACGATTTTTCATTTAGTTTCCTTTCCGTTGCATCATTTAATTGGGAGCAAAATTGCTTCAAATCCAGCAAACCGTTATTAAATTCTTTTTCTTTCTTACTCCGATAATGATTATTAATATTTCTTATACAACTCTCAATATTTGCAACTAAATTTTTTTCAGCACCACTTGTGGAGTAGAATTTTGTGGCATATTGCGATGATTTTAATACGAGATGGCGATTATTTGTTGTGCATTTTCCAAACAATTTTCTTGCCAACATTTTTTTTTTCAATTTATTACCAATTCGCGGGTAATTAGATAAATTTTGAGCGAAATTAATAATTTTTAGTTTGTGGAGAACTACCTTTAAACCTGACGGCTACCTTTGACATTTAACACATTATTTCAGGTAATTAAAAAAATCACCAAACGAGGAGTAATACAAAATCTTTACAATTTCAAAAAAAATGATCCCCTCAACAACAACACTGCCAGTACTTTCGGGATCGGGATCACCATTCAAATATCAACATCATCATCAAAAATATTTATTTTTCATCATTCTAATTCTATCAACGATATTTATTTTTGTTTTATTTAATGTACAATATAACAAGTCATCGATTGTTCCTGTTTATTTATCGGAGGAAGAGGAGGAATTGTTTTTGAAAGAGTATTTTGCTAGATTGGAATCGTCATCATTGAATACACAATGTAATATAGAGGAAAATAAGGGAACACTAACGAGAGAAATGATTGGACCTCATGTTTGGAATGTTTTCCATGCTTTTGTACAGAATTATAAAGATTTGGATCAAGATAAATTATTGAAATGGGTTTATATGACTGCTGATTTGTTTCCTTGTAAACAATGCTCTAATGATTTTAAAGGTAGAGTAAAATTTAGTAATCAATACATAATTGAAATGTCAAATAATTTGGTATTTTATTGAAAAAATGATTTTTGAAATCATTGATGTGGTTAAATAGGTATTTTAACAAAGTTTCCTTATAAAGGATTCGAAAAACAGTACAAGAGTAAGGAACGATGGATGTGTAAATTACATAACCTGGTAAACAAAAAGACTAAAAAGACTAAATTATATGATTGTGATGATTCAGATTGGTTAGAGACAACATACAGATTACAAAAATGTTAACAAACATTGAAAACAAATTATTTGCTTTTCTTTATTACTTTCCTCTTCTTCTTTTCACTTTCTTCACTTGATGTTTCTCTAGAAGTTTTCTTTTCATCAGTCATTAGAAAACCGCTAATTTGCTCTTCATAGGTCACAAAAGTATTGGGATATGCTTTTTTCATATCTTCAGTGTCACTTGCCTCCTTTACGAAAATATGAGTGAGACGTGGATCAGTTATGGAAGGGAGTATCACCCCACCTCCTGCAGTAATAATTCTAACAAATGAAGGGTTTGTGTTCTGAACGAAAAAGACTGACATTCCTGAAAATGGCTTAGTCTTGTTATCCCTAATTTTTTGGGCAGTTATGAGATACCTGATAGCATCCTGTTGATCTGACTTAATATCGGCTTGCTTATGGATCCATTGATAGTCATCCTCTTGTATCCAGTATTGCTGTTGGTAACTATCTTCAACATATTTTGGGCAAAGAATCCAAATACCTGCAGCTACACTACATAGAAATTTCTCAGTTTGAACTGCTGAGCCAGCAATAAAATGTGTTGTCACATTGGGTATGTACAATTCATCTATTACTCCATCCAAGGCTTGGATGTATTTTGTGACCTCCTTTTTTTGCTTTTCGGCTAATGAAGAAAGTAAAAAGTGACGTTTCTCTGCATTCGATTGTTTCCATTTGATTTTTTGAACCTCATTGTCGTGATCAATAACTTGGGTTTCAGCAAATGTCCCAAGACTCATAGCAAAATCTGGAATAGTTCTATTTCTATCATTCTTTACCTTTTCATTGTATTCATTTTCTGCTTCAGAGGTGCCTCCATAGTGTGAGAGACTATTGGATTCTGAAGTGTTTTGAGAATTGAAAAATGTCAGATTTTCCAAATTCTTTTTTGGAATAAAATGTACGTTTGATTGTTCAGAAAATTCTATTGCCTTTGTAGTGGTATCCTTCCTCTTTGGTAGTTTATCGAGCAATTTGCTTTTGAAATTAGTTAAAGCTGCAGTATCAACAGGTATTACAGTGGTAGGAGTGGGAGGAGCTGGCATAGTTGGGGGTTGGATATTGGTAGTACTATGAGGAGAATTGGAATCTCGTGCATTTTCATCGAGTATTATAGTCTTTGTTGGTGTTATCTGATCCTCTTTATCTGCCTTTTCAGTCTTTTCAAATACAGGAAGATTGGTTGATTTTTTTTCTGTCGGTGTGGTGCTAGTCGAGGTATCCTTATTAATATTTTTGTCTGTAGTGTTGGTGGTTGTGATGCTGGTTTTCACAGAAATATTGGGTGTGATGTTAGAATTTGTAGAGTTAGGATTGAAAATAAAATCTGTGGGAGAAAGGAAGTATCCAGCCTTATAGCTATCAAACAGCCATTTCTCATTAACAACTGGTATCTGGTGTTTGATGGCAAAATCCGACTTGTCAGATTTCTTTTCACAAACCAGAATGTCTGCAGTTTTTCTCATAGTCTTGGAAGTGGAACCACCCAGAGCCTCAATAATAGATTGTAATATCTGCTTTTGATCAGGGTATCCGGAAATTACAATGAGGAGCCTTTCATTTTCAGTTTTGATTTTATCAAGAGCCAATCTGAAGGTAGGCACATAAAGTAGACACTCCTCTGCAGTCTTTACAGTTTTTTCAGCATCCGAGTCTTTTAGCCATTTTAGTGTTCTTATTTTTGGGTTAGTTTCACGAGGGGTTTTGCAAGACTCTGGATATATTATAAAATCATAATCTAGTCCTAAATTCACAAATTTTCCACCATTCCTTTCAATTATAGATTTAGCAATTTGTTTTTGTGACAATAAATTGTCAGCAAGCTTGAACAAAAGGCTAGAAAAGAGAAGCTTTTCATTCTTTTCATGTGTCATCTCATTTGTAATACAAGTTTGAGATTGGATTGCATCAGCTAAATCCTCTTCGCTGATATCAATATCAATATTATTGTCATCGAATGTACTTGAGGATATTTTTTCATTTTGTTCATTTTTCTCCTCAATAGGTAAAACTTGCATACTCTCTATACAATTAAGGAACCACTTGTATGAAACAACTGGAGGATCATAATTGAGTTTCTCTTTGAGATTTTTGATGGTTTCAGGTGGTGTATTGTCGTTAGCTATTATATAATTCAAACTGTTTGTTGTAAAAGTGGCATTTCCACCATACTTTCTAATTAATTTTCTCACACTAGTTACTAGGTCTGTAGGAAATCCAACAAGATAGAAAACTAATCCATTAAAGAGCGAAAGTTGAACATCCTCAGATGAAAATTGTGAGCTCAGAGAGAATGATTCTGTGCTTGATGTATCCAACTTCATTCCTTGAGTTTGAAGAATTGAGTGTTTTACTGAGGGTTTTACAACCTCCTCCATTTCCAATCCTATTTGCTGCTTGAATCTGATATGATAAATTGTTTGGGTATTAAATATTACTTACTTGTTTGCAATTTCAAGACATTGTTGTTTCTCTTCCTCTGAAATGGTGCTTAGAATAAAATCAGCTTCATCCAAAGCATAACCTGCCTTTACAGACTTTTTAATCCAATCAATACCCACTACGGTAATATTATTCGAAAGTGCAAAATGGAATTTTTCACTACCTCCCTTCTATTGTGATGATTAGAAAAATCTCAATATTATTATTTACAACATACCAAACAAATTAAATGGGTATAGCCTGTTGTGAGACTTGATGAATAGGAGGCTCCGTTCTGCTCGCATAAATTTTTGATTTGGCTTCTCTCCTTTTCCTTGAATCCTGTGACAGAAATTGTACAGTTATAAAGACAAGGAAGTTTGTACTTTTCAATGCTCACCAATTCTCCTTCTGTTTCACAGGCTAACAACCACTCCTTCTTCAAGATTGGTATCTTTTTTTCTGCTGCTAGCCTGTATTTATCTGTTCCGATTCTATGAGCAATCAATACTTCGGTATATATTTCGAAATTAGTATCCACAATAAGCCCCAGATTTATTGCCTTTTCCGATAATTCTTTCTATCAACAAAATCATCATCATACATTAAATAAAAATCACTACTTACCCTTTCTTCCGTGCTAAATGCTGTGAAGCAAATGTGTTTTATATTCATCTTCAAAACTCATGAATTTTTATTGTTGATCAATGAGAAGAGAAAAGTTGCAGAGAAGAGGGTTTGAGAATTTTTTTGATTTATTTTTATTATTGCTTTCTAGTTTTTATTGGAACAAGAATGTTTTTATGGTTTGAACACAAGCAAGAACATCATATTGGCATCTGAAATATTCACATCTGAACCAGTCATTGAAAGGAACTGTGGCCAAGAAGTAATGAAAGAATATTGAAATAAAAAGTATTTCACAAAAGCACTGAAATCCACAACCCATCGCTGCTTTTATTGAAAAAACGTTACTGTAAATAACAAATCGTCCTCATCATCATCATTAAAAAAATAAGCAAAACTAAGATGGAGGAAGAATCGTCATCACTGTATGTATTTATTTATGACCGTTAAGTTTATTAACAAGAATGATGGTGGCGGTTGCATATATAAATTATATAGATCAAAGATAAATCCTAGGACTCTAAGACTTGTAAATTATATTAAGGCTAAAAAGAAGATGAATACTTCTGAAAGCATGGCCAGCGACGGAGAGATGGATGAGGATTTTGATGATTATTCAGAGAACTTTTATTACCAACCTCCTCAAAGTGTAAGAAGTTATGACAGAAATACACAAGAACTATTGGAAGCATACAATAAGGATCTTACACATAAACCAGAATTGAATGTCGTTTCATTGGAAATTGCCTCTAGACTTCCCCATACTTCCAAGGAGCGTTTATTTATGCAAAAACCAACTTCTCCTAGAGTAGAAGATGTTCAATATACATTTAGACCAGCACTTAATAAGAAGTCTGTAGAAATTGATTCAGGAAAGAACAAGTTTGATTCCTTCGAGCAAAGAATTAATGAATTGTACAAAAAAACCTCTAAAAAACAGCAAAAGATTGAAGAAAAGAAGAAGGAATTCATGGAAAAGGAACTGGAAGGATGTACATTTTCTCCAAATGTTTCCAAAACAGTGAACAAGTTTAATCTTAAAGGGAAAACAGTAAGTGACAGAGCTGCTATTTGGGAAATAAGAAGAAAGCAAAAGATTATTAAAGGTAAACGAGAAGTTGATGAAAGAGAATTGGAAGGATGTACATTTTCTCCAAATACACAAAGATTGAAAATCAGTTCTCCTAAGGAAAACAGAGATCCTCTAGGATATGACGAATTCCTTCATAGACAAAAAATAGCAAGAGAAAAGAAGAGTGATGTGGATAAGGTATTCCAAACCGGAACTAAATGGAAAAATCAAATAACCATACCTAAGGAATTTTCATTTGGTTCAAAGGATGGTATCAAGATCAAATCTTTGCAAAAGCCAGTCACGAACGATCAAGCCAATAAGAAGACCAACTATTTCAATTCTTCTATGGATCAAAGTAGGGAGCCAACAATGATCTTGGACGATGGAACTTTGGAATTTAATGAGGATGAGGAATTACTAACTCAATTTACAACACCAGAACTAAATAATTCAGTGAATTCAACCTTCTCAGCACCTCCACAAGGACTATTTTCCAGTAAGACAAGTGTAAGCATTTTAGATTGCATTCAAGATGCTGAAGCCGCTCAAGCAAGCCCAACTAAGAAGAGTGCATCTAAGAGCAGTCATAGACAAACACCTCAAATAGATCTCATTTCACCATCCAAAGAATGGTTAAGAAGAAGCAAGCAAAAAGAAGAAGAAAATATTAAATATCTTTAATTGTATCATTAATAAAAGGACAGTATGTTTTGGTGATCAACTAAAAGATCTGTTCCAGTTGACTTTGTAATAATACAAATATAATTTAATCAACTTGATAAAATTAACTTCATGTTCAATATTTAAATAAATAATAAATTTATTTTATTATTAAAAAATGTCTCTAAAGGATGAAGACATGATGATGCCTCTATCGGATGAAGGCGAACAAGACGATTCGATCAATGATGGTGATAGTAGTGCCACTCAAACAACAATAAATTCCTCTTCTACAACCAATGGAAAAAAGAAGAGAAATAGAAAGAGAAAGAAGAAAAAGATTATTCTCCCAGCAGGTTTGAAGCCTTTCGAAAAGTTATATGTAACAACAAATTCATCCACTAATATTCAAAATAATAATACAACAACAACAACAAATATAAAATCGGAATCATCTACCGATCCGACAAGTGTAAACAATGTAGAATATATACAAAAAGATGTCATTCAAGATATTGAAAAGAAGGCAAATAGTTCTATCCTTGATGAATTTAAAAGAATATTTGACAAGTTCGGAAGTGTGGAAGATTTAAACACAGAACAAAAGGAAGAGGAGGAAGAAAAGCCAGAAAAGAAGGAAAAGGATCTATTCGAATTGACTAGTAGTGATGAGGAACAATATGACGATGATGAAGAAGAGGAGGATGGAGAGGAATTGGATTATGATCAAGCATCTTTAATTGCCAACAAGAAGGGTAAGAAGAAAAACAAGTTGAAGAAAAAGAAGAAACGTAGATATGTTTTCACAATTTCACAATTGAAGCAACTGGCCAAGAGACCTGATGTTGTGGAAGTTCATGACATTACAGCCAAAGATCCTAAATTCCTTGTTTTGCTCAAATCATATAGAAATACTGTTCCAGTTCCAGCTCACTGGTCTCAAAAAAGAAAGTACTTGCAGGGAAAGAGAGGATTTGTAAAGCCACCTTTCAAGCTTCCAGAATTTATTGCCAAGACAGGCATTCAAAAGATGAGAGAAGCTTATGAAGAAAAGGAAAATGAGAAATCCATTAAGCAAAAGATGAGAGAAAGAGTGAGACCAAAACTAGGAAAAATGGATATTGATTATCAAGTTTTGAGAGATGCTTTTTACAAACATCAAACCAAACCAGATAATTTGGCCATCCATGGTGACTTGTACTATGAAGGAAAGGAGTATGAGCAGAGAAGAAAGTACATTAATAAGTATAAGGCTGGTAAGCCACTCTCTGAAAGACTGAGACTTGCCTTGGGTATGCCAGTAAATGCACCACCTCCTTGGTTGATTAAAATGCAAGAACATGGTCCACCCCCTTCGTATTCCAATCTCAGAATACCAGGTCTCAATGCTCCTATACCTGAAGGTGCTAGTTATGGTTACCATCCAGGTGGTTGGGGTCGTTTGCCTGTCGACCACATGAACAGACCACTCTATAACAAATTTTTTGGAGCTAATGCAAATGATGATGATAGAAAAGCGGAAGAGAAGAATGTCAAATTGTGGGGCGAAGACATCATTGATGATACTATTGAGGAAGAGGAGGAAGAAAAAGAGGAAACTGAAGAAATAAGAGAAGGTGGTGATAGTTCGGATGAGGAAATGGCACAAACTAAGGAAGAAGAGGATGAAGATGAATCCGTTATTGTTGTCAGTGGGTTGACCACACCAAAACCAATGGACAGTCATCAAACAAGTTCACAAAGAGTGCCTGAAGTGGTCAACCTGAGGAAAGATGTTGCCAACAAGAAATCAGATGACCCTAAGTTATTATATAGAGTATTAGAAGAGAAAGACCAAGCAATTGGATCACGAGATATGATGGGTTCATCAAGGAGTTATGCCTCTAACAACATGTTACCTCCTACTTCTTCCCATCAACAACCAAACAATGAGGATGACAAGAAGAGAAAGAGAAACGACAAACCTTCTTCACAAAAGAAGTTCAAATTTTAAACTCTTAGTTTTTTATCAATACATTATTTTTGCTTTTTTCTTGGCTGAAGAATGTGAGGTTCTGATGTTGGTTCCTCAATTGTTTTTCGTTTTTGTAATCTATTACGAGCTTCATCAATAGAAATTGAGGCGCCTTCTTGCTCCTCTTCTTCGTCAGAGGAGAAGATATCTTCCTCCAAGTCATCTGCCTCAACAACAAAGTTGGCCAACTCATTGGCAAACAAAATGTAGCTATCAAAGAAGGTTTCTGTTGGTGGGTTTTCCCAAAGTGATCCAATATCAAAATCTTGCGTAAATAATTCAGCCCAAATATTATTAGTATTCATCTCGTCAACTTTTTCTTCCAAAGATTTTCTATATCGTGGTGTACAATTCCAAACTTTGAAAGCGTCATTGGCAACTTGATTTCCATTAAAGTATTCGAAATGATTCTTTTCACACAAATCTCTCAAAAAAACTTCCAAATCATATTGTTTCTGGAATAGTTTTAACATTTCTTGTCTCAATTTTCCATCTGTTTTTGAGTCCGGATCTGAAAATTTCTTCTGCTCATCACACAGGGCAAAACAAGCATCACAAAAACACTTCACCCTATCAAACAATGAGAAATAGTCTGATCTCACCATTTCAAAATCGATTTCATCTGCCCTATCTGTAATATACCTTAAACATTCATCCAATTTTGATTGAATAATAGGTGCCACTGATAAACATGACTGAGCCAATACTTCTCCACTATATAGATTGAATATATATTGTAAAACGTAAATAAGTAATTAACAAAGGTAAATAAAAATTGAATAATTACTACTAACCTATCCTTTCTGTTCTTTCTAAGAAATTCACTCTCCTGAAATGACATGTAAATCAAAATTACTTTCCTCATGTTATCCAAAGGATCTTCAATTCTGATAAAGTTTCTATTTCCTCCATTATCGACTGGCACACAAGGAGCATTGATAATGGCCATCTCAAAAATCTTGGTAAATATTTGTAAAAAGTAGTGAAAACTATTCTCATCCAGAATACTCAAGGGATGATGTTGAACGTGAACGTCTTGCTCCTCTTTCATTGCATGAAGGAAATCATCAAGAGCCAATACGAAAAAATCACACAAATCTCTCCCTTCCTCTGCTGGTAAATAGGTGAGAGCAAACAGAAGAGTTGCTTGGTTAAGGTACTTGGATATGTTTGGATTTTTTCGTTTTCTTGCAATTTCTCTGTGGTGTAATAAGTGATGGAATGGTAATTCTTTGAAAACATAAGCTTCCATGGCTATCTTTTCAATTGTAGATGATTGAGATGTAGAACTAAAGACTCGTGTCAATAATTCTAGACCTACATAGCCAATAATCTTTTGCAGTTCCTTTCCTTGGCAAATGGATACCAATAAAAGATTCAATTGGAAAGCATGAATAAAGTAAGAAGCATCCTCAATTTGTTTTAAAATCAATCGAACAAGATAAATTACATTAATTGGAATGGAAGTGTCATTCTTCTTAAAGGAAGAAATCAACTCTTCGAATGCATCCTCATCAATGTTTCTTGTCACAAAAAACACATTCGAAAGTGAGCAATAAATATACGATAGACATATTACCAAATGGTCAACCTTGTCTTTTCCTTCTAAACTTTGAGTGTCTTGATTCACTTTCATCTCTGATTTCTTCTCTGCCAAGAGAGTAGTATATTTGAAACTCTTTTTCACCAGAGCACCAATGACCTTCTTGGTGAGAGAAATGAATTGGAAAATGGAGCTCGGTGACTTTCTTCCCTCCAACAATGAACCAAATAATAGTACTCTTTTGGGTGAGAGAATTTTGAAATCTGGAGCAAATACGCCCTTTCCCTTAGCATTTGATTTATGACTCTCTGATTCTTCCTCATCCGATTTGAATAATAGTAAATGCTTCAACATGAAATCAAAATCTGACCAAAGGCATTTGAATGCCTCTCGTTCCTTCTTCATGGATACTTCGTCATATTCGTGTTTGTATTTTCTGATAAAGAGTGAAATGATTTCCACACTGAGAGGGAATAATTTGAAAAATGCATCCAAATCCAAAGCGTGTAATGTATCATTGATGGATTCAGATGTTACAATATCAATTCTCAACTGTAGCAAATACTCGGTATAGTCAACCATAGAATCTTGGTCTTCCTTGTCAAGATTTTCTATCAAAACATTCTTCTCAATAACATGATCATATAAAACATAACCAATAGAATATATACACATTAATTCTTCTTTAGAAATTCCTTTTGCTCCAATTTGCATTAGTGCCATGCTTAGAGGATACTATTATTAATTCAATTCTTTTAGAAGAATCCATAACAAACAAACTTACCTGATCATTTTCATGGCAGAGAATGTAGCACTTGACTAGCATGGATAATGCTCGAAGTGAGGTAAGTGTAAGAGTATTGATGGAGCAGAATTTTCTGAATTCAAAATTACTTTGTTGTGAAATTTCTGGGAACGTGTCAATAATTGCCAAATTTTTCAATAACTGTACAATGATTGCTTTCATTCTTGAAGCGAACCCCATATTGAGTAAAATATCAAAATTATAAATAAATAAATCTAAAATATGAATTGAATTTTCGTCAAAATTTTTCGTGTTAAATAGTGAAAAAACAAATCTGTCAATGTCTGAACTGATCATGTAGTGTGTTTCATGAATTAGGTGCATTGAAATAATAAGGCCTAGTTGGGATTTCTTATCTTGTCCACTGAAAATTTGCTTTCTAATAAATATCATCAAGTACTCGAATGTTTTTGGATCGTGAATTGAGCACTTGGCCAAAGAATAACAAAGTGAATGTTGACATCTTACTATTAATTATTGGTAATAATCATTATATAAAGTCATTGTAATGTGAAACCTACTAGAATATGAAACAGCATGTGCCAGAGAATCCTTAATTATCGATAAATGATTCAAGGCAATTTGTTTACACAGACTGGCAGAAAATTCCTCATCCTCTTCTTCATTCTGCTCAAAATCACATAAACCTATCAAAATTTCCGCAGCAATATTCGACTTGGAATCATTGTACTGAAACAATGCCAAGAGTGATGTTAAAAATTTGCTTCTCAGTGGTTTGAAACTCTTGAACGAGTGAATGAAAATACTATAAACCCATGGTACACCCTTCTCATCTGTAAACAACTCACTATTTGATAATAAATAAATAATAAATATATATATCGAGTTGTAAATCCTGTCTACATATTTACAATCATCCAAAAGACTTCCAACAGCACTCAAGGTATCCAAAATTGTTGAAATATTAATCATTCTTTGTGGTTTGTTTTGAAATGCATTCTTAAATATTGTAAAGGTTGAATTTCTATCTCTGTGCCTAGTTGATAGTAATACCATTAAAATTAAAACATCAAATTTAGAAAATTCCTCTTGTTCTGCTTTTAAAGATTTTAGGAAATAATTAGCAAGAGATGGCGTCGTTGAAAATGTGTCTGCCAATAATTCAGAGCTAATCCTAACAATGGCCACGTCATCATTGGCCAATTTTTCTCGAATGTACTTTACAATTTCACTACTATTCTTTTTCGTCACATTCTTCAACATGATCTTGACAATATCATCCAAATCCTCCTCCTCAACCGATTCCAATGCATTTTGTGCAATGAATAAAACCTTCTCCTGTTGTGAATCTTTTAAATTTTCCAACTTGTACAAGGTTGAAATCACAATCCTTGTCAATGCATTCTCACTCTTGAATATTCCATCCAATACTTCAATAATTTTGGAATTTTCCTCCTCGGAGCTTCCACAAATCTTGGGAATAAATTCAATAGCAATTCTTTTTAGACTTGGCCTATTCAATATTTTAATTAAACTCAAGAATTTCATTGTAAGAGCAGGAAATGATTCCGATTGTACAATTTTCATCAATTCGTTTTTAAGAAGGGATTGTTCTTCCGATTGTTCCTTCTCTGTTATTGTACTATTGAAAATTCTCTGATTGAAATGTTCAATCAAATCGGAAATAATTGCCATCTCTACCTTTTCCATCCTATTATTATTATTATTGGATGATCCATCATGATGATCACTTGACTCGGAAATTAAGTCATCATCATGTGGAGACAGGTGTGAAAGCATTTTTTTTCGTTTGTTTCGTAATATTATGTTTTGTAAAAACAGCATTCAGTGAATTGTTGAAATATATTTCCAGTTTTCATCTTTGAAAGATAATTATTTATTTTGAGTAATGTAAGATTTGACTTCGTTATTTCTAAATTCTTCAAAACTGATTGAACCATCTCCGTTAATATCAATGGAGAGGAAATAGTCTACATTCTTTTGGTATTGTTTCTTTGCCATGTTAATTCTCTTTTGAAGTTGTTGTTGATGGTAATCTTCCTTCTTAGGTTCTTTTCTAATCTTTTCATTGGCAAATTCTATATAACTGGAAATCTTTTGGTCTCTATGTTTTGCAAAATATTTCCTAATTTCATCGTGAGATATAAAACCAGTTCTATTCTCATCAATCTTGTTGAATTTTTCTCTAATACTCTCCAATTGTTCACGAGTAAGTAAATTAGCTGCATCATCTCTGATATCCCTTGTTAATAAAAAGTATTCCTCTCCATCCTTCATCTTGCTGACATACTTTTTTTCCAGTAAGGTGGTTCCAGGAATAACTGGATGTTCTATCATTGGAAACACCTCTCCTGTTCTCTTATTTTCCATTCCAGTAAAACTGATATATGTTTGTTGCTCCAATGTTAACTCGATAGCATCTTCAAAATCAAAACTGTTAATTTCTCTGCCCATTCTTACTCGCAATTTTCCCTTCTTTTCTCCCATCTTTACCGTTATATAAAAGTACTTGTTCTTTGATTTGTTTTCCAAAAAGGCTCGTATTGTTTCAACATCACTTCCGAGTAATTGTTTATAAGCTTGCATTGGGGCAAATGGATTACTATTCGTTGCATGTAATAAGGAAGATGAGGTTGCTTTATGATCCTCCTCATCACTATACTCGTCATCGTCATCACCAACCTCATAGTCAAATACATCATCTTCCTCGCTCTCATCAGTGAGAGGTACTTGAACCTTAGTAGAACTCATTTTTTTTCTTCTTGTTGTGGTTTTAGAATCATTCCCAGCAGCGTTTGAGACTCTTGAAGTTTTTATTAAGAGATTTTATTTAAATTTAAGAAGAGACAAATAAGAAGAGGATGAATTAAATTGATGGAAAGGCAAGATGATTTTCAATTCACAAAAGAAAAATCTATTTGAAACTCCGAGAGAATGCCTATTGTTAAACTTGATGAAAATTCAATCATTGGTTATCAGTAAGTTCTTTCTATGAATTTTCTATTAATCAATTTATTAACTGATCAGTTTCCACTATTACTATTTACCGTCAGATTCAGTCGATGAAAAGATTATTGATGAAATGATGGAGAGTGCAAAACTTCGATGGCCTTCTCTCCGAATTGTTGGTATGTTGTTTGTTTAACAATGTTGGTGATGTAATATAATTTGTTGCAGCATGGAAACAAATAATCGGACCTCATACACTCCCATTCTTTGAAATGTTTGTTTCATCACATTAATTTCAATAATAATAATTTAATTCTACAAATGATGAAAGTGATATTGTTGGAAAGGAACTTGTTGACAAGTATTTCATTCAAGTTTATAATTGGAGTATTGTGCAGTGTGGAAATAACTTGTCCGGCTTTGGTGGAAGACCAAGACCTGTTCTGTTGCATCCAGTCTTTGAAAACGACACCAATCATGTACAAGCTCACACCATCTATGCCATGTGGTTGTCAGGAGAAAAGATTCCACTCAACATTGCAAAACTTGAAGCTCTTGACAGTCAGCAATAACTTCAGTAACTTCGATCAACCTTGCTGTCAATAAATCATAAAAAATGTTGTCAAACCACCAGCACCAACTTTTTGAACTCTTCATTGTTTCACCAAGTTGTTTTTAAATTTAATTTGTCAATATTACTTGCTATGAAATGAGCCAATTCGCAGAGCATCTAAATTTTGAAATGTACAAAAAAGAGCCCGTAGCCAACAGTCACAAAATATAGAACTTTCATGAACCAAACGACGACGAGGAGAAAAACTAACAAACTATACTTGGAGCGTATTAATATTTTCGAAAGGACATTATGTGTGAATGATATTTGAATTCAGCAATGTAATAACATTTACAATTTATCACCATTGAATTAGCTCTCACTTGATATAGAGATAGAGAAACCTACAACTTGTCAACTTGTTATTTGGTTATTGGTAGTTCTTTTAATAAGTTCAATACAAGTCAAATTCATCTGAGGCCAGTCAAGTCAAAACACAAGCTGCTTTTTCACCTTCGCGCTAATAGCCAAATCGTTACAGGCCAATTTACGGTCATTTGTTTTTCCCACCCAAAAAAAGTTACTCACCAACCTAAAACGTCTCTCTGAAAAGACCCTCCACAATACACTCGCCTTAATGTGTTGGCCTTAAAAGACTCTACAACATCAATAGACCCTTCATCGTTGCGAGCCGAGCACTATTAACTATCACACAATAACAGTAATATTATTTAATCATCAGGATCTGCTAGTTGCTTAATCATTGCATCAATTAAGCATCAAAAAACCTAAGAAATATAGTACAAACATCTAGGAGAGAGTACACAACATATACAGGTTTATCTCACAACTTTAGGTTTTTTGCAACGTCATCATATAGTCATCATCATATATAATTCTTATTATTATCTAAGCTAGTAGTAACAGTAGCATCAACATGTCGACACTTCCAACCCTTGGAGCAGTCGGTGCTATTGGTAGAACAAGGAAAAGTTCAGCCATCGTACCCTTAACAAATTTAAATCAGACTGTAAATCCATTGAGGGCTAGCACTGAAGATCCACTACCTAGTTTTCATAATAGTAATACAAGTGAATCCAATTCGATTATTGAAGGACACTTCTCACACGGTCCACAAAGTTTAACGATGAGTAATCGTTCAGGTGGGTCCGACACTGGAACTGCAAGGACAGCAACCACAACACGGTCTTCAATTCTATCCTCAGAATCATTTAAAGCATTTGAAGAGAATATAGTAACATTTCTGGTTGGAATACAGCAACAAAGCTTGATGAATACAGCCAAGAGGGTGAATGAAAAGAATCAGCCCTGGTCCATTGCTCAACAACGTACTCTCTCTGGTAAGCTGAGAAGAGTCTTTTCTAAAACAAATATATTTTACATGCTCTTTTACACATTTATCATGCTTACTTCCTCAAGTTTATCTGTACCATATGAGGATATTAAATCATATCAATGGGGTGATTATGGTTGGTGGATTATGCTAGTATTTGGATTCATGAGAACTTGGTTAATGGAAAAGGTACCATATGTTGGTATTGTTGTAATTGCTAGTTTCTTTATTATATTACTATTATCAAATGGAGTATTACTTTATATAGTATATAGATTTACAAAAACAGGAAGCAGACACACAAAGAAATTACTGCAATTTGTAAGAATACTTACAATAATAATAACAGTAGTAGCAGTACCCATAACCCATATACTAACATCATTTATTAATTGCGATTACATGACACAACACCTTGTAAGATACAGAGAAGAATCGTGTACAAGCGTACTGAATACAGTAATGATTGTATTTTCTTCGATTGGATTAATTGTACAATTTGTAATTACTCAAATGGGATTATTAATGTTAATAGAATTCAGTCCAAAGGAAGGCTCATTTGGTTCAATGGATAATTCGATATTTGTAATGGTAATTGCATTTACAAATCAACTTTATTGGATAATTTCAAATTTAATTCCGAGCATGTACAGTTATATAGTTCCAATTATATCTATTCTAGTTAGTTTATTGTATATTGTTGTTTTATTTAGGTCCCTTCCTTTTTTCAATAGATGGGAAAATAGTTTATGGTCTGGATTTACATTTGCAAAACTTGGATTTTCCATTTCAACTTTAATACTGACTACCTTACCAATCAATTACTTAGATGACAATATATTTGGAGTATCATTGGCTGGTGCATCATTTGGCTTTGCTATTTTATTATTTGTTTTGGGTTGTGTAACTATGGAAATATATACCAGACTTGTCTATAGAAGCGTAAAGCATTTATTTTCAGTGTACCTTGGTATTGATGATGTAAATAATTGGAAGATATCCAAAGAGGGTGATCCAACATTATTTGTCAATAATTTAGCTTCAGTTATCGAAGAAGAACGTCGATTTAGAAGTGTTAACATTTTCATTCGATTTGCCATGACAAAGGCAAGAAATGTTCAACGCAACGAACAAAAGCATGGTGATTTCAATTTAGCCATGCTGTTTGTTAAGGGTGCTGCTTCTCAAAAAAGTTTTACAGATGTTAATTTACTATTGACATCAAGTATGCTCATTGCAAACTTTGTTGCCTCTGAGGATTCTAATGCGTTTATCTATGCAAATCACTTGATTAAAAGAGCACTCAGACAACATCCAAATATTCTGAACAGATATTTCATTCAAATGAGATTGAAAGAATTGGAAATCATTTCATCTTCATCCAATAGACATGCCACAAGTAATTTGGAAATGAAGATGTTATTACAAAAAATTGACGCCAAAGAACAACAATTGGCCTACTTCCACAGACAATTCTGGAAGGAATTGCAAAATGAAGTAGTTTCCGATTCAAAAATCATTGGAGTGAATCAACAAATTGAAAAGATTACTGCTGAACTGGAAGTTTTATTTGGAAATTTGATGACTAACTTTTCTGGAGATAAGACTGCACTAAGAACCTATGCCAGATTTTTAGAAAATTACCTATTCCAAAAAGAATTGGCTTCTGACTTGTATTTTGAAGCACAAATAATTGAAGATGAAGAATCTAAGAGAGTTAGAAAGAGGGAGCCTGTAAACCAAATCAAGATTTCATCCAAACACAACAAGGTTGTTCCAATAGTACCAACATCACCTGAAGAACCAAGATCTGCAGTTGATTTATTCGATGAGGAAATTGATGAGGAAAGTTTAAATGGATCTGATATGGTGACACCAACTCAGAAAAAAGAAATGCTCTACAGAACATCATTACTAGTACCAGAAGAACACAAGTTTGTCTATGGATTTTTCATAGTATTCCTATTGTTTGGCTTGGCACTAATTACAATCACCTTGGCTGTAAATATTTCCTTCTCTAATGAAATTTCCTCAAAAGTATTCCTTGTCAAACAAGCTTGTACCATGAATAGCGTTTCGCATTTGATAGCCAGTGGTATTCGTTCACTTCAATCTACAATCAAGTTTAATGGTATTAATGATACAGCTCTGTTGCAATCATTCTCAGCCCACAAGGACAGACTGAAAACACTTCAAGATAAGGCTAGAACCGTACAAACACTCTCTAAAACAGTCGGTGTATTCACAACTGACATGGTAAATGATTTCACCCATGATGATGTTACTTTGTACTTGCCAATTGTTACTCCAGGCCAGATTGTTTATGAAATTAGAAATACCTCTCTCTCTGAAACTACTAAACTAGTGATTTCAAATATTGATTCATTGTTAGAATCAACAATCTTCCAATACAACAAAACATATGAATCCTATGTTTTCATGTTTTGGTGGCTCAATAGATTACCTCTCATGCGTTCATATGAATCATTTTGTGTGAATTTTATTGATAGAAATCAAGTGGTGGCACAAGAACTTAGAGTTATTTATATAATTATTGCAGTTTGTGTAAATGCCATTGTATTGTTAATGTCTTTGAGCTATTTACTAGTTTTATATTTCCATTTACGTAAAATTAATAATCTTGTAAGATTATTCAAGAGAATAGGTAAAGATGAAGTTGGTAAGATTTTCCATCGTTTAGATAAGGACACTAGAGAAGAAGTTAACAAATCTCAAACAGACTATCTATCTCCAAAGAGATCTGTATTAATAATCAGTTTACTCATTATTGTATTTGCATTTGTATCTGGTGCCTTGATCATTACAGAATTCTTCTTGAATTTAGATGATTCGTATGTGGCCATGTTAAATGTTGCAGAAGCAGGTAGAGTTTTAATGAACAGTCAAGTTGTAAACTTTGGATTGGACGAAATTGTGTTTGATTCACCACTAAAACCAAATGAAAATGATGCCAACTTTGTACTTAACCAAAATTATCTAGCTCTAACAGTCAAGTCTTGGAACAATTTAATATACGGAGCAGAGTACAACAATAGAAAATCCATTCTCTCAGAAAATATTCCAGTTGTACAAAGTCATCAATGTAACTCTACAGATTATAATTGTTATGGATTGGATCAATTATTGGATATGTTAGCCTCACAAGCAGATCAATTGAATAATCAAGCTTATCATCATACTATTGGCCCACGTGATATATATATCAAGTTTATGCAATTTTACAGTGCTTCTAAAATTATGGCCTACAAGTTGTATGCTTTCATTGATACCTATGTTGATTTGCACCAGCATCCTTCCAGATATTTGTCAGGAGTGTTCTCCTCTATTGGATTTATTGCTTGCCTATTTTTATTCTATTTAGGTAATAATATGTTCAATAGATATTGGGCTCAAATCCATCAGATGAGAATTATGTTCAATTATGTATCATGGGAATTTATCGATTCAAATGATCAATTAAGAGATTATGCTCTTCACTATCAATACAATTCGACAGCATCAAGCAACAATGGAAAGAATCGAAAATTGAAGGGCATGAATAGAATATTACAAATGTTCCAAGATTCAAATAATGATAAGGAAGATGAACAAGCATTCTCCCAGGTTAAGGCTGTCCTTGATTCAACTGTAGAAGGATCTATCATTTGTAATGTAGATGGTTCTATTAGATTTTTCAATCAAGCTGCACAAGATATGTTTGGTTATAGAATTACAGAAATTATTGGAACTGGATTGGCTGTTCTATTTTCTAAAAAGAAGGTTGTTGACACTCTAAATTCAGTTCTGGAGAGAATGAAGAATGCTACTAGCAACTTTGGAGAAACATTTGAAAAGTTAAAAGCCAAAAGAAAGAACGGAAAGGCATTCCCAGCAAGAGTTAATTTATGTGTTTCAGTATTGGGAGATCCTAATGATAAGAAGAGAACAATTATTATTTCATGTTTTATTAAGGATATTACCTCCGAATTGAAACATTCCATTTTAATGGCACAAGAAAAAACCAAATCAGAAGCACTTTTACTTAACATTTTACCATTACCTGTTGCCAATAGATTAAGAGCAGGTGAAACTAATATTTATGAAAACTTTAAAGATGTTACCTGTCTATTTAGTGATATTGTTGGTTTCACTAGTTTGAGTAGTCATTTGGAACCACACCAAGTTGTAGAAATGTTGAATATTATTGTCAACCAGTTTGACTTGTTGTGTGAAACCTATTCTCTTGAAAAGATTAAAACCATTGGTGGTAAGTTTTGTTGATAATATTTGGCATGTATAGTAATTAATCATTTAATTTAGATGCCTATTTCCTTGCTGGTGGTTTGCATCAAAAGCAATCAGATCACCCTGAAAAGGTTATTAATTTTGGAATGGGTCAATTTACAATTTTATACAATTACAATGTCAAACATAATACAAATTTAAACATTCGTGTTGGTGTTCACACAGGATCAGTAACAGCAGGTGTATTAGGAAGTTCAAAGTTTGCCTATGATTTGTGGGGAGATGCTGTCAATACTGCCTCAAGAATGGAATCTACAGGTGAACCAGGAAGGATTCAAATTTCAAGAGCAACTTATGAAAGAGTTTATGATTTATTTGAATTCGAAACTAGAGAGGTAGATGTTAAAGGAAAGGGGAAAATGGAAACATATTTACTCAAGGATAAACATCATCAAAATCCAAATCCTCAAGCTGCCAGAATTGATACTTCAAAATTCCTATCAATTGATTTGGAAGAAGCTGAAAACAAGCAATTGGCAATCAATTACTTGGATGTTAATGATGGTGGAAGTGAGGCCTATTATTCTGAAAATGAGGATGATGAAGCTTTATCAGAAAAAAATAATGGTAAATTATTAGATGATCAACCAAATGAAGAATAAAAAATCAAGATAGTGCATCATAACTAACTTTCAGATCAAACAATTATTCTCAATCAACAACTTTAGAGGAAAAGAATTGTAATTTTCAAAATAAATATATATTATTCACAAAAACGGTAATACCAAAAACAAGCTTTATCAACTGAAATCAAAGAAAATGATTTATCAAATCAACCACATTTTATCTCATCAAGAAAATCAAATTAATTCTTTTCAATGTGATTTGTTGTTAATTATTAAAACTACCACAACAAATATTTTACCCTCAACAACAAAAAGAAAAAGAATTCGCTTTCTTTTGTCTTGCTTTTTGGTGGTTGTAAGAAGGTTGCAATATTTAACACAAATATCTCAACCTTTTACAATATACACTTCCAGCACCAATTTTAATTGCAGATCCATTAAAACTTCAATTCTTTTACAATATTTTGCTTAATGAAATCAATATGATCATAATCTGGATCTTGATGATGGTTTGTGATTGCATTAATGGTAAGATCTTTGTAATGATTGATGGTTAAGATAATTTCTTGCAAATAGATATCCATTAACTCAGAATAATCATATTTCTTTCTATATTTTATTTTTAAAATTTAAATTTCTCTACCTTTTATTATTGTTCTTGTAATAGAAGAAACACTATTATACTACCACAATTAAACTTTGACTATAATTTCCAAGTCTGACTTTACTGTAAAGTTTGGATTAAGATTTTACCAATATTAAAGAAAATTTCAAAAATGACACATCAAATCAACCACATTTTATCTCATCAAGAAAATCAAATTAATTCTTTTAAATGTGATTTGTTGTTAAGAGGGGATGGAATAACCTTAATCCAAATCCCAGATATTGTGGATTCTGGATTTTAGTGGAGGAGTTGTGTGGGATTTGGATGACGGATTTTCCATCCCCTCGTTATTAATTATTAAAACCACCACAACAAATATTTTACCATCAACAAGCAAAACTTTGTTTCAATGGTGGTTTTATATGTGGCTTATTTTGTTTATTGGTTTTCTCTTTTTTGTGATTTAGTTTATTTCAATTATCCAATTCTGATTTCGTCATTGAAGTTCAGGTTTTATTTTTATAATACTTTCTTATTTGGGTAGTGGTGTTGTGGAATTGTTGTAAGGTGTTTGTATTTTTTTAAAATCAACATTGACTTGAACAAAACGTCAACTATTCCTCACTTTATTCCAAAGGATAAACCATTGCTTCTTCCTTTAGCAATCAACAACTAATTCCCAACAAAGTATAATGATGCACTTGTAGAATAAAAATTTCATTATTGAAAAAACACTACTATTCCTATTCAGTTTAGTTATAATAAATATATTACAATTTCAATGATAAACCATATTTCAATTAAATATTACAAAATTTATTTCAAATCAACTGAAAATGTGTAAAAGTAAAACTTGACAAAGACAGCCAAAATGAGGTGAGAAAGTACAATAAAAGCTGCAAAAACAAGAAGGAAAATATTATCTTGTGGACCAGTGACAACCTTCTTCCATTCTTTGAATAAACCAAATACTATAAAAACACTGGCATATAAAAATCCTCCCATAATCAAAATCCATCTCAACCAAGTAATATTGAACATGCATAAAACAAGTGGTGGTATAACTACTGCGAAAGAATATCCATAGACACATATGGTTTCAACAAGACTAACAGTTACACCCTTATATTTCATAGCAACCCATAAAAGAGCAGGAACTACCATAGAAAATGCATAAAACACTGTTGCTCCTACAGAAATGAGTGAAAAGTCAGTTGTCCATTCTAATAAATCACTTGTTGGTCGACGGAAAGCTTCATTTCCTGATGTATTATTATTGGATCCAGATTGTTGAAAATCTCCCTCCAACTCTTTTCCGATAGCATTTAAATTAAAAAAGTGTCCAATATTACTAGTCATGACAATTACAACAATAAGTGTTGTGATAATCCAAAATGGTCCCCACAGATCAGATTGTCTCTTTCCTCTCTTTGTGTATGATACAAAAGATTCGTCAGTGTTCAAAAAAAAGAGATATGGTTTGGTTATTCTCCTGAGTACTTCATTAGTATTCACATTAAAGAATGGAATATAATATTCAAGGTTCCAAAAACTATATTGTGAATAATCCACATTGGTCATTTCATCATCAGAATCATCTCCACTCAATACTATTGTATTTTGTTGTTGTTGATTACTACCAGTACTAGTACCAGCAGTGGCACCACTTGATGGAATATTACTCATCATTGGATTTTCATCAAGAGTCATTGATCCCATCGGATCAGAAGGAAAGGTTAATTGTTGATGAGTTCCAAATTCTAGAATTGATGATCCGATATAATAATAAATTTATATAAATTTTTTCCAACACGAATCCAACTAACCTTGAAACTCCAAACCACCATTACTTGTAGAACCTCCTCCTCCTTCGAAAGGCAACAGAGTTTGATCGTTATTGTTGTTCATTTTTTTATTTTTAAAATATTTTTTTGAAACAAATTAGAAGGAATATCTTCTTTCATCGAGTAATATCCACGTGGATACAATAATAACTTATCTGATTCAACTCAACTTGATGATTGTTTGATTTTTATTATATGATATTAATTGTGTGGATGAGGTCTTGGAATATACCTTAGATGAAAAAAAAATTTATTGTAAATTTGTTGTATTCCATCATTCTCCATCATTGAATGATTTCAATAACAGTATTGAGAGAGAAAAAAAAATTGAAGAGATGAAGAATTGTAGTCATCAATTAATGACAATGGTTGTATCATTGTTGGTGATATTATTTTTATCATTATTGGGAGAGGTTTCGTTTGGTTTCTTATGTAATCAATTCGAACAAGGAAATGGTGTTTGGAAACCCTCTGCCAGATTGAGACACAGTAAGCAAACCCTCTTTATAAAATATCCAAAATCGAAAAGAAATTTGTTTCGTTTGATTTTTAAACAATTAGATCAAACCTGCACTGAAAATAGTTCAAAAACATTGGAAATAAGTAATGAATTGGCAACAAGTACTCTATTCATTCAATCAGTGTATGACAAGTTGAAAAAGAAAATCAATACACCCTTATTAGACCGTGGGAGGTGAGAAGGATTGACAAATATTTTTATAAAAAATTTAGAAGTCACTCAAAAAACAAAAATTTGTTAAAGTCGAGCCGAAGGTTTATTGGACCAAGAGTGAGACAGTGTGTTCAAAGTATCAATTACCACTTGTTCTTCTAGAAACAAGTACTTCTGGGTTCTTGTACATGAACCTTCGCTTTAATGTACCAACAATTTCAAGTAAATGGGCAGGCACTTATCTAGATGATGTTTTGGCGAGGTGAATGTAGTAATGGCTGGTGAGGAAGGAAGCAAAGGGAGAACTCTCCTCATGGTGGCTTCTCAAGGTAGCATGCTGAAGGTGGGAATACCAACCAATATACCTATTTAGCAGGGTGATGATGAATTCATGATGAGTAATTGTTGTTTGTTGTTTTTTTTTGTTGAATATTTAACGGTCAGAACAGACAACTTTCAGCGGTTTTTGGTTGGCGCGAAATTACCGTGATGTAACATTTTTTAGCTCACCTCCTTCGGTCTAACCCTTATTGAAAAAATTCTTTTTGGGACCACCCGTTGCTAAAATTAAGGGAAATCCATATAAGGGAAATCCATCCAGTTGGATGTATGATTTGAGGGGAATCATTGGTGATTATCCATTGAATAGATTGGTCATTCCTGGTACACGTTCCTCATTTTCAAATCATTTGAATGAATATTCTAGAATTTCTCCAGATGGAAAGAGAAATGAACATTTCATATTTAAAACTCTTAAATATTATCCAAAAGATGTTTTAAATAGAGTTCAATCGGTAAGTTTTATATATATATTTTTTTTTAAAACAAATAATTGTAATTTAATTAATTAAATTAATAATAATTAAAATATATAATAACAATTATAAAATAATTAAAATATATATTATTTCAATTCAATAGAAATGGTCAAAAACTCAAAGTAGATCTGCATTATTACAATTGCGAGATGGTATTCGTTATTTTGATATTAGAACTTGTAGAGACAGGTCAACATTTAAGAAAGTTACCATGCTCAAATCATGTAATACAATGTTTGATAGACCAATTGAAGATTCTCTTAATGAAATTGTTCAATTCATGAAAGAATCTCCTAATGAGGTTGTCATTTTGGATTTTGCTCACTTTTTTGAAATGAGTGAGTATGACCATAATTATTTGAGTAGTGTTTTGAAAAAAAAGTTTGGAAAATTATTGGCCAACTCTAAAACTATTCAAGCTAGCTCATCACTGAATGAAATTTGGAGGCAAACCAACAAGCAAAGAATAATCGTAATTTACCACAATGAAAATATTGTAAAACACTCAAATGGACTGTTCTGGTCCCCTTCTCTTTCCATCCATAATAATAATGATTTGCCAAATATTCGATACTTTAGACCCATTGTTAGGAATAGTCATGATTTGTTCATGAGAGTCTCGAAAGAAATTTCCTCCAGAAAGGTTCAGGATCAATCATTTTTTGCAATTCAATGTAAAATTACACCAGACAATTTAATGATTGCAAATGGTATCATTGGCAGGCCATCTAGTGCTCTAGAATTGGGTCACTTTTACAATTCGGAAATTGTAAATTGGTTATCCACGCAAGCACTTGCACGAAGACAGGTGAATATTATCATGCTCGATAACTACTCTGACTCTAAAGATATAATGAGTGTCCTTTTACAACAAAATACTATCAAAATTTGAAAATTAATAGATTAAAATGTTAAATATAAATTAATGTAATTAATTGGTGTGGAAAGATTATATTGACAAGAGGGACATCCAAAATCCAAAATTATACAAATCTCCAATTTCTTCATTCCTTCATTCCACATGTGGCACTACAATATCAACCCAATCAAAATAAAATGCATGGATAATACAATCCACTAGAATAGATAATATATTATTGTTGTCATCCACTTTCCAATATTATTATCATCCAGTCAATTAATTTCATCCTCTCTTCCATTCTTTGATAGCCAAAATTTACAGTCGGCCCATCATTTAAATGATTCGAGGAAAAAACTCCTGTGCATTTTTTTACAATAAATGGGATTTGAAAGAGAGATGCTTCTCACAACACATCATCTTTGCACCAACACACATTCAAAACGCCGCCTAAACAGAACAAATTGGCCGGTTTTTGTCTAGATTAATTCATTATTCTCCTTAAGGCATTTTGATTGGTTTTACGAATGGTTGACCAAGAGTTGCTCAACGACGCGCGTGGTTGAATTTAAGCTGAACGCGTGTTGTAGAATTGGCCAACACTGAACAATAAAAAAAATGTCTGGTACGTACCTTCAATAATAATAATGAAATTTATATTTTCTTCAATAATTCATCAACATTATTTTCCATCATGATGAAACAACTTGTTCACACGGACTTGTACCACTTGTTGCTGCTACTACTTCTTGCTACACTACATATATCATTATATATCTGTTACTAATATATTGTTCCATATTTTAAATCATCATTGTCATCTTTACAAATTGACGTGAAATAACTTTTTCCTACAATATAATGATCATCATCATCATCATTTGATAGAAATTCCACAAGGTAACGCAACTAAGGGTGAAAAGATCTTCAAGGCCAGATGTGCCCAATGTCACACCATCAACAAGGGAGGTGCTCACAAGGTTGGTCCAAATCTCTACGGTATGTGGGGTAGAAAGTCTGGTTTGGCTGAAGGTTATGCCTACTCTGCTGCCAATAAGGAAAAGGGTGTTACTTGGAATGAACAATCCCTCTTTGATTATTTGTTGGATCCTAAGAAGTATATACCTGGAACTAAAATGGTTTTTGCAGGTACGCTCATCATTTATTTGCATTATTATTTAATGATTTTATTATTATTAATTATTTAACATTTATTTTTTTATTTAATTTTATTTTTTTATTTAATTTTAATTTAATTTTAATTTTAACTTAATTTTAACAGGTTTGAAGAAGCCAGCCGAAAGAGCCGATTTGATTGAATACATGAAGAATGCTTCTCAAGAATAAATTTTCAATTTTTCCAGAAACCCATTAGTTTATCAAATTTATTTTTTTGGAGAAATGATTACTCTCTTCTTAAACCTTAGTATATTGTAACAGATTTGTTTATTGTACATTTCTTCTTGTTGATAAGAAGAAGAATTTAATTATTCTGATTAATCGAATTTTGTTTTTTTTGATGTTCCTCTCTCTTCATCTTCTCCATCATCATTTTCATCTTCTTCATCATCTTCTCCATCATCTTCATCATCATCTCCATCATCATCATCTAATGTAATTTTGAATGAATCTCTGAAAATTGAATTACTCAATTTGATTTGAACAGCTAATGTATTGAACAATCTAGAGTTCATCTTTAAATGTGTGAGTGGAATATTGGCATTCTTAAAAACGAATTGGGAATTGGCAAAATCAACTCTTTGAAATTCACCTACGTCAATTGGAAATATAATTTTCAAATTATTAACTTGATTAAAATTCTTAATAAAACAATTTTCTTAACTGATAATCCAGTTGCTGGTTTTGGGTTGCATTGAAATAAGGAAGCAAATCTTAACAAGCTATACTTTTTAGAATATCCAATGACTCTCTTTAAAAGATTATACATATCCTTTACCTCAGTTGGAAGATTTGGAAAGAATGATTCCAAAGTTTCTTGATCCAATCTAATCACAAATGGAGATCTTTCAATTATTCTCTCATCTGATTGAATTACAAAGTTGTTTCCATCATCTATAAAACAAGAATAAGAGTCACCCTTATCAAGAGTGTGAATACGACTTGTTTTGTAATTGATTTGCAAATCTCTGCTGGAATTTGAGAAGAATCGATCCCCATTGAACAATCTATCCAATCTACAATCTGTAACACTGTCACTGGAGAGTAATTCATTCAACGGACCGAAACCCAAATCTAACAATCTGCAAATCGCTTTGCTTTCCTTGACAAGGCCTTCCTTTTTGTTTTCCACCTGTTCTAGTGGAAATATAAAAGCCATTTCACATCTTCTTAGGGCTTTGATGGCAAGTCTTTGTTCTGTCTTTCCCCAATTTGAATTTTTGATTCAATTCTACCATTATCCTTTCTGAAAATATAAAGAAAACCATAAATGCATGAAAAGCTCTTTGGAAAATCAGATAAAACCTTCAAGCCATACTCCTTTTCAAAATATTCAGCAACCAATTGGAACTTTTCTTGTTTTGCAGTGGTCGTGGTTGGGTAAAACAAATTACAATGATTATTGGTCGGAAGACTGTCTATATATTTGTTGTTTCTTGCTAAATTATCAACTTGCTTTTCCTCTTGCAAAGATGAAGGATAAAAATTCTCAATCACATTCTTCTCCTTCCACTCTTCAAAATTGATTGGCGATTTAAAAAGACTTTCAAACTTGTCAATAATTTCAAAATCCTTCTCCAAGTCCAGATCAGAAGAATTAGAATACTTCTTTCTTTTAACACTTTCGTTTGTTAATTTCTTGCTCTTTTTTTCATATAAATTATTTACCCTTTCTGTACTCTCTTCTAAAAATAAATTTCTAATTCTTAATAAAAGGTTTGAATTGTCGTTTCTTTCAAATTCAACAATGTCCTTCTTTTTCTTGATGGAATTGGGATTAAATAATGGAATGTTAGATAATTGTAATGGTGAGGTCAACTCATCGTTCTCTAAAAATCCAACAACACAATCTCCCTTTTTTGGTTGCCACATGACCATATTTGGAAGTGGTTCTGAAGCACACTTAATTAATTCACAAAAGACACACCATTCATAATTTTCGCTTAGACAAACAAAGGTGTTACACGAATCACACTTGCATCGGTTGGATTCATTGTTGAGCTAGTCTCTAAGGTCGTTATGATATAAGAGACTATAATTTATTATTAATAGTAAAATGATGAGGAATTGTATCTGGGATATGGATTTATGGACAAAATGAGCCTAAATTTCCCAGTTTTCTTATGAGATAATTCCCTCAATTCACTATCCAATCGTTCTTCTATTCCATTGAACAATGTGAATCCTCTCTTTAAGAAAAATATTCGAAATCAGACTTTCTAAATAAGTCTTTCGTATAGAAATAAAAATAGTTTCATAAATTCCACCAACTTGCATTCTAATAAAATTTTCTATTTTGTAAAAGTGTGTTTTGTGTCACAGTGGTAGCACCTTATTATACTTTTGCCAACAACATCTCTCCAGCAACTCAATTCGAATCATACCATTCAAAATCTATCAACTACTAAGGAGAGAGGTGGAAAACCAAAATTCCTCTCTCAACCAAACAATTCCTACATGGGTGAATACAAATCGGATTGTCAATTGATTATCCTTGAGGAATTTCTGTCAATGGTAAGTGTTTTGGTATTTGGAAGGACAAGAATATGAACTGAAATCATTTCTGAACTGGGAAAGATAATCGGTGAGGCTAATTCTACATCCAGCCATTTTAAAGGGGATTAAAAAAAGGCTATGGAGAAGTTTCTCCATAAATCCTTGTTGATACATTTCCTCATTTTACTAATATTCTTTAATCCTTGTTATTATTATTACTCACAACAGAATAGAGTTCATCCATAATTGTAAGACAAAGAGAGACAGAACCAGAACTCTCAGCAATAATAAATACTACGTTTCTTTCATGGTACAAATAAACAAGGATACAAGCAGATACTTGTTCTGATAGGAGACCAATTCTCTGTCTTTTAACTGGATTGAGAAATTCCGATAATAATGTGATTTTTCAATTTGATTCAATTGGTAGTTCTTAAATCTTGTTGAAATGATCCAATTATCATTACTAAGCAATACCTTTTTCCATTAAACATTTTCTGGTTTATTTGTTGGTTGAATTTTAGATTTTCATCTAAGGATGAATCAAACCATTCCAATTCAATATCATTAGTAGACATTTAACAATTTATTAATAATAATAATAATAAACTGTTAGATTAATATTAAATAATTGAGAAGAATATGAATAATAATGGAACGTTTCAATAGTAAAGTACTTTTAAAAAAATGAAACTCTATTCCACCAAGGAATTATTAGAAATAATTAATTCAAATCAAATTCTAGATCCTAAGGATGAAAATTTTGATTTGAAATTGCTTTTCAGAACCGCCAAAGAAAGAACCTTAGATTACACCATTAAGTTATGCAAGGTTATTCAAAAAGCAACAGGGTTATCTGGTGTTACGAGAATGGCTTGGTATAAGAGGCTTGATACCAAAGTCAATAATGAATCCAACTGATGCAAGTGTGATTCATGTAACACCTTTGTTTGTCTAAGCGATAATTATGAATTGTGTGTCTTTTGTGAAAAGAAAGAAATGTTAATTCTTCTGACTTTGACTTGAAAAAGGCTTATTTTGAAATTATTGACAAGTTTGCAAGCCTTATTAAATCGCCGATCAATTTTGAAGACTGGGAGGATTTTGAAGATTAAATCACATTTTAAAGAATTAATTTGGTGTTCTTGATGAATTAACATGTGATAGATTTGTGACATTTTTTTAAATTAAAAATAAATTTCTGTAAAAACTTTCCCGCCAAAATATTACAAATTTAAGGCTTAATTTTCTTCATTTATTAATAACCTTAAATTCCAATGTTTAGTAATAATGATGATTATTATATCGTGTCATACTTTGGGTTATTTCAATCCAAATAAACATTTCCAAGTACCATTTCTTGATTTCCATCTAGGGCAGAATAATCTCTCTTTTATATGAGTTTGATTATACGTTTGTCAGATTTTAGTCAATTCATTACTTGTAAGAAATGGTATATCTATAGTAAACACCTTGTTATGTTTCAAGCAGTTTTATTTCTGAAAACTCATTGTCAAGATGGACCATTGAAATGATAAGAATTTTCAATTGTTTGATATGATCTACAAAAGTTAGAGATCCATTCTGATTAATTGATTTTAAAACCGTGTTAATGCCTTTGAGAAAGACTCTAGCTGATTCACTTTATTCTTTTGATTGCAACATTGGAATTAAATCAAAATTGAAGAGTTTCGATGATTAATATATGTAAATTTTAATTAGAAGTTTTACTGATATTTAAACCTGCAATTTGAATTGGATTTAAGGGTATCATTCCAGTTATAAAATGTTTCTAATCAAATATTATTTGGAGTCAAATCAATAATAGTCTCACTTTTATATTTCTCCAAAGATCACCTCTCGGAAAATATTAATTTTCCAAATCGAAACATGAGTCCTCTTAATAAGCAAGGCATGCTTATCGATATTGGGGCGCTGTTTTTGAGAGAAGGAGCATTTCGTTGATAATATGATGAAAAACTGTTGGTCCATTCATTGTACAATCTTCCACAACAATAAAAAAAACCCAATGTCCCAACCAATCTATTACACTGAAGATGAAGCACAAAAGGAATCCTATAAGGGATTTTCAGAAAAATTAAATCAAACCTTGATCGAGTCTGTTCCTGATGAAGTAGTAAGGGAGACTCAAAACGATACACTCGTTAAAACAAAATATAAGGCACCGAAGAAGGAAAATCCAGTAACATCAAAATTAGAGTTTGCTCCTCTGGCTAGAAATTTACAAATCGGATCCATCTATACATTATTTATTTGTGGATTTACTTCTGTAGTCATGACACCATCGGATCCAATTTGGGCCTCCTATATTCCTGGTGGTTATTGTATATTATTATCTTTTATTCTTTATGTTTGGTGTTTTTTCAGTGAATTTAATAAGCAAGATAAGGTCACTGTTGAGGATATCTTGAATCCAAAACAATGGCCAGAACATGTTTGTACATTCTTGAGTATCTTGTATAGAAATGAAACTCAATGCGTTTTTTGTTTCTTGTAAGTTGTTAATTCATCCATTTCAATTAATAGAGAAATTATTAAACTATTTATGCAAAATACTTACAAATATGATTATGGAATGATTTAACAAAGTGGTTGTGTTTATTCATTCTTTTGTGTTCAAACAGCAGTTGCTGGATTCCACTTGTTATTTGCAAGTTTCTTCTTCCTTGTGGCAGCCTTAAGAAAGGAAAAACCAATTAGGATTACTGGTATTATCTAATATACAATAAATGAAAATACTCTTTAATTGGAAATATACCATCAATCAATTAATTTTGAGTTTACTACTGTCACAAATCAAAACAAGAAAATGCTTAAAGAAACAACATTCAAATATTTCATTCAATTGTCATCCGTCCTACTTTTTCATACACATTCCTCGACACCTTACCAAATGCATTTCAACTTTTGGGGATCAAGATCATTCAAATCACCCAAAACACTCACAAATCTCCCTCCAAAATTAAATATCAAATTCACCACCAAAAGAATGCATTAAAAAAATAACAGAAAAAAATACCAAGTATGATTAATTCACAACAAGAATAAGTTGTGATTGAATTTAGGAGAGTAGTACCCACCATCACCATCATCATCATCAGCAACAAATTCACAAGAGTATACACAATAATATAATATTAACACCAACGATTTACGTGTGTTTAAAGTCTTACGGAAAAGTTTTTAATAAGTTTTTTGAAAGAAAATATTTTGATTAATTGGAGAATGAAAGCATTCACCTCATCACCAACATTGATAATATTATTGAAGGCTTGCCTCCTCATATTGCTGATATTCAAATTATTTGTACTAGTGATACATGGTAATCAACATGAAGAGGTTTTCTATTCGATGGCCAAATCAAATGTTCATCAGCATTCTTTCTCAACTAGTACTAATGATGACGATAATGTAAAAAGGCCTTCCTTGATGATAACAGGGCGTGGAAACAATTCAATCCTCGTATTGGAGGACAATACATTACCAGATAGTTTTCTTACACAAGACCTTGAAATATCATGTTTTCAAGGTCAATCCGATGATGACTTGTTAATGGTCAGAAGCAAGACAAATCAATTACTATTGTTAAAGAATTCAGATTTTGAAATTTATGAAGACTTTATGGTTTGGACCATGAATGAGGAAGAAAGTATTAGGACAGAATTGAAGAAAAAGCTAAAACTTTTAGAATTGGACGAAGAGGAGGATATTTCGACAGATTCCACTTCATTAAATAGATACATTGTACGATCTGCACCATATCGTGCAAATAGATTCGAGGAAAATGAACAAGTCATTTCAAATGTAAATAGAGAAACAAATTCACAATTAAGAATATTGTTTATTGTAGATAAATTATTGGGAGAATTCTACGTGTGGAACGATGGAAAGGCCATAGATATTCAAGATTTAATTAATTCTAATGTGGCTAGTATATTGAAAGAAAATGTAGCAGATTTCCAATACAAAGGAGGTTTAGCAGTGTGGTTGACTATTGATGGTCAGATTTATTACACATTCACTGAAAATTTTGAAACTCAAATTTTGGAAGGTAGTTTAGATATTAAAAAGGCAGAGAGAGATTATGGAAGTGTTACTATTAGATCTGTTAGTGTTGGATATGGTCATTTTTTGGCAGTCTCTACTGAAGGACTATTGTATTCGTTTGGCCATAACTCATTTGGCCAAACAGGAGTTGGAAAACATGAGGAATTCATTTTACAATTGAATAGAGTGAAAGGAATTCAATCACAAATTAGCAAGATTTCCGCAGGCTCCAATTTCTCTATAGTTCTTACCCTCAATAATGAACTCTATGCTTTTGGAGGAAATCACATGGGTCAATTAGGTTTCAGCCCTTCCATTAACAAGCAATTATTCGAACCTGTACAGCTTCAAAAAAAGCTATTTGGAGAGGAGAAGATTCATTCCATAGATACAGGGGATAGTCATACTGTGGTTAGGACAATCAGTGGATTGATCTATTCTTGGGGCAGTAATAATAACCATCAGCTGTGGCGAAGTAATATCTCTACAAACTTTCCACAACCAATTTCTCCACACATTGTGGAATCACTCAAGCTCAGCAACACTTCAATTAGAAATATCTTTACTTGTAAAGATTATACCATTCTACACCGAGTTGGTACTGTAAATAGTATTAATAATATAGAGTTGGAAGATGGTGGTAAACTCAAATTTAACACCATTAAAATTGGAAAAAAGAAGAAACCTACAACCAATACAACTCCAATTATTGAGGAAACCTATATCGAGACTAATCAAAAAATTCTAGAACATTTCACACTCGTAGAGGAGATTGGGCGTGGAGCAGAAGGTATTCTGCACAAGTACATATCCAAAACTGATAATCGAACTGTAGCAATCAAACACATGAAAATTACCAATGCAGAGCTTGACGAGTTCTTCCAACACACTTCCCAAATCAAATCGCTCTCCCACAAACATCTCACTCCATACCTTGATGGTTTTTGTAATAGTGAGACAGACAAAGAAACCTATTGTCATATAGTTATGCCTTTTTATGATACACTGACTAGTTTGATCTTTTATCATGAAGAAGTTGAGGGTGATGAATCACTCCCAGATACTTTCAAGATTGCCTATCAAATTGCAGATGCAATTAATTACTTGCACCAGTTAGATTTGGTTCACAGAGATATTAAGGTGGAAAATGTTCTCTTAGATCCGTCTTGCATTTCTAAATGTGTCAAGATTGCAGATTTTGGTTACTTGCAATCGACAAGACAAGATGTAATCAAGATTACAAGAGACAGTCCAGACTTTCAAATGAGAAGACATGCTCTCTATTTGGGTTCATTACCAACAATTTCTCCTGAATTGAAATCAAAAGCCGAAATGTCTAGAGAGAATTTGAGGGCTACAGATAGTTTTTCTTTTGGAGTTTTATTGTACAATCTATTGACATTCCGTACAAAGGTTCGATTGGAAAGTACTTCCTATTTCATGTCTGATGCAATTTTGAAAAATTATGAATTGGCCTATAATAACATTAGGGCTGAGCTTGTGGAGAAGGAAGTCAATCCAATTGCTATTGATTTGGTTTTGAATTTATTGAAAAAGGACTGGGCTGAAAGACCAACCATGAAGCATGTCAAGTGCGTTTTACAAAATTTAAGCACTTCCAATAATAATGAAAAGAATGGATTGTCCTTATTAGAATTTAATAAAATTGAAGGTTTTTATTCTGAAAGAAGTGAGGAAAGAAGAGTTTTGCATTCTGTTCTATACTTGACAGTGTTCTGATTTCTTCTACTGCTTCCTCATTCTCTGAGAAGGCACTTGCAAAGTTTTCAACCATTGCACTAATGACGTGATTCACATTCTCCATGACTGACGAATCAAACATGTTAATTTCAATCTTTTTTTGATTGAGAAGGTTTGAAAGTGCAATCTCATCTGTAGTAAATAAAACTCCTAATTGGATTGGAAGAAGGCTACACTTTCTACCTCTTGTCAAATAGTGAGTGAAGGATAAATTGTTCAAAAAATTCAAAATGTCAAGCTTTTGTTGTGTAATGAGAGATTCTAAAGATTCCAAATCAATACCAATGGCATGTTTTACATTAGGCAAGGCCAATTCATAATCAATTGGATAAATGTTGTACATGAGTAAGTCTTCGATTGGTTTTGTGAGTGAAAGGGCAGAGAAGGTAATAATCTTATCTTTAGGAATGTCAATCAAACTTTTAACCACAAGATTTCCATCATCAAACTCAACCAAAAAGCTGCCTAATTGTGAAATTGCTGGTATTGGTAATACAGTCTCTGATCCAACAGCGAACAAATCAAATACTGAATAGGCAACTAGAAAGTTTTCAAAGGTCATTACATTTTCCTCATCTTGCAACTGTGAAAATATAAATTTCAGTAAAAAATTAGAGAATGAAAACTTACACCAGACTGTATGAGGGCACTCTTAATCTCCTCGAAAACTTCAGAAAGTCCATCTCTTGTTCTCTGAATCAAATCAAGGGTATTGGTTCCACTCAGCTCATCTTGAAGTTTTTCGGAGAGGAATGGAGTTTCTTGGAAATTGTAATGCTTGAGAAGGAGATTGAAAAACTTTTTGTGATTATTGGACTTGAGAGGTGAATTTGGAGAGGAGAACATTTCAAACATAATGTAAAACATGACAGCCATTTCATCATCGAGATTGGCACTGAGATCCTCCTCTCTTGCCTCAGTGTAGAATTCTCCAAACGGGGAATCAAGAGCATTATCCACATCTATTAATTCCTCTGATTTGACAATCATTACTATTTCACCTTTTGAGATGGATTCTTTGGAAATGGCATGGAAAGAATTCAATTCTGGTCTCATTTCCACAGATAATTTTCCACTATTTTCAATAAAGATATTCTTCATGGTTTGGAGAATATTTTCCTGATGATTATTATTGTCCACAAGTTTGGTATAGGTTCCAAGCAAAGTAGAGAGTTTTTCATCAATGCATTTCAAGGCATTTTCAATAATCTTCTTTTGTCCAATTATGTAAATGAGAATATTTTGCATGTTAAAGTTGGTTTCTTCACTCAACTCTTCTTCATCTTCTTCAATAGTGGTTGGGAAGAGACGTCTCTTTGATATGAACAATGACCTCAGTGTGTGAAGCATTTTGAATTCATTCTTTACACTGAATCTGTAGACAGAATCCTTAGATTGTTCTCTGTGTTGAGAGATTGTTGATTGTTTGGCAAGATAAAAATCATCTTCGGTCATCATACAGATACGAATGGAATCTAGCATGTCTTCTGGCAGTTGTTGTTTTTTGAGATAAAATCCAAGACTATTGGAATATTATCAAGATAAAGATGTTATAAAACTTACTTGAGAGAATTGTCTTCCAAATACTTTTTCTTGAATTGAACCAATTCTTCATTGCCATCATCAGAAATACCAAATTGAACATAGAGAGTGTCTTCAGAATTATTTGGAATGACAAATCCATAACTCAATAAGAATGAATCATTACTCTTTGCTCCATAATTGTTGCAGACATAGTCTCCGCTTTTGAGAGATTCTCTTGTTTTCAAGTAGAATCTTCTGTCAGATCCTGTGAAATATGTAATCTTGGCATTAAATTTGTGATTCAAAATGTCAACTGTTGGCAATAATGTTGGAACAATTTCCACACCTTCTCCATTCTCTGCAGGATATTCAATTGGAAAAACTCTTGACCAAACAGCAGAAAAAGCCCACATGAAATTCTCATAACTAAACACTTGTCTATCAAACTTTTGTGGATACTTGTTCATTAAATATTCCACTTTCGTTTCGTAAATTTGCTTCAAATTTTGTCTAATACTCTGCACAGATTTGTACAAATTGGTAGATCTCAATGCAGCCATTTCATCTTCATCAAAATAAAGAGCTGTAGTAAATTCCCTTGGTAATAAATTCAAATATGGAAAGTGTGTACTCTTCTCCTTCTCAACATGTAACTCATAAATTAAAAACATGTAGAAAACAATTAATCCATTTTCAAACATGTTTGTTCCCTTCCACTGAGAAGCAAGTTCTTCATTCTTATCATTATTTCCATCAGCAATTAATTTCAATTCCGATATTAAATCTCTAAATTCCCTATTCATATTCCTAACATTTAAACAATTTTCCAAAGGAACAGATAATAAATCCACTTGATCATCTTCAGAGGCTTGAATGTCTGATGTTAGAATACCTCCGATACCACACTCGGAGGAGATGAATTTCAAGTCAATATTTTCATGTTTGAAGGCTCCAATGTTGTGGGACCATTCAATAAATTGTTCAATATCATGTTCTTTCATTTTTTTTCAAAAAACATAAAAAAACATTTAAATTCGCCATGCATTTCGAATAGTTATTATTTTAAATTGATTTATTCATCATCCTCTTCTGATTTTGTTTGTTTTTCCTCTGCTGAGGCTACTGACAAGATGGAATCAACAAATTGTTCAGGATAAAAAGGTTTCAAATCACTGACACTTTCTCCCAAACCAATGTAGAGAACTGGGATTTTCAATTCATTGGCAATTGCAAGAATGACACCTCCTTTGGCACTTCCATCCAATTTAGTGACAATAATTCCTGAAATTCTCACATACTTTTGGAATAGTTTGGCTTGTTGTATAGAATTTTGACCTATTGTACCATCGAGAATGAGCCATGTATGATCAGGTGCTCCCTTTCTCGACTTGGAACACATTTCAGTAATTAAACTCAATTCTTTCATTGAAGCTTCTTGATTTTGCAATCTTCCTGCAGTGTCAACAAAAACAAGGTCAACATCTTCCTTTCTCAAAGCTTGTTGAATGGCTTCATAAACTACACTTTCAGCAGGAACCTTATAACTCACTTGTCTAATATTCTTAACTTTGACTTGTTGAGGAGTTGTAGTGTGTTGTTTTTTCAATTTTTCAGATTCTGTCAAATCGACGAGAGTACATCCACTTGTACGTTCAACCCAAGTTCTCAATTGATCTGGAGCTGCTGCTCGGACTGTATCTGCAGCTGCAACAACAATATTTCTAACAGTTCCTGATTCTCTATACTTGTGTAATAATTTTCCAATAGTTGTTGTCTTTCCAGATCCATTCACTCCACAAATTTGTACAACAGTTGGTCTTGATTTTGGATTTAATGGAATCAAAGGAATGGAAACTCCACCCTCAGGTGTTCCTTGATTTTGTTGCAATCTCTTTACAATTTGTTGTTGCATTGGATATTGGAATAATTTCAGCATTTCCTCACGTAGAATATTCTTCATGGGTTTGACATTTTCCTCTGCAGTGGGATTATTTTCAATTTGCTTTTCAATTTCAGATACTTGTGTCTTCATCCTTGTTAGAAGTAATTGTGTAGTATTATTTCCGACATCACTCGAGAGAAGAGCCTTTTCCAACAATTTAAAATCCTCCTCATTAAATATCTTCCTTGATGTTGCTCCACCTCCTAGAATTGATCCAATTTTTGAAAATATACTTGTTTTACTTAATCCTCCCAAAATTCTAATATCATATGATGATGATAATATTAATAGTAAATTCAATCAAAATATATATAAATATTTAGTCCAGGATTATATCAATTAATTCCGATAGGCATCACAATAACAATTCCATTATTTAGAATTCAATAAAAAGAGAGAGAAAATATTTCCTACCTACTTGTTAAACATTTTTTTTAAAGTTTTAATTTTACTTTTAAATGTTCATCTATTTGTTATTACATATAATTGTGAATTTGAATAAATTTACTATTGAGTAATTCTTTCATGAATGTTGGTTCTTCCCCAACCATAAATAATCTTCTTGATACTGGTTGGCCGACTTGAAATGAGCTTGGCATCAATGTAAGTATTGTGAGTGATATCGAGATGGTCCAAATTCGAGCTCACCAACACATTACAACCTGAATTGGTGAGGAAATTCCAGGCAACATCCAAGTATTTCAATTTTGGAAAGGAGCATAGATGTGTGGCACAACCATCATTAAGAAAACAATTACGAACAGTCAAGCTAGTCAATTGATTTGGTACTTGGGAAAGCACTTGAATAGATTGGTTGCAAATTTTGTTCTCACTCAAGACTAGTTTGGTTAATTGTTGATATAGTTTCAGATTGCAGAGCTCTACAATATTTCCACACGTTAGTTTCATGTTATTCAAATAGAGCGTCTCAATTTGATTTTTTAGTGGTGTATCTTCGACTATGGATGGAGATAATTCTTGCAATAGATTGCTCATTGTTGTCATGCTTTCATAGTCAACACTGCCATATTTGAGAATTTTCAATTTTGGAAAGCTAGTTAGAACATGTGTCAGATCGATAATACTTGTTCCACTAATATTCAATTGCTCCAATTTATCCAATTTCGATTCACCATTATACCATATCGTACCAATTTCTCTATTATATTTCAAATCCAAGTTTGTTAAATTGGAGAAATAGTTCATATTAATGTTAACGAAAAAAATTGCATCCAACTTGTTATTTCCCAATTTGAGAGTTTTCAAATTGGATTCAGGTAATTTGGTATCTATATAAAGATACGTGTACACACTGGTAATCATGTTACTATTCAAATTTAAATATTCGATATTCCTCAATTTCTTATTAGCCAAATATTGCCAAGTAGTAATCTTGTTACCTTTTAAATTCAAATATTTCAAATTTTTCAAATTCTTTGCAACACCAAAAGCTGTAACATTGGAAATGGAATTATTTTGCAAGTTTAAATATTCTAACTTTTCTAAATTTCCCCTTTTCAATGGACCTATATCTGTAATTCCTACTTTCTTTCGATTTTGTAATCGTTTCTCTAATGACAATACTTTAAGTTCGGTCATGTGATTACAAATCATTAAAAATAATCTATTTCCATAAATCCCATTCATTTCCAATTTGGTGTATCTGCTTGCAGCCTCCAAGGCCTGTTTACAAATTAAACGAAACTGTGTAAGAAAGTAATTTAAAGGTTCATCCATAAATTTCGAAATATAAAACCACAAATCAGCATACATCTTAATTGAATGTGTTTTAGAAAAAAACGAATTTGATGTAATATAATTCTTTCTGTTCTTTCTTTGTTTCGGAGCAGTTGAAGAAGAAGAAGAATTGGAAATTAATTGATCAGAAGAATTGAATTCCTTCATTTCTTCATCATTGCTTACGGTCATTGCATCAGAATCATCGTCGCGGTGATTTGAAATTTGTGATTGTTGTCGATTTTTTGCACTAGCTTCCCGTACTAATTGTTTGATTGTGGAAATTTTCATGTTTTTTTTTATTGTTGTTTTATTTATTGAGTGCGAGTGTGCATTAGAAGTTTTGATTATACTGGAAATTGTAAATTAATTACTTACTTTGAAGTACAAATAAAACCTTTCTAAGTAGATTTTTGTGACCTTTCTTAAACCTGTGTGGTTTTATTTGTTTTCCAATTTGATTTAATAGATTGTTGTCTTGGTTTTAAACGAGGAGAACGAAGTAACTCTATTATATTAAATCTGGCATTTTCTCCATGCAAGATCTGTTTTTCTTAGAAATTTAAAAATCAAATAATAATTTTTATTATCTAATTCAAAAAATGTCCATCGACACATCAACCCAAGCAGCTTCATCATTAACTGCTGCCGGCAGCATGTCGTCGGCCACATCAAATCACACCCACCTGATCAATCCAATCTACTCTAAAAAACAAAAAGCAAGATTGGTACAAATCCGTACAAGAAATAAGAGAAAATTACCATTGAATGAAAGTATTATTTTCCACATATTTTCCTTCATGAATGGTGCCGATATTGAAAGTTGTTGCAAGGCAAGTCATATCTTTCAAAATGTTGGAAATGATGAGAGCAAATTCTTGGAATACTTTATTGCCAGATACGAACCATATACTACCTTCTATCACGACTATAATCGTCAATCGTTTTTAATTTCAGGTGGAGCTTCAGCACAACCACCTCCAACACCAACAACAGCAACAACAACAACAACAACAACAACAGGTGGAATTTCCTCTCCTACCTTCCCTATTGCTGTGAAGGCTAATGTTGAATCTCCCCTTGCTCCCTCTTCACCAATCATAACATCAACACCACTTTCTCCAAGAGGAAGCGTTAATTCGGCACAATCTCAAAACTCTAGAATTCCTCCACAGTTGGTTTCAACACCATCCTTTGCTTCCTTCTCTACATTATCATCTGTTTTTGAAAAAGGCCAACCATCGTCATCAAATAATCAACAACAACAACAACCACAAGAATCAATTCAACGAGAGGAAAGAGAGTACTACAAGAGACCACGTTGCAATTGGAGAAATGCTGTCAAATATAGAGAGCAAATGCAAACATGTTATCGTTTTGGTCAAGTGAATTTAATGAAAGTTTATACACAACCTGATTTGAAAATTCTCACACTCTCCTCTTCCAGTTTGAAAGAGGCCGTGAAGGGAAAAGGATGGATTGATATTGAAAATACCAACAATACAAAAGTACCTTCCAATCCATCCACACCAAGTGATTCTAAAATTTCAATCTTGAACACCTCTGTTGAACCATCCATTAAAAGAAGAGAATATGTTAGTGATGAAGAGGAAGTTAGAAAGGAAAAGGAAAAATTGGACAAGGAAAGAGATCGTCTTGTTGACGAATTTAGTGGTATTATGAATTATTGTTCAACCAATACCGATGATTGGAAGAGTAATGGATTTCACTTGAAGGATGTAAGATTGTTGGATGGTCGTGTTATTTTAAATACTAGAAAGAATTTCCGTCACACAACCAAACCTTTTAAACATCACTTTTCCTATGATCTTTTAACCTATAGTTTGTTCAGTGCTAAAGACTCTCACGTTGCCAATAGATTAACAGGTAGAAGAAAACAAATTTTGGATAATATGTTCGAAGATGATTTGCCAATATCTGCCATGAAAGAGCTTCACGAGAGCCTTTTAAGTGAAACTGATGAGTTTTTATATGAACAATGGGTCTCAAAGGTAATGAATTGCAGCAGTGAGTACATTTCAAGAAATAGATCTGAGGGAGGCGCTGCCTCTACAACTGCTGATGATGACTTATCCACAGCCCACTCTAGAGCTGATTATCCACCATTTTCTGCTCTCAATTTGATTGGAGTTGTCAATACCTATCCAAAATATGGATCCTTTGGAACTGCATGGTCACCATCCAATAGAACTTTAGGTTTTGGATCATTGGAATTCTTGGAATTTGAAATTGAAGAAGAAATGTTCATTGAAGAAGTTCGTGTCTTTGAAACATTCTGCCCTGGTGGTGTCTTTAAAATTTCGATATTTGACAAGTCTACCAACTCATGGGATACTGTTTGGCTAGGAAAACCATACGATACCAATTGTAGAATGATGGAAAGATCTAGAGTTTTTGCACCAACAATTCTCAAAAAGGATTACCCAACTAAAAAGATTAGAATTGATTTGGATTTGAGAAAGTCTCCAACAGGGTGGACTGAAATTGATGGTATTCTTGTGAGAGGGTATTTGCATTTCAAGGACAGATTGAGGGTACTCGCAAGCCAACAATTGCAAACCAAGAAGGATACTATCAGTCTTAATAAGGAAGTTTTGCACTTTCCATACTCTTATCTTTCACATTCACCATTCGATTATCAATTTGGTGTCTTGTGCTTTGTTTATACTGAATCTAGCTACTACCATATCAATTCTACTTTGGTTGTTATTGGAGGTACAGAATTGTTGAAGGATGAAGTATTTTTGGAAGTTACCTATTCTAAGGATTATATTGTTGCTGTTAAATTACTTAGTAACAAGACCTGTATGGCCATTGTAAAATTAGCTCGTGTTCCAACTCAATATTGTGTTCACATTTATGACATTTCTATGAAACGTCTCTCTAAAAGCTTTGAATTGAAGGAACTTCCAACAGATTCAAAAGAAGTTACCTCTTGGGAACTTACTCAACAAGTAATTGCTTGCACTGTTGATAAGAAGATTTATGTATATGATATCAGCAACTCAACTAGCATGGCAAGTTGGAGATTAATTTATACTCTTGAAGGTCATGATTCCATTGTTACTTCAATGTCTCTCAATACTGAATTGATTGATTTGAGTAATGTGTTGGCCTCTTCTTCATCCGATAAGACTGTCAAAATTTGGAGCTTGCACACAGGTCAATGTTTAATGACCTTGGAACATCCAAGTGCTGTCTCTTGTGCCAAGGTTATTGCTGCTGGTACTATGGTTGCTACTTGTTGTGTTAATGAATCAGTTATTAGAATTTGGAGTATTTGTGGAGCTGATGCTGGTGCACTTGTTAGAGTTCTTGCCCTCCCAACTCTTTCAACTAGTAATACCAGACATACTCAGAAGGAAATCTTTTTCGATGAATCCTATTTCACCTACTTTGAAAAGGGAACTAATGAATACATTCTCGGTAGATTCCACATTGGAGAACAAGATGAAAAGAGTGAGCAAAAGAATGAAACTACCAAGCAAGAAACCTGGGTTGGTGATGGAGAGAATGTAATCCTCAACAGATATAATATTGTAAATAAGTACCAGGCCAATGCAGAAGCATGTACAATTTTGTAAAACATAAAAATCATAAAAATCATCATAAACTGTTCTCTAACTCACAACGGAGCTAAACACATTTGAAAAGATTATTCCAACCTTAAAGAGAAATTAAATGGAAACTAACAATTGAATTTACAGCAATTTCAATGTGAATTCATAAGCATGTGACTAAGATAGAACGATTGGCTTGTGAAAATGTCTTTTTGAAAACTTTTGAGAATAATCTAACCACAGACCTGTCCATCCAGCATTTAGTTGAAGAAAATGCTTTATAATTACCCGCCTCACCACAATCAAAATCAATCAATATAACCCACAAAGGAACCTTATTTGGGAATTTTAACACAAGATTTTCTCTTAAATGATTGGTTTTCACCAACCAGCACAGACCTGACTGTTTGTGGAAGCCCTTTGGATACAGTAATAGATGACTTCTAAGAAGGAAACCATTCATATTGTCACAACAGTGAGGGAAGAATAAATTATGATACTTTATCGTGAAATTTGAAGAATGTTGAAAAAAAAATCACCTTAAAATGTTCAAATCTTCTTTTAACTTATTACTGTTGGTCAACGCATTAATTTTATTGGTGGTGACTATTGTGCACAATGTCCATGCTCAAACATGTACATCCAATTATGACATTGCTCCAACACTTGAATCAACAACATGTCCAATTGGTTTCGTCAATATGATGCAACTCGATTCTGGCAATAGAACATGTGCACCATATGCAACCTTCTTGAATTCAGTTTTAGGAAAATCATGCACCAGTGATGCTAATTGCTATCTGGCTTCACTTGGCTGTTTCAATTCCATTTGTGATTATAGAAAGACGAGATATCAGGGAGATTCATGCAATTCCATTAATAATTGTGCAGATGGATTGAATTGTCTGGGTGGATATTGCTTGAAATTTGATAATCTCAAAGTAGGACTTGGAGAAATGTGTGGAGTTTACAGTGCAACTGAGAATACTTATTCAATTTGTGCCGATAATAGAATGTGTCACTCTGGAATGTGTGTCAATTGTTTAATGAGAAGTGTCAATGAAACATGTAATACTCATGATATGCAAACTCATACTCATACACTGTGTGGAGAGGGATTGACTTGTTTGAATGGAATTTGTAATCAAGTAACAACCTTAAAGGAAGGTGAGGTTTGTGATCCAATGAGTGTGACAAGCATTTGTCCAAGTGGATTAGTTTGTAGAATTGTTAAAGCTGCCATGATTGACCAATATGTATGTTCCAAATATGCCAAATGGGGCGAATTCTGTGAAGGAGATGCTCTTGGATGTGAGAGTAGCAAGATTGGATCCTCTGGACTTGCAACTTGTTACAATGGAGAATGCTCTCGTGTCAATTTCAATACTCATGAAAAGATGTGCTCATCAGATTCTCATTGTTATAGTGGAACTTGTGGTTCAAAGAATGGAATGTGTTTCAAATTGGGTCTTGCCAATACTTTGACTTGTAATGGAAATGGTCTCAATTGTCCAGGTTCTTTCCAATGCAGTTGTAATGGAACTAGCTCTTCAGGTAATGGCAATGGTGTTTGTTTTGGAACTTGTACTGGTTTTGTTCAGGATGTGTCAATTTGTTTGTGGAATAATGGTTATTCGAATGCAGCGCACATGCTTCCAGGAAATGGCAAGTATCAAATTGTGGACCTGAAATCATCTGCCTTTTTAAAATGTAAAACTCAATATGAAGCTGCCTACTCGTGCTTGAAGCTCACCTCTAAGAGTGCTCAAGTATTCTTGGGCGAACCATCATTGCCAGGTCTTGATATTTCATCAATGGTCATGAGTCGACCACCGATGGTTATCATGCCAGGTGGGGCCAAATTTAATAGTACAAGTTTGGAATATGAATATCCATCAGGTCCAACTCCAGTGGTTAGCAGTAGCAGTATTTCACCTGCCAAATCAAAAGCCAGTAACAATTCTAATATGGTAGTTTTGAGTCAATTAGTGGTTGTGTTGGTGGTTTTGGTTTTGAATTTACTTGTTTAATTTCAACTTCTTAATTGGATTTTATAAAAAATAAAATTATTATCCTTAATGTGTATTTTCTGATTAATTCCACATTTCAAAGAATGATTTGACAATTTAAATTTATTATTTAGGAATGATAATTGTATCATTCTTTTCATGAATCAAGTTTGATCATTTCTTTCATAGAATCATCAAAATCTTGAGTACTCTATTTACACAGTATTCTGTAGGTGGTGATATCCACTGAGAATACTCACCATTCCATAGATGTAATATCACACCAAATTCACCTCACACAACTAGTCATTCAATATAGGACTTGTTATTCACAGCAGCTGCCGTTGGTGGACATGTCTTACTTCTCTGCACTGTACTAATTTCAGTGCGTGAAGAATGAACACCAACCAAACGTCCACACGACTTTAATTGAGGTAAAGCCTTTGGAGAGGGCATGTAATCGGATGCTAAATAACCAGGAATGTAGGGAAGAGGTGATATTGACTTTTGTCTTGCAGCATCATGATTATTCTTCAATAGCATTGGAAAGCAAATCTTGTTATCAGCAAATGGATCACCATCATTATACAATTGAGAGTAGAGAATATTTTGATGGGGATGATAGTTTGAAAATTGCTTCGAGTCTTGTTTGAGACTATCATTGAGTGGATCACGAGGTGAATTTATAAAATCCTTACTAGTGAGTTTGGAAGTCTTTTTAACCTTCTTTTGTTTTTTACCTTCAATGAGGCTTTGTTTCATCATGTTATGAAGTTTTTCTAATTGTTCCTCAGTGAGTGATTGTTTAACTGATGCTTTGGCATGAGTGAGAGCTGTATTACTCCCCATCTTTGATCTATTTTGAAAAAGAGAGTCAAATAATTGATAGTATTACTATTAAGTTTCAACAAGAATAAGTGGTCTTACACCTTAATAAATTTGCGGTGTAGTAGTTTGTTGTTGTTTTTAAAAGAGAGATATTTTTATCAAAATGATGACGACGAGTGGTTCTTTCTGGTGAGAAGTGACTATGTGAATGTCCTTGTTGAGCAGTTTTTTTATGATGTTACGGTTTGGTTTTCGAACACTTGTGTTTTTCATTCTCCAAATAAGGTCAATTAAGGGTCAATTTTTATATTTGATTGTACAGAGACCTTTTTGGTTTTTTATCGCCCTTTTTACGAGAGCAATATTGAGAGCAAATTGTTAACACGCACTGAGAGAGGGAACTTGATGTGCTATTGATTGTGGAGATGATGTGCATCATGAGATGGACAAATGAAAACTTCGAGCTCTTCATTGGATGATTGATGGGTTAGAGTTGAATTGTTGGTTGTGGACTCTGATTGAGATTTAATTGCACTATCTTGATTTGGTGTTGATAAATTTGTCTTGTCTTGTTGTAATTCAATAGAAGTATTGACATGATGGTGTTGGTCCAAGCTGCTTTCTGAAGATGTTGATGATCCCACAGGAGTTGAAATTGTATGATTAATATTATTGTCAAATTCAAATTGAGAAGGTTGTGAGTTTCCTCCCCCTCCATGATGAGTTTCATCAATCAATGATTCAAATGAAGTGATTGCTGTTTGGTTATTATTATTATTATTATCCCTCTCAGAAAAAGGGTGTGCTGGAGAGATTGGTGGTAATTTAAATCGTTTCATTGCATCCATCTCATCATCATGCTGATCATGCTGCAATGACACTATCTTTGAATGACTGCTGCTGCTATTATTAAACTGTGAATTGTTAGAACTCTTGATGAGTATGGATTCTGAAAAAAAGGTTCCCTTAATATCCTTCAAACGAGTATTTCTCGTAGAGGAACGAAATGAATGTACATTCAAACTATTATTTCTAGTTTTGGATTGATCAATGGATGAAGTTGAAGAGGTGGTGATGAAATGATTTGGTGGTGAGGAAGAAGCTTCCATTGGTCTATAGTCTGACCTTGTTAAATCGCCTGGCAGAGTAACAATTCCATCCATTAGTGATTTCCTCAATACTTGAGCCACCTTTTCAAATTCCTCATCATTCAATTTTTGATATAATTTTAGATCGGATGACCCTCCTCCAATATTTGCATTGCTGCTGTTATGATTACTTTCAATCAATGTAGTGCCACTACTACTTTTAAAAGAGGGAGTATTGTTAATTTTTCCCTTAATTCCAATATCAATAGAGGACCTCACTAGAGAACTATTACCCATATTATAATTTTATAATATGAAAAATAAAGTTGTTATTGTTTTTAAAATTGAACGCCACAAAAAGATAGACGCTGTTTAATAGTATAGTTGGGCCAAGTGAAGTGTCAAGTTGAATATTTGGAAATTTCACTTTCATTCACCAATATTATAATCTTCACTCACACACTAATAAGATTGGAACTCGTTGTTTTTCGCTGATTAAATCAAACATCTCAAAGTTGAGAGTTGTAGAAGGGAAGAGAGATTTTCATCTCGTTTGTGAGAGCATGAGCTACTTGTGCATCTAAAGAAATATCACGTTGTAAAACTAAAAGACAATAGAGTATCTTCACTTGATTGAAAAAATGGCTGTTACAAAATGCTTACATATTTGTTAAGATCTTTGCTCCATTCATAGTTTGAAGCCAGTTTCTTTATTAGCTTTATGGATAAGCTTGTAGTTCAGCATTTTGGGCATATGATGCCTGATTTGAAGGTTTTCCCTGTCTGTCACAATGCTGTATCCTGCTTTATCCTTAATGTGACTGCCGCCTGTTGCTATTATATTGGCCTTTATGATTATTTGTTTTATTGTAAGTCTTTTGAGTTGGCACCTTAGGTTCAGCTTATAAACTACTCCTATTACGTTTTGACATTTTTGTTGGGAAACTTTGGAAAGTAAAAAATTTGAAAATGAAAAATGGATTAATTGATATGAGTGTGATCACTAGAATGTGTAGATGTTGAACAAGTTGGTTATCTTTGAAATTTAATTTGATCATAGTGATGTTTATGGAAATGAGGTTAATTGTTAGATTTAAGGTGAAAGAAATTAAAAGAAACAATAAGAATTTAATATTTTAATATCTTGTTCGCAATGAGTTTGATCAATCTTGAAGGAGTGAATCAATCAAGGTTTGGCTCCAAGCCAAAACACAAAATAATGAAAAACTGATAATAAATATTGTGTTTATTAGTGATTTAATAGTACCAGAAGAAAGTAGCCACTCTCTTTCCAATATATTTTTACTAATTAAATTAAAGGTCATTTTTCAAAACCACAATAAAAACTACTATATTTTCTTGTTCAACTTTTAGTCATCGACCAAATCCTATATTGATAAGTCCCCTCGAGGGACGCTAGAAAATTGGATAAACGATACAGAGAAGATTAGCATGGTCCCTGGACAAGGATGACACGATTTGATCGAGAAAGTATCTCTACTTTTTTTTCATTTACCTGCACTTTAGATTTGATAATTTACTATCCTTCACCACTCAAACAAATGATAAACACATAAGAAGATGCGGTTGAGAAAGTATCTCTACTTTTTTTGAATTATCAGAGAGTTTCTATCTATTGTTGTTGTACCACTCCAACCTTAATTCTTGCATTGGAATATTCGCCAATATTTTCTAAGAACTAAATTTTCAAATTCTTCTTCTTGTTCAGTTTCCGTGGTCTTCTTGTTTGTGTTGTTGCTCTTCTTGGTGTTGTTTTTTGGAGTTGTTGATATATTTAAATATATTTATTAATCTTAGTAGTATTGTTTTTTGAAACTCTTCTTCGGTTATTGAAACCTTATTATAAATACTAATGTACTCTTCGTTAATAGGGTAGGATTCAGTAATTTTCAATTGCAGTCCAGTTTATGCCAATGTTAAGTTTTGCAATTGAAGCTTGGTGTCTTTTTCTAACCTCATTACCTTCTTCTTAACTTGATCATAATTTCTAGTGTCCTTATCATCATTCTTGAAAAAGAAACGTTGTACTTTCATCCATTGTCTAGAAAATCTTTTAGAACCAATGATTAAGTGAAATAATTCAATTGGTTCCCATAGTGTTCCAACAAATCTATGAACCTATTATTAAGTATTTTGGCCTAGGCATCAATATCAAGCCATCATGATTACTAAATTTAATATACTGATACAACCTACAAGTATAACAACAGGACCTTTACCTATATTAAAGGGGATTATTCTAATGAAATTACTTCTACCAAACCATGCGAATAAATTTCAACTAAATAAATTCGCATGGTTTGGTAATGCGAAATTCATTTTTATGGTCATAACTTCCATAAATAAAGAATATGTTGAGAAAAAGTGTTTATCATTCTCCTTTTCCAATATTTGAGGAAACAACCAATAAGACCAAAACCATAGTCAAATGTCATATTTTATATGGTGCTAAAGATTAGACTCTTTCTTCCTGATTTCAATTCAGGGAGTGTCCAAAATTTGTACAACACTTCCAAACAATCATGATATCAATCCCTCCTCATATCATGAAGTGAGAAATCATATTTATATGAAGAACAACCTCAGAATAATTTGCAAGATTTCAAAAACCTAAATACACAAAAACAAAATAAAACATGATTATAGAATCAACAATGGATTATTTACATGTAACTAGTCTTTTTTACATCAACAAATATGGTGTATGTGATGTGAAATTTAATTAAAAACAGAAAAATCAAAATCTTCATGATTTCAACGAAACAAGACGAAATAATTGATATGGTACATCTACAATAGTACTAATAAAAGTATATTAATGTTTCAAGAAGATTGACTGTGTACTTTTGGCATGAATCATGATTGGGACCATGAATAACCCGAAGTTGGCAAAAACACAAAATGATGAAAATCTGATAATAAATATATTGTTTATTATGTATGAATAGTAGTGATGAAAGACATTTTCCAAGTTGGTGAAGTACATGTTGAGTTATGGTCCATGTACATGTTGAAAATATACATGTACCTAACATCATGATAACCAATAGGAAAATGTTCGGAAGTGATTTTACCTGATGGAATTGACTATGCTGAACACTAGATTGAAAGTTTTCCAAATTATCATATAAATCTGGCAGTGATGATGATTTTAGTGAAAATATTAAATTTCACTAAAATATTACTATTATCAGATTTATTTCCACAAATATTACTATTAAAATGATGATAAATAACAATGATGATGGTTGGTAGTTGTTCCGATGATGATGTACCAACTTGAATTTTTCCAAATAATAAAATTATTTCCAAATCATGATGAAGGATTAAATTCCAAAAATTACTATTAATACTATTATTTAAATCATGATGAGATGATGTGGTGAAATTCTTGGAGTTAATAGATGTGAAATCACTCCAAGAATCAACAGAGTCGTGATATACCTGATGTTTTTCCAATATTTTTGAAATATTTTTCCAAGTTCTTTGATTTTTACAACTAACAATCCCGCTAAACACTTACTGTCAAAGCGTGCTGGTACTTTGACGATTTTGCGTCAAGCTATTTTCGTCAAACAAGCGAAAAGTTGTCTTAGCAGGAGGGAACTTGGAAATTTTTCCAATTTCAAATAACAAATAAATTTCCAAGTCAATAAATTTCAATTTATTAAAAGTATTGATATGCATAATAATGCACAGGAATATATTTCTCTTCATCAGGGAGTTTGACAACAACACATGGGAGCATTTCAAATGCTTCACTTCTACTAATCTCCCTTGTCTTATTGGTGGTGTTGGAAATTAAGGTAATCTCATTAAAATCTTTTGAGAAAGATGCCACTTTGAAAACTTCGTTCGTTTTGATATCCTTGATACAATCTAATTCCTTTCTTACAACGTAGTGACCAACTATACATTCAGAGGCAATAAGAGGTTCATTTAAATCCATTAAATCACATAATTGGCACATATCAAAGTACATGATTGAATATCGAGCAGAATTTGAACAAACGTAAGTCTTTGAGAGTGTGAAATTGAGTCCTTCTCCAATAAAAGCAGAATTTACACCAAGAGGGCCGTACATTCTACAAGAATTGACTAACTCAGTACAAATATGAAAGTTTGGTGTTGCTTTCTTTTCTCCAACCACTTTCTGATAA